ATTAAACTATGGCTATATTTTACCCGTCAAAATATTTGTTTAAAGATTTTGCCATATTATAATTATTATTTAGACTATACCTTTGCTTTTTCAATAAACTTTAGTAAAGTATTCTCTTTTTCATTGGAATCATGCTCTGTACTTGTAAATGAAGTTCAATGAAGGACTTCCTCGGGGTCTGTCTTCCCGCCATACATTTTCTAGCTGCACATTAACACTGTGTTATTATCGTCTGTTTTTGTTTACACAGATGGCTGCAGAGTGGTCGAGGGGTGTTTATATAGCTCTGGGGCCGGCCAGACTCAAAAAGATATTGAGAGGCAACAGAGTAAAGCAATGAAATTTCACATTTCAGGCAGTAAAAATCTAGCAGTCAGAGTGTATATTTGGAAAAGATAAATGGTCTTTAGTTATTTAGTTTTAAAGTATCCTGCATTTTTAAACTAAGTTCAAGCTAGAAGCAGCTGCAAAACAATGGTTGTATTTCCATAAGTTCGATAGTAGCTCACTTCTTCTAGCTTAGGTCAGGTCACGTGTGGAATACTGCGGTCACATTTTATCAGACGCTACTAAATGTCATCCCATTACTTTGACCTCCGTGGAGAGATGTTCAAAAAGGGTAATGGTAAGCTCACTATAGTTAAAACCAAGATAGCCAGTCTTGATGACAGGCCTCTCGGTATTCTGTAGTGTGTGCAGTAAATGCGGACTTTCACCATAGACATCCTTCGCATCTAATTAAAGTGGTACTCTTTCTCGTTGCTCATCCCTTTATACAGGATTGCATATTTTTGTCAGAATCTGTGTTTACTTCAAAAAACAACTTGGATATTTTTAGGACTAGAGAAAGTGTGCTGGTTTTAGGATAGTGGGATTTAATCTTAAGACTAATTGTCTACTTTCCGTCAGACTAGTATCTTGCCAAACAGTAATTGGTTCTTATTATAAAAATAAACTTATGAAAGTTTATACAAAGTGAATTTGATTAATTTATTTTAATATTAGATCAATTATGTCGAGATTTTTTATACATATGTTGACCAATAGATATCATAGTATTAAGTCCCTACTTCGTATAATCAATTGATTCACGATTGTGTAAATCATTGTCAGCATTACATTGTGACTGTTGCGAAATAAAACCTAATTATTTTAATTATGAATACAATAGATTTTCATTGATACGTTGTTTTATTTACAAACTAGATACTTTTGTATAATTCATAAGAGCGTCATCGTAAAATTACATTGGTCATTCATTGTTACAAAATGTTTAAACGATATTTAATTACTGGACTTAGATTATCAGAAGTGAAGGATGTATAGTAACGGTCATGGCCAGCCAAACAAAATATTTATAAATATGGTATTATTAAAGCTTATTACATGTACCTAAGACTAAATGATTGAACTGATGTTATAAAAGTAATGCCATTATATTTTTTTGTGGCAACAGAAATCTTCTAGCAGGAAGGTTTGTTCCGTGAAAACAGCAGTATCACTCTAAATTATTCTTCTTGTGCTATGATGTTTTTCTAATGTAAGAAGTAGTATTGAAGATATTATTCTTAAGGTCATCATGATCCTAACATATCGGAACACAGATGATTACTACTACTACTAGCAAGAGTTGCTGCAAGGATCGCTCATGACTATATACCTACAGTAATTTTTTATGCATATACAAACATTAGAAGATGCCGATATTGAACTCAATAATACAAAACGAATTTTTTTAAAATACAATAGTACAATCCTGCAGCACACATTTCGTGTAGGTCATGGTTAGAAACAGTAAATTTAAGACCACGATATAAATATTAGAGCCAAATATTCTTGTTTCTCTAGGACAATTGTATCAGGTACGATTTTAATACCTATTTCATTACATAAAGAAGGTATTATAATACACAGAAGCGATTCATTCTTTGAACTATGGAATTCCACTTCAAGAAAATCAGGCTACTAAACTAAAAATATTATTTGAGGACTAAAGGTCCCTCGTTGGAGTTCTTTCGCGCCATTGCAAACACGAGTGCCTATTTGCAAACTAGATATCCACACAAATATTTACATATTTTAGTCAGGGAATACACTGCAACATTTTATTTGTAGAATGCAAATTAAACCACTATTTTTATAAAATATTATTGATAAATTATGCATTAATTATTATTATAGATAATGTATCGTCGTTATTGGATTATGACAAATAGCCTGGGAATTTTCCAATTCTATAGGATAAGACAATTTTGACGAACGGTTATCAGTGATAAGAATGTTTGGGACTTTTTTATACTTACCAATTACATATATTTAACATTTCCAGAGGCTCGTGATAGACTTTCAAAGAAAATGAAAATTCGAGGGAATACATACTACGCATAACTATATACCTACGCTTCTGATGGGACATATCTTTTTTTACAAATCTAGTTGACAATACAATAACTCAAGATTTAATATTGACAACCAGATTCGAGCTGGTGCTTCAATAAATGGTTACTTGAGCACTAAGCACTATGAAGTAGAAAGTTCACTGAATTTCTCAACAGAATCATAAAAGTTCGACACCAAAGAATCTCAACAAACTTGTTCATATATTTAAACATACTGTTTTTCTAAATAATATGCTTAAAAAAAGGAACTAAAATATTATCTTGTCAATACTTTTAGACATCTGATTTGTAAGTTTGGGACTATTAAATTGACGATTTTGGATAATCAGGGTATAAATTACATACTTACCTAGATTTATAAACAATTTGGTAATGCATAAAAATTGGGTAAGTCTAAACAAAAACTTATACGACGTTCTCAAAGATATCCCCAGTTGTTAAGTTTAATAGGAATCTCAAACATGAATATATCCAGCAAATAAAATTAACAGAGTCATACGTAACAGAAATGTTTTAAAACCGAATCAAATAAAAAATATATCAAAGACATAAAAATATCTCAAAGCGTCTCTCATTTTATTATATTTGTAATGACATACACATGACATACTTTGTTTTTTATGGTGATAATATTATCTAAGAATTAATATAAAAAATGACCCAAAAAAAGAAATCCTATTTATAATATTAATACATGATACAGTAGGACCCCGATTATCCGGACCTCGGTTATCCGAATTCGCGATTATCCGGACTGCCAATCGCGGCGAGTTTATTCTAACATGAACATATCAGAACTTGCATATTTAAACCAAATTAAACTAATTATTTTTTTTCATGATTACCTAATGCAAATTACCAAATACATACATAATTATTGTAAGCAAATTATACGTACATTATGTACAATCTTCTATACATATAATAAAATTGTAGAAAAGTGCTTTCTGTACATTGAAAAAATAGCAGGGGTTATTGTTATGTCGATGTCGAACCCAAAAATGTAATAAACTTTTTTTTTTGGCTGTTTGTCTGTTCACGCTAATCTCAGAAACGGCTGATCCGAGTTGGATGCGGTTTTCACGAATATATTGTGGCATGCTTCAGTTATGCTTTAGTGTTTGTTTTATGTCAATCGTTCATAAATAAAAAAGTTATGTCAAATTAAAGAATCACGTCGAACACTATGCCTATACTATGCTGCTATTCTATGCTTCTATACTTGTACTTAAAATTACTGTGATTATGATCCAAAATAAAAATAAGTATATATTTAAAAAACAAACGCTGCTCATAGTCAAGTCGCGGGCACAGCTAGTTTCTTAATAAACGTTGATTTTCGCTCATATGTATTTGTTGTTTTAAATAAACACCTAACATTACATATGTATGGTACAGACTACATATGTACATATGCAAGAAGCCCGTTTTTCTTCATATATTGGATTATCCGGACTTTCAATTATCCGGATGCCTACCGACAACAATTAGTCCGGTTAATCGAGGTCCTACTGTATACGATATTACACCTGACAACTTCTACAAAACTTATTAAACTTAAATAGAGACTAAGATACCTCGCCTTACTGAAATCCTTTATATGTCTAGTCTTTTTAATTATCACACCAATAATTTTATTACCATAATATTTCCATATCTGCCCAGATGCTTAAATTCACTAGTAATGAATTTAGAAAAAGGTCACTTTACACTTCCGAGGATATCAACAAAATTAATTATATAATATAGCAAAAGAATACCGAAGATCTATTAAAAATAAATATTTCAAAAATATTTTTTCTAATTCTTAATTCCTCTCCTCCCTCCCTCCCTGTGTCAGATAATAACAAACTTTCAATGGAAAGAATACTATGATGCAAATACATAGAAAGTACATAGAGGGGCTCATAAATAATCTAGTTCTGTGTAGAAAAATAGGCGTATAATGTGATAGAAAACAACGCCTTATTCTAATTTGAATAAAATAATTATGTACCAATAAACAAATATTAAATCTTGTACAAATACTTTTTTTTAACTATTTCAGATTCAATAAAATGAATAAAAAAATATTTAAGTTTAATTTGAGCGTATTTTATTGTTTCACTGCAATTTTTATTTAATCACTATTATTAATTTAATTCTTAAAATAATCTCAGACAAAGTAAGATGTTTCCATTTACATTCCATTCCATTAAAATTCCATTAAAAATCGTCTTCATTGATAAAAAAATATTGTAATCATTATTGCAACTTCAATAAAATGCATAAGTACATGGAATTTAGGTCTCTTTTTTCGTTGTCTGCGATGTAGACTGAAGGTCGCATAAGCACGCACTGCGAAAGATTACAATGTAACACAACGATCGTGCACTTCTATCTAAAAGAATTTCATAAAAATGTTCCTTATTGTATAGTCATAACGCTCATAATTGTGCTACATGATGATAATGTTACCGCAAAACATGTGTGTCGGTGAATTATAAACTACATTACAATTTACAACAAAGTTTTGCCTTTAGTCTTTAGTCAACAAGCGATCGCGTGTGGGGATGGTTGTCGCGTGCTGTTTGTGAGTGACCGGCGTTTATAGAATCGATCATGAATACTGTATCACTAATAGTTTGGACGTTAGAGAGTAACTGTTTTATAATTTATACAATAATGATAGTGTTCTTCGTAGTATTTACAATGTTCCACAAGAATAGATTGGAAGTGCATCAAAATAGAATTGGCGCCAAAAAGAAGTTCGCTAGGGACGGTGGGAAAGGTTTGTGAATTACGATGCCTTTTTAGGAACAGAATGTTTGCTATATAAAAAATGATTTCCATATCTTCTAATGGTATTTATTTTAGTGGAAAAAGAATATATTATAATAACATTATGATAATGAATAACTATGTAAGATCATTTGAAAACTATGTATGTATTAAAGCGCATTACATTCTTTGTTGCTGTGTTGTCTGTGCGTGCTATTTGTTTATTTATACACTTTTTATAGACAGACGATGAATTCAATAACAAATGGTAACATGCTTAATACAAGTCGGCATCCTCACAGTACGTAGCGGTTCATGTTTATCATTCAATAATATAAAATAATACTATAATGTATGAAGATTTATGAATGACAAACTTTTCACTCTCCGTATGTCCGTGATGATACAAACTTGGAGTAAGCATACTGACGTTCTTTGTTAAATTCTCCGTACTTAATAGTACTAAGTAATGGTCGAAGATTTGAATGAAAAACTAGAAACTTACAGTATGTAGGTAATACAAACGTGTGTTAAGTGCAGTTGAATAAAATTGTAATGAGGTTAACTAGTACTACCGGAATCCAGACAGAACGGTCAACAGGAAAACATACTTCAACTAAGGAGAATTTTTTGCATATACGACTAACTTTCCCGCAACTTTACTCTGATCATAGACAGATATATTTTATTATGACTATTTTTAATTGAAAATACATTATTTTTCGGAATAACTATTATAAATAGAATTTTCTAGTAAAATATACTAGAAAATTCTATTAAATTTTCTACTAAATAGTGGATTTAAGAGAAACAATATTTTAATTACAGTTGTTATAACCTTATTCTCTCTTTTATTGTTTAGAAGATATGTATATAATACTAGCTTTCCGCCCGCAGCTTCGCCCGAGTGGAGTTCAGTTATATCTCGTTTCTAAAAGAACTTTTCAAAAGTCTGGGCTAAAAACTATCCCATGTTCTTTCTCAAGGTCAACTCTATCTCTTTACCAAATTTCATTAAAATCGGTTCAGTGGTTTAGGCGTGAAAGCGTAACAGACAGACAGACAGAGTTACTTTCGTATTTATGTATAATACTAGCTTTCCGCCCGCAGCTTCGCCGCGTGGAGTTCGGTTATATCGCGTTTCCAAGAGAACCTTTCAAAAGTCTGGGATAAAAACTATCCTATGTTCTTTCTCAAGGTCAACTCTATCTCTGTACCGAATTTCATTAAAATCAGTTCAGTGGTTTAGGCGTGAAAGCGTAGCAGACCAGACAGACAGACAGACAGACAGACAGACAGACAGACAGACAGAGTTACTTTCGCATTTATAATATTAGTAGGGATTAGTAGGGATTAATAGAGATTTGTATGTTGACGGAACTGATATATGTTACTCGCCAATAATAGTGTTATCTTTAACCCATTTAACATAATCGTGATAGTTAAAAGGTCAGTTTAATAAAAATATCTTTATCGACTTAAAATTTAGAATAAAACAATAATTTGAATAATTTGTTTTCGTGTGTGAAGAAAAAATATGATCGACGGATTAACTTTTATTACATAGAAAATACAGGGTGACTGGTGAATTACTATCGATACTTGAGGACGTGATATTTGACGATCATATATGACAAAATAAAAATTAATATAACATAAATATTAATAAACTTCTAAGTAAAGTTAACCAAAAGTTATGTAATTAATTACGCATCGTATGAACACCCTACAGATTAGGTATACACACACACACACACACTCGCGCGCGGCGGCGTGTTGTTGTATCAGCACGCCACCGCACGCGTCCACACTAGGAAGACTTGGAACGTGTACACACTTTATTTATTTATACGGAAATTTGGTCAAAAATTAAGTACCTATTTTTTTTACATAATTCGAATTAGAATCATGTACCGAGTATGCTCCTTAAATATTGATAGTAATTCACCAGTCACCCTGTATATGCCACAAGTTATTCTATATATAGTATATAGATTGAATTAAAATGATTCCATTATGATAAATATTTCATAATAAGTCTTTATAAAAGGCTTCTATGTTAAATAAATATATTTATATAGATTCTTATATATTTTTATAAACCGATTTATATAATTAAGACATTAATTATATTCCATACATATGTACCTCAAAGTTATATGTACTTTATAAGAGTATTTAGACACCACTGACAGATGAAAGAAAACATCGTGAGGAAACATGGACTTATAATTTACAATTATAAGTTTGAAATCACCAACCAAACCAAATTGTAGTGTCCGTTTGTAATGTTGATAAAAAAATTTATACTATATACATATGAATATACACACAGTACATACATCAAAATAACTTTTTTCTACTTTTTCAATCTGTATGTCTGTTTGTTCCGGCCAATCCCTGAAGTGGCTGTACCGATTTTGACGAGATTTTTATCGGTAGGTAGCTAATGTAATAAGGAGTAACTTTGGCTAAATTTATCCCGATCCCAAATATCAATCCAGGAATTAAGTGTTATCACACGAGAGTGGCAAATAGAGCGCATGTAATGCGGTACTTAATTTTCTTTTATAATTTGTTGTTTTTTAAGCAGACGGAGTCGCGGGTAATAGTTCCTAGCTAGTGATATAAATGAAAGCATTACTATAATATAATTTTATTTATAACTCTAACATTACGACTGAGTAACTCTGTTCATGTGTTCCTAATAATAGAATCATGTACTGGGAACAGTCAGATCAAAAGTTTACAGTCCGGCCCAAAGATCATGAAACGTACTAGAAACACGCACACTTCGAAGTATTATTACACTTTTAACAGAAATTTAATGTAGGATAGGATTCATACTAAAATATAGTCAGTGGTAGCATAGTGGTTAAAAGGCCCGCCTCTTAAGTATGAGGGCGCGGTTTCGATCCTGGCAAGTACCAATGTGATTTTTCCGAGTCATATGTACTTTATAAGAGTATTTAAACACCACTGATTATTACATCCCCAAAGAGGGTTGATATCAGGCAGGCGGCCGGTCGTAAAAAAACAATTAGCCAAAACTATTCACAACATGTAAGGCAGGCCCTGGCTAAAGCTGGGAAATTACCAGGTAAAAGAAGAGGATTCATACTAAAATATATTAAGAGGATTCATACTAAAATATATTCATACTAAAATATATTAAAACAAGATTATTTAAGTAGTAAAAAAATGGTAAATATTTGAGCTGTTGATAAAAATGTCGACATATTTAATGAGGCATGTGATAAGTTTGTTTTGGGTCGTACTTCGTGCGTTACTCATACACGAAAATGTTGTGTGTTTAAAATTAATCATTATCTCTTTGTTATTTAATAAAAATAATTTTAAATGTCTATATACGGATGAGTTATCTCTACTATTACAATGTAGTAATTAATTTAATTGTTAGAAAAAATGTTGTTGGAAAAAATAGTTTGTATATACCGTAGTTATATTAGTATGTAATATTTAAAGAAGAACTCCTTATTTATCCGATGATTTCTTTTCGTTTTTGATATAATCGATTATTTGCTTTTAGTCACTGTAAGTGCAGGTCGAATGCTGTGAATAAGACCCAAACACGTATCTATGGTATGCCTGCCAAACTTATATGTTTTCAGTTTTTGTTGTTATAGCAGCCTTACACATTTACCATTCGGGAAATGACAATGTAAGTCTTAAATGTATAATTCTGTATTAGCCCACGGTTACGAAACGGTAAACAATATCTTTATTAAAAAAAATTACATCTTAAAATATATTTCGCATACAATTAAGTCATGCGAAAAATATTAGTTTCATTTAAATGAATAATCGCAAAAATGATCTCATTATATTCAAATTACTGTGTTTGTTATCAACAATTTCACTTCCTCTAAATTTATCCACGCTCAACATATTCTGTTATCACACAGCTCATTCAATTTTTCTATTTTGGTATCTCGTATTTTATTTACTGTATTTAAATAATCATGACTCACTAAGGAAATAATATTCGTTTCATTCTTATTTTATTGACGTTGGTTAGTTTTTAAATTTTATTTTGACTGAATTTAGTATTTAATTCGTAAATCTTAGCGTCATTTTAACAAAGCTTAATGATTTTGATGGACAAATATATATATCAATGCAACAACATAAATAGAAAAATTAATAAAGAAACTATCCATTTAATCAAAATAATGGACAAATGTAAAAAAATATGAAAATATTCACTTGATTACAATTCTGAATCTTACAACCAAGTTATTATTATAAGACGAGTCAGTTCAATGCACCCGAACTCATAAACAGTGTTGCTTGAACTCAGTGGCTCAGTTTATTCTATGGACACGGAGGTCAATAAACACAGTCAATTATAATATCATCTCTGCAAAACAATATATATTTGGCAAATACATACATAATTCATACAATGAGTGTAAAGAATTCAACAAAAAACAAACTGAAATTTCTCTCGATTCTAAGATTTTCATGAGAATATATACAAATAGTACAATATTTCTGTTTCTTACTTCACAGAATCTTTTATCTCCTCATCTCGTGATCAATGGTTCTGTAGAGTGATTAAAAGTTGAATAATATATAATATCTGCACCACTTAATCCTATATAATCAATTATTTAAAAGTATTATGTCACCGCTTATCTTGCGATAAACAGATAAATAATTTAAGCCACATCTGATTACACAATATTTAAATTATGTGGAAAATTACAATTAAATGTAACAAATGTTTTTTGGATGTACTCATTGATGTACACGAGAAAACTTACATCTCGTCTGTCCGTGATCACGGTTGCTGTAAAGGAACCGAAACCTTGGGAGTACGTAGTTTTTATCAAAAATAAAATCGCGTAGTATATTCGAAAAATATTGGTTTCATTTAAATGAATACTCGCGACAATCTTAGATCTCAAAATTACAATTTATTATATGACAGATATTTAAAATCACAAATAAGAGCAAAAACTATGATATACATCTATCTAGATTCTAGATAGATAGATAGATAGGTGTAAGATATACCCTCATAGAAAATCTTCACGTCTATAGCTATAGAATTGTTATCACTTAATTTGAACTGTTTTTAAATAATATTTACTTAATAATTTGGGCTCCGGAAATGTTATGTATAAATTGTTTTTTAACAATACAAATTTGTTTGTCCCTTTGTATCATATTGATATGATCGCGTCGATTATAAATCGGATGTTTGTATTGAAACCGACATGCAACAGTGAGTCATGATTGTTCAACAGTAAAACATATGTAACTGAGATAAAAAAGATTCTGAATGAATATGTATTGCAATTATATGTATTGTTTAGAATATTTATATACAATTCAACCCGTACATATTATATTAAATAAATTTATTGATCGTCGTTGAAAAATAAGTTAGTTTTTTATTAATATAAAAAAGAAACACTTTTGAATGTGATATCTTCTCTAGGATGTATAAAAATTTACTCGCCTCAAAAGAGGGACTTCAGTATTTACTATTTATTTTAAATTGTCTCTAGCTTAACCCCAAAAGGTCGTCATGGGTTAGCAAAAATGATAACTAAGACATTCGGGTGCGTATATTAAAATAAATCTAAATTTGTCTCTTTACAGTTTTCGCTTTCATATCATCTTTCTTTAATCATGGTTACTGTAACTGTAAACTGTAAAGGAAACAAAACGATTAGATCCTGTAAATATACAATTATAAAAAACGGGTGGTATCGGAAAAAAATATTGTCATTTAAGTTAGCAATGCAACTTATAAATCTATTTATTTCCTTTCATTGCTTCAAATTGAACCCAAAATAATTTTATATCAAATATCGCAACGAACACTATAAAAAACAAGGGAAAGCCAAAATATTACTTGTGGTAGACAATGTTTTTTTATTGAATTGGAGTAAAATATCAATTAAATATGTAAATTCTCAGCAGTCATAATAAAATGACGACACAAGCGTCGCGTCCTTGTAAACAAATAGTTTATCAATAAAAGATAAGTTACGTATACATTTCGTAAACTATACTTAAAATTCTATAAACAGTACAGTCCAGTGTAATTTAAATGTCCGCGACACAAGCTTTCTAACAATTTAAAGTATTAATGCTTGACGCAAGTTGCATTCTTATTAATTACTTATTCAAAGGACGGCAATATTTACATTTGTATGAACAACAATGTAGACAGCTGATACTTTTAATATACATGTGAGAATGAATCTTTTAGGTCATCTTTTAGATTCAAATAAAAAGTCAATACAAACAACAACCAACTCACTACTCATTACTAGTACAGTCTTTGATTTTTGTCCTCATTTTTTACTTTTATAATGAATATTTTTTCCAGTAATGGAGTATCCTGATGATGAAGACGATGAAGACTGCCTGGTACCGGCTATTTCAGAAGACACTCCTCATATACCATACAGACCTCTAGCAAGATCGTCTGAGGAGGTTCTCCAAAGATCCAGGGATTACTACGACCTGATGGCTCAACGAAGAACCGTCAGACGTTTCAGTACTGAGCCCATACCTCAAGAAGTTTTGGACAATATTGTTAAAACAGCAGGTAAAAGACAATATTTTTTATGTAGCCCAACATATTTAATATCACTTCCTGGTAATAGACTTTAGGAACATACATACGTACTTCAAATCATGCTGTCTACCTTGCTGTTAATTTTTTAGAAACACCTAAAGGGTACCTGTTGTCAAAACAGTGGCCCTAGTGAACTTCGTTGACACTACATACTCTACATTGTCCATAATATGGTGAGCAAAAGTACAGATAAATAATAATATAAATAGCTTTATTTAAGTAAACAATTATAAAATAAAATGTCATGAAGATACATTTCTTTGATTAGTAATATAAAGACATAGTTCATGATCCCTCACGTCACTCCAACCGCCATTCCCTTTCCCAATTTTTTCAAGGCTATTGCTTTTCGTTATATGCATTTTGAAGGGAAAAAGCTTTTTTCGAATCTTGCGGACGAAGTTGAGGAGCATTTTATTATTTTTGGTTTCATTGCAAAGTTTTCGGTCCTTGCATTTATTCAAACGGAAGACTCTCGACCCTTCTATTGATAAGGCGTAAAACTTCCCCAGTGATGTCTTAGTTGACAAATGTAATAGAGATTTGTACCATCGGTTGTCATTGTAACGACAGAAGTGATCAGATAAATTTTTCACCGTCCTCCAAGTACCTTTGTTAAAAGCTATACCGAGTGTTTCTTTTGTATTCCAAGGTTTTAGGAGAATTGAACAGTTGTTAAGTCGGTAGCTGGAAGATTTTGATTTACCATTGCCCAAACTTATAATATCACAATGTGGGTTCGATGAACTCAACAATCCGTCAAGAATTCGAAAAATGTATATAAAATCCACAGTAACATATTGATTTTCCTCAAGAAAAAGTATGGATCCGTTGTAATTTCTTGTAGCGAAAAGTTTGTCAAAGACAAAACCGGCTGTCCACCACCAGTGATGCTTATGTTGAATCACTAAAGCGTTCCTTTCTGATTTGCGACAACTCATGACTTCGTTGCACGTCTTCTGATCATATCCGGGGAACACGAAAGGGTGTAACTGTATGCTATATGGGTAATATATTTGGAGGACTCTCGCAAAAGTTATATTCCTCACCACTCGGTTTATATCTTGATTGTAGAAGCTATGAGAAAATAACAGCAATGCGGTACCGATACCTTTGGCCTGTTTAAGACAATCCACCAAATGTTTGAGATTATTTATTTCTCTATACACTTGTATCACTATTACCATGGTAAAATCCAAATCCATTTCATCATCTTCGGTGCACTGTTTTCGATTAGCTGTATCGATAACGTTTTTTAAATGCAGTATATAGTCGATATCTTTCTTTGCAAGCTTTGCCTGGATTTCAGTATATATTTTTTCATTGTTATATGGCACTATAATGGGAGCGGTGCTCAGCCTCGTAGTGACTTCCAGATACACATATATCAACATGGCACCAGCTACTACTGGATACACAATAGTTTTCTTTGTCATCACACACCCGTCAAGCATTTTGGTTTTTTCATTACGAATTAAAAAACAAATAAAATTTCTTAAAACTTAGATTTTTCAATAAAATAATACTAAAATGGTTGATATTTAAATAAAGTCATGTCAAAATCTGCCAACACAAGCCCTGGGACACATTACAAAAGTCACTATATTACTTAAAATATTTACTGATCATATAATGTTGCATTTTATATGTATAAACATGTATATACCAAGAAGTTACTAAAATTACATAATTTTTCTAACATTTTAAACATGTTATCAATATAAAGGAATAAAAGTGTGTTTTTACAGTCCCCTCATAAAATTTTTATAGCTACGAAAACGTTCTTTTGACTGCGTTGTTTTTGTGAATAATGCTTTTCTTTGTAACATTTTAAAGGAACTGCCCCCTCCGGTGCTCACACAGAACCTTGGACTTTCGTAGTAGTTCAGGACCCCAATGTAAAAGCAGCGATACGTGACATAGTAGAAGAAGAAGAAGAAGAAAACTATAACAGAAGAATGTCCAGACAATGGGTGACGGATCTGAAACCTTTTGGCACGAACCATCAAAAACCATATATTTCTGAAGCTCCAGCTCTCATTCTGGTTTTCCGGCAGACGTATTCTTGGAGGTCAGATGGAAAGAAAAAAATGCACTATTATAATGAGATTAGTGTCGCAATTGCCGCTGGATTTCTTTTGGCTGCTATCCAGGTAAACCCTTGTTTTAACGAAAAGGAATTTTGCTTTTAAGTATACTATATACTATAGGTTAATTCTCAGGTTTCAAATTAACTATTTCCTTTTTATTTAGCATTTATGACATCAATACGTATCTTGAACAGGCTAAGTGTATTTTAACGAGAGCCATTTTGTGATAAAGATCAAACGTATGCAATTATCCATCATCATATTTGATTCCATCACAACGTATTTTCATGATCTGCTCGTTAAAAAAGTAGTACAGAAGTGTAACTTATTTAAAGTGACAGGCATACATATAAATACAAAAAGATAAAATATATACATTGTCCGATTGACCTAAAACGATACATTCGTTCTTGAACCCAAGTCGATAACCTTTGTCAACAGTACTGCGGTCTCGTCGCCTTGACCTCTACCCCTTTAAATTGTAACGCGCGTCTGAGGGACCTGCTCTCTAGGCCTTCCAACGAGAGGCTCGAACTGCTCCTACCGGTCGGCAGACCACACAAGGAGGTCACCGTCCCAGATATACGGAGGAAGAATCTAGACCAAATTATGGTTCACGTATAACCAACAACGAACGTTCCTACACTTACACTTGCTCACTTGTAAATAAATAGAATTAAAATGCTTTATTAAAACAGGTTTTTATTTAATTTCCCAAATCAAACCAAATTCTGACTGCAAAACATCGAAATTTATGACACCAAAGAGTTATATCTAAACATATATAAACAGGTGAGTGATTTAGACAGTGACGTGTAGGGTCGTTTAGCGGCGGCGGCGGCACCGTCTGCGGCGCCTGCGGCAGCTGCGTCGGCGGCGGCGGCGGCTGCAGCTCCGGCGGCGCCGGCGACGGCAACTACGGCGGCGACGACGACAGCTGCGGCGACGGCGCTGGAGGTACATTTACAGGTGCTGACATTAACAGGACATAACAAAAATGCCTCACGAGTGGAGATCAGCTTAAGGACATTGAACCCGTGAGATTTTTCCTATAACTTGGATCCTTTGGTATCAATGAGGCATTTTTATTGGAGGAAATTCGCCCGAGCCTTTGTAGGGGCATGGAGTTGTATATGGGACTCGAACCCATTAAAACTCTTCAGCGTACCTCGTCGACTATGTGACGGTTCTGTGGGATACTCGTTCTACCTCTCAGCGGACGCTTTTGTTTGGCCCAGATTTGGTTAACCCAACCCTTGAGAACTCAACCAAACCCAACCTCTACGCGATATTGCTAAAGACTTAAACAAATTTTCTACGGATAACGTTACATTAATTTATTTTCCAATTATGACCCATCACCTCTGATATAACTTATACAACAACCCCTTTATCCTTAGGACTTTGTGCATTTTTGGGAACAGTTTCTTTGGTAACTTAAAGCCCAATTTAACAGAATCTTGTCAACACTCACTCGACAGGAGCGGCGGCGGCGTCTCCTACAGGCGTCTACCGGCTCTTCGGATCGTGACAATGAACGCGGGCGATGAGTTAACTTTTCTCCACCTCGCCTACAATTTATATTAATTCCAATTGATCAGATTATACATATATACCCCAAATTCATAAAGGTATTAAATGTAATATGGGATGGACGAAGTGGCTGAACTTAATATGAAAGGATGGATTGAATTGTCGTGGTATGCAATATTTTAGGAAAACCATTAAAGCAAAGCTGAAAGAAGTTTTCTTGTGGAAATTCAATTAATAAATAATTTTACCTATAAGAAAATCAGTTCCGGTTTTTTATAACAGAAATCTATAATATCAACATATCTTAGGTTTTTGACTCGTTATAGATGTATAGAAATATTCATCATTGTCACTTTTCTATAAATGTTGAGATTATTCTAGACGTAACCCCAGTGACAAGCTTAAATTAGATTGACAAACAGATAACAATTTATGAAAAATTATGAAACAAATTTAAAAATCGAAAATGAGTGAAACAAAACTAGGTTGAGGTAATGGGACTAAAAAAATACAGGCTTGATGACTAAAAATCACCAACCTCTTACTTAAACGATCGTGATCATCCTCGATACCTCTATTGTCGCTGCACAGAAATATTAAATACATTAGATCTATGAATGTCATTTAATATTATATAGTTGGTCTTACCATAAATATTGTTACAAAGAAAAACAAAGTTCTTTAGTCTTCATTGGCTTAACATACCACTTTTTAAATGTTGAAGTCACTTATAAGTACAGTACGTATTTTTTTATGGAAAAATCTATGCTTAAGTAACTCTGTCTGTCTATCTGTTACGCTTTCACGCCTAAACCACTGAACTGATTTTAATGAAATTTGGTACAGAGATAGAGTTGACCTTGAGAAAGAACATAGGATAGTTTTTATCCCAGCCTTTTGAAAGGTTCTCTTGGAAACGCGATGTAGCCGAACTAAACGCGGGCGGAAAGCTAGTTCTTTTATATCTTTCGAAAATACCATAAAATATAATCCAGTGCATTAAGGTCAGGATTTGATTCCTGTCTCCACCACCTCAACATTTGACTAAAACTCCGTGCATGGAGGAGCATAGAACATTACATCTCGATCATCTGTTCATTTTATCACACCACTCTGTTTTAATGACTAAATATTTAACACGATGTTGGGCAAAAAAGGAAAACGCTATGAACAACCGTTATAAATTACATTACAAATTTAAAACTAATATTTTTGTGAGGTGGTAGAGCCTAGCTGTAGTCAATTTACTACAGCTCGAACATGGCCTGGCTCGACCGGGGAAGTACCACCCTCTCACAGAAAATCGGCGTAAAGTAGTCTTTAAAGGCTGCGTTTCGTTCGGTGAGTGAGGGAGCCGGTTGCCCTTTCCCTTTTCCCAACCTTTCCTTTCCCTCCCTTTCCCACCTTTTCCTCCTCCTTTTCCCCAATCAAGGGCGGCAACACATCCGCAAATCTACGTTGCGGATGTCCATGGGCGACGGTAACTACCTACCATCAAGTAGGCCGTCTGCTCAGTTGCCCCCTTTTACCATAAAAAAAAAAAAAAAAAAAAAAAAAAATTTGTAACAGTATTTATGGGCCAGACTTCTTAACATATAGCAATGAAACTAGCAAGTAAAAAAGTAGGCTAAAAATACAAATTATTATGTATAAAGGTGACCCATACTTGTTTTCCGCGGACCTGTCTCTTTGCAGTTCGTTGTCATTATTCGCTTTCTTCTTAGCGGCCACATGCCTGTCGTGGGCATGGGCATATTCAGTGTGGCGACGTGCGGCTGCTGCTCGGCGACGCCTGATAGTTTTGTGATAGCAATACGATTTAATCTCACTTTTGCTCTTATTTAATATGTGGTAAACATGATATTATTAAAAATATGTAAAATATTTTCGAATAAGAATCTACAAAACGAATAACATACATTTCGAGGAACAAAAATTTCCTTGATATTATTATAAATAAACGTAATTAGATTGTTAAAAACTTAATTTGGGATTATTTTCTGTGAAAAATCAAATATTGGTTACTACCGATAGACTCTATATTATCAAAGTAACTGTATAGCATAGAGTTATTTGGGAAGAAATCTATGTTATTAATATCAGATATTTATCAATTGTACTCATTCTGGAAAACTAATATTGTGTGTAATATAGCGTTTTCCATTCAAGAACGAAGTTTCGGATAAAAGTTTCACTTCATATTAAAGTGAAACTTTTCATATTAAAGTGCAACTTCTTATGCGAGTTTCAACAAGGTTGCGTAAGAGGTTTAACGCATCTTGTAGGGGGAGTAAAAAGAGATGGATTCATTAGGATTTGTGGCGCTGCTAAAGAAACACTAAACGTTCTTTAAAAATCAATTTCTACCCCTTTCTACATTCATTCCAACATTACGAAATTTCACTTCAATTTTTCATTTGTTTTACAATATGTACTAATCTATGTAGCTATCGAAATAATAATGTAGCTATCGAGATAGCTCGTAATAAGTTCAACATCGACAGTTGTTCAATAAAAAATAAGTTCGAATGTTACTTCTGCTGAAAGTCCACGTAAGTCTTGAGCCTTGCGGTGTACCGAGGGGCCTCTGTCTCGCTCCGTTTCCTCATGAACACCACCAGGTCATCATTCAGCTTCTTCTGCTCATCGGCCTCCATACCGCCGCTGCAGCCACCCACCATTACCTAGCATAGTGTTATAGTATGATAAATATACGTTCCTGTAGTTGAGCCAAGGAGATAATACTATAGATTAGAATAGCCGTAAAAAAAACAATTGAAAGGCGTTCTCATTAACAATATACATACATATAGTAACTTTAAGGACATATTTTCAGTTGAATACAGCTAAACAAGCGTGTATGCTATAATCATTTGATAACTTTGATAAGAAACTATCACTTTTTATGGATGCATATTGCACCATGAATATGATACTACCATGAAAAATTCAATTAAGGCTATATATTGTGGTGAAAAATAGGATTATTATATACAAAAATTGGTAAAAAATATTTTAAGAATATAACCAAAGTCTCCTTAGAGTCATAAAACTATGGCTTGTGATACATTATTATATAGAACAATGAGACATACCAATTTAATATTTTAATAATAAAACATATTTACCACTCAGTAGACGGTCGTCCAAACATTATTTGTAATTACTAAAAACGAAATTTGGAAATATATAAAAAAATAAATAATAACACTATCAAAAAATGTCACATAACAAAAATTTCTGCACTTTTCAATTTTTTTCTAATTTCTGATAAAAAGAAAAATTTGAATAGTGGCCAGTATTATGTTATAAAGAAAAACCGGTACATAGAAAAACCTACTTTACAAAACATGTAAAAGATATTAAATGAGAAAATAATATAATTATATGTTTTATAGAAATATTTATTCTCATAATCAAAACAAGAAATAACCCATCTCTCAAATAATACATTATCTAACATAGGTAGTGAATAGGTATATATTAGGGTCTTATTTGGATTTTGTAACCTGGCAAGTTAAGTATTTTCTGTAAGGAAAACCAGGTGGATTTTGATAGTATAAAATAACATTACAAAATAGTGGCCTTTATAACTGACACTAATCTGTTTATTAGTTAAATATTCTTTTCTCTTCCCGTCTTCTCATGTTAATATGTTCTTTCCACTAAGACATTTTAAAGAATTTAATAATTTTGTATGTACTCACTGAAACACTGACAATTAATACTATATAATTAATGTGGCGTCTTAGAGTGTAAGTTATTGTTTGTCAGTAATTATTTACTTACAATTATTTGTCCCTTTAATGATATTTTTTATTATTCCTGAAATCTATGGAAATGTTGCTTTCAATTCATATTACACATTCAATACCATAAAGCTCTTCATGTAGCAATAGGCCACATAAAATAAAGTAAAAGATTTATTTTTTTCTATATTAATTTAGTAATTTCGTCAACTCCCCGTGTACCACTGGAGACAGTCGTTCAAAACGTTTATTTATTCCGTAAAAAATATAGGTTAATAGCATCAAAGTTTGTGAAGAAAGTGTAACAAAGATATAGAAGGTGATTATAAAGAAACCTTTTGATGCTGCTCATACAGACGGTAGTTCCTTAACGCGGTGAAAAAGATTTTGGTTATAAATATGCATCGGTCGGAATCGTGAAAGTCCGCTCAGTCGTGCCGCCCGCCTTGGGAGCTGCGCCCGCGCACTTGGGCGGTAAATTTACTCGGAAACATTAACACCCTAATTTGATTTAATCTACATAAGATTGTAGTTATCGTACAGTCATTAATATCGTTGTAGTTGTATATAAACCGCGCCGTCGACGTTACTGTGAGCCGGTATCAAATATAGTGTAGTGTTTGTTTAGTTATTTGTGTAACGCCAGATTATATACGTGTCTAGGAATAAATTGATGGCCGGCGTTATCGAAATAATTTAACGTTTTAATGGATTACATTGAACGGTTATATTGCTAGTATTAAGAAAATTATATATTTGTAAGAAAGTCATTATTAAAGGCTGGTGTTCCTTCAAACAATCACATATGCATTCCAATAGCATTCTCGACATCTGCCCCACATTAAGTTGTACTCGTGCGCTTATTTTCATTCAAAAATAGCCCACGCACAGGCCGACATCCGCAATTTTCGGACATGACGTCATCGAAAGAAAGTAATGACGTCACCATTAATTTAGAAGAAGACAAATCAGTTATACCCAGTCGGAAAGAACAGAAAGAACTATCTGAACTGCCACCTATAGGTACTTCTCTCCATAAAAGGCGTAGAGGTGAACCACCAGCAACATTGTCGGTGAAGAATCCACAAACACCATCTGATGCTGAAGGCTCATCACCATGCACGGCAGGACCTACTCCAGAAGAAACCTGGACTACACCAGAAGGTGATACCACAGATCCTGAAGCTTTGTGTGAAAGCATGCTTCAAAGACTAAAAGATAAAGATGATCCTCTATCCAAACGCGGGAAGGATTTAGCATCCAGGACGAAAGACACATTGGAGAGCTTAGACCAGTTGGAAAAACTTCTCGAACTTCTAGACCAGTTTGTAACCCTGAAGGAGCAAAATGCTCGTCTCATGAAACGTCTCCGAGACGTCAATCATTTAAAACGTCTCCATAGTGCTCATAAAAGAATAGATCAAGAGAATGAAAAATTGAAAGATGAAACCAAGGAATTGGAGCTCATAAACGAAGCTTTAGACGCTGAGCTGGAATGTGAATATGGACAAGCTATTTTTGACTCGATGGTATCTGGTGGTAGGAGTATGAAGAGAACTGGTTCCAAATGGAAAGGCCACACCAGATTTGGTGGTTCCTTGTTAAGAAAACAAAGATCCAGGTCAGCTGGTGGAGATGAGAGTGACGTGTGTCCTGGGACCCCACTGAGGAGGAGATCTGATGGAATCTTCTGCAAAGAAGTGGATAAATCAAAAGTCTCGAACTGGACCAGAGTTAAAGCAGCTTTCAAGTATGTTGATTTTAATATTATTTATTTAAGAGTTCTCCAATTATACTCAATACTGAGCCGATATTTTTAAAATTTAAATGAGTTTTTTAAAAATATATACTAATTAAAGGTATCAGTAATACTAAAGGTTCATTTTTTTTATGTAACTCATTGGCATCGTCATCATCATATAAATGAACTAATCTATTAATTTGGTAGCTTTTTTATATTTCGTTAGCTTCCGTTCAGCGTCTTCTAACAAATTCGTTTTGTTTAACTTTAAAAAGATAAAAGTTAATATTTTAAATACAAAATAAATAAAGAAACGGAAAATTATATATCACAATATTTTACAGATATTAAAAGTATCACAACAATATAAATGCGAACAAATCATCAAACTTGAATTTACAAATTGGTGAATCCGCGAGTAATTCTTAGTAACCAAAATAAAGAACATTTAAAATGAAATAAATGCTGAGGAGTAATAAAATGCGATGTTTCATTTCCTGTAATACTTATATCTTGTAGTCATTTCATAACAACAATGCAATGAGAGGAAATAGCTGTTCGTGGTTCATCAATTTGTATACAAGAGAATTTTAAAAGTTTTGGCTCATGGATATATCTTGTTACTTGGCAAACTGGCGTTCATTATAGAATAACAGAAACATATACATTGGCAATTCCACTGTTTTCGGAAATTTAACAGGAAATTATCTTTACAATGTTTCTTCTTGGTTATGATTATCGTAAGAAAACGTTATAGATGTCTCTCCGTGACGAATAGAATACTTTACTCATGTTTTTGAGTCAAAACACGATTTCAGTGAGTGGCAGGTTCAAATCTCCACTCCTCCAATGTCTATGAATTTCCAATCTTATATTTTCTAATTTAAGACATTCTCATGTCAAATACACGGCTTTTAATCTTAAAAACAATGTTAGAACAGTAACCGATTAAAAATTAATCTCCTTGTTGGGAATTTATTATCGGGCTGAATCATTACAAAGATTTGAGACAGAAAAAGAATTGGAAAAACAAAAAAAAATGTAAATAAAAATAAAGAAAAAGAATTGTACTTGGAAACACAAACTATACTGTAGAGTTCATAATCAAACTAAGAGTAACATAGGTGTATAGTAAATATCGAAGACGGAAGACTTTCTTAATAGAAAGTTTATTACTTGAAAGTCACTTTTATAGCTTTAATATGGAAATAACAAAAATAGTTGAAACAGTTCATAACAAAGGCCGAGCTAAAATTAGTTTGTAATTAATGAGGTTATTTTCAGTAGTTATATGCTTGTGTGTGAAGGTCGTTTAAACAAACACACATTGTGTTTTCAAGTTTAATATGGACAAATATACATATATAATTGTCAGCAGCCTCTTTATGCCCACTACTGAGCAAAGCCCTACTCTAACATGGAAAAAAAGCATTAATTAGTAATTTCTACGCCTGTACAAGACGGGTTGATGATTTCAAATTTATTATTGTGAAATTATAAGTCCAGGTTTCCTTCACCGTCTGTTAGTGGTGCCTAAATACTCTTAGAAAGTACATATGATTCAGAAAAATCACGTTTGTACCTGGCATCAGAGGCGGGCTTTAACGTTCAGGCCACATTTTTTAAAAATATATATGTTACCTTAAACGTGTGTATGTATCAAGTCTTATTAAGTAGGTTAATAAAAATATTAGGAATTTAAAATATATTTTTTGTTTATAATATATTGTCACAACTATATCATACAATGAAATTAAAAGTTACATTAGATAATATAAATAATTTTCAAGAAATTAAAGAATATGTATTGGAGGAATGAACTTTTTTGAATTAAAGTATGTCCAAATATTTATACAACTTATTTCATTCCTTTTAGCTAAAGTTTTACCTGTTTGTATAAAAGAGTTTTTGACTACGATATTCGTTTCTATTATAAAATGTATTAATTTGAACCTCCGTCATTGGTAATGAATGTTGTCAACATAAACTTTAATTTCTTAAAAACCCAAATCAAAAGGGTTTTAAGAATTAATCACTATGAGTCTTAAGCCAGTTAAAAGGTCACAAGAACAAATATCAAACTCCAAAACGTCTTAAGTTTATAAATAGTAGCAAATAAACGAAACAATAAAAGAAGTAATTATTACGGTACTAATTATGTATATAAAAAACAAAAATAAAAAGCTTCACCAAATGATTTTTTAAAACTTATTACAAAATATTTATTCAACACAGTTTTCACATTAAAAATATTCAGATATTAAAATGTGTGAAACAAAAATTAAAACGAATTCCTTCCTAATAAAAAATGTAACAAACCACATAGTTTTCTCTCAAGTCTCAAAGTAAATTCTTTCTTTAACACTTAAAGATTGATAGCATCTTAATGCATACAGATGGGAGAAGGCTCAATGGCCAGCTTCCACACTAGGGGGGGCAGCAGCGGTTGCTGCAGGGGCTATGGTTGGTGCTGTGGCCCTTGCCGGTTCCTCTCCTGGCACTCTGCCAAACCCTGACCCGAGGGACTCCGCGAGCCTGACCCCTGGAAGCGCGATATCACTCACACCAAACTCCTCCTGCGAAGAACTGAGGATGGAAACAGGTGAATTGGCTAAATTATTTAACTTAGTTAATCACTTGTATGAAGTAATGAGCATAATATGTCTGCATTCACAATAGAAAAAACGAAAATGTATAGTAGGTATTTCTTTCGATCATAATCACATGTCAAAGATATATGTCAAGCCATGTAGTTATAAAATTGGTTCTGTTACCAAAAACTTATTGAAAGAATTATTCACTTACGACAGAATGTTCTTTAGACTGAAAACTGATTTAACAATTCTGAATAGCTTGAAACATAAAATAGTTTTAGCGCATCTTATAAATAACTTTTATGATACACTAACAAATAACTGCCACGTTTATATCTCACAATTATTCCAATTTAATCTTACAGGAACTTGTCGGAGGAGTGGTATGAGGAGTGACGACCAGGACAATATTTATTTACAAGCTCCGATGCAGGTAATTTACTATAGACATACACACAGTACCTTGAACCAGTCACAACAATAAATAGACATTTTTATCACCAAATATTACCACAATATTCAAGAGACATGGAAATAATTTGATCCTATTTCATCCAGGATGATAGTTCAACATCGCCGTCTCCAAACAAGCTTCATAAGAGTCCTTGGGTTAAGATGAGAGACATCATACAGACGCATCGAGAATCTGTAAAGAAGAAGACCAGAGGATCCAAGGGTTCACCAGATGTAGTGCCTGCAAGAAGACGGTCTTTTAGTGATGGCGCTGATAGTGACGCGCCACCCGCTTTGACCCTCACTATTCCTTCGTCAGAAGAACTAGGTATGAATAATATTAATTTAATTCTATTTCAATAATATTTCATAATAGCATATGAAATTGTATTGTTACTGTACGCTAGGTAGTTTATACAATCAATTTTTGATCAGTATTTCTATATGAATTCTTTTACATATTGCAATAATTAGCGAACGTATCTTAAATCTTAATAATTTATTACTTCGCAAAAGAAATAGGTAACGTTTAATAAAAATCTTCTACAAAGTAAAGAGAAATATTCAAGGAAGATATTCATATTGTTTAGCTTCAATTTATATAAATAAGACTCTTTATCTCACTGCTTCTTCTCTGCTTCATTAAGTATTAAATCCCTACTAATATGTATTATAAATGCGAAAGTAACTGTCTGTCCGTCGCGTCTGTTTGTTACGCTTTCACGCCTAAACCACTGAACTGATTTTAATGAAATTTGGTACAAAGATAGAGTTAACCTTGAGAAAGAACATAGAATAGTTTTTATCTCAGACTTTTGAAAGGTTCTCTTGGAAACGTGATATAACCAAAGTCTACGCGGGTGAAGCTGCGGGCGGAAAGCTAGTGATGTATATAAGCATAAATGGTATAATGGTTGGATCTCTAACGTTCCTTCTAGTTAACACTTAGCACTTATAAAACTATTATTAATATTTAAATTATCATTACAGCATCTCATCTCATCTCAGTTACATGTTTTTGTTATATGAATGTCTGTACAAGGCTGTCGGGGCTTTAACTCGACCTACAAACATTCAAATTGCAAATTGTTTATCGGTCATCAAAGCTGGCTCTTATTCAACTGCCGAAGTGGAGCAGCTCGGCCTCCAAAATCTAAATAAATCTCATTAATACCTCACTAATATATTCAAATACATTACTATTACTATAATAATCATTTAATATCAGGAATAGCAATCCAATATATCTGATTTTATTACATATCATGAGTCATGGTGGCCTTGAGGTAAAAGGCCTACCTCTCGTGCAAGAGGGCGCAGGTTCAAAACCTGGCAAGTACCAATGTAATTTTTCCGAGTCATATGTACTTCCTAAAAGTATTTAGACATTACTGATAGACGGTAGAATAAAACATCATGAGGAAACCTGTGCTTATAATTTACAATTATAAGTTTGAAATCACCAACCCGTCTTCAGCAAGCGTGGTGATTAATGCTCAAAACTTCTCCATGTGAGAAGGGGCCTTAGCTCAGAAGTGGGCTCTGATAGGATGATGATGTTGATAGTTCGATAATTATCTTTATGATGATTTATAATGTACAGAATCCGAGGGTTCTCATCCCGTTCTTCGTAAACAACGTTCCCTGGAGCTGGGAGCTCGTCCACCACAGCACAGAACTCCTCGGGATTCCAAGTGGACGAGGGTCAAGCGAGCCTTCCTCACATCAGCCTCTGCCTCCGTACCCTCAAGTCCTAACAGACATTCTGCCTTCTTCACTGACGGAGGTGAGTAGTAGACTTAGAAATACATAAATAGATTTAAATTCCATTATATTTCCTGTAGCGTTTATATAAAACAAATACATACATAACATTAGTGTTACGATCTTAATGAAATTTATTAATACACGTGTTAAAATTACTTACAATGTAGCTTCAAACTGAAACAATTCAGTACAAAGCTGCTATGGGATCGAAAATAACTGATATTATAACACATAGCCTGTAATGAGATACTTCGGCTGACGATGACGTGGAGCTTTGATTGCTGGCGTTACTAGTGGCCACTAAACCTAGTGAGTAACGCTACCGAAATACTAACACTAACACAATATTATTATGATATTAACAGATGATAGGATCCCGGGCTTGGAATGATAAACAAATATATATTGAATCACTGCTAAAACCTTGATTAGGATGAGGTGGTGTGGAAAGGAATTATTGTTTTTATACTAATTAGATACTCGAGAAAACTACAGTTAGATCAAATGTACAGTTAAAGTAACTGATGCAGTTTTGTTAAGTTTTCAGAAGTAGTGATTATAGTGGAAAATATCTGTAGTATATTTAAGTCACGCGTATATTAATATCATATAATACTGACTAACCCCACGTACGCTCTGCTCACTGTTTTCTGTTTAAATTTTAATATCCTGACTGTTGTGTTGTATCCGTTCAATTAATAATAGATTTAACATAAATAGTGTGTTATTGTAACCACAATATGTATTGGTTCAAACTACAATGTGTCAGAGTTGATTGTGATTCAGAAATGTGGGTTTTTCGACAATTACTCGTCAATAAAATATCGTCAATCACTCAGGCGTTTGATTACAAGATGACTGATTTCACATAAAAGACATTTACTAGATAATACTTATACTATTTTAAGTGTTTAAGTTACAAGGTGAAAATTCCACTAAAGTCTATTAGTAAACAGAAGTAATTTCGTAATGTATCAACTTTTTCATATCACAAATATATTTTGTCGACTCCTTAACTTACACAGATGTAATTAACATACATCGAACATTCATTTAACATCCCGATGTAATTTATACACAATTGTACTAATAACACAATAAAACTAACACATTTATCAACTAAATCAAATCTATTTTCTCATCTCAAGCGTCCTATAAGGTGAACGTCCTACGTCGTCTCTCATCTCTGACAGTTGGCGTGGAGCCAGCTTCATATGGAGCTGATTTTTAGGTTTTTAGGTTTAACACCAACATATTTTGGAGTTCGTATTCAATAATAAGGTAAAGGACGTTTTAGGCAGACCCTGGCTAAAGCTGGGAAGTTGCCAGGAAGAAGAATAAGGTAAAGGACGTATTGCGTGTAATAATTACAATTTATATTGACTGTAAGACTTCCTATGAACGATTCATTATTATAAAGTTTTAAATACAAATAAAAACACATCTTTTTAAATATTTGATAGTAATAATTTAAATAAAATAAACATCAATTTAAGACAGATATTTATTAAATCGACAGCCACTTTGATATCAAAAGGATAAAACGAATATTTGAAATACATTAACGGCCTCGGTCAGAACATATTTATAATTAGTCTAACAGATATAGCAATGTAAACACAACTGGACGTTATCATCTTTATAGTAAACATTAATGTTTCACAAGTGACCTCTTTCATATTCAATTAATATTAGATTTGGTTAAAGATCAAATAGTTGCTGTAAACACACAGTAAGTAACTTTAGTAAAGAAAAACTATAGGAAAATAAAAACTCCTTAGACCACGTTCGTGTCCTCAGATTTGAGATTAAGAAATTGATTTTGTATTTCTTCCCTCTGTTCCTGTTCACCTCGTAACATTTTGGTCAGCATTTCTTGCATTTCAGGTACTTTAGTACCGTTATTATATTTCTTGTATACGTCCAATATAGTTGCATTGTTTTCATTTATAAAGTTATCTACAACATGATTTGTGTCACCGAAGGCACATTTACCTATTTCTTTGACCAGTTCCGAAGCTTCATCTTCTATGGTTTTAATGACTTCTATGAGACACGCTTCATGCATCGCTCCATGGGCCATCAGTTTAGTCAGATCCACCACACCATCGATTAACTTGCCACTGATCTCCATCATAGTTGACTTTATAAGTGGCGACTGTTAAAACACATGTTAGTTTAGTGAAACAAATATAAAAATATCAGACATCGGATATCTGAAATCCGAATGGTGTCAAAAGTAGTAAAATGAAATTGGGTTTTTATGTTTTTAGACTTGTAACTGTTCCGCGTATAAATTTCCATGGAAATTTTCATGTAAACATTCAACTAATATATATATTAAATGGTTCCCTGATACTTTCTATTTTTAGATTTAATCTAATATAGATCCAACACCTCTATCAGTAACAACTACCGCACTATGAACCGAAATATCCAAATTATTTCATATGTACATCTGTTTATTATCACTATTGATAAGAAACGTCTAATTTCGCGGTTCACTTGTCGAGCAGCCGCCTATTGTTAGCAATTTTTCTTCTCAATTTTCAAACAACTTGAACTTTATTTCTCATACGTGGTCTGGTTAAAATCAAACTGGAAAAATGAAACTATGACGCTCATAAACTACCTGAAATATTTTATATGCTATAGGAAATAACATGATAACACTCGAGTTATTTATGTGAAGTACCTCGTGGTTCTGATCACGAAATAAACACGCAATGTGTTATTAAACCGAAACAAACGACGATCAAACAGTATCTGAGATATAAAGGAATTGCTCGTACAATCCTCTCACAGACAGTTGTGTCATCTCAACCGCATCTCACCTTCGATATGACGCATTTTATGACCTTCTTCAAAGAGTCGTGGTCGTGTCCGCAGACTTTTAGAAGCCTATAAATCTCTTTCTTTTGTTCGAGTAACTGAAAAAAATGTTCATTTCATTGCTCTTATAGTTTAAAACATTTCCATCTATTTTAAAACTAACGATTCAATTAAAGAGTTGTTTATCTGCGTGGGAAATTTTATTAGATAGTCTGGGACGGTGAGAATAGCCAACGATTATATTATAATAAGATTATTTTTAAATTTTTATTATTATTATGTTAATTGCAATATATATTTTATATTCCATTACCGGTTTAATGCCTTGACCGATCATATTCTTCAAGAGCGCTACTTTTCGGACAGCCTGTCCAGGGTCCTGTCCTATCAATGCGTACCCACACACCACCATTTGATGGAGCGCCTTCTCCGCCAAACCTGATGTCTCATTCTGCTTCTTTGACAGACATGACTCCACCTTAAACATTGAACAAAAATGAATTCCCATCATACTAATTACTCCAATTTTTCTGCCTCTTTCTTGTGATTGTTACCTGGTTTTCTCCATTGACCTTCATCATATTCAAAGTTTCTTGTATATGTGCCAGTTTATCCTGAATGTGTTGTGTACCGTTTTGCAGCAGTAACTTTATCTTCGTGAGTACCATATCCATGGACCTTTACGAAAACCAACTTTCATTCTTTATATACGATTTTTTATACAATTGTTAAACGTTTAAGCAATATTGAGATACTTGATTTAAATTCATTAGGAAATATAGAAGGCAAAACTCATGTTAATATTGTTTCAAAGTAATTAAATCGCTACAATTCAGATTATTGCAGGTTTAAGTCTTGCTCGTCACGATAGACATACATATTTTCTATTCGATATTTCATTCCTTTCCTTATTTTTGTTTTATTGTTATTAAAGGTAATCTTAAAATATCTTAGCCGCTTTTTGTTTAGCATATGAACGTTTTACCTTTCAAGGTCAACCTGAAACTTCCTCTCGAGACTCTGAATCAGGTCTTCACCAAGTTTGTGAGTTATTTCATCTTCTATAACTTCATCAACCGCCTCCTCTCCCGCTTTAAGACCATTCGTGGATCGAACGGCAAAAAATATCTTTAATTTTCGCAAATAATTTTTTTTTATTGATATACCAAGACCCCGTACCTCTTGGATTATACTACTTTCTCAACAATAATGTTATAAAAAGATTTTTGTATGAAATCTTAGTCCTTAGCACCTTGTTAATTTATATAGTTTTAGAGGAAATGAGATCTAAACACTTTAATCAATAATAATTGGTTATCTTTCCGTATTTGGAGTCTAAGCTCTTGAAAATTAGGTGTTGGAAGAACAGGAAGCGTTCAAACACTTGTAAGAAGCCAATATAATAATGTTAAAATAAGTACTAGTTAGAAACTCTATAATCTTGATTAGATAACTACTACATAATTCTGCATGATATTAGACAAACAATTTTATTTCAAATATTAAAACTACACATGTAATATGTCACATCTTGTGAACATAATAATAGTAAAACTCATTAAAATAATTTAACATTTATAACAGACATTACGAAACAATAATATTTTATAAACATAAAAATAGTTCATATGAATTTTTAAATTACAAATCAAACATAACACGAGTCGACATCACTACAAACTACATCTAGAATTCAAAAAATGTACTCGCCAATATAAAAGAAACATAAAGCTGATTCCTGCAGCCCATGGCGTCGCTAAATTTCTCAATAATCTAAAAATAAACGCGACCAAAATACTCCGACTACGATATCATAAGATAGAGAATTGTAAACGATATAAAAAAAATTTATAGCCATCCGACTTTACATGATTTCTGAACGGAAATAAATTCTTCGCTCGCTTTTTTTTTAGTATTAGTCGATGTTTCGAAACGCATCGTAAATGTTTAACAGTTCAAGCAATCATATAGCTGTATATTTGAAATATTTCATAATCGAAACTATACTCGTAAATAGAACCAAAGAAAGAAACTATTTTTCTTATTTTTTTGGAGTTTTTTCATCAATATAAAAATAGTTCTAATTCAGTTTTCGTGTTATCTAATTCTGCTGCATTTTCTCTTGCACCTGCACGATCCTCTTCTGTGATCAGCAGAATCCTGGACATAACATCAAATATCTACACAATACTGAACAAAATAATAACACAAATACATATATTTAACTTCGAAGCAACTTCAAAAACTACCATCTTTTACTACTTACGATACTTTCGGTACAACAAATAGACCGACATAAGTCCTCTTTATCAATCTTTTCCAGAATCGAATAAATCTGTTAAAGGGATTTTTGTTAACATCTCAGTTAAAGATTTAAATATTAACTTGTTTATATGATAGGATAAATACAACCTTAAGTTTAGTCTGATAGAGAGCAACTTTCAGTGCACGGAACACGAAGTCTACAGCTCTTGCTGTGTTTTTCGCGAGTCTGAAATATAATACGAGCATATTTTTTGAGTCCTGGTTTATTTAACTTAAAATCATCCGACTCACCTTGTCCATAGTAAGTAAACGTCGCACAGAGAACATTTAGTGCCTTGTCCTGCTGAATCTGTTTCACTATAATCACAGTAATTACTGGGGTCACCGAGGGGCATACACTACAATATATTTAAAAATAAGAATGTCTTCATATCAATTTATGTAGACATTTGATTAAAATGAGTATTACCAGGACAAAAACAACGACCACAGCGAAAATCATAGTTTTCACTATTGAAAATAATGGAACGACACTCTCTGAAAAAACAGATTAATGAACTATAAAGTAAGCATCTGATCTTTCAATACACCATGAACAGACGTCACATGTAATAAAACAGCACAATACTTCGAAACGAATTCCTCTTACTTTGACGAGAACAAACGGTGATGGCATCCATCTTCATTATTTCACCAATATTACCAATAAATAGCTTTTCATGATCGTAAGAAAAATCCGAGGAAATTATTATGTACCTATACAAAAAATTTATACATCTAGAAGGTATGACAATATTGACATTAAGATTTGACGAAACATTTGTATTATAAAGAGGTTAAGTTAGAAGGTTACTTTTACTCTGTTCTTGATAGAAGGATGATGAAATAAGGAAAAACATATGTAATTTTAAATGTATTTTTATTTGTCGTTGTCTTTAACCCGCGGACAGTGTCTCATACACACTTTGCCCTTCTCGATGCACTTTGAGCAATTTTTCGAAGATGAAATTGATTCCCCTGATTCAGAAACAGTCTTCTGATTATCCGTGGGTAGGTTCACTGCTATATCGTGAGCTCCTGTACTGGATCGCAGTTCTATCTTTTTCAATTCATCTTCAGACTTTTTTCGGAAAGATATTGCAGATTGTTTTATGTTTAACAGATCTTTGTTGGCTTTCAACGAATCTTTTCTCACGGCTGTTGAATTTGTAAAGTTGATGTTTTCAGCGGAGTCCAGTTTTAAAGATGTCAACTGGAACAGATTAAGTTATACACTTAATTTTAATATTGTCACGACTTTGAGCAAGTTTATATCAAGATTCTAATATTGCAGCAAGTTGTTTATTAATGAATCGCATACACAACATTACCCGTGACTGTCTCCGACACGTAGCTCCACAGTGTGCTATTTGTTCCAAGTGACTCAACATATCCGTCACCTACAACAGAATGATCGTCCCTTAAAGAAATTACACACAGAATATTGTCAATTAGATATTAATCAACCTGTGTCTTACCATAGTCACGAAGTCACAGTAGTAAGAGGACATCAGATCTATTAACTGAGAATATAAATTTCTAACGGGACTGCAAATACTGTGAATAAATGCGAGAAAATTTCATAATAGTTACATTTTCATACAAAATATATTATGTATGTATATGGAAATTACTTATAATTTGAAACAGAATTTAAATTGATTTAGAAATTGCATTAAATTAGTATTATAGTATATGACGTATCAGCAAGATTAAATCTAAACAGACGTCGGTATTTGTTTTTCAAACTATTATACAAAGACTACTACAGACAGAATATTATTATTACATCAGAATTTTCTCTAAAACCGCGCAAGGGCAAGTATCGCAGACACAAGCGCTGGGACCTGGCCTGTCCCGGTCTAGTAGTAGAGTAGACTCCTGGAACACTCCCTGCCTTAACCCACTTAAACCACTGATGCCGCTATTCTCACTCTGTCTGCATGACAACCTGCAGTCTCCCGACCAGATCTGTTGTATGACTGACGCTGTCGCATTGAACTCATTGTTGTGATTTACCTGCAATTATATATTTACCTCTATAAAACTTATAAAAGTCATCGTGCCCTAGTGGTTAAAGGCCCTCCTGCCGTGCATGAGGGCGCGGGTTCGAAACCTGGCAAGTACCAATGTGATTTTCCCGAGTCATATGTTCTTTCTATGAGTATTTAGGCATAACAGACAGACGGCGAATGAAAACATTGTGAAAACAGAAAAAACCTGGACTTATAATTGCAAATTACAAATTTGAAATCACCAACCCTTCTAGAGCAAGCGTAATGATTAATGCACAAATATTCTCCATGTGAGAAGAAGCCGTTGCTCAGCAGTGGGCCCCGATAGGCTGATGATACTATATTTTAAGCGAGTTACGTTATTATAATTAGCTGTATAAATGATTAACATCTTACATAACAGTAAACGAGGAAAGCTAGCAAGATGGACACGTAGATGTTTACAAACATTTGTTCGTTGCCGTCGGGACATCCTGCAATTTAAACCATATAAAATATGATAACTTAAAATAACTTCAATACACGATTTTTTTATTATATTTTATTAAAGAGAAATTTTTAATATAAAGAAAGTTGTTGTTGCATTCACAAAACATTTCCAGTTTCAACTTCACCAAATTGATAAGGTTTATTTTGTTATAGAGAGTGTTCAATCTGCTGATTGGACTTCTCTTTGCTTTAAATATATGCTGTACTTACATATTTTAATATCTCAGTTTGTTACATTTCAAATTTTGAAACAATATCGAAGTATCATAAAACAGATAAAATGTTATAAATCGTTTATTTTATTAATATTGTTTGGGTTACATATTTACAAGAAATTTGACAACACTTATGTCATTGTAATCAAACACAATAGTCTAGGGAAATGTGTTTATGAGCGACTGAAATAAAACCTATTTATGTATGTCAAAATAACAAGTAGGTAAAACAACAATATCAGATTGGTATTCATATATTTAAGATACATTATTTATTTACTTTAATCGTATATGTACATAATCTTTCCTCTAATTTTAAATGTTTTCACAGACACAGAAGGTGTGAGCAGTGGTTGTGAGGCGAGTGGTTTTAAAGATGAAATAGCAAGAGATTACGCTGCATTACAGACACGTCTGGGGAGAGAGTTCTCTGACAGACGAGGAAAATTATATGCAGGTATATAAATAAACATATACATATATATTTATAATATATATCATGAAATACTACATATATCTGGTGACGATCATGGGCTGAGATTTCTATCTCATCTACCTAATTAAAAATAACTTTTCAAGAAGTTCATTAAAATTATTACTTATAATTAATAAATTTTCATTAATATATTAGAAAATGGAATTTTCTGATAAAAATATAACATTAAATTTAAAAAAGGGAACAATTCCATTACACTATTTGCTTTTCCTTGAAGTTATTACTATCAAATTTTAACAATAAAGTACGTCTTATTAACAAAAATAACATTCGTTGTAAATATAGTTAAAGAATATCTGTATTATTTTTTATCTGTACAATTTAATATTGTACTGGAGGGTCGGGGTATAAATGTTGTCATTATAATTTCATATAACTTGACATAATGATGTCTGAAATTTTTGTAAGTATACAATCAAATGAAACTATCAGTTTAGAAGTAATACGTGTTTTCATTACATTTTTTATACGTTATCCGACTTCACAATTACTCTGCAGCATTCGCGATGACGAGCACACGACATAATTTGATGTATCGGAGATTAAGATAAACATAAATATTAAAATATGGATAATGTAGGCAGTTAATTCAATTTGTGTTGCTTCAGATCTACTAATAAAGTTCCTAATTGTGACTTCAGTACAAGTTGTTATATTTTATTACATTCATAAGTTAATTTCGGATTGTGTCTCTTCCATTCTACACGGCAGTGGCAGAATATAGATTGCAAGTCTTTGCGCGGATGAAGGCCATATTTAAAACAACCAACCAACCCATAATCTTGAAAGAATACTGTAAATAATTTGTTCGATCTATCAGCAATCAGGCCAGTGGCAACAGAGGAACAGCTATCTGCTGACTTTAGGAAGAAGTTGGCGGAATGGCAACGAATGAAGGGAGTGAGACAACCACCGCCAGTCCCCGCCAGACAGGATCTTAGCGAGGACTTCCTGAAGAAATGGGGTAAGGTTTAGTTTGATAGTTTAAATACAACTTCGTATGAATATAAACGTCTTAAAAATATCCGATACCTATAAAAAATAATTTGAATTAGTGATTCGATTGAGTGTGTGAGACTTGCGAAACTTTTTTTTATTGTTATAATTTATCTAACATTGAATAATTCAACGCCAAAATCATTATAAGTAGACTTTCCCTAATTACTTAATTCCATAGTTAAGTAAATTTATTTTTATATAGACGAATGGAAGCGTATGAAAGAAACGAATTCAGTACCCGCTTGGAAAGAAGAAGAGAAACCGGATGAAGTACTAGTACAGACTTCAACAGGATTATTCAAATTTCATGGTAAGAAAATTGTGTTACTGATTGGTCAATTAGCCAAAATCTCAACATTAAATATCATATTTTGTTGCTAGGAATATCCCGTTCTTTCACTCGTAAATTGCACGAATGGGAGAAATCTCGTGGTATCGCCCCTGAAGCTTCAACATCAGCCTTGCTCCGAGCTGCCCGCGCTAAGGTCACGCTGCCAGCCCTGACCCGCACACAGTCTGACGGCAGCGTCGCTCCTTCCAACTCTGGCAGAGTACATGCATCTAGTCTCAGCGTGAATGATGTAGATGACATCGATTCAGAATATGAAAGAGATCATTCTGTAAGTGTTTTACTGAACATATGGTGCAATATTATATTTACTATAAATTGATTCCAACGAACTAAAGCTAATCCCACAATAGGGACCTAAACCTGTCAAACATTATATAATCTATATCTAAGGGTATTCTAATATGGTCAATTACTGGGTTTGAAAAGAAACGTTTTTGTAGCTTTAAGTCGTATTTAATAATATTAGAAGATTTTAACATAGCATAATGAAAGCTTGGGCCAATGAGTGGTCCACCATATTTGGATGTATACATGAGATGTCTTATAAAGGAGACTTTACACTAGACTTAATTCTATAATATAGCATACACACTATATTATTACACTTCAGTATCAACTAAACATGGCCAATATTCAGATGCACTGCACCGACTTCGACAACCCGCCTGCCCGAGAGGCTGTATTAGTAGAGGTAGAGGCTGAGGAGATCTGTACTGCCGCACCTCTGGTAGCAGTTTCACCGAGACACACGCCACAGAAACCTATCTATACATACGGACGAGCGGAGGCGAGACATCTCTGTGAAACCAGCTCTGCGGTCACGGGAACTGCTGTCTTACAGTCTAACGGTGGTAAGGGATCAAATTATATTCTGAGAATCCAGTTTCCCATTATTTTATTACCAACAATCATTCGTCAGTTATAGAATTTTCGCAGTCGTATTTTCAGAATCCCCTAATTTGAAGCAGTCACCATCTAAAGAATATACTTCTATGAAACTAAAGACCTCTCGAGAACAGGTAGTACAATGTGTTTTAAATTTTATTTATATTCCATGTTTAAAATTTTAAACTCATTGTTTTTATTTCAGTTAATAATGCAAGAAAAATCACATAAATCAAAAATAATACGACAATCTAGTATTGAAGAGGACGCTAAATTCATCAGAAAAACTATTGAAGAAATAGAACGGGGCAGTTCCAGCCGCTACAAACAAGAAACTGTAATCACTGTTGACGAAACAAATTTACTTAAAGATTCTGCCACTCCATCGACGAGTAAAATGGGTAGCATGAGAAACATAAAACAGGATAACTTGAAAGATTACAAGAACGAGAAGGATAGTAACGAGGAAGCGAAGGAAGAAAGTAAACGCAAAGAAACAGATAAGAGTAACGGTAAGAAAAAATCCAAGTCGAGAGCCAGGCTGGAGAGAGAGCAGTCGAAACCATCTGAGAGTGATACAGAACCTGAGGTTGACACAGTCACTGTTGAGATTCCTCGGAGAAGAAAGAGACCTCGTCGACCATCCGAGAAGCCTAGAACCCCTCCAGCCTCACTACATTCAGACTCCGATGGAGAGGTAAATAAAATATTACACCTAACACCACCTTGTTAGCATTTATTTAGACAATTATTTTTTTTAGGTATTTGTCTTAAAACTAAAAACCCCGGACCAGCGAGATATATGTCCTGAAGTTATAGTGAAAACAACAAGGAAAATTTTCTCACCCGTTGTACGGAGCGGGGAGTCGGTCCCTCGAGCTGTGATACCCGTGGATGTTGAAGATCTGGATGAAGTCAGATCACCGGGAACATCGAAAAACAAAAGCGAGTCACGAAGTCTATCAGACCAGAAATTAAACGTAGAGAATAAAGTCGGTAAAAAGTCAAAAAAACCACTTCATGTTCAGGAAGAGGAACAGAGGCCGCGGAGTAGACCACCACTCCCACTGTCACCACCATCACAACGGAAACCTCCTCCGAAAGAAACTTCTCCGTCCATACGGATAATGATACAACGATACAACAAAAAAATAAATGAGGAAGGTTTGTACTGATGTGTAGATTATATTAATAATTCGAATAAAAACAACATAAGTAATGAGGTAATTTTTTTAGGTCCTCTCTCCGGCGCCAGCAGTGGCGCATCTTCACCGGCTTGGCGTTCACCCAAATCTGAACGACGACGGCCTCCTGACATGCCACTAGGTGTTAACATTAGGTAAATTTCAAAGAAAATAATAAATGAGACATTAGTTTCAAATATAACAGGTAAACGTTCGTTATTTGTTTAGAAACAACCCATTTCTAGAGAGGGAAGTTCAAAAGTCAGCTAGCGCCTGTCAACTTACAAGGCGAGACCAAACATCGGCTGAGAAAAGTCTGTCTCCAACGTGTCAAACACACGAAGGTGTACTGAAATCCCATAGCGCCAATACCTTACATCCAGAAATATCTGGGAGCGAAGAACTACCACCGAACATTGAAGACAGTCAAGAGACTATACGGAATACAACCGCGAGCTCAGACACGATAGTACCAAATAAAATTGAAAATAATGCAACCCCAGATAGAAATACAGAACTTGAAGTAGCCTTTTCAAGAAAACAATCGGAATCAGTCCTACCGTGTCTATCACGGTTCGTGGCGCAGAATCCATGTTATTTTGAACGATCACTATCAGCCGTCGAAACCTCCAGTCCGTCGAGAGAAGCTGAAGAATTGGCTGCCAGATTATCAGAACGAGCTGAGCGAATAAGAGTAGCGAGAGAAAGATTTCTTTCCTCCACCAGTCCTATGAGAAGGGAAGGTACAAGTTCTGCGAGTGATTTACGGCCCGCTGATCGGTGAGTAATAACTCAATAATATATTTTCAAGATTATTTATATCAGAGAGTACGTATAGTCATTATTAAATTTTATAGATCGAGTCGTATGAGTGAGGGGTCTAATGTAGAGAGTCAGCCGCCGGCGGAGCTCGGGCGAAGTGCCTCCACTGGTATGGTCAACGTGGAGAGAGAGGCCTGGCAGAGAATAGCAGAAGGTTTGATTTATATTTAAGAAAAGTTGCTCTAGGAAACATACATCACTTTTTTACTTGGTTTAAATTTTAAAGTGTTTTACAATTTTTTTGTTATATGTATAATATTTAGAGTTTAAAAAATATATACTTATAAATGAATATTCATAGTAATTCCCAATCGATGTGGACACATTGTTTGCGAGCCTGAATGCTTTTCGAATATACATATATGTGACCTTTTTAAAACTAATCTTTTGATAACATCTTCATTTACCCTTCAATATCGGAAACAAAAATAAAAATCAGTGAAACACATCTAGAGAATACGGTGCCTACATTGGCTTTTGCCAAAAATTCGTGCACAAAAAAAAACACTTTGCCTTTGTAAATAATATTGTTTCGAAGCGTAATTATATGACATTCATAAAAATTACTCTCCTTGGTATAATCACGTACCTACTTAAAAGGGAGTTTCTCACAACAGCGGGAAACATCTGTAAGCATGTTTAATTAAGCATGTTTAACAGTTTCTTTATGGATTTTTTTATTATTACGAGATTAAATGACATTTTGTATATCTTTTTCATACTTATATTCTTTGATGACCATTGACCCGTATAGCCCGGGCCCGAGTGTCATTAATACTTTTTCTCGTATTACTTTTACAACATTTTCTTATCCTATATCTCTTTTTATATATCATTGCCCCCCAGCTCCCCGCAGAGACCGTCCCAAGTCCCGCTTCAGTCTGTCCCGGCTGGCTGCCAAGTTACGTCGTAAAGAGGAGAGCGCTGTGTCCCGCTTGTGTCGACAGAGTCTGCTCGTACAGTTGAGGAAACAATAAACACATTATATAACAAACAAAACAAAACTGTTTCATTTTATTGCTTGTTTTGCCTTTAGGTTTATTTCAATTCCTGTTGCTCAAGATCAGTGATCAGTGTCTTATAATAATTTTTATTACCATGTTTGCTGTCGTCTTTGTGTTAAATACAAAATATATCAGCAAAACCTAATCTTCTACATTAATAGATTACATCTTTTGTTAGAAATTGTATTTTAATATATTTATTTGATAACCGGAATATATATGCTATTGAAGTACAAATTTCAAATAAAAATGAAGTGTAAACATATAATGTGTTATGCAGTTTATAGAAAAAAAAACATACAAAGAGACTTATATGTAACTATTGTTTTGTTTTCATATAAATATAATATCCCGTGAAATCTTATAATGAAAATGAGAAGAAATATACCATGAAAATTGTTATTGCGGGGTAATTTAAAGAATTTTTCTATTAATATCTTTACCGTACTTGAAATTATACAAATTAAACTTGTCTTTATGCCCAGATTATCCATGTATGTACCCAATATTTTTCGTCATTTTACACTACTTTTTAACATTGTAACTTTAACTGACTCTACACAAGTCAAATAATTAAAAAGATAACATGTATCTGATATATTTTATATATTGACGTCAGAGGTAACGCTGTAAGTGAGGAGGCAATAAGAAGTGACCACATGGACATCAGTCAAAAGAACCTGACTCTGGAAGTCAAATTTTAGAAAGAAATCATGAACTAAAATTTTGCATGTAGCGTATATATGTATATTATTTTGCATCTTTCAGTAGAAACCTTTGTTATTGGGAAAGCACTTATTATACGTTTGTGACGTGACCATAAAATATCTCAGTTATTTTAATAATAATGGGTAGTTTTGGACCATTACAATATTTTTATGTAAGTCAATTTTATTACATAAACTTTACCATATATATTAAATTTACTTTTTAATAGGTACATTTATAGAAAAGGATAAAAACTAAGAAAATAATAATATTAAACTAGAAATAATTAATATTATCTAAATTTTGTAGTTAACTGGGTCCGTGGATCTTTTGGGTTTTATTACCTTTTGCAAAAATTTAAGTTGTACAGAATAATAGAAAAGAAAATATAATTTGAAAATGCTTTTGGTGACTAAGATAATAATAAGACACTGTATGCCTTGTCCAGGTTAGTATCGCTACATTAAATATAATGATTATGATTCAAAAATCCTGACAAGTTATAGTATTAACGTAGTAATCAAGAAAAACGGGAAATGATACGCATCGACATATACTAATGGATATGCCTTAGAGATGAGAATTGTGGCACTCGGAAACAAAGAGAGGAAACGAAGTTTCGGTCTATCTTTATCTCTCTCAAAATAGTATCTTACTTAAGACGTTATGAGCCCCTTCTCGGTAATTTATTATTTCCTAATGTCATATACAGCTTTTTGTTTAACCTTACTCTGATTTTTAGCATTTTTAGTATTAATGACATATGAAATATACGGTTAAATTAATTATTTTAATCAATAAATTTAAATCCGTGTAATATTATTTTTTTAAATTTCGTAGATTTAACTCGACGAATATACAAGAACGTTCTTAAATATATTTATAACCATATAAAAGGTTACATACATGTACCTATATTAATAATTAATTATTAAAGGATCTATTTAAATACTAATAATTACCCTTAGAAAAATAATTTATATATTCACTTAGAAAAAACATATTTATTTTATATTTAAAATAGATAATAATGCTATTAAATTTTGCCCATTTTTATATTAAAAAAATATGTAAAATAAATTTATATGCCGTGCTTGTCATGAAAACTGAGCGCCAATCATCTATGAGGAAAGAGATAGGCATAGGCCATCTCTCTCACTCTTTTCAAACCAAAAATTATTGCAGATTATACGCGTACGGCATGCCCGTTAATATATGTCGATGATGATACGTATGCCGTGTCAGGATACACACATAGACTATACAGATTCTTTAAAAAAAATCATAGATTGATAGCTCCTAAAATATTTTTTCTTTAACGTACATTTGGCAGTTATATTTAATTTGAGAACTAAATAAATCTGGATCGAAGTAGGGTACATGTTTATTATATAGGTGGTATAAATAAAACGCGACTCAGCATTTATTCTCAAATTTAATATCATTTTCGTTTGACAATACCGCGGCAACACACCGTCAACCACATTCAATACGATTGGTAACAATAATTACCATATCAAAACGTCGAGTGGAACTAGTAATAAGTTTATTATCAAAACACTACTGTAATTATTAATAAGACTCGAGAGAACACTTACAAACAACTTTAATGGTTAATTTGGTTGAGGTAGATTTTATCGTACGTCGACACTTACACTACGCGACCCTGGGAACACTCCCGCATCGCCGGCCCTGGATTTACTTATACTTAATAATAAAACATTTTAAACACATTCATTTGTCCTTAAATCTTTACTCGAATTTTTCTTACTGGTCCTTAGATGTTAAATATTTTGTCAAACTAATATTTCCTCGCTGCCGATGCGTGTGTTCCCAAAGGTCATGTTAATATTAAATCTTATAATAAAATGATAGCAAATTAAAACATTCCGATCGTTAGTGTGTCGATACAATCTCATTAATAAGGCCACGATTATGCAATACATCATAAAGTGATCATTTATTATGATAACACGAAGGCGGATGAAGAAGTTTATAAAATATTATAAAAAAATTAAAGTCTCCTAATACTATTGTTTGTATTCTTAACGATCTGAATCGAATTATTTTATTTCTGAGGGAGCGGCCCGCTCCCGGCGCTCAGCCAGCCTTACCTCGGGCCGCGTGAAGGTGACTCACAATAACAATATCCGATATAATATCAATGAAGCTTCTTTCAAAATCTTTTAACTCTATAACAGTGTTAGACATCAGTAATCCTTACAAACTACATCATTCCCTAAACACTAAGTCACCCTCGAGGCCGAACTTCGCTCCAACCGAACAGAACCGAACGAAACGAGAGCGGAGAACGCGCGTAGAACAAGGAAGACGGAAACTGTGGCGGAGAAAACGAACTACAAATAAATATATAAACTAGACCAGAACATCAACTTGGACGCGTTTCACTAAGTACATAGTTCACGAGAAACAAAACTTAATACATAAAACAGAAAGCATAATTAACTTACGACAAGTAACGTAACATGGAATAAAACAAACTTTACGGAGGTGCGGGTAACGCTATATCATCAGTATACACCCTCTATAAATATATACGTAACATTCAATATGTACATGAGGCACGCTCTGTGCTCATGCCGGTATAACAGGAACTAAAATCTGGTAGGAAAACTATTGCAGCTATTGGAATGTGTTGAGGTTGCTACGAGTTACACGGAACCCACAGTGGAATGGAAAATTAACTAAAAGACGTTCCCGGAGGAAACCGGTAGATGGCGCCGACCGACACCGCTACTTATTATGTGAATACAAAAACTACTTAATAATATTGAACCACGGAATAAACTTCTGACATTACGTTTTCATAAAAAAAATGAAATAAAAATCTTATAATTTATTTTAAAAGGTATAATTGACTTTCCTTGGTCAACGTATGTGTTCAGTGGCGCCATCTGTTCTGTCGAACCGTAAACGAAACCTATGCCGTTTGTTGGATCACAATCGATACAATATATAGCAAATGAGATTCCGATCAATACGAGGCACGTAGTTCAGGCTTTAGTTCGTACTTCACTCCACGGACGGACGAGCCACTTTAAACAATTTCATATAAACTTCGATGAAATCAAATACACATAGTGTTAACAAACGGTCTAGTCTACTCGTCGACATTTTAAACAAAGTGATCGTGGTTCTACAAAATAAAATATTTCTTTTAATATTAAATATTTATAAAGTCATATCGCCTCGTACAGAGACGAGGCCTCCGTCAACAACAGGCGGCCGGAGGACGCACAACAACATACTTAACATTAGCGACATCTGTAAATACAAGCTACAGCAAACGATAAACTGGTCGAAAATAACACAACCTTGAGTGACCTCAACAGAAATATCATCGCCGCCACTTAATACTTGGAATTGTGTCATTGTAAAGAAAACACTGCTCTGTATGTACAATGTTAAGATGTAGCCTGCCGCGTGGGGCCGCGGGGGGGGCGATAACTGTCAGTAACGTGGATAAAAAACATTCAGGAAATAATAATGACCGGGCGGCGAGCTCGGGTGGCACGAGTTCATGTAATGAATATCAACTGAACGAGTGATGTGACCGCGCAGCAGCACGGTCGAAGCTCTAGACCCTGTCATCAAATCCTAGCGACGTATATAATCTAGATCTGTAAGAGCTAACACTACCCTAAGTTAACTTAGTGTAATTGAAGATTCAGGTACATAGTCGGCGATTACATATCCATTATAATTTGAACTGATCGTGAGTCTATTTACAAACGCCGGAGAGGTCTCTGGCCGGAGCTGGACCTACGGAACGGATCGACTCGCGAGAGGAGCGGGGACCGGGGACCGGGGACTCTATACGTAACGAAACTAACTCAACGGAACCGAACTCGTATTTTACACTTAAATAGGTCATTTACAATTACTTACTATACGACTTGTACCGACGCGGTGCTTCCATTCATTAATATGAAACAAAATAAAACTTTCGTCGCGGAGATGCGCCGCCGTGACCTCCGACGAACGGTGACAGGCGTGGGGACACGGAAGACCGACACGCAGGGAGAGGGACCTACACTAACATACAGAGAAAACGAGAGGAGCCGGTCACGGTCAGGCGACCTCAGGCGACACGATGAGGTAGATTAGAGGGTGATATGCAACAGACGTCGCGCCACGGACGACCCGCCCCCGCCCCCGGGGTCACCGACCGCTGGGGAGGGAGTGTTCCGGGAGATAGCTTCTGAGGCTTGGCTGACGACTGTCGAGTGGCCAATAAATACTTTATATACATATACGTATCTACATGTACTCAGGTCTGCGGGTAGAACGATTTGGTCTGCACTTTGTACGCTCGAGTCGCCCCGAGTGGAGCCGGGCGCCGTACACTAGCGAGAGCCAGTGCAGCGAGCCTGTCGTATTATTGTCTCGATGTATGTCTCGGGAGCTCCGCCAGCCCGGGCCGTGGAGGCCGGCCTCGCGTCGTGCGAAATAAAGTGTATGAGGAACGTAAGGAGCCGTCCCCTGGAGGCGGGGGTTCATGTGACATGTGGGGGGGCGCCATCCCCTGTGTAGTTCTGCGAGGGGTGCGGCGGAGGCTTCTCATCCGTTGGGCTGCAGCGTGGGCGGCTCGCAGTTCATGTTGTCGTCGGGCAGCTTGTTGTAGGTGTCGGTGTCAGGCGGGCGCGAGGTGTCCAGCAGGCCGTAGGGCCGGCTGTCGTCCAGCACCGTCTCCATAGTGGTGTCCGCCTCGTGTCGAGACAGGTCGAAGGCGTCGTACGCGGGGCTCTCGGCGCAGCGGACCTTCTTGGATCTCATGTTCGTTGTTTTGGACTGGAAGTATCGTTAGTTGGTATCAATCTCAAGATGGCTATAATTTCTACAAATCATGAGTGTGTCAGTGTTAGCACTACAAATATGATGATTATTTAGTTCGGTATACATCTCCTATGAGCTGTCAGTGCTCTACCGTACGATGCGTGTGTGTGAGTGTATATATATGTGTGTGTGTACTCACGGCGGGGTTCTCGGTGATGTGTACGTGTCCGTTGAGCAACGGCTCCCCAGCGCCGCCGTTTGCAACCCTCGCCACCTGATGTATAGTCTGTATTATAGAAAATTGATGGAGATCAGTTTAGTGTCAATGTTACATGAACAATGAGCAACAATCAGCAGTGGACAAAATACAAGCTTTCATAATCCATGATTTATTATTCAATTAATGTTTACATATAAAATTATTGTAATATGTCTACTCACCCTCATCTCGGAAGCTTCCTCCTCCACACCTGATGCTGTTACAGTTCTCACGGACCTGGAACATGCCGATATATATATTTTTACTGTGTGTGGTTAGTTTTTAATATATATTTTACCATGCAAATATTATATGTATGTATTTATTTATTTATGTAAGAACGTTAAAATATCAAACAAATATTCACAATTGCCCTTAGTCCCACCCTTCTCATCAATACAGCGGTAAGTTCAACTCCTATGTGTATATACATATAATCACCTGTTTCTCCTCGTTTTAACTCTCCACACAATAACCAGCGCCGCAATCAACAGACACACACACAACGACCCCCCCACACCTAATCCTGGGAAGATGTAGAAGATAGGTTATTAGTATATGTATATTTGTTTTATATGTTTATATCCATATTGAACTAACTACATATGTTTAGTCAACATATTTAAATGATCAAATCTTTTTGTATACCTAAATAGTAGTAGAAGAAGGAGGTGGGTTTAGGAGGTATGGTGAGCACGTGGTGCCTCCTGGCGCCGCCCGCGCGCGTCACCATCACGAACACTGGCTGAGACGGGTCCGGAACATTGAGCTAGAATAATATCATTCATTATGCACAAATTTTCCTAAGATCAGTATGGAAAATATTTGCTAACAAAACACGTAAGGACATCTATTGTCGGCAGGAGAGAACCTTACTCTACAATAGATATCATTACAAACACGATGTTATGTAATGTTAACGACGTCTATTATTATTTTCATAGAATGAATTCAACATGATCTAGCGTCAGTATTACTCAATTTTTGTGAACCCGCTGCGGACATAGTCCTATAACATTATAAATGCGCTAGTTTGAGAGGTTGTGTGTATGTTTGTTGTTCTTCCACACAAAACTATTCAAAGGAATTATGTGAATGTTTTAGTGATGTCACTCAGACATCAGAATTATAAATGATTCAAACAACTCGAATACTTTAGTAAGGGTGTTCTTTTACATTTGGTGTTACATTTTCATTATGTTTGAAATCATACACAGATGTCGCTACCAGTTGATTATATTATAGATCTGAGTCCAATTTCAAGTCCATATTATCAATAACTTAGTAGTATATATTATACAGGTGAGCCTCACCTCAACCCTGGAGTCGGTAACATTAACAACGCTCCAGGTCTCCAGCGGCTGTGTAATGTTCTGCGCGAACCTCACCACGCGCGGGCCAGCCCCGGACCACCACACGGACACGCCCGACCCAGTGTACACGTACTTCAGATCTTTAGCCTCTGAAACATTATTACATGAAGATGTAGGACTTTAGGAAGGGTTTAGATCTCGTCTGCCCGTGATCAAAGTTGCAAAGTAACCAAAACGTCGCGAATGTGAAGTTAAAAGCAATAAAATAATAAGTAATGAATAGTTTCATTTATTGTGAGATATATTTTGCTAATGTTAAGTAACTACATGTATGATATATAGCAGTTTTAATAAGTTTAATGAGGTCTATTCTCCGTAGCTACATACCTAAGTCCTTGACCTGCGCGGGCACGTTCAGTATGGGGCTGTAGTCGAGCGGGTCGTAGCCGGTCACCATCACGAACGTCTGCTCCGTAGGATCGATACCCGTGATCTGAAACATGAAAAACATAGGATTAAAACGAGACGAACCCAGGAAGATCAGTAACTAACTCTAATACTCTAATAATGGACTTTAAAGGTCGAAAAAGTTTCTTTAGTACTAAATACATTGATTACTACGAATGTTCTTTTTATTGTAATGCAATTATGCATTAATAACATTGCCTATGGCTTGAAATTTTAAAATATAACTCAAAAACCACCTGTCTAAGATCACATTCACTAAGATCTTAGTGAATGAAATTCAAACTGTTGGAATATTAAGAAAGGAAGCCTCAATAACCGATGTATGCTTACCAGTACAGTGTTCCCCACGGTGTGCACGGCCGCCCACTGCTCCACGGGCAGCTTGAGCTGCGCGCTGTGTCGCACGGTGTACCGGGTCGGGTCACCGCTCCACGACACGCGCAGGCACGTCGAGTTCACGAACTTGTACGTGATGTCCTTGAAGCGGTGAGGACCTGCAGGCGAGGGGTACTCACGTTACAACACTATTCCCACTCTTAACAATAGCAACTAGGATTCTGTTACCTAATCACTAGGATTTCGTATTTAACATTTTTCTTAGTATTGAGGTAATAATTAGGCGTTTCATATAAAACCCAGCTAATAGTATATATACCCCAACCTTGACATAGTAAATTCAATTCATATATATGTATTTCGTGACCCTATTCCTATACTCACCTTCTGGTAGTGTACTGACATGGTAGGGAGCGGTGAAGGCGCCCCCCAGAGCCCGGCCGGGTACTCGAACCTGCACCCGCACCTCGTACTCCGTGTCCGGCTGAAGACCCTCGATAGTGGCGGTGGTCTTGTAACTAGTATAAGTCAACCACGAACATTATTAGACAACTTATAGGATAGACGGTAATTTGTTTTTTATATTACCAATGATGTAAAGCGGTATAGACTTGAATATATTATAATTCTATTATTTAAATATCATCACGCGACATTTGGTCATCAAACAGTTCAACTTAAACGTACTTTGTCGTCTGAACCACAGTTTAGAAGTCATAAAAGTTAATTACTTTATACACTATACAGGGTGTTATCCGTACCTCTCCTGACACTCATCGTTCCCGTGCGCCCTCACACACACCAGGTACGTGTAGTGTGCTTCGTGTTCGCAGCGCCAGTGAACCGTGAACCCTCGCTCCGACACTTGAGACACCTCCAGCTCCTGCGGGATAACCGTCACTTCCCTGGACCGGGTGTGACGTCACGAGTTAATACGTACAGAACAGTGAAAGGAACTCCAAGTATTATGTAACAGTCTGCGAGACCAGACCCTCACCCATCGTCGTGGTCACGGCCGGCTGTGGTTGTGGAGGTCCATGGGACCAGGGTCAGGTTCTGTTTGAGCCACTCAAACGATCTAGACCCCAGTAACCTCACGAGGAGAGGGGAACTCGCCGGAGCTGGGACACACAAATATATTCGTATAATTATTATTAGAAGATAACTATATTCTATAATAATTTAAAGTTATTATTAATTTGGCTTTTTATGATCCTCTTTCGTAGGTCACAAACTTATTTCCCTTTTATAAATCTTCTTATCTTTATATATATAATTCTTCTGTGAGTGTGTACGTCACTGAACTTCTCTCAAACGACTGGACCGATTTTGATGAAATTTTTTGTATGTTCAAGGAGATCTAGGAATGGTTTAGATTCACAATTTTGTCCGCTGGACAATGTTTTTTTAATTATTTTTTAATTTATTAGTAGTTGTTGATACAAACGTTTTTTCTTTTTCCATTAGATTTGACAACCAACTAATATGTCAATCATTCTGTCGCACCTCAAAACACGGAGATTTATGGCTTTAATAGGTAAACTCCAAAAATATAAACAAAAAAACGTAACAGATATTTCTTGATTATAGGGCGATACGAAGTTCGCCGGGTCTTCTAGTGTTCTATAATAATTGAAAGTTATTACTAATTTGGCTTTTCATGATCCTCTTTCATAATTCACAAACTTATTTCCCTTATACTAATCTTCTTATAGTTGTATATGTGATGTCCTACCTGCTAGCGTGTAGTTAGTGACGTGCGCGGGCAGGGTCACGTTATGCTGGTCGTCTGTGTAGTTCTGGTGTCGGTACTGCAGTATCCACTGCACCACGCCAGGGTTCTCGTCCGCGAACTGTTTCCACGACACCTGCACCTTGTCGTCCTCCAACTTAGAGAGGGTTATGGGCACTGGAATACATAATTAGATATACAGTCCTGTAAGTCTATTTTGAGGAAAATTACATTTGAAAGACTCTTTGCCGAACAGTTATCCTGTGTGATGAAAATGAAAAAATTTAAAAAAAAAGAATAAGCAACACTTCTTTTTTATTAAAGGTATTTTTATTTGTGAACCTGATATTTTTAATTAAATTTCTTAAATATAACTGAATTATTATAACTCTATTGTGACGTTTGTTTAACAATCCACGAATGTATTTACAACTCATATTTCACATATCATCAGTCAACATATATTTCTTTTCCTATCATTTTAAACATCACTGAAGTCTGTAGTGAGTTATTAAACCAAACGTGATACAAGTCCTAGCTAACATTAGCTAATCTATTATAAGTCATGTCAAGTGAATTTATTGATATATTATGATCGTTACCTCCCTGCCCCTGGCACACCACACTCTCCGACATGTCGGTGGCCACGTTCCTATTGTTGTGGTCAGACTTAACGTATGCTCGGACCTGCAACCACACCTCGCTTCAAAACCAGCTCACACGGACACACACACACACACGTATAGAGAGTACAGACCATCGACTTATACTAATGGACATGCCATACTCGTATAATCTGCAGTAATTTTTTGGTTTGAAAAGAGTGAGAGAGATGGCCTATGCTTTCGGTCTAGCTCTATCTCTTTCCTCGTAGATGATTGGCGCTCAGTTTTCATTACAAGCACAGCATATAAATTTGAGAGAGAAAAAGATAGACCGCAACTTCGTTTCCTCTTTGTTTCGGAGTGTCACAATGCTCATTTCTAAGGCATGTCCATTAGTATAAGTCGATGGTCCAGACGGTCATACCTGGAACACGTACGGAGTCAGCGGCTCCTTCACCTTGACTACGTCCTCTGTATAGTTGGTTGGCTGGCCGATCATCGCTACACCGTCCTTGTCTGGAACATGATCATATGACTGATACACACGGGGGCAGATGAGAGGTTATATCTCAGGATATATCTCGGGATAGGTCAGCGATGAGCGATAATATAAGAAGAACATCAAAAGTAATGGATGAGCTATAGAGAAATAGACGGCAAGTTAAAATAAATTTATCAGGAGGTTGCGACACATATTTACTTTTCCTGATTCTGTCTTTTTGCCACTTGAAGAACGTAAAGAACAAAGAGACCAAATGTTACAAAATATTGAATAATTTAATTGATTCTCCATATCTGCTCAGTAATATTTTATTAAAATGTTTCTCAGGATACTTTTTCAATACCTATTTGTAAAACTAATTATTTCAAAAATTCTTTTATTCTAAGATCTTGTAATAGTCATAATAGAAAATACAACCACATTGATCTGTTTAAAAATAGTTTAAGAAAATTTTATAATCTTGTGAAAAATACTTATTAGTAATTAACCATAACCGTATCTTGTGAAAAATACTTATTAGTAATTAACCATATCGGGTGCTCTCGGTAATCTTCGGCCGCTCGTGCGGCGCTCGAGAACCGACTCATTACTCGGTACATTTCTATGAACTATCTTTTGTTTCACGCGTGAGGCGTATTAATGCGTATCTCATACAAAATGTATTAGCAGTCCTCGTGCACTCGCCGAAGCGCACTTGATATTAATGTATTAAAGCGCTCAAACTTTTTGACTATAATTAGAAATTTAATTTTTAAACGTTTTTGTATGTTTAGAAAATAAATATTAAAATGGTAATTAAAAAATAAAGATGAAGTAATATTTTGTAATTTTTAAATCTTTTGAATTGGTGGTTCAGCGCACGAGTGCACTTAAGGTACAGCCGCCACTGACCATAACCACATTGTGTGGTATAAGTGTTAAAATATGATTAGTATATTAAGTTGTAATATACGATATGCTGTATGTTTCCCTAATAATAAATAAATAATAAAAAAAAAAGTTCTGGGATACTAATTTGCTGATAATATCCCAGTTTTATAGACACTAAGTGACTAGTAGTGTATCTCACCGGTGGAGGTTGTATCCACGGTGTATGCCAACACGGTTGTGTTAGGCGGGGTCCAGCTAAGAGCTACACTCGCCACCCCCGCGGGCGCGCACCACACGGCCGCCGGGGCCGCCGCGCCCGACCCGGACACTTCGAGCCGCGCCCACCACGACGACCACGAGCTACCAGATTGGGCGAAACACTGGTAGTTACCTGCACAACACACACACATATTACTTCTTTTACCTGACAGTTTCCCAGCTATAGCCAGGGTCTGCCTAACATGCTGTGAATAGTTTTGGCTATTCGTTTTTACGACCGGCCGCCTGCCTGACATCAATCCTCTTTGGAAATGCATTAATCAGTGATGTCTAAATATTCTTAGAAAGTACATATGACTCGGAAAAATCACATCGGTACTTGCCCAGGCCAGGTTCGAACCCGCGTCCTCGGCAACGAGAGGCGGGCCCTTTAACCACTAGGCCACCACTGACTTCTTAACACTCACCTATATTACTATGGTTTTAACATCGCTTGACATGTTCCTGCTTACCTCGCAGTAAATTTTATGATACGGATGAACAGACTGTTTTATTAAAATTAGTTGAATGTGTTTTCGAGAAACTCTTCAATATAATTACATTTCTTGGATCGTATTTCAATTACAGGTTCGTCAAGTGACTAACAAATAACTCTTACGTATTTTGTTGCTATTATATAAAGATTGTGTGTCAATAAAAGAATGATATGCATTCGGTAGAGGGACTCTTCTATATGACGAAATGTGTTCGCCATGAACAAGTTAAGTCACAAGCAAAACAACACTTAACGCGGATGTATTAATGTTCAAGAGATCAACGAATCCAAAGTCTTTGAAAAAGGATTCGCAAAAACCTTGAGTGAAAAGTAGTGACTCGCTTCTGATAAGAACTGATACAGAGAAATTTTATTCAAATCAGTATATATAATGACATCTAAGAATTTCGAGGGCAATCATTTAAAGTGAAGCTATGTTTTTCGTCTGAGTGTTCGCAATTTCCTAAAGTAACCGAAACTTGAGGTAAAAATTAGAATAAAAGAATAATGAGCGTCATTTATCTCCAAATATAGTTTCAATTTAAACATGTATGTAGATGGGAAGTATGTATCATAAGTGTATTGTATTCTCTAATAAAATAATGTAAAATCATATTTCAATATCAGAAAACAACAATCTCAGCAGAATCAAAAAATATAAAATCTATTAGGAAATCGAATTGAATAATTTAGCAAAGAACTAATTAAGTCAATATCAAGATGAGATGTCTGAAGGAGTGTGTCAAGTGAGCACTGACCCGCGTCGTGAGAGGTCACGCCGCTGATGACCAGCTCGATGCGGCTCCTGTCCGCTGACTTACGGAGGTTGATCTGGAAATAATGTACACATACATACATACAGACATACAGAGAATAAACATATATTAAACCACCGAATGATCGGTGACAATATATTAAAATAATTATGGGGACTAGGCTATCGAATTTTTCACTATATTCGTTGAAGAAGATCAAAAAATTCACCACGCAGTATACATTTTCTGATAATTTTCTAAAGTTTTCCACTTTATTAACCATTAAAGCGTTCTAATAAGATGATGATGGAGAACAAACTTCTTTATCTAATAATAACTTTCAAGCTGCTATCAACACTGAAACTAATTGTTGGAGTTTTTGGTAGTACGTCAAATAAATGCTCATTTCTGCAGTAATAACTGAAGTAACTAGACATAAAAAAAAATTCTGGGCTGAATATTTTGTTAGTGTCTTTTTAAGGCTAAATTAAACTTTATATTCATAACAACGAATCATCTGTAGATAAATATGTAGCTGTATAACTCTTTGCCTCTATGTGTTGTCAATTCAAAATCTCTAAATATATTTAAAAAACGATTAAGAACCCATATATTATAAGATTTCACTGATCTTGTTTTTAATCACTACTGTTTATTATTTGTAATTTTAATTTCAGTTATAGTTTCTAAAATTTCCTTTGTAAGCGAACTTTGTTCTTTTTGGAAATAAACTTCTTTAAACCTATAAATACAGGTCCAGGTGTATACTCAATATTCACGCTACATCTGTAGTTCTGTATGTCCAGGAGGTCACTCACCCTTCCAGCCAGGGGTAGTTTCTTCCCATCCTTATACCAGATCACAGTGGGCGCGGGTCGGCCAGCCGCTGTACAGTTAAACCTGACTGTACTTGCTCTCATTACCTCTTTAGACTGAGGAGGCAGAGTGATCCGCACCGGCTCCGTGATTGACACCGAAAACGACTGTGAGATTACAATTAAAAAAATATACGATATAGAGCAGGTTCCATAATAAGCCATAGGAAGAACAGTTCTGAATAGTAAATTTCGTTTTAATATTGTATTTGTCTGGTAAAGTCGCGTAAATCCGAAAAGTATTAGTTTCATTTATACAATTTTACAATTTACAATTTGTTTATTTCTGTAACATACACATATACAATAGATACAGCTAGGGAGCTCCTTTTAAGTTATAGAATCAACTTGTGTTAGGAAAATTTATATGTATAAGACTCGCGAAAATCATGCATCTCACTTTCTGGTAACTGTTTCGATACTTTAATTTTATTTGTTCACAAAAGGATTTCCTTAAGAAACAATTATATTATATTGATATATCGTCAGACGGGAGCAAAAACGTACAAAAACTTTTCATGTAGAGAGAAGTATGTAAGTTTACGATCTGAGTTGATATTGAAAGGACTTTCACAAGATAATCGCCAACATTTTTTTGGTTCCAAATAAAAGAGGAATTATAAATTAAAACAAGATATTTCAATCAAGTAACATGGAAGCGATTCATGAACCAACAGAGGAAGATCGATGTTAAATAATATGATCTTACATATGTAGATATAAATGAAGCTGATTTGAAAATAGACAACGCGTTTTACCGTATGTTATTAATGACGTTTGAAATACACACCTCATAGTGCAAGCACAGACTATACCCGGTGTTACGTATAAAATTAGGACAGACGAAATAGTTTAAGCGATTGTGACCCTCTATATTCGTTTTAAAGCTAAAATATAACAAGAGGTGATGAATTTATATAAAACAATAGGAAATATGAAATTCTTTCAAATAAATTTGGATCTTATTCTCATACTGATAATATAGAAGTAGATTCTGAAGGTATTTCTGCTGCTATATCTTGTCGTGTAAAATAATAGTTCTATAACTTACCTTAGTCAACTCACTCCGACCTTCTACCAGGCAGGTATACACTCCTTCTTGATCATATTCCAACTTCGTCAGAATCAACACCTCTTCTCTATTCTTCAGCTCGATGGAACTGCCTCCCGGCGGAGTCAACTCCCATATCAACTGTAACAAAACAAAAACTTATCATGAGCCATTCCTTTAAAGATTACGATATATATCTCGTCTTTTATTCCACTAACAAGAAATATTTTTCCGTTTAGTCATTGATTTATCTGAGTAGCAAAGAAATGGAACAAAGAAAATATATTTTTGTTATAGCAACTGATGACTTAGTTGACAGATTATTCAGTATAAAATGTATTTAGGGTATATGTTCGTAATTAGTGCAATAATAGTATTCACAGAAAAAGACAGTATTTAAGGAGACTGATAGTACAAATAATAATGATTTCTTTTTCTATAACAATAATTAGCAGCGCACATTTTACTAGAAACATTCACAAAAATAGACAGTATTTATAAAGAATGTTAACGCCACAAATAATGATTTTTTCTTATAATATTTGTATTTATATAATACAGGCAATCCACATATTATTAAAACTTATTATGTATATTCCTATGGGTTTCGTATTATTCGTCACCTGAGGTCTCGGCCATCCCAACACGGGACAAGCCAGCATCACTCTACTCCCTCTGTTCACAGCTATTTTATTCTCCGTACGTATCCTCAGGAAGGCTGGGTCACTGGCTACAGAATCTTCCACCGACACGAGACCTTCATGACTTGTCCGGCTTCTGTTCAGATAGGTATTAGTTGCTGTGCATCTGTGAATAAAGAATTTGATTGAGAGGATGATAGACAAAATTATGAAGAACATCCCACTAAATTGATAAATTACAAGCGAGGTTCTGAGCTAAAAATTCTATTTATTTAAGAATATCTTGAAGTAAAAACAGTCTAAAGTTATATTGAACACAGTCTTTTTTTTTTATGTGAAAGCTGGCAAACGAGCAGACAGCCCACTTGATGGAAGGTGGTTACCGCCGCCCATGGACATCCGCAACATCAATGTTGCGGATGCATTGCCAACCTTGTTTTGTAGGGATAGGGAGGGGTGGGAATAAGGAAATGATAGGAAAGGGTGGGAATAGGGAAAGGGCAACCGGCTCTCTCACTCATCGGACGAAACGCAGCCATTAAAGGCTACTTCACGCCGATCTTCTGTGAGAGGGTGGTACTTCCCCGGTCGAGCCAGCCCATGTTCGAGCTGTAGTAACTGACTACAGCTAGGCTCTACCACCTAAAAAGTCTGCTACTATATGCCAAAGAACATATATTATGTAACTAACCTGTATAAACCTTCGTCTTCTCTTCGAACATTCGTAATCAAGAGTTCACTTTCAAGAACGTGATATCTGAAAAGAGCAAACACAATAAAACACACACATATACCAACTGGATCCTAAATTTTTTCTCATATAACCAAGCAAGCAAAAAAGTATATCTTTTGTCTTTAAGAAGTTATTTTTCTGTACCTATGAGTTGTAGGGAGACTAACTCCATTGCGAGTCCATGTTGTAGAAGCGGTCGGTCCCGAGCCGATGAGGCAGGGAATCGACAGCGGTTGGCCCACACTGGCCTTCACATCCTCCGATTGAGATGAGAACTGCTTATCCATATCTGGAAATGTGACACGATCAGTACCAGCTTCCAAACAACTTTTCACCAAGGGAATCGATGATTCATAATAGATAACATAACAGATATATAAGTCCAATATATGAGACAGGAGCTTGGACGGTGGAGGTGATCGTTTAACGCGCGTTAGATAGGAGCCCATTAAACCTACACTTGGGTCGGAAGTCCCAGTCAATGTTGAAGCTCCTGTCACTACAACGATGGACCCGACACACGCACCGTGAATACATTGAATGCTAAGAGGTTTCGTCTCTTTAAAATGAAGGATTCTTCGATAGCCTTTTATGCGCTGCTCGATAAGACAGTGTAAAAATTCTTTTCTATTTTAAACGTGATACGTAAATACCTAATATTATGTTCTTAAACATATGTACCGTTATTAAGTTCTCTTTTTAATACTATTGAAATTAATTGATTATGTATTAAGTGGTTCTGATTTAATATTCGTTGTTTTAGTAGCGAGTAACAAGAGAAGTTCCGATCACTAACAAGAATCGATATATAATTTCAACTCGATACACTCGGTAAAGATGATACAAAACATTAATTTTGTTTGTCTTGAATTATTACACTAGGTTTTGCCGACGGATTCACCCGCATATCACACACTTTTTTAGTTACTCCTTATATTATCTAGCTGCGAGTGAGATTTACGTCAAAACCCGTTCAGCCGTCCCAGAGATAAGGCGGAACAAATAGTGATACAGACAGACAGACAAAAAGTTAAAAAATGCAGTTTTAACTTGGTTATCGCGTCCTTTCATAAGCGTTTAGTGAACAGATGTTAGTTTAGTAAGTTTATTACTACAAAGATTTTATATTTTTAGTAATTAATTAGTAATGTAACTAAAGGAATTGAATAAAGATGTAATAAAATGTTATATACACTCTTCTAACTGGCAATTTCCCAGTTTTAGCCAGGGTCTGCCAAACTATTGTTATGTATGTATGTATATAAAAATTGGAAAAATTGTAACGAAGTATATAATTAACTTATGGCTTTGAATAGAAATGGTCAGATTATCATATTATTAAATTACATACATGTTATAAACTAAACAAAATTCTAAATTAATACATATTAAAATAAATTATATACTGTCCTTTAAAAAACTATCAACCCCCAACCAATGTACACGCGCCTTAACAAACTTCACATATGTACAACAACACTATACCTTATGACGGGAATTTGAAATGCTGACTCATTAATGAAATAACTATTATTTGATAGCATTATATAAGAATATTAAAGAGAAATTTTATTAATAATTATTGGTACGAATCAATTAAGATAATTGTTGTTATGTGCTTATATTTTATTGAGTATGTTAGTACAGTAATAAACAAATTATACACATTACTTACTTCATTTTATCCCAAATCCCACTTACACTACGTAGTGTTACTTAAAGCAAAGCCAACCATAATAATTTTTACATATTATAAGAATATAAGAGGGTAGGAGATGTTTAAACGACATATTATAGGCAGTTAAAGTTCCTCAGGACTCTTTTTCGTCCGACTAAGACCCAGTTTCACCAATCAATGTTTGTTTAATCTAAACACAGCATTTACTAACCAACCTACAAAATTATGAATGTCTGTTAAAATATATACGTCCCACGATGACAAATTAACATTATTAAACGTCATGTCAAATTACCGGCTACCAAATTATTCGTTCTGGTTATAAGACGACCAAATGGAAACTATAGCGTTTAACACGGCACGTTTGCCACGATGCACCACTTTATACTTTGATCGTATATATCCCTCGATACGTCACTTGTAAACTCGTACTATATCGTTGGTTGCATACATTTAGCACACTCAAAGCTTTCTTTTCAATGTACTAGGTATCACTTGTCAAAATCGTGTTGTCAATAAATTGTTTTATAAATATAGACATAAATTGTGTTCAAATTATAAGAAATAAAAAGAAAACTTAATTTGCAATGTCAAAGAAAAGCTGGAGGCAAAATCATCATACTAAATGAAATTTTAATTCACTTTTTAATAATAACAAGTAAATAGTCGAAACTGACAAAACAGATGACGTTACTATGGTTACAAGAAATCAGGGCTGTGATTGGACAATTGAGTTTTGATATTATATGAACATTCTGTTAGCCAATAGACGGAGCTCCAGAGCAGGAATTAATATTAGTGGCTTGTTAATGGATTAATATTAGTGGCTGGAAATTGTAGGGAATATTATTTAAAAAAAATCTCGTCTTGTTTCTAAGAACATATTTAGAAGGTGTTGTTTTTTCCACCTGTCGCCTGATAACTCAATCGACCATCTAGTAAGTTAGTTATCAACTGGGTATAGGACATTAAAAGATCAGTTAAAGTTACTTATGAATTAACATTCAATAGTTAATAGGACTTCTTGTTCTGAACTAGAGTATTGTACTGTATTTTTATTATGTGAAATTATTATGAGTAGTAATGACATGATTTATAGCGAAAAAGTACAGCTCTATATAACATATTTTTATACAAAAGTTTGTATATAACAAAAAATATATGTCCACAATAAGCATGTAAATAAGTCTCATCGTAAACAATACGTGTTAAACTTCTACGTAAAATATCTGTTAGATATTTCCATGTTCATCCATAAATAAAATTATTACTCGTAACAAAATCATATAAAAAAACATATTATAGTCTTTAATGTACCGACACTTGATCTTGTGATTCCAAGAACGCGACACAGAAGTCAATGAATAACAAATCCTTAGAAGAATGTATTAGCGAAATTTATTTGACCCTAACCCGAATACACTTCGGATGAGTTACACGAACTTGTTCAATGATAGACCTCGTATAACATAAATAATAATTAATCAAAATTATTTTTATAATCGTAAGAATCGATTCCACAGATTATCAATCAATATATTTTGTAACGTCAAATGTCAGAGTGACACTTGTCATTTGAGTATGTCAAGTGTCACTATGACATTAGACGTATGGGTTGTTAGCCACGACATGTAAAACTGTACGGTTGATATTAAAACTAATTATATTGAAGTAATCCATCGTTATTTATTTAAAAACCATATTGATCCTTCATAATGAAGTACAAATGAAAATATGACGTAGTTCATAAACGTTAAAATCAAAAATGTTATCCAATAATTAAGTGGAAGATTTAAATCCAGATATTTTGTTATGGCTTTATTTATAAAAGTAAATAATATTTAGAAAATAATCATGATAAAAAGGAAGTAATCTAAAAAGGTATCGAAATAATGTTATAAAAATATCTGGTGGGTCGTGGGTCACCCATTTGTCTCGTTAAACCCTCCGTGTTTCATATTATTTTACAACTATTTTTATAAATATAATTTCCACTCGACTTGAGAACAATCACTATACTATTGTTAGGGGATAATTTAAGAAAATTATTTCAAAATCGGTTTTGAGGCCATGAAACATTGCTTCCACTTTCATAATACAACAATACTTTAATGAATGTCTTGTTATCATTATTGTTTCATATGTCAAGTGGTACCTACCATCGAAGTATCGGAACTGATTATGAGCTTTGAACGTGAAGTTTCATTATGGCGCACGTAATGTATGATGCGCGTGCGCAGGGGAAATGCGTTTAAAATATGGAGTGTGCGCAGGTTATATGGAATGATACAGGTTAAAACCAAAAATTGTTGACCTTTCACTTTTTATTAGATACAATCAGAATTAAACGTGTAAAAGTTTAAAACAAAATGACATTTCTTTAATTTTATAAAATTTTTAGTGTCTTAGTTAGTTAGTATTTTACGTAGCGGACAAATAAGTCTTTTAATTTATTACTTTATAAGCAATAAATTTTTTAGTATATAAAATAATTAATGTACCAGAAAATTCATAGAAAAAACGAGAAAACCATGCATGGTTTATTCTAAATAATGACATGTATATACGTTGTATTTACAGTACAAATAGACATTTATAATAATAATGATTAGAGTACAAAAAAGGCAATTACAGTATTTAATTGTAACTGTAAAGAGCACCTTCAATTTAATGCGAGTCGTTAAAAATATGGCACATCGATCTCACGAAATGGCCGGCGGGGGACGGCAATGAGTAAGTTTGAAACGCGGTAATGATTGTAATTATTTAACTACCCTCAGGCAATGTGAATTAGAAAAGTTAAATGAGCATGTAATTAACATTCTGTAGACTGTATAGATAGTCAACTGTTGGTTGGTTCAGTTATAACCCGTTTATACAAACACAACCAACCAACAAACACGATAAACAACGATTACAGTTTGAATCTGAATAGTTTTGATAATGACGGTCATAGATTTGAAAAGGACAGATATACTAAATAATCTTTTTATAGAGATGTAACGAAAATATAATGAATCGAAATGAAGCATCGGATTGAGGGTAGTCGAGGAGCGCTTCAACAATCCAATCAGTACAAAGGGCGTTAAAAATAAAATGAAAAATGAAACATGTCAATGGATCAGCACTTGGGAGTTGGGACGAAGACGAAGCTTGTAACGAGGGGACCCGCGGTGTAACACATGTATGTATGGATGTGTGGGGACATCGAATCGCAATCACCGCACCCTCCGCTCCAAAAACAATAATGAAACATGGCTTTTTAGTTAGGCTTTACAGTTTTTCGTTTATAATGTTTAGTTTACACTCCTAATATGAAAAAAATTATCTTTTTACATATTCATCTGAAATGAAGACATATAGTGAAAACTCTTTAAATAAGTTACGTGAATATATATTCCTAATGTTAGGCGTTATGTATTTACTCACATGAAAACTTAAGATGTACTGGGTAGCCCAAAACGAGGCCGCCATGATGAGCCACAGCACACTGGTAGACACCCTCACTGCCGCCACCCTTACGGCTCACCTCCAGGGTGCCGTTCTGAGAAATGCTGCAAAAATAACAACAATGAAGTCTTGACACAAATCATCGAAGTATTTTTCTCTACTTGGACTATAGAATGTTTGTTACAGTAGAGTCTGTAAATGTGTGTAGTAATATTAATTGAAATTCATTTTGTTTGAGAACGTCAGTCATAAGTCATAACATAATTTGGAGAATCTTCACGTAGCAAACAAAAATCATATATGATTTCACCCTGCAACTTTTGGAATATAGCATTCTAATTCAGACTTTTAGTGTTAACCATCACTCACACTCTTATAAAATGGAAAAATATATATTAAAAGAAAGATTTGTTAAGAGTTTTTTTTCGGCTCGATGTCTTAACTTCATTGTAATCCACTCTTTAGATCAGCCAACAAAGATTTCTGTCGTCATTTACGGAATGCGCAATTCGCCTCTGCACTGTTCAGATATCTTTTTTTTCTAAGCAGATAATCGTTTAGGGTTAAGTCTGTGATCCAAGAAGGGTGGTCTTTGCAACCTAACCAACATAACTTGAGCACAAGTGCATTTTGTCATAAATTTTGTCAAAACATAAATTTTCTTTTTTCTAAGGAAGTGTACGTCATAGAAGCATAATAGCCATCAAGTATGTATACAAGATAATAATACCTATAAGTTTAGCCACTGGTATTTTGATCTCTTTCTAATACTGTTGTTACTTATTAAAAAGAGTGGAGTCACTGGTCAAAGGCTCATAGTAATAAACTAAATCAGCCCCAAACATAATCCGTCTTGAAGTTATAATTCTCTTTTCGTAGTGAGAATCAGAATCTCATAATAACAAATTGGGACAACATTCAACTTCATTAAACCTATAATACATAATTGATACACCAAGATAATTGTGTGAGTGATTTTTTTTTAACGTACATCTTCTAATAAGATCCTAATATCCACTTTGAGTCTGCTTCCGCATTGGCTGAAGAGAATCTACTTGTAAACCATGGTTTTAACATGAGATTTCACGAGCAGACTGACAGAATAGTCTGAAGACATATATATATATAGCCTATTTCACGTTTTTGTTTTAAACAACTTTGAAACAATTTTGTTTTGAATAATTTTCTTTATTGAAGTTCCCTCTGGTAAAAAATATGTGATATTATGAAAATTCTGCTTAAAATCTAAATACGTTTCAGGTCTTAGAGCTTTTAACATAGCGACTCGTCCCCAATGAAAGCCTTTCTATTTGACTAGATAATACTAGAGAACTTACCGTTTAGTGTTGATAACCTCTCCATCCTTCATCCAGATGTAGGGTCTGGGTCTAGCGGAGTCATCATCCAACGGCAGGGTACGTCGAGGTTGGAGTTGACCTGCTACCACGCACGGCAGCCACGCTCGACCACCAGACCATGTTATCGGAACATCTAGAAAGAGTATTAATATTTAATAACTTTGAAAAGATTAGAAGAAATATAGAGGCAAGAAAGCAAACATATTATATACTATCAAATTATATAATTTTTCAACAATCCTTTCCTGCCGGTTTTCATTATATAGGTACACTGTTTTTAAATCGCTGTTAATATTGCAATAAAGAATATTTTAAATATTTTCAGGCAGATATTAAAAAACATATAATAAAACATAACTTAATACTTATCATGCTACATTTTGTGAAGCTTTGTCGTAAATTACTTACCAATTATGAGGACGTTGAAGTGACTCCGTTCTATGAATGTGACCAAATAAATAAGAGTACTAACCTTTATCCTTTTGCTTACAAACAATAAAATTTTAAGCCAAGAATCCAGAGCCCTGTGTCATGTTGAATTACATTTAATATTTAGTATTAATCTTCTTAAATAAATAATTTATTATATGAATAATAAACATAAGTAAAGTATTATTAAATTATAGAACATTAGATCAAATGGATTGTTAAAAATATTTAACTTATTAACTTCTATTCTTTCTTATAGATTTTTCATACAACCAATTTATTTTTAAACCATTCAAAATAATATCCATGTTATATTATTTCAATTACAATCTGAATCGTTTCTGATAAAACAAAAAATATATACATCCTATGAAAGGAAACCGAGATAATAATAATCGTAACCATAATCGCGTTCAACCGAGTCACCACATCGAGACACGGAAATAAGTTACACCACAAAAATATACTTAACCGAAGAAATGATGTCTCGAGGAAGTATTGAAGAAGAGGCGATAGAATTCAGTGGAAGTATCAAAATAACAACAAGCGAACTCTTAAAACATCAATATCTATATATAAAAGATATATTACAATTCAAACGAGCAGATTAATTGAATCGACGCTTGTAAATAAACACATGAACATGTACTTCATTAAGGAGGCTGAAACGACGCGCTGGTTGACTGACCCGGGCCGGAGTCTTTGTTCCGATTACGACACACGGACCGAGCGTTCAAGGACATCCATACCTACGCGAGCCGAGCAATTATGTAAAAAACAGAGGGACTCTATATTACGCGCCAATAACTACGAAAATCATCGGCTTACGAGGGCTGGGGGGAAGCCCGGGGCGCGGGGGGAGGGGGAGGGGGACGCTCTATACAATTACTGCGCAGGTCAAGGCTACAGCAGCAGTCTCGCTCGCTCTCGTACGGAGCGCGGGGCGAGCACGTGACGGATCCGTTTTCCCAGGGTAGGATAGCACAGCACTGTGTCACTGTGCTAACACGCACCTCATACTGCTGAACGACGGACGTGGCACGAGCTCGCTAGCTGGAAAACGAACAGCACACAACTGAGACCTAACTACGCACGACATTATATACGAGTCGTGTTGGAAGGAACACGGAAGGAAAATTTTATGATTCTTAAACGATGTTACTACTGATTTGATGAGCGATATAAGCGATGTTGATTTAAACTGTTTGATGCACGAAATGTAGGTAGGCAGTACTAAAAATATGTATAGAAGATATTGCGAATATAATACACAACATACAGTTAAGATTAACTAAGTATAAAGTTTAGGAAATTTAATTAAATAATACTATTCAATGTTCTTTGATAAATTAAAGAATATTTGAAGGATAAAACCGATTGAAGAATGTCTCGTTTGGGGTTAAGGTTGAGGGGTAAAAAATAGCTTTAGGGTAACTGGCAGTACTTTGGGGGAGTAGAGGTTTACTTAGACGTATGTATGGAACCAGAAGAGGGACATGCTGAGATTAACAAAAACATATTTTCACGATGTATTACGTATGATCCGTATTCAGTAAGTTTTACATTTAAATGAAACTAATATTTTTAGAATATACGCGTGCTTTATTTTTGATAAAAACTACATACTCCTGACTTTTCGGCTAGTTTTCAGCAACGATGATCCGGGCAGAACAAGTTTTACATCTATAAAATCTATAAATCATACGTCTCTTATATATTGTTTAAATGTATTCAGTGTTTGCTGCTTTGACATTATTATTCTTGAGGTCCGAGGGTACAAAACGAATCTTTAGTTAAAAGACGTCGTCTGCAGACATCGGAAGGCAAAAACTCAATTACGACCAAAAAAACATGGGTTTAGTTAATATCACGAGATGAAGAATAGAAAATTATTGAAGGAAATTAGGAATTTTATTGGTTTTACGTTATTATAACTTAACCATTGGAGTTACCAAAATCTAGATAATCAAATCTTCATAAAAAGTATATTATAAGAAAAAGTCGAGTTAGTGACTGTACCGATTTAGATGAAAACTGGTAAGAATCAGGTGACTTTTTATCGCATTACCTCCCGTTCGATGGAAAAAGAAAATACAACTTAATAAGACCCAAAATCTGTTTATTTACTGCCCTTAAGGCGGGAACAGGGTTCTCAGTCAGATATACATTTATAATCTGCTGCAGACGAAGTCGTGGGCAGAACTAGTATTATATAGGATCAATTTTTATTCTAATGATTAGTTATTAATATTTCTCTAATAATAAAAATTAAATAAAACCATATTTTTCTGTGTTTTTTTTTGTCACTTAGGGCTTTTCGTATTTTGGATACGATTACCAAATATACCAAATACGAGCAGTTTTTATGTACATAGGATAGTTTATTGATAAAATTTAATTAATAATTTTAATATTATGTACCAAAAGTAACGAAGAAGCTCTGTGAATATAAAATCAATTTGAATTGGTCCATCGAATAATGGCTCTTAACGAATCACTGTGATTTGTCTCAATTACTTCCAAAATATCTTCAATATTAATGAAATTATTTCAATAAGGTGTATTACATATAAGCAATGTATATTTATTAAATAAAAATACCTAAAAATCGTGAAATTTGCAATGTTATCACAAGAACAATTGGGAATGTTCTACATTATTGGAAAAGTAAAAAAAACACAAATATTTTTCAATATATATCTTTTTTCTTGAACTACCCAGAATTTCTCCTATAAAACAATATAAACATGACATTTATTTTGTATTACAAAAAGAATCAGAAGATATGTTGTTATATCATTATGTATATATGTATATATAATACAGCGAGCTGTAGGTTTGTTTGTGTTCGGTATAAAACAGTATTTTCTTTATATAATAATTCATCAGAGCCCTGCGCACCCTATCGCTCCACCAACATAACCAATAACTCAAGTTCTCTACAAAAACAAGGACGCTAAGTCAGGATAAACTTTCTTTATTTTCCCTTTTTTCTCATCCAATCCGTGATTTATTGTTTTCATTCCAATATTCTTGTTTTTAATGTAATCTTTGTAACGAGTGTATTTTGATAATGTTAACATAACATTGTTTGTACGCCAGTTAATAACGAATGAGCGATTCTATCAAAATTGTATGAGATTTCAGCCCATTTGGAGTTTCGTAAATAAATAAAAAGCATTCTTATACGTACGGCAACCAAAGTTTAATATCTGTTTATAACTCGATAACACAGTTATTGAGGAACACAAACAACGTCAGAACTATTAAGTTGTTTGAAACTTATATAATTCTTATATTTGTTGTGGAAGTATATTAACAAATCATTTCGGGGCGTGCCGGTCGGCTCTCGCCAGCTGCCAGCCGTCATTACGGACCACTTCACATACAAACATACATGTTATATCTTAGAGACATTGTTAGATCTCAATAATATAGTATAGCCAGATAATATTGGTCATTTCTCTCCGTCAATAGTGACAGCGGTCAGGCAGTTAGTACAGAGCAGTTACGATATTATAAAGCATTTATATCAGAGATATAACTCGAGGAGAAAAATCATATTGATACTATAGAAGTCTAGAATATATGAACGCCTTTAAGTTTTACACTAATTAGAACATAAATTATTGAATGATTTTTTATATACCAAAGTTATATTCATGTATAATGATAAACATTTTTGGAACCATTCACATTGTTTTGCTTGTTCAAGTGTTAAAGGATCAGGGGATTATAATTTGAAACATGGAGTCATCGCGAGTATGTCACTCTTATGAGGAACCGGAGTATTGATCACTGCAATGTGAAACCAGCTCAGTTATATTTATCCTATGTAACCTAAGATAACTTTCACAAACTCAATTTGAATTTCCCTTCAATTGTCCATCCATACAGCCTTCTTCATCAAGAATATCAGTGGCATCTCTTTATGTGATATCAAACAATTGACTACTATTAAGAATGAAAGTCATTTTTAGTTAAAATATTAATCAGTGAAAGCACTCAGGGTAGGCGTTAAGGCTCTATACGCTATCACATAGCGAAAAACTTCTGATTAGAAAATGTTAATAGGAAGTGGTTCGATAATTTGATTATTGTTAAATTCATCGTGTTTTAATGAGTAGAAGAAAAACCGTGGAGTGTTAAAATGAATGCAAAGTATTAACAAATTAAGAATACAAAACTGTATACTACTAATAAAAAATTTAAGTATCAGAAGTTTTTTGTCGGTTGGAAGAAGAATTAAATATTTTATTTATTACATTTAGTGAATGTATACATATTAACCCGATTAACATTGTACACCACCCTTATATCCGTATTCCCAGTACATCAATCCCACTACCACTACTCGTTTAATCATTTAATAACGTTGAAGTATATTTTTATATGTTCAATACACTCAGTTTGTAGACGGACGAAACCTTTCCTGTTATTATTTTCCAACGTGGATCGTGAACTTGTTGATGTAGGTCAATACATCCATCCATCCACCCATCTACCCATCCATATTCCATCCCGCTCACACAGGCCGTCCTTGTCTGTGGGAGTGGAATTTATTGAACTGGTCACTGCATTCAATGTACCTTTCTAAGCCCTGCCACTACTCACTTGCATAGATTCGCTAACGAATAATAATATTTAACAAACCTATACAAAAGTATGTCTTAGTTTACAAACTTTTAATAGATTTATTGTAATCCTCTTAAACAATATTAATATAATATAATGTAGTACATGAGAGTGCCTACAGATGTAGGGAGTGTTTGCGTCGCTTGGAGACAATGCACCGCTCATGACGCAATCCCAACGCATCGATGTGTCTTCCTTAATTGGAGAGGTATTTTATGTCACTTGTGTTTCTTAATATTTGCATGTATGTATGTATGTATGTGTGTGTGTTATATATTAAGTTGTGTCCTCAATTATCGCAGTGCAAGGGATTACATCATCCTATTGTTCATACTTGCGAGGTTCCTTTGATCCTTTCCAAACAATTCTTCTTTATAGATATTTGTACGTTTCTAGAAGATAAATCAAGGGTTTTACCAAAATAGATTTTTACTCTATACATATTTTCTGTTTTTACTTTCTATTATAGAGATTTACTATCAATTAAATGAAATTCTCGTGCATAAAGATATACTTGTAAGTATTTCACTTCGTATTCAATCTTCGCGTTAAGACCTCTTCGTCAAACCTCTATCTGGTGTATTCAAGAATTCTATTCATTGATTTATTGATGTCATGTATCGACATTTTCGTCTTTATAACATTCGTCATTTACCGTTAACGGCACGAGTTCTATTACAAGCAGTCGTTAAACTGAAATTAACATATTAATTGGTAATTTTCTATTAGTTGATAGTGTACTTGTTCGTTTCAATGTTTTATCATGAGTAGTACATATATGTAATATGTAGTGTATATATATTGTTCAGTAGTACTACATGTTGTCTGTCCGTGTTTGTAACAATCATTACGTCATTACACTGAGGTCGGGCTATTTTGACTCGGCCAACAAACAGTCGTATATGTATATATATGACGTCAGGATACGGACGTTCAATAAATTGACAGATGAAAGTATTGAGTAATATTGAGATGAATATAATATATGATAGTAACTGATATATATGTATATATCAGTGTCCATGTTTACAGAACAAAAAATATATTTCAATATATTAGCTTCAATCCAATGAAGAGTTTTAAAACTTAAGTGCATTTCCCACCACCATAGTTGGTAGTCACACCACAAACAGTACCACCTACCACGCTTTATTAGAATGACTTTCAATGAACATAAAAATATATATGTTTTTAATATTTTGAAATATCAGCCCCGAGGATGTTATAGATTGCCAGTTAGAGAACTTAGAAGAATTCACATATATTGATGATATTAAAACATAATATTTAAATATTGTAGTTAGAATATGAAGTTTTGTAGTACTATAGTGAATGCAATGAATTCAATACAAATAGCTAGTTACATAAAATATTAAATGAAACTAATTGTAATGCTTTTCAGGAACCCTAATCAAGAGCAGTCGAGATGTGGCCGAAACGTTGGTAGTATGTAGTTTTTTAGAAATATAATCGTTGTAGTAGTAAAGTCAGTTGTGGCCTAGTGGTTAAAATGACCGCCTCTCATGCATGAGGGCGCGGGTTCGATCCTGGCAAGTACCAATGTGATATTTCCGAGTCATATGTACTTTCTAAGAGTATTTAGACAGCACTGATTAGTGCGTTCCCAAAGAGGGTTGATTTCAGGCAGGCGGCCGGTCGTAAAAACAATTAGTCAAAACTATTCACAACATGTAAGCCAGACCCTGGCTTAAGCTGGGAAATTGCCAGGAAGAAGCGTCGTAGTATATCCGAAAATTTAAGTTTCATTTAAATGAATAATTCTCGCGAGTCTTGATCTCATTAGTTACATAATATATTTGAGTTATAAATCAAGTGAAGAGACAACAGCTCGGTTAAAACAAGTTAAGTTCTTGAAAACGTTATAAATGTGGATAATTTTCTTAACTTAATTTGAGTAATCTCAACTCGTTAGTTCAAACACGCAGCGATACGTTGCGTCTACTGCAGACCATTTAAATTTAAATTAATTCTGAAAGCATAAATTAATTTGGTAAAAATTTTCCATCTTTATAACAGATTTTTATATAATTTTAGTTTATTTAATTAATAGATTTTATATATCTTAATTAATCAGAACTATGTTTTTTTAAGAGCAATTAGACAGGCAAGAAAATGTATGTATTACAACATGAAAAATTACTATAAAATATTATATATATTTGTATTTAATATTATATATAGTAATTGTTTGGTTACAAATGATTCATAAAGTTATAGATAAAAGCTTCCGAATGTCTATCTGGTGACAATTGCCAAAACTTCCTCGAACTAGATCACCTAACACGACTTGAATACACAAACATAGCTTTGATGTACCAGAGGAACCTAACTTCCTCTTCCTCGGTCATAACGTGACTATTTTCCATAATAACTAAGACTAGTAATGATATGATTGGTGAAGCATCATCCAATTGTGTTCATCACTCAATATCGAATGACTATTGGTGTGTGTACACGTAGAGAGGGGAGGTATACAGACATTTCACATAATTGTTTAGTTTTATGTTAAGAAACTATTCAATGATAATTATAAGTAATTACGCAGCTAATTGTTTTAATGATCACCGCCTGTTCATTAATGGCCATGTTAATATAACATACTTGTTACTCCGGCGCGGACTAATTAATTCTATGTTCATGATCTGATACATATATACATGATGGCATTTATATAACAATGTTGATGGCATTAAAATGCATTGCGCTTTCTAATATGTCATTTTTTTTGAAGCTACTCCAGGATATATTATACTCCAAAAAAGCCAAAAATTATAAGTGATATAATAATTGTTTCTTGTCTAAAATTATCGAGATTTAATCGATTGTAACAGGAACACCGCACTCGGAGCCTCATGAAATATTCAGATCGGAAGTTGGAGGGTGGAAGAGACGAGGGAGGGAGTAAGGGAGGAGGAGGGAGGTTCAGGGAGCGAGGGACACATCCGGGTTGACCGCTATACATGAAACACATGACCTTTGGATGTGAATATGTTGGCTTAGTAATTTAACGCTGTAATCATATCAATATAAACATGTATGTGTGTATGTATGTTTAATATGTTCCAGAAAACTAGTAAACAAGAATCAATAAATATTCGTATGAATTCGAAACGCGTTTATTTTTTATTGTTTACTTTGGGTTAGTTATTATAAGGTCTATAAAGTACGCTGATCTCCTAAACAGATGTGCGTCTACCGACCTGATTTGGGTAAATATAAAACTGTGTCTCAAGCCGACTGTCCCATCTTCATCTTCCTACAATATACTTACACAAAGTTCGCACTACATACGTAGCGTTAACAGTTTATTTTCATTTATCTGTCACATTATATAAGCAGCGTAAGTTATTGAATGAGAAACGAAAATCAAGTCGAATGTAGTGACGATTCAAACATATGGTAAGCAAAAAAGCATGTACTTAAAGCATTGTTGTATAATCTAAATGAAATATTATAATTTATTTGTTTATTTCAGCCTATAGGAAGTAAAGATCAAACGGACTAAATGTATGTGTAATATTTGTCGTAATGTATGTGTGTGTGTGTGTGTGTGTGTATGTGTGTGTGTGTGTGTAATATAAATGATCGTTACATATAAACCATTCCCCGGCTCGTCTGTGAGTCGTAGAGTGTAAAGTAATTGTTACGATCGGTCCGCGATTCGTTTCATTCCACATAAAATCATTTATGATACAGATATATTGTTCATAACGTATTAACATGTTATTTTATTGGCCGTTCATATAATTGCTTTGTTATGTGTATACTAGCTTTTGCCCGTAACGTTGTCTGCGTTAGTTTTATAATTAGAAATGTTTAGCTGAACAGGCGAATTGTTACTATGTAGAGGCTGTAAATGAACAGATTTTGGATTATATTAGCAATTTTTTTTGGCCTAACGAATTCAAAAGTATGATATTATGTCCTTCTCCTGGTTCTAAGCGACGTCTCAACAATTTTCCATTTAAATAGTGTAACTAACATGACTTTCTTTATTTATAATATTACATTGAATCTAAATATTACTATTACTATGTACTGTTACATGAAGTGTGAACTAATCAAACAAGAATGACATTTATGACATGTGTAGTCTTAACTTTCGAGTAACTTGGAGATTTGTATATTTAATCTCATTCATAAAGTTCTATATTAATTTGGCTTAAAATATTAATTTGATTGTATTCAACCTCAAATATACAATAATGATATAAAACAAAAATCTTACTCACATTTTAACAAAATATTAAACGCTAGATGGGCAAAACAATCAGTCCGCTTACTCCGATACAAACGTTTACAAGTTTTCAATCATAAATTCGCATTTACTACAAAGTTCATGGTACACACTTGTGGTAAGATTATTGTTAAAACACTAGAAATATGTAGCGTTTAAATAAGTGGCCGTAGAAAAAGAATGACTTCATGAGATAACAATCGAGAGGCAAAAAGACGGAGCGTTACGTGACCAGGGGTAACGAACAAGACAGGGGGAGAGAAGGTAGACCATGCACCAGGGGCAGGAGCGGGGGAGGGACAAATGACAAACTAATTAGGACTAGCCTATGTAATTAGGAGTTATACACGCAGATAGACACTAAAAAAAAAATAATATGATATAAATGAAAGTAATTTTTTCAGATAACTAGACATACGAGATAGATATATCATAAAATACGCGTAGTAACCCGAAAAATATTAGTTTCATTTAAATGAACTCGCGAGTATTAGATCTCATTATAATTATGTTTTTCTATGACATAGTTTTATCACTTACTATGGAAATAAACGTCATATATTGTATTGATATTTACAAGTTATATATTATAATAAAATGACTTATATAAAACATTGACATGATTTATAAAGCTGCTCGTCCACCCGTGACCGACCGTTGGACGTAACTCGTAAGCATTCATTGAAATGTTAACAGATCCATTACAGCCTGTTCACCTGCATTAACACCTGGAAATATTACTATATACCAGGTCAAAGCTGCTATATACATCGCTAACATGTATAGCTATGCGTCATATTGTCTCAGAGAGATCCCTATTAATATTATAAATGCGAAAGTAACTCTGTCTGTCTGTCTGTTACGCTCACGCCAAAACCACTGAAATGATCTTAATAAAATTTGGTACAGACATAGAGTTGACCTTGAGAAGGAACATAGGATAGTTTTTATTCCAGACTTTTGAAAGGTTCTCTTGGAAACGCGGTATAACCGAACTCGACGCGGGCGAAGCTGCGGGCGGAAAGCTAGTTCTTACTCACATATATTTGTTTGTGGGAGCCAAATTGTACTCATGAAGGTTTGTTCCGCGGAACATATTACCCCCAGGCTGAACTCGAAACATGTCCCGTACATATCTCGGTTGTATCTATATTAGTACAATCGTCAAAACTTTCAATATTTCTCTCATAATCTTTATTTCTTTAAATTTTATACATATAAGGTTAACGAAAAGATATACTTCATTTTATATGTAACACATTATTTTGGTAGATTGATGGAACCTTCTTGAAGGGTTAACATGATTTATCTTTGTATAGTTTTGACAATTTTCATATAAACCAACAGGAAAATAGGTATATTTTGTTGTGTTACGTATCTTTCACCTTATTTTGAACGTTTGGATACAACATATAAAATATTACAAGAGCTTTATGAAATGCTTTTTTAAAACATCAATTTTACGCTCACCACGACCTAGCACTTGATACTACGTACGTACGTAAAGTCGTCAGTTTTTCATTAATAAATCTTCTCATGTGATACCAACTTGGTTATGATTAAGTACGTAATTGATATCTGTACGTATAAAGTTTGAATCATAAACTTGTAGTAAGGGTGCGATACACACGTTAATTTACTTAAAATTAATAAAAATAATTTAACAAAGTTATTAGTGACATAGAATAATGTCAAAAAACGTTTTTCTAAATCTATTTGTTGCTACTAATCAACTCCTGTTGTTAAATCTTCTCAAAACATTAATGTTATATTATGTTTATGTCCCTCCCTCTACCCCATCTAGGGGACATGGGGAGATATGTATGTCACATGTATGTCATAAATATGTCATGTGTATATATGTATACATTATAATATATATTATGTATTATGGAGATGACATCAAAACAATTACAAGTCCGTGTCGCTGTTGCTTCAGTGAGGCGGGAGAGGCGGCAGACCCGGGACTTTGTGTAACAATGTTTTTATAAAATTATTTTATCTCTGGCAACGAGGAAGATCGTTCCCGTTTTTGATTATACTATGAGAATTAATTTAAATAATATTTAAAACAGTCATAAAGTATGAAGTATCTTACATATACAGAGAGAGAGATTCTACAAAGAAGCAAATAGGTAATACAAATATTAGATGTACCTAATTATTAAGAAAATAGCTGTAGATGGCCACTTATTTTATAAGAAAACTAACAGAATTAAACAAATTTTTGCTTTTAATTTACATATCGTGATCAAAATCACATGTAGTATCTATGTCAAACTTTATCTAAAATACGTCACTATGAAATTACCGGCTTTCTTTTAAAATTAATAAAAGTCAATCCAAGAACTCACATAAAATTTGTTTAAATTAATTCATAAAGATAACATACTGTATCTATTTAGTTTCTTAGAAGACGTGTCTGTTTAGTATGTAGTAAGGTATAATCGTAAATTTTAGTATACCTAACATCTCAGTTCCAAAGTCAGATGTCGGCTGCCCCAAGGTCAAGGGTCTAACCTCGATGAATGAACCTGCATTTACTTCATTAAATACATTTTTATACTTTTCTTTGAAAATATAAAAGATCAAACTCTCCTCTCCTAAAATTTCTATCGAATCGAACTCATTTGAACTTCCACAGAATCATGTTTTGTGCTCGTGTGTTATTTCTTTATTGATATAATATTCATGTCTTATTGAATTATAAAAAATATTTATTCTGATAACAATTTTGAGGGAAATAACAAAAATTTTACAATGTCACAAAATCGAAAATATAGATAATATTTTTATAAGACGAAAACTATGACTGTTTCATCGATGTATTAAAATATTTATAATGACGAAACAATGTTGAAATTAATCACTTATTTACTTATAAAGTTGATATCCGCTCGTTAAATAATTTATATCTAAATAGAGACATAACAATTAATCGTAATAGTATATATCTTATAAAAACTATATATCTGTCATAACCCTAACGATTATATTATAAGAACTAAACCTATAACTCTATCTGTACTTCACAGCGTTTTTTGTGCCACTAATGGTTAGTCCACGGTACGTACCTGCGAGGAATCTTTAAAACCGACGAATGAAAAAATTAATCGAAAACACGATAAGGGCGAGGATCCATTGAAGCGGAGCGGACGAGGTGACTTGAGAAATGTTACGGAGATATTATGAACAGAACAGAATCAATGGAGGTTTTATCGATATTGATACATACCCATCACTACGATGACGCTATAATGTCTTTAAATATTCTGTAGACGCTCAGGAATATTACATAAATATGTAATATATAAATATTGTATTATATTTAATACTAGTTTACGCCTGCGACTGTTTGCGCGTTAATTTCGGCATTAGTAATATACATATGTATAAATGGCCGGGAGAACTCTATTCTGCCCTAGAAGCCATAAATAACCATATATTAGAATTTATTAAAAACATTTTTTGTCTTTTTCGATCCAATGGAATTAAATACTCTACGTCCAATTTTCAACCATATTCCTACAGCCGTTCTTGTGGTATAAATAGTGTAACACAACTTTTTATAGAATATTTTGTCCGTTTCAATCTTAAATAAATTTTAGTATTCTTTAGTTCAAATAATTTCTCCGATATGACGTAATATAACAATGACTTCACTCATATAAATTATTATCGACCAGCGAATCAATCGTCAACGGTCGATGATCTCATTTTATAGTGATTAATATTAAAAACCAATAAAGGTACTGTGACAGTTACAAACTTAACAACAGCAGTTTACAACGAAGTCTTCTATATACATATGTCTTTTATTCCATTTCTATAGTATTATTTGAGCGTGATTAACAAGTCAACATATAACTACTATTCTTTTATTGTACGGAACACTTCGATAGCTTTATTAATTGTGGAACAAAGAATAATATAAAATATGCATCCCATCAAAGCTGTTCTTGCCTAGACAATACCGTTACAAGGTCTAGAGCAACCCTAGTCTAATTAGCGACCTTCCAGTATTCCCTATTCCCCCCCCCCCTCTCCGGCGAGGGTGTAGCTGGTGGTATTGTCCCAGGGCGTCAGTCAGCTGATCCACTCCATAGCTCAAAACTATTCTAATTGAATGCCGGTTGTTTCCTTCCCCTTGACACATTTGCCCTTTATCGAGTGGCGAGGGTAAACAACTTTTACGAGGCACTTAGTGTATCAATGGAGCCGTACATTATACTTTGTAACACCTCTCCCTGTAATTAATACGTGTCGGTACACGAGATAAAAACATATATTTTGAACTAGCTCTCCGCCCGCAGCTTCGCCCGCGTTGAGTTCGGTTATATATCTCGTTTCCATGAAAACTTCAAAAATCTATGATAAAAACTATCCTATGTTCTATCTCAAGATCAACTCTATGTCTGTACCAAATTTCATTAAAATCAGTTCAGTGGTTTAAGCGTGAAAGCGTAACAAACAGACAGACAGACAGAGTTACTTTCGCATTTATAATATTACTAGTAGGGGTTTCGTGTGTAGTGGGAGAAACCTTAGTACAGGATAAATAATAGTACTGTAGAAAACAAAACGACACTACTATCAGTTACAAGTTAATCTTTTAACGCTATCTATAAAGTCAGTCAGTCGATGTATAAATCCACCGGCCAACATCTGTATCAAACACCTGACTCCGATTGTTTCCGTTACAACTAACGAACGAATCGACGCGTTTACTGACCGATCAAACCTCTACAACGATCAGCGTGAGACGATTACAAGGAAACCTAACGGCCGGCATCGATATATAAAAAAAGGATTCTTAAATAACTATTAGATATTTAAATTATAAACTTTTAAACGATCCTGAAGTTTCAAATGTGTGGCGACGATAGTAGAATTTGAGACTGGTATATCATTAGTACGGGTTCTAGAGATGAGCATGATACAGCATCAGAACTAACAGATAGTGCCAACATTGTATCCTGAGAGGTATGTGTGCCGAGCAGCATTCCTCGGATATAAATCAGAGGTACCGCTAGCAGGGCCGCGGCTATACTCGTTATTAGTACAAATACCTTCATATAAATAAGAGTTACCATCTCGACCGACGGCAGCCCGTTAGCCGCATACCGACAACTACCGATTGACATTCCTAAGGCGGGCTCCCACGAGACCCCCCCCCTCCCCCCTCCCGGCCGGGCGGAGGGACCTGCGCCGGCGCACGGGGCTCGCCTACAGCGAATGTACGGCTTAAGGAGGCCGGAATCGGAAATACTTGGAGTGGAATGCGCGCGCGAAATACAGGTGTGTGAGTGTCTATATATACACACACACCTTTAAATATATTTAGTTATAATTGTCTCATACACAAATATTTTATAGTTAAAATATTTATTAAAATAACTAAAAATTTTTTTTTTCATTCAATCATAAAATATGAGTAGCTAAATTATTTATTACTGAATAAAAACTTTAAAGAAATGATAATCAATTATAAAAGGTGACTTGGAAGGTTGATATAGTGAAGTACATAATAAAAATGTTTTCAAAATGTAACAGAAATATTTAAATCTAATTTTCAAAAAAAAAATTAATAAATCGTTTAAATCATACATGTTTATTAATTGGTCAATTTTATTAATTAAAGATTAATTTCTAGAAGACGAATTTAACAAATTATATTTTAAAAAAATATTAAAAAATAAAAATATATGTAAAAAAAGTTTGTTAAATTTCACGAGTGTTATCAAATCTAAAACTGATAAACAGAAATATTAATGATTGCCAAAATTAATTATTAATATTAAAATTCAATATATGTATTAGTTATGAACCGGAATTTGTTTTTCATATATAAAGCATATCATTAAAATTCCTATATTCTATAAAGTCACATATAATTGCCGTACATGCACTGGCCGGGTAGAAATCTAGTGTCGAGAGAAAGTCTCAAGTTATTTCATTCTGTCCTATATTTATATTATATAGATTTCTAAAATAACCTTTATAAAACTATTACTTAAATATACATATATTGTTTTTTTTTTTCATTTTAATCATCAGTATTTTTAGTCAAAGCAGTTTTCAAATCCAGTGTTGTTATATTAAAATAAAAACATATGTATGTTAATATTATAATGATAATGGCAACATTAATTATTCACATACTCGGTTGTCTCATGAATGGGTCGTGTTCGTTGTGTGGGGTCGTTGACCTCTCACATGCCGCGGGTACAAACACCGTGTCCACTAACGATTGCTTCCATATTTTTTCATGATGTTTTAGTTCTTACTTATTGTAATTCACAGCCTCGTAAAATTACTATTTAACTGCAAGCAACTCACTCGAAGGAAGATAAGTGCTTGTACGTCGACCCAACTTTATATGGGTATTATTTCAGTATGTTTATTGCCTCATGTTTTATTAACGGTCAGACGTATGCAGATTAATGTAACTTCACATTAAACCTAATCTTTATTTTACAAATAAAGTAGACTTCAATTATTCTCGTATAGTGAGATCACGTGACTCGTCCTTTACTCCACACGCCGACCAGCAGACATGAAACTAACAGGACATATGCCTTACACTATTTGAATTGCAAATGAACGTTAAATGTGTCTCGATTTGATTCTTAAGAATAACATTATATTTAAAATATCCACAGACATATAAATCGTACGAGTTTCTATAATAAAACTGTTACGTTTCTATTTCTACTTCTCACACCGCTGTAAGCTGTTGACAAATTTAGGCGCCGCGGCGATAAACAAGCCGGCCCTACGAGTGGGCGGAGAGACTTACAGAATCACACTATTAAAAGATACTATCATCTATCTATTTATATTATATACTAGTTATTACACGCGACATCGTCCGCTTAAATAAAAGAAAAAAAAAACAGTGTTAAAAGGTGTTTTTTAAGCACCGCGTGCTTACAGAATCCCACTCGCGTGTGATAATACTTAATTTCTGTATCGGGATAAAACGTAGCCTAAGTTATTAATTACATCAGCTACCTGCCATAAGTCTCGTCACAATCGGTCCAGCCATTTCAGAGATTAGCCGGAACAAACAGACAGACAGACAAAAATTGTGAAATTATGTGTATCTAATATGTATATATATATATATATAATTAAAACCTAAACTTAACCCTATATATTTTCTCATCCTCTACCCATATTTTAAATATTAATTACATAATCTTCTATATATATAAAAATGGATTGCTGTTCCTTAGTCTCGCTAAAACTCGAGAACGGCTGAACGGATTTGGCTAATTTTAGTCTTGAAATACTCCTGGAAGTCCAGGGAAGGTTTAAAAGGTGAGAAAAATTGATTCATCACTGGGAAAACCATAAAAACAGCCCTTTTCTAATTCCCATACAAAAGTTTTTTTTGACATTAGATTTGACAACTAACTAATATGTCAATTCTGTTTGATTGAAACAGGAAAAACCTGATTATTTATGGCCTCTAAGACGGAATAGAGTTCGACTGGTCAGCTATACCTACATATATTACTCTTGACCAAACTAACGCGGACGAAGTCGCGGGCAAAAACTAGTACTTTATAATAGTCGTGATTCTCGTAATAATTGCATGAAGTTCATTAATTTGTACGTTGGATGAATGTTCATTGAGACGTCTGTTCGCCGCTGGGAAACGAGACATAATTACCACCACAATCAATTTATTAATATTAAAAGTCCTTTTATATGAATATATCATTGTATGACAATTCAGTAATATTTGGCCACTAATATTTAGCCTTATCCCTACTTAATTATAAATGCGAAAGTTACTCGGTCTGTCTGTCTGTAACGCTTTCACACCTAATCCACTGAACTGATTTTAATCAAATTTGGTACAGAGATAAAGTTGACCTTGAGAAAGAACATAGGATAGTTTTTATCCCAGACTTTTGAGTGGTTCTCTTGGAAACGCGATATAACCGAACTCCACGCGGGCGAAGCTGCGGGCGGAAAGCTAGTAGAAGTATATTTATTATTTTTATCAGAAAAGTCTCTGATCATTATACTCGTAATAATCTTTACTGTTTCAAATATTTTTTATTAATGTTTTATTTTATTAATTAATTATTATTCGATCTGTACCCTTCACAGTTTTAGACACAAAGTTACTGTATAGAATAAGTTCAGTCAAATAATTCAGTCATTTTATGTATAACCCGTATAATGAGAATTACTTAGGTATATATAGGTCATTGTATATAATAATTATCTTCTTTAAAGTGACCCATCACACATCTCTATGTATTTGCACCTATAAATATCACAAAATTAACTACTTTCTTTCATTAGAATGATTTAAAACCTTCTTTTTTTTTCCAGACTAGAACATGAAGACAAAGTCAGTAGTATATATAGTGTTATCTTCTTCTTCCTGTCAATTTCTCAGCTTTAGCCAGGGTCTGCCTTACATGCTGTGAATAGTTTTGGCTAAATGTTTTTACGACCGGCCGCCTGCCTGACACCAACCCTCTTTGGGAATGCATTAATCAGTGATGTCTAAATACTCTTAAAAAGTACATATGACTCGGAAAAATCACATTGGTACTAGCCAGGATTGAACCCGCGCTCTCGTGCAAAATAAGTGCCTTTTAATTATAGGCCACCACTGACTTAAGTATATATAGTGTTATATAGTTATAAAACTTCCTTATATATAATTTCCATGTATACATATGTTTTCCCCTAACCCCTCACTCCACCAATCCTCCCCTCTAAAGCCTTATCCAGGCTCGTTATATCACAAGTTGTAAGTTTCAGATCACGTCTTCAGAGGCTGTTACAAAACAATTGCTCTAATGGCTTACAACTTTGGATACACGATATTAACAAATTTATACACACGTATATGTAAGAGAGAGACATAGGTGAAAAAGAAAGGGATGGAGATATGGATTTGTATAAAATAGTTATATTATAAAAAGTCCTAAATGATGGATAAAAATATAGAAACGTCTAAAATCTAGATTATACATGATGTCTGTTTAATAAGACGAGTAAAAAAACACAACGAAAATGTTCAATTTTATGTATCGTTTTAACAAAAATATAGAAAAAAAGAAATATTCTATAAATATATTTAGAAAATATTTTCCATTCATAACTAACATATAACAATAATAAATGAAAAACTATTCAAGCATTATAAGTTAAAATAAATTATTAAAGATTAAACTTGGAGTGGTTTAAATAAGATTTTAATCTCATCAGATTATAAAAGTGAGTTAATGAAGACGACCCGACAATTAGTTTACAAGAAATACTTTGAACTTAAACCAATTTAAAACGAAGGAAATGACTTACAAATAGAATTGGAGAGAAGAAATATTAATATACATTATTAAGAAAATGGAAGTCAGTGCTGGCCTAGTGGTTAAAAGGCCCGCCTCTCATGTATGAGGGCGCAGGTTCGATCCTGGCAAGTACCAATGTGATTTTTCCGAGTCATATGTACTTTCTAAGAGTATTTAGACATCACTGATTAATGCATTCGAAAGAGGGTTGATATCAGGCATTGTCCAGTCGTAAAAACAATTAGCCAAAACTATTCACAACATGTAAGGCAGACCCTGGCTAAAGCTGGGAAATTGACAGGTAGAAGAAGATGAAGACGACTGAGAAAAATATAATTTAAAACTAAATGTTTTATAAATAGCATGAAAAGGAACAGTACTCAAATAGCCAATAAAGAGAGGGATATTATTAAATAATAAGACAAAATATAACAGTAGGAAAAGTAAATTTATGTTCCGAGAAATACTTATAACTTGACAATTTGTAAACAGACTTTAAGAAATGGAGATTTTAATGAAACCTTATTACTAAAAATTGTTTATTGTAAAATATACTTGTTTTTCAATATCAACGAAAAGTAAAAATACACGACATATTATTTCCATTCATAAATCTTTACACGTAATATTTTTAAATGTTATTGAATGAGAAACTTGAAACGATACGTGTGTAGTAACGAGACGAACTTGTGGTAAGCACGTTGTACGAGAAGCATTATAAATTAAGATTGATAAAATATGTAATACTATGTTTGATCCGCTACTTTGTTTAAGACTCAGCGTCTCATTATAAGAAATTAAGTACCATTCATATAATAATTCCATAGAAATAAAATAGTTTTAATTTAAAGAAAACGTCTCAGTAGTAAAGATGTGGGTTTACAAACAAACGATTGATAAGTACAACAATCTGAAACTAGAAAAATATAAAACGAAACCTAGTATTACAGTTACGGAGATACAGACACAGAACATACATACACTGACCACACACATAGCCAGCATTACGTCATCAGATCATATAGAAAACAAGTAAAGACGAAAGATAGTGTACGTATTGAAATAAAATTATTATAGTACCGTACAACGACCTGACCGATCTCATTTATAGTGCCCCTAGTATAGCAAAACAAAAATATTCTTAGTCTATTGTAAAAACAAAGAAATATAAATAAAAGGAACTAACAATAAGGCAACATCTGTATCATCAAAACATTACGGACAGTGGAAATGAGAAAACGGTACGCGGAGAGGCCGCGAGTGTCGAAGATTAGAAATGATGTACATCCTCCCGCGAGCGCCTCATTACCACTCACACTCTGTGTTGTAATGTGTAGCATCTGAACCAAGGCCGCCTGCGTAACGCACCGCGCCGGCTTCATTAATGATAATGACGTGTGTACTCATGTTGTATAGTGGACATACACCCACATACATCATGCGTCCGCACCGCGTGACAGACGCCAGCGGACTGACGAGTGACTTCTAACTAGTGACTGACGCGACCCTTCGCGCCAAAATTTAAATTTGGAACTAGATTTTGACTGCCGTTTATTTTTAAAAACGTTGAATGAATTGTACTTAAATACATTTATACAATTTTTATCCTATGCTTGTTCAAATAGTTATAAATATTATAACCGAATATATAATTATAATTTCTCAAAAGAATCATTAATTATTTTGAAATTCAACATTAAGTTCGTTTGGGAACTCTATTTGCGGCTAAAATTATTTCACAAAGGAGTTTTAAGTTACTTTACTGATTACAGTATTGTATTATAATATTAATAAATTATTATATTTTATGATTAAATTTTAACTTCATTGTTAATTAAAATACTTCCAGATGTAGACTCTCTCAATTTTGACACAAATTTTCAACTACTTATAATTTCCAAGCTTTTACTTCGACTATAAGATATTAAATTTACAATGAATTTTGGAGAAAATAAAATGAATACAAATAATTCTACCTCGTAATTGTTATTATTTTACAAAAATGGTATTACTTCAATATCTAAATGTACATTTATAAATAACATAAAGTAGCATTTTTATAATTGTTTTCAAGTTAAGACAAAACATAAATGTAATTCTTTTAATAAGTTCTATTTTCTATAAATGGACTTTATCTTGTAAAAATTAATGAACATAGAAAAAGATTTTCACGAGTACAATGTTTCTAGTGTTGTATGTTTAGATTGTATAAACTTTTTGATGATATAAAACAAATTGAATATAAGATATTGTTAAATATGATTAAATTGTGATGGCGTAATGGTTAAAGGCCTGCCTCTCATGCATTAGGGCGCGGGTTCGAAACCTGGCAAGTAGGTACCAATGTGATTTTTCCGAGTCATATGTACTGTCTCAGAGTATTTAGATATCACTGATAGATGAAGAAATCACCAACCCGTTTTGAGCAAGCGTGGTGATTAATGCTCAAATAGGCCGATAGGCCGATGAAAATGACGAATATAAAAAATATCTCCTTAGAAATTTTATTTAAAAATACGACAGTGTTTTTGTTTAAAAATAATTTAAATATACCCACAAGTCTGTTAAAATTACCTCCGTGAAATGTCGCTAAAATATATTTGGAGCGTAAATATTCGGACAGAATAACAAATAAGAATGAATAAGTTGAAATTAATTAAATAAACATCGAGTAAATAAATGATTACTAAGTTCATTGTCGGTCGCGTGGGAAATAATTCCCGTTCGGAACGATTTGTGTGACATTGATTGATCATATATTAATTGTTCGGCCGCGGAATGTGTTTAGTGGGTACATACTTACAACACTTCTATTTTATTTTATGTTTTAGTTTATGCTATGGCTGTATACGTGAAATCGTCGCCCGCGTCTGTATCAGCTGTCACACGTCACACGCCCTGTCATCTGTCACCTGTCACGTGTCAGTGGTGACAGTGACAGGCCGCTCTCTGTGACATTATTGATTCTGATTGATGACAGATATATCGTGATTCAGTTTCGTGATGATATAATTGTATTTTTATGACTACCAACTCACATCGACTGTAGAGACCGCTCTGTGTGTCACAATATTATGTACATCACATTTATTTCTTTTATTATTACTGGCAATAGCTATCCGTGAAGTTTGTTTATTTTTTCCTATTAGTGACAGAAATTTTATGAAATATCAAAAGAAAATTACACATTTTTAAATCACTATTACATGTAGACGTATACTAGTTAGAGCATTTTGTTTTCAGCTTCTTCGAAGACAAATTAATTAAGTAAAACAGATATATGGACTTCTAAAAACTTAATAAAATCATCATTTTTTATTAATATTAATCTTAATGCTTAATTTTTAGCTGTAGATTATTGACAGCCGATGTCCATTTTAAACAATATATTTTTAAACTTTATATGGATAATGTGTACAAATTTATTAAATGTTCGAGACTTCAGTATTGCTAAAATCTATTAAGTTCAAATAAATGAAATATTTGAGAAAATTTCTAAGAAAAACAGATACAAGAGCAGCTGTTGTTTTACAAACTCTAAAATATATTCTCAGCAGTCTGTAGTCCTTTCTTTATGAGTCGTTGTCAAAACGTGAGAGAGACATTTTGGTGAAAGCTTTTCCATAGAGAAAATTGTTGAATACTAAACACACGCTCGATATGAGAGTGTCTGACCGCGCACACACAGACACACACACACACACACACACACACACACACACACACACACACACACACACACACACACACACACACACACACACACACACACACACACACACACACACACACACACACACACACACACACACACACACACACACACACACACACACACACACACACACACACACACACATGTATACATTAATATATTAGTGGCTGGCATGGTAATTATTAATGTGTCAACTCATAGTAAGTGAGAGATATGTATATGTTAAAACCTTTGAATACGTGCTGTCTACATATTTTACGTCCAATACATAATAATTTACATCATACAACATGAACCTGAAACTAATATTTTCGGATTTTACTTCGCGTTTTAATTTTTTATTATAAACAACATACTCCTGACGTTTCGGCTACTTTTCAGCAACCGTGATCACTGTTAAAGTAAAGTAAAATCCGAAAATATTAGTTCCATTTAAATGAGTACTCTCGAAAATCTTGGATCTCATAACAATAAGTTATGAAATATTTTTAATACTAAATATTTTGATTTTATTCCCAAAGAGGGTTGATGTCAATCAGGCGGCGGTAAAAACAAGTAGCCAAAACTATTTACAACATGTATACTAGACCCTGGCTAAAGCTGGGAAATTGCCAGGAAGAAGATTTTTTTATGTCTCTCTTAATATCTTCTAAACTACTATCGGTGATCACAGATCATTCTGTATCTTTGATAGATCTTACCACTTGTTTGCATGTTATAAAAAACGCACAATCTACAGTTTTCTATACATTGTTCGGATAGTGTTTGATTAAAATCTGGTTACAAATTTACTATTACTGTTTAGTTTAACACTGCGACCTCGTGGTAATGGTGATCTTCACCAGTGAACTCCTACCATACCTTTCATCAGACCTTCAATCATCACAGTCAATGTAATCTGAAGCTATTAATTTATCAGATCTTATTATAGCAAGGTTAAGTAATTGAATCTTTATCAAATAATTGTTCAGTTTTTTGGTTTAATTACACTTTTAAAAAGATTTAAGTTTAAATTGAAAAACTACAGCAGTTAGTATAAATTGAACATTAATGTAGTAACTCAACATTAGGTCGGCAGTACTGGCATGAGATTTCTCTGATAAGAGATTAAAAGCTTAGGACAAATTACACTCAGATAAAGGGAAGCTGGGATCGTAGATTGCCATTTAAGAAGATACGTAGGAACGGATTACACGAACACACACACGCACACACACACACACACACACACACACACACACACACACACACACACACACATGTATGTACGCCTTGATGGCTCCTCCGTACCGACTAATGGTTAAGTATTTAATGAAGACTCGCATTAAGATACTTCCTATTAAACAACATAAGGTTTTAAGGAAGGCACTACCTACAATACGATATAAACTATCGGTCCCGAAGACCGTTGGTCTGCCAGACCGTAGAACGATAGAAACTATCGGTGTTAGACACCGCTGGTCCGCCAGACCGTAATCGCTAACAAGGAAGGTTCCCATCACACATACATACAGGACACACGACGCTCCCTGGACCCGACTAACCTGATCCACAGACAGACTTACACCCGGACATCTGTCTACATTATAGAGATTTGAATGATCCGCGACGATTTAAATATCGATATCTAATATTATTATATATCGACATTACTCAATAATTTATTAAACTATATATATATATTTTTAACACGTCATCGATTCATAAAAAAGCATATTATTGTACTTTGTGTTACATAATTTGATATCATTTTTTACTATACATTTAAGCAGTATAAATTATATATTTTATCGATATCCCTCGTGTCCCATCACTAGCTAGGGCCGTGAGTTAGAAGCGTTTGAATGGAACCGTACATTGAAGGGCGTTCTTGGTCACTACACAAAAAACATTCAATTCAACTCACTTGAAGACTAAATTAAAAAGCACTTCTACACGTACGATACCCACAAATATTATGTTTAAATATTATAATAATAAAATGTCATTATATATATTTTATTGGTCTTTATTTATTATGTTTTTTTATACATTTAAATTCATTTTTGTTTGCAACAAACGCTGAAAGCTAATTTAATAAGTAAATAAAAAAACAATATAAAATTAAATTATCAAAACAGTATGTATTATTAACGTAAACAATATTTTTACATTATCATATATTTGTATGTATTTTAATATTATAAAGTTAAAATTTGTTGAATTTTAATATATATAAGTAATTAGTGATAGTGTTAAGTGTGTTCGTTTGTTACATAAGTCATCTCCGTCCGCGTGGGTCGTGGGTGACACAGCTTCCACAAATCAATGAATTCATCTGCCGTGAGCACTGCAGATAAAAAGTTAGCTATAATGCGGGCAACGAGCACACATCCGAACGTTATCCTTAACACAATACACATAGAGTACATTTTAGACCGAAGCAAGTCTTACAAATCCTTCAAGGACGTTTTTGATGTGTTTCGGAACTTTCCTAATGTAAAGGGTGTTTTTTAAATCTATTAATATACACTCTTTAGTTGGAATATTATGTAATTGAACCGTCGCGTCGTTTTCCTTCAATAATATCGATATGGATAGCAATTCAATTGAATTTATAATTAGCAACGGAAAGTCAAATTTCGTGATCGAGTGAGTGGAGCCAGTATTCAGGGTCGCGGGCCGCCCCTCCCTACCCTCGCTCAATAAGGACCGAGGGTGAAAGACTTGGGGAAGGTCAGGCTCGGCTTGACGGGCTTCACAGGTGACGAGCCAATATATATAAAGAATACATTCCCTCCCTTGGCCGAGTATTCAATGTGTTGTTAATGTTTAATATTTATTCCTATCCACGGCGACCTGTCAACAATGAGTACCACACTCGCAGCTAAGTGTGTAACGCTGTTGTTACGGCTGCACCTTTTCTAAACCCTTTTCATCCCCTATGTAAGGGGTCTCACAAAAGCCGGCCAGTTCCATCAGATGTTGCCAAGGTCCGAAATAAAAGCGATCAAATATGTAATGGCTCGCTAACACTGTTCTGCGCCGCGCCGGCCTTCCTAGCGTGTGATACGGTGCTTTAACATATATACATACAAAGAATGGGTTTGGACGTTAAGCTAACAAAATGTAGAATTTTATGACCAAGAATCAAAATTGCGAATGGACGTACAGAAGTCAGCGACTATAATGGTATATAGACTTTAGAACTAGACTTAGATTTTAGACTAGACTAGACTTTAGAAGGAGCTCTATATATATGATTAATATACATATAATGATGATATGAATACCTAATATAATATATACATGCTAATGTAAACAGCGTCCGCTGGACTCTCTGCCACTCGAGAGACCGGATTCCTATAATTAGAACTTAATTAATCAAGTAATTTGTCGATATATTTCCTCGAAATCATCTTCTTCATTAAGTCCATTAACGGATTCCCACAAATCTGATCGCTATACATCGTGACGTCATATTCCTCATCATTCTTATGTTTCTTTTTGTTTAATAAAATCTCCATAGCTTGTAATATATCCCGGGTACGCCTATAAATAGATCGCGTCAGTTGTAGGCCAGCCTGGAAGCCCTTCAAACTCGTATCTTTAACGATGATCAACAAAAATATCTTTCGGAAAATAGTTAACACGAAACGAGTGTGGGGAAATATAAGATCACAGACGGTGACTGGCGCGCGTCGAACGTCATATACATATAATACATTACACAACCCGCTGGCAGCCTGGGTGAATCTATTACAAATAATAACAATAATAATCAATCTCCGCGGACAAATGATGCGTGAGTGTGCCGACGTCTAAGACAGACGCCTCGCCGACATCGGCGGTACAAGTTCATTGTTTGTATGACACGTTAACATTGAGAGGATTCATATTATAATGAATTAGTTCGAAATGAACACGATGCTAACTCGCTAGTCTACAACCAGTGTATTGGTTCCAGGCCTGAGGCCTCGTGTGTCAGGTCCGCGAGGCCTGCGAGGTCTATGAGTGTACTGGGTCGCGTCATTCAAACATCGCTGTTTTTTCTGCGTCCAAACCAGACTCGATGGAACCCGCGGAGTTTTTTATGTAGCGAGCTCGTTTCTCTCGTTCGAGTGGCATTTAATTTGATCAGTGTTTAGTTGTAGTACTGTACCAATCTATACTATTACGTATAGGTATATAGGTAGCGTAATTAATAATAACGTATCAATAAACGCGACAATATACGTACGTAGTTCAGTAACATACACTAGTTAACAACGTGTGTAATGTGTATACTGTGTAGTAAAAGGCACGCGTGAGGCCCATCACCTGCCAGTAACGTACTATGTCTGTTTTAAACATATATCTAGCCAACAGTAATGAGTCGTCACCACCCTCGCGGTCGTGATCATGACGTCTCTACACAATTAATATTCTAAAATCATCTCCCAAACAACCATTTTCGGTCCATAGCCGAGTGAGGCGCTTTGCACGCCGGATTCTGCTAAAATGCGCGTGCGTCGGGGCCCCTGACCTTGTAGCGCATGGCAGTCCCCCCCCCCCGGCGGCCGCCCCGCAGCCCCCTCGCCCCGCCGGCTAGTGAAGAACACGAGTCGAGCGAGACAGTCTGAAAGGTCTTTATCCCTTTACTAGTATTTCGTGAATGTGTCCTATTATTGTAGGAGCAGCTAGCCGGCACAGCGTACTGTTTGTGTGTTGTTCTCCAGGCTTGTGATGATTATCATGTCCCTCCATAGCCAGGTCAGACAGGCTCGTTCAATGTTCTATGTCACACGTCATCATGTTTACTGTTCTAACCGTGAGGATCTGCCGTCTGTGTCCAAGCTGCCCGCCTCTCCTCCGCTCCGATACATTATTTATGATTCAGTATTAAGTTGTGTTTGTTATAAATCATTGATCGAAACAATATCTGCGACATGCTCGAACTTTTCCATTTCCATCAAACATGTAAGGTTTACAGTTCACCTGTGACTGGTAACTGGAGCTAGGAGTGGTGCCTCTGAGATGTCAACGCTTCAATCAAGGCTCTACCACACCATTATAAGAATTTCATTACATCTATTTTCTTTATATAACAGTCACGTGATCTCATACTAGGAATACCCTTCATATAAATCTTTAATTCCTTAATAGTATTTAATAACATCAACTCGAGGAGAGTTAGTTTTCTAAGATGACTATCGCGGTGTGGTCTATGGAATAGGAATTTCACATTGCTTAAAATTATTTGAAAAACTGTCAATAGATATTAATGACATGGTCTTTACTCATGTCATATCCTAACATTCAAAGTATTTGTTGAACCTTAGACCAGAACAAGATAATTAAAACATTAATAATGAAAGTCTTTTTCCTAGTAATGTTACTACCAACATATGAATATTATGTACATTAGTATAACGGTTGGTATCCTTGATATATTGAGCCGCGACGCAATATCGTATTGTATGTCGAATGCTTGTATTCGAGGACAGTTTTTCAACATAATTCATTGGGTAACTAATGGCACGACCTTGATCATCGCCTGTAACCGCCTCACTGTGTACTTTTTAACTGAACGTACGAAAAAAATGCCGGCCTCTTTAGGGCAGTGGACACTTTATAAATACTACGTCACAATAGTGTAGTCACTGATTGATATTGGCGATTCATAATTTACCGATAGAAAGAACTTGTGGATGTTATATTATGTTATTAGATAGACATCTCTACAACCTAGCGAGGTTTGTATAGCGAGACCAACGAACTGCTGAATAAACGAATATATATTTACTAAAGAAAACTCCAATATAAATACTAGTTTTTGTCCGCGACTTCGTCCACGTTAATATCGGTATTAGTAATATATGTATACATGACTGAGAGAACTCTATTCCGTCCTAGAGGCCATAAATAATAGATATTGGAATTTATTAATTTTTTTTTCGATCGAACAAAATTATATATCCTATGTCCGTCTCCTGCTTCTAATCTATCTCTCTACCTATTTTCAACCATATCCGTACAGCCGTTTTTAAGTTATAAATAGTGTAACTAACACAACTTTTTTATATATTTAATAAAACATATATATATTATAATTTCTCATCATTTGTAAACATCCCAGTTTTAACATTATTATTCGTTTTTTCCCACATTTTACAATATCTGTGTCCAGAATATCTTAAAACAAATTGTTCGCTGGTCCAGGGTACAGGCTCCGAGGGTCGACCTGCGTGACTTGTGTTACTAATACCGCTGCCACTTCTATTTTTGCTTAAACATTTTCTCTCAACAGGCATTTTCACTGAATCTTCAATTTAAAAGAATTAAGCATTATCATCTGTTTCATATTTATTTATAAAAGAAAGTTGTGTTAATTACACTGTTTATAACTCAAGAACGGCTGTAGTTGAAAATTCGTGAAAAGATAGCTTAGAACTAGGAGACGGACATAGGATATTTAATTCAGTTCGATCGAAATAAACAATAAACTCCAATACCTGGTTATTTACGGCCTCTATGCGGAATAGAGTTCGCCCGGTATCTATACATATATTACTAATTACAAAATTGAAGCGGACAAAGTCTCGGACCAAAACTTGTATAGTATATAGGAATTAGCTGAGACGAGAGTTTATAGGTTTAATGGAGGCTCTAGTATCAGTATAATAGTTCTTCAATATATATAACGTTTAAAATATCATTTATTCTCATTACACATGTTTATACCTCAAATCGATGGCTCCCAGAACATGTATAACCGATTTATAGGTAGTAAAAGTTAATGTAGGAGTATAAATGTCGAGTACTACCCCATTCGCGAGTCTCCACAGTGAGTGAGCCCAGCCGCGGGTCTCATTAATATTAATCAGTATGAGGAGGGTTATCGTCGAAGGTAAGCCGGGACTGTCTCAGCACGCAACCACCGTAGATCCTGCACGAACCATGCGCCGACCGCCACGGACCGCTGAACACTTAACGGCTCTATTACAAGGTACAACCTGGACTTTATATGTACGTCTTATATACAAAATAAGGAAACTCCTCCGAAACGGATTGACGATTTTGATTAAATTTTGTGAGCATACTTATTAAGTAGGTCTGAAAATCGGCCAATATCTATTTTTCATACCCCTAAGTCACAAGGGTTGTTCAAACTTATTTTTATTTTTTTTTGGGGAAATTTTTTGGTTTTTAAAATTTTTACTTTTTTATCTCCAACCCCTATTATTTTATATACCAAAACAACGTTTGCTGGGTCAGCTGGTTTTATTATATAGAAGTCTTTCATTATTAATTGCAACTTAATTCATGTTACAAGATTACTGAAGATCACTTTTATCAATGCGGTGACATATCCAAACTAAACATATATGAAAATTAAACGAAATCTAAGTAAAATTCAAAATCCATATCTAATTTATAGATAAAGCTGATATTACATTAAATGCGTTATTAATGTTATACGTAGAAAACTACAAGCTATCCTGGAAGCTAGCAGTGACCGTTAATGTGTGAACTATTGACCTCATGAATTGGGAGTTGTTTCTAAAGGGCCTGGTAAAATACGAAACATCATTATATGTTAGGACTTAGGACATACATCATCTGGAGTGTATGATATTACCGCTGTATGCTATCTATCAGGCTTGAAGCTTAAATACTAACTGAAGGATGAGGTATGAATCCTCTACTTCTGGAGACTCCTCAATAATACCAGAGAATTTAAGTCTACTCCTACTTTCTATCTAGCAGACCGTCTGCTTGTTTAATCTTTTGGAATATAAAAACAAATGAACTAGGCTATGAAGCTGCTGAAAATAATTTATAATAGGTACTTCAATTATATATTTTTCTTTTTATACTAATCTAAGCAGACGGCCTACTTGATGGAGGTAGTACCGTCACCCATGGACATCCGCAACATTTCTTATGTCACGGATGTATAGCCACCCTTGATTAGAAAAGAGGGGGAGGTATAAGTGGGAAAGGGAGGGAAAAGGAAAGGGGTGGGAAAGGAAGGGAAGTGAAAGCCGTCATGATCAAAGTGTTCGGAGCCAAATTATAACAATCTAAATTAAATTATAGTTCTTATATTTTGTTTTTTGACACACGTTTGAACGATTGAACCCAGCAAGGATTCGCTTCACAGATAACACATTAAACATAAGGCGACCGAAATATTGGATAGTTCCCTCTTAATAACCATTCATAGGAATTTATAGCGGGCCATTACTGATACTAGATAACACTAGGGAAGACGGCATATAATAGTTTAACATTAACTTGTTTATATCATTTTAACAGTCTTATGTAATATCTTCTTCTACCTGGCAATTTCCCAGCTTTGGCCAGGGTCTGCCTTACATGTTGTGAATAGTTTTGGCTAATTGTTTTTACGACCGACCGCCTGCATGACATCAACCCTCTTTGGGAATGCATTAATCAGTGATGTCTAAATACTCTTAGAAAGTGCATATGACTCGGAAAAATAACATTGGTAATTGCCAGGATCGAACCCGCGCCCTCATGCATGAGAGGCGACCCTTTTAACCACTAGGCTACCATTGAATTCGTCTAATATAATATATACACTGGAAACTACTTATGTTTTATAGTACAACATATTTCAATTTAATATAGATGTTTTTACTATACTGTACACGTTCCGTTTGAGAGTTACCGTCAGTCATTTAAACGACATTTTCATTTAATTCAAAGATTGCATCTCATTTAGAAATGAGATTATAGATAATCTATTTATATATAGTCAATATTATTTATAGTCAATGAATTTCATTTGATCAGTACTATCCATCTATTTACGTTAATACAACTAAGTAATATACTACTATTCTCAATAACTATAAAGATTCATCTCTGAGTGCGGAAATGAGACTTAATATAACCACAACGGACTATGAGTATTTTATATACCTAATATAATTATAGGCTAGATTATTTTTAACTCTATATAAATAAGGCAATATTGTTGTTGCCCATAATAAAATATATATGTATAATATGAGTAACCAGGTAGAGATTGTAGAGTGATGTTATTTAATACATATGTATGTACGGTGTATATGTATGGTACAGGACTCCGGGCCAACTGAAGTCCTTCAAGGCCTCAGCGTTGTGTCATCGCGGAACGTCCCACAAACAGAATCGTAAATCAATCAGCACATTCATGTTATAACTACGACGAGTATACAAATACGACCAATGTTAAATGTTATGTAATGTCACCTTATGCTTACCACTCTTTAGCTACTTACGCTACTTCCTTACTTATTTGAAATAAAGAAAATTCTAATTGTTCAACTTTTTCTTATAAAGCGCACAAAGTTTAAACATAACGAACGGCTCTGTCGTGTGTTATATAGTGTTGTATATATTAATATGTATAGTTACCTCACGAGATACAAACTAAGGAACTAATCGTTACTATTAGACAAGTATGTGTATTATTAGTGAGGCCGAGCGCGCTGCGTGTGTAGTGTACGCGACCTCAAGGACACGCGTTCATGTTTTGATTGCGTTTCATTTAAATTTTACACCGTTTGATGACTGTATCGACGCACAACACAACAGAACACAACACAACACTAGCCCAGCGCTGCGGGTCTTTGGATACCTGAATGTTTGATTATACTCACACCTGTGACTGGCGGCGGAAGGTCGGGCCGCTCCCGAGCTGCTCCAGGTAGAGTGGACTCGTCCGTGTCCGTAACTTACCTTCCGGCGATCATAATTACGTGCCGTAAAGGCTCCGTAGGATCGGCCGGTGTTTGACCCGAGGACGCAAACACGAAGGGCGCATGCGTCCCTCGCCGTAAACACTCGTCTCGGGGCTGACCACGTGGTGGTGACTCAAACAATACAACACGGAAACAAACCGCCCCAAGCCGCCGCGGTCACACCCAGCACCAACACTCGCAGGAGCTGATATATGAGCGCCATAAAAACTGAATCATTTGCACTCGCGACACGAGCGGGCTGCTGTACACGAGCGGCGCAGCCCGCGCCCTCCGGCACACTGGCGGCCGTGGACTACTGTGACGACTGGCGGCCGGCGACTGGCGACTGGCGACTGGCACACACGCGACCCAACTAGGCGCGCCGAGCGCCGCGGAACACTAGCCGCCGCGACATCGATGAATACGACGCTCGCCCGGCACACGCATACTGGACTTAATGCTGCCTCGCATTTGCATAAACATTAGTTACATAACGACGCAATACTATTACAGTAGAGTCTTGTATCAAAAAAATACTATTCTTAAGTATTGAATGTATTTCCCGTTACAAGGCAACTGAAGCGGCTCTACCTTGGCTGTATAGCACTATCGATATGCCCTAAAGGTTTCGGAGACATCACTAACTACGGCAGCGTGCCCGCCGCCCCCGCGCCCCTCCGCCTCTCCCCCGCGGCCCCTGCGTCCCCGCTCCCCGCGCCCCTCCCTCGCCCCCCTCGCGCCATCCTCGTCCATTCAACGCATTTTCTGTCATAAGCAAATCAATAATCGCATTATACTTCCGCTATGAAGCACGCGCGTCGCTCGCCGGCCGCCTCGCTGCAACCGAACTATGTCAGGAGGGACATCGATCGTTCACTGACTAATTTTTGTGTCAAACAAACGACGAGGTGACTAACGAAAGGTTAGAGAACTTTTATAGTTTAAGAATCGAACGTCTAGTTTACTCTGCAGGTTGTGACTGGAGAAATATATATCTAATATACTTTTTAAGCATTTCTCATGCTAAGTCGGTAACGCGGTCTTTTTTATGTATATGTATAAGAATACAGTATACAGATATAGTAATTATATACTGTATAGTAATCGACCGTTGCCTCACTACAGTCGTCCATCACTATATGTACGGGCGCGGTGTTCCGTGTTGTACATCAGATGTTTGTACATGTACAGCGAGTAGTGTCAATAAAGAACGCCTCTCGTAGGTCAGGGTCGGCTGGTGCAGCGTCGACTGACGCACTACAGGAAACATGCCAACACTCACCACCTACCACCGACACTCACCGAAATCTAGATATTCTAGTTTATATATAAAATATTAGACATAAATACATCCATTGAGGATGTGGTGAGTAGTTGGCAAAGGCGTGTAGGTACACCATGACTCATTAAACTCAGTGTAAATACTAAACAGTCCCTGTCAAGTCTACTGCTCGTTATAAAGTAACGCTCTCCAATAACTTTACATCCCTAGTGAGTTCACTTCATTAATTAAATGTATTAACTGTTGTAGCTGAACAAATATTAATTTTTGGGTATAATTTCCAAGGCCACGTATTATTTCCGCACCCGCTCTACATGATAATATTAGTAAACTGAATAATATTTATTATGTATTTTCTATTATATATAAAATATGAGGAAAATGGCGTCCAACTGTGTATATCTGACATTGGATAAAATATATTTGTTGTGCAGGAAAATTATTGTTAATGATGTAGAGTGACCGCGTGATATGAGGCGGTTAAACATTGTAAACAAATAAACAAGAAACAGAAAATAAATAAATTTAGATTATTATATAAAACACATAGAATGGGATAAACTAAAGAAAGACTCGGTAGGAGTCGGTAGTATTGTTTCTGTGAAGCATTGTCAACTGTCTATTTACTTATATTAATTCATTTAAATGAAACTAATATTTTCCGAAAACTACGCATTATTTTATTAGTTTTAAAACTACATACTTGTAGTACAAGACGATCTTATTTTCCCGTGATCACGGATGGTGCAAAGTTAAACCGTAAAAATTATGTTGTTTAAAATAAAAATAATTTTAGATCTCATTATATTAATTCCTCCGTTGACGGAATTATATTTTTAAACCTGATCAATTCCTTGTCATCTCCTCTTACTTCCCCACGCCTCACACCAAAAATCCCAAATCACAAATCTGTTCAGAAGTTTCAGTTAAATTCTCAAACAAACTCTGTAATAGACAAAGTTGTTCAAACACAATCCGTTGAACACTCCCGAGTCCCGAGGTCGAACTTGTCTGATCCAATTATATGAAACACGTACACTTTATTGAGTCGGTTAACTAAATATTTTAATGCTGTACATTTCTTCACCTGAAACCTTATAACTTTAGAACAGACCAGCTCTCGAGTTCGCTCCAAAACCTCAAAGTTTTTCTTCGTACGATAACAAATTGACGAGAACGAGTAGCGAGCTTTGTTAATTAGAAGCATCTCAGACTTTAGTAATGTTAATGATTATATTCAGAGTTAGGATATATTATATGTTAAGAAATAAAACATATTATAGCTTGTAATATAAACTACAATAAACAAAATACTAAAGAAAATTCAGATCATTCGTAACGTTGTGAGCTTAAATAAAATTCGTGATTTGTTTTAATTAAAATTTCTTTATATTTTTGTGTAGTAAATATTTAACATTAACGTCCCCTTATTTCTTACTTTTAATGTGTTTGATAAAATTCACATAAATAGATATTCAATGATAGTCAGATTCAATATGTGAAAAATATCGTGAGATTGCATTAGAGACGTATCTTTGACCTTTACAATACTTTAATAATTAATAGTAAGTTAATGTAATATAGTGATTAGACACAAACAAACAAACTTAAAATATAAGGAAAAAACAATGAACACAGACCATTCACCGAGGATTACTGAGATGATCAGTGACAGGAGTCCACGCTACACCTGACCGGCTCCTGAGACGTTTAAGTGACAATTACCTATTACAACAACCAACTGACACCTCCATTAAAACTTTATTCATTCCGTTACAGCATTTACTATAAACTATAATCAAACTTAAAATTATTCCATGCATTGATTCCGTTGGATTGACAACCCTAACTAAACGATTGCTACCTCTGTCGTTACCTCATACTAAAATAACTATAACTCAACATTTGTTTTCTAAATCATACGAAGAAGTTCTCTCGAACTTAAGTTATATAACTCGTGGAGAGGAATAAGAATACTGGCGCCTCTTTTTAAAAGAAATGTACAAAAAACACGAACAAACGGCCCGTCCGCCCTCCGACAGACGAGCGGCACGCATCATCAGCCACAGAAGACTTATTTACATACGTAATATGCATATTATCGGCTGAGTATAAAGAAAAATGTATGATAACTACCAACACTCACAGACGGACAAAAAATATATAGTTACAGATAAGTAAACATTTGTGGGGAATGATTTTATTGCAATGAACATCGCTACCATCATTAGGCTCGACTTATTACTTTAAACATTCCTTTGAGTACAATTGAATGTACATCAAATGAAACAATTGTCCCCAATGACGTCACATGAGAGGATTCCTTGCTCGTGACGTCATCGACCACAGAGCGGTATCCGACCTAAGGTTACGTAAGCCTCTGACCTTACACACTTTTGTCCTGATGAAGCATACAATGACAGAACGTAATATTATACAGATATTTATGGATGTATCTGTTAAAGCTTAAGTAGAAAGTGATATAAGTATATACACTTACAATATATTTATAAACTAGCACCGGCAAGTTATTTTAAAAATTCTCTCTCATAGATTTATACATCAAATATGTTTTTAAGGACTTCTTTCTTCCTTACAAGTCACACCCGCGGTACACTAAGAATTAGCTCATCTCAACAACTATGCCCAGATAAAAAAATTAATATAATTACAGAGATAATATGTAGTTCGTTGTTACACAAAAAAACCCGCGGAGCATAATCTATTTAGTTAGATCATCAGTATATTTCTTAATTTTACAAGAAAATCCACATATTTCCTTTACCTTACTACTTACAAGTCCAACTTGTTGTTGTGAATAATAAATACGAAACCGATGTTATAGACTTCACTTCTAGAATTGTAAACTTACATATATTTCTAATTGGTTTTTAGTTAGTTAGTAATTAGTTTTGTTTGTCTTTATTTGACACCATTCTGTTTTTTTCTTAATTTAGCTATTGGGAAGTTTTTAAACAGTAACTAAAGAAAAATTAAGCCGTATGTAACTGGTGTATTAATTATTTCCGTGTCTGGCTATTTGCTCGTGCTGTTTTGACATCCAAACTGTAGGTAGCAAGAAACGCATATGCAAGATTACTGTACCAATCCGTTGATAAACGGGGATGCACGGATGACGGACCTAAAGCATGGAATTTGTCTAAGTTTAGCCTAAAGTATACCAAGAGGCTAGCTACTTCATGGTGAGCGCAAGGCTGGCTTGTCTGGTTTTAACGTAATCCTGTTTACCAATAAACATTTAGGCAAGCCTTAGAGTATAGAGAGCAAAACAAAGAGAAATGAGATTTTCTAGTATCTGACTAGATACACGTGGAGTGTTCCACACACGACCGAAGCTAGACATTGTAGAGATAAAGAGATGCTCTCCGGTCATGAGGACAAGTCGTCCTGCTGTATTTTAGTGAAGACACCGATTTTCCTTCCCTCTTCCTTAACATGGCACTCAAGGAACAACGCAAGAGTATGGCTTAATACCTAATAACTGAAAGCGGTAGATGATTTCCAGGATACTTTCTGAAAAATTCGATTGTTCTTTGGGTGACGTTAATTTTACAGGATTGATCTCGCTCCCTTTAGAGATGGTGTGAAGTGAGAAATCTACCCGCTCTGTATTTGATCCCGACTGTCCTCTGAGCTGGGTTGACACCACACCACAACTATGTATACTGTCATCAGCAAAGCAATCTTTATGTAAATTATATAGGTATATGATTATAAGTAACCGATACCAAAACTTTTACAATTTTAGTGGTGAAATCAAAATAAGTGAAATATGATATTACATATACCTAGTTTCGAAATAAATATATAAATAATAACAATCAATGTCTTTGAAAGTTCGGCGCACAATTTTAGGACTGCTAAGGCTTATCGTAAAATAAAAGGTTACTCATTCACTGACGAAGAGGTTATTTGGTTATTATTGATAGATTATGCTCTAAAGATGTTAATGTTTCTTTAGAGATAGCTCTCATGTCGGTATCTAGGAAATAAACCGAACAATTTTCAAATAAATAAGATCAAGCGTTTAGAGGTAGGTACCTACCTAAGTAGTTACCAGTAAATGTTTTTAGTGAAAATAAAATGTCTACAAATAAACTTAATGATGTTTATCTATATATATATAAAAATGAATCCTGTTTTCCCTTGGTCACGGCATCACGCGTGAATGGCTGGACAGATTTCACTAATTCATTTTTTATTCTATTTGTTATTTTTAGGAGAAGGTTCTTTTGTAAGAAAAAATACGAAAATTACTAGAAAAAAAAAATACTTTAATATTTCACTTTTTTTAACAAAATAATGTGTCACTGGCAGTAATATTCACGTAGTTGCCATTAAAACAAAGAAAAAATTAAATCAAATTTACATGCTCTTTGCAAATATATTGGTCGGAGTTGTTCTGTTGCCGGAGTTATAATAACAAAATACCTACTTACATAATTCATTTATTATTTCTTAGTGTACTTTTAATAATAATAGTAATAATTTGAAGTGTGTGTAACAGATATTCCTTGATAATATATGGCGGTACGAAGTTCGGCGGGTTAGCTAGTTTTTAATACATATAATATTTATCTTAGGTGACAATTTATCCTCCTGTAAAACCCTTCTTTGTATTCAATTTAAATTTTTTCGTCGTGAGTTATATACGGAACAAGCCTTACCAGATACAATTTCATTCCAATAACAACAAAAAATTATTTTTAAAATTATGAGAAATATAGGTACATTTTCTACAATTTCATTATGTGAAAACAAGGCCATATGTACTCGCTCGTTAGTTACTTCATAACTCCTTTATTTATGAAGCCATGAGGTGTTTCAAGTTACAGGAATACTTTTGTATTTATTTCATAAATATTACATATCATGACACAAAGGCCTCAGACGGTTATATGTCATATTATTTAAAACTTCTATAGATGTTCAAAATATACTTAAATATACTCAAAAGTAGGGTTCAATAATAAAACACAGTATCTTTCTAATATATTTATCGAAGAAACAAGAAAATCAAATACACATCATTTATAAGAGACAACACAAAATTAAAGATAGGTATCTCATGATACTGAAATTAAAAAAATATATCATTACAACTGTGAACACTAGCCCTAATACAGACGGACAGGAAATAAAAAGACAATTACTAGTATATTAGTATGAAATAAAATCCTTCATAGATGTCGCTCGCGTCACTCCAACATGTGTTGTGGGTCGAGGATATATGTGTGTGTGTAATATTAATTAGATGACGATGACCCGCCGCGATCACGAGCACCAGCAGCCGACCTGGGGGGGAGAGGGGGGAGGCATGAGTTACATATATAATGTATATATTATATGTACATACATTTAGGGTAGACATTCCAGTGGTTAAAGCTTCGACTCTAGGTCTTGCTAGTTTTCTTTGTAAATCTCCATTTAAATTTAATAACGCTATCATATCAAGATCGTTTTAATATTATAAACATGTCTATATATATATATATATATACATACCTTTGCGAGTTCTTCCGTTCCGATCTCTTCCGTCCGTCGTTGGAGTCAGACGACTCGCTGGAGTGCTTCTTCTTACCCTCTTTAAAATATAAACAACATATACATAAATATTTACGTTAAAAAACACATTGCGATAATAATATACAATGTGATCATTTATAATCTACGCTCAATTATAACCACTGCCAGGAAAGAAATAAATTCTCGGTCCCAGGTTTTTTTAAAGTCAAAACAAATTATAATTATCTACATCTAGTATATACGTGTCCGCGGACGGAACTTTTGTTCAGAGAAATGTATAATATGTAATATCTTAAATAAAATAAAAAAAAGGTTACATCCTAACGGCGCTATCTACAGTTTGCTGTAAGATTTTTGAGTATATTATAAGTTTATACGCTATTCTGCTTTTGAGTTATATAACTGTAAAGTTTCATCAAAATCTGTTCAGTAGTAGTAGGTTAGGTGCCGTTAGTTCTGTTGGTGGTTCATGTCCTCACCCCGTCCCTCCCTCTGCTGCTGCCTGCTCTTGATCAGCCTCACTATCTCGAGCAGTTCCCTCCTGGCAGCCTCCTACAACAAGTCAACGAAGATACAGCTTGTATTATTAATGTTACATCATAATTTCCATGTATCTAGTTATATATATATCAACCTTCTTATCGTCTGGAACGGATTTCTCCCCACTCTTGTTATCAGCGGACGTCTTCTGTTCTCGTGATTTGGACCTGGTACATATAGTATTAATGAGATCTAAGATTTTCGCGAGTACTCATTTAAATAAAACTAATATTTTCGGATATTACTTCGCGTACTTATTTTTGAGTGACTCACATCTCTGCCCGTGATCACGGTTGCTGAAAAGTAGCCGAAACGTCGGGAGTATGTAGTCTATAATCAAAAATAAATACGCGAAGTAAAATCCGAAAATATTTGTTTCATTTACATATAGTATTATTGACAAGTGATCTTTTCTCACTGGTACTCCAAATATTTATATACATATCCACTAGTAGTTTTACATCATTAATCACGTCTGTAGTCTTATGTGACGTCACAGTAACTAACCTGTCTCTACGCGCGTGTGTCTTTTCCCTGTCGTCCCTCTTCTTGTCGTCTCTGTCCCTCCTCCTATCTCTGTCTCTGTCCCTCCTGTCCCGTATATCTTTATCTTTCGACTCCTGTCTCCTGCTGGACTCCTGTTTTCTGTCATCGTGTTTGTCTTCTTTGTCACCTTCTTTCTTTCCTTCTCTTCTATCATACTTCTCTCCTCTCTCTGTTTGTTTTTTGTCTCTGTCACTCCTGTTCCTATCTCGCCTGTCGTCTCTTTCCCGCCGATGTTCTGGATCTCGTTTCTCATATCGATCCTCCTTTCTATAAAGAAAATAATATTTTAATTATGATTTTCACACATATTACTACTACTATATATATATTTAAGTCAGTGGTGGACTGGTTATATGTACTTTCTGAGATTATTTAGACACCACTGACATACAGTGAAGGAAAAGATCGTGAGGAAACCTGGACTTATAATTTCACAATTATAAGTTTGAAATCACCAACCTATCATGAGCAAGAGTCGTCATTATCAAACCTTCTCCATGTGAGAAAGAGGCCTTTTCTCAGGAATGGGCTCTGATAGGCTAATGACTATATTTTTATTCCATTATCTTGTATTTTATCAATCATCTAGTGTAACCTGGGCGTGTGTGTCTGTTTGTCCTTGTTGTTAGTGAAGGTGCTCCGTAGCAGGCTGAAGGGGTCGTATCCCTCGTTGTCTTGTTCCCTAGCCGGTGGTCGGGACACGGTCGTGATGGCGGAGGACACTCTCGGCACGTACGGAGCTGACGAGTCTTCGGGACGTTTGGAGAAGTTCTCTCTCGAGTCACGATTATCCCTTAGGAACAAAAGAATATTTATATGTTTATAAGTATTTAGTTACTAGCTTAATTATACAAGTGAGTGTACATATATAATTTGGTCAGTGGCATCAACAAACAAACAGATCTCTGGTCTGCATGCATGTGTGTGTGTGTGTGTGTGTACCTGTTCCGTGTGTTGACCCCCAAGGCTCGCGCCAGTCTCTCCGCGCGCGGCTCACAAGGTCGATCCTCTGTATACACATTATTATTAGTCAGTATACACATATAATATATATGTATATAGTACATAAGTCTCGTGTTATTATATATTATACATCCATACCGTCACGTTCGATATCTTCTTCAAAGTCTAGGGCGTTGTAATCGACTTTCTCGTGGTGGGATCGCTCTGAAAACAATTACAAATGTGTTGAAACATGGATAAGTTTTTTAAATGATTTTTTCAAGTACTTATGGTTCTTTTATAGCATCAGTAAGTTTGTTCCATAAACCAATATAATTAATTTTCCCAGTACACAAAGTTGAAGATGTTTGTTGTGGGTGTATGTATGTATGTGTGTGTATTATTCTATTACATCACATAACCTCACACTAACCTATAGTTGTATCACACTCTCCTTCCTCCTTCTCCCTCGGTCGTTCAGGAGTACCTTCCTCACCTTCTTCTGTAATAAAAACTTATTTGTTTATAACTGTAAGATCAATTCTTCATGTGTTCTGAAAAGTTAACTCATTGCATGTATGAATATCAGTTACTTTTGGTTACTAACCTCAATATACCTAAGATTATTATTCAATGACATTATTAAGCAACTGTAAAAGTTTCTTAAGTCTTAATAAAAATAAAATGTTTTATATTATAATAATATGAATTACGAAGTACAAGTAGTATGGTATGCTGTAATAATATACATTCAAGATTTCACAGTGAATAGTTTAAACGTTGGTTTATTTTCTTGTAATTTAATTTAAATATCAATATATCAACTAACTGCTGTGCTGTACTTCCGGTCTCTTGGGAGGTTCCTGTTCCGGCGCGTCGCGGTCCACTTGCTGTAATCAATAACAATATTATTAATCCTTTCCATTTAAACCATGTTGCTATATAAATATGATAACATAAAAATCATTATATGAACATATTACCATAATTATTTCATTACTATGAGTAATCTGTTTATTTAATAGTACACTATATAAAACTTTAAAATTTAATAAGGATCCTTTTTATTGTACAATACAGGTTAATTCTAAAATAACTTTAATTAAGAATTAAAGTGAAACCTTTTATTTATATGAACAACCTGTGTGTGTGTGTAACCAACGAATTGAGCAAGCGTGGTGATTAATGCTTAAACCTTCTCCATGTGAGAAAGAGGCCTTTGCTCAGCAGTGGGCTCTGATAGGCTAATGATGACGATGACGTATGTGTGTGTAGGTCTGTGTGTCTGTATGTGTGTGTGTGTGTGTCTGTGTGTGTATCACCTCAATGTGCGCCAACTTCACGATCCGTCTCTGCGCCTGTCTCCAGTGGGGCGGAGTGGCGGAGCGGGAGCGGGAGCGAGAGCGGGACGGCGTGCGGTAACGCTGTACATAACATATATATATATATATATATAATACATACTATCACCTTATATTATAACTACATATATGATTGACGGCATTATATTCGGTATATCATTGTTAATACATCACTATATAAACAAAAACAACACAACCATACTAACAAAAGTATAATAGTTTACTAGACATTCACATCTCGTCTTCGTGATCACGGTTGCTGAATAGTAACCGAAACGTCGGCAGTATGTAGTACACAAAACCATGAGCAGTATATCCGAATAATATTAGTTTCATTTTAGTTTATGAGCTATAGTTATAATAGGGTGACATACAAACACTCCCCGTCCCTTGATGATCCGTCCGCTGCGGGTGTAGTGATGTCTCTCCCTTTCACGGTAGCGGACTCTGGAACGATATGATATGTATAATGTATATGTCAAACTGTAATAATAATAATAAATAATTTATTCAAGTTATACTGTACACTATATTAAAGTGTTAATTACAGAGTTATTTGTTAAATGATAATAATCAATTATAAAACTAGCAACCCTCAAGCCACCTATATAAAGAGCGCCGCTACTGACAATCTGACACTTTTTGTTCCCAATCATTATCAAAAGACGCTCTGCCCTAATTATATATATATGTATTTATCTGTATGTCACCTCTCCCTGGCCCGCCTGTCTCCCCGGTCGTGGTCGCGTCCCTCCCTCATGAGGAACCTGTTGGCGGGCACCTCGGGTATCTCCTGAGGGTCTATCTTGGACGTGGTCACCAGCGGATGAGAGGATTCCTGGACCTCTTCCTCAGAACGCTCCGATTGGTTGCTAACAAAACATAATAATAACAATAATAAAGCTTTTTATTTCACTGTAAAGTAAGTTACATTACAAAGTGTTAGTAGATTGCTTATAACTAGGTAAGTTTATAAAATTGTTGCTAAGAAAAGATAATTACTATGAAATCCTTATAAACTAGTTATATCTTATCCTTGTATACTCCATTCAAATATATTTTTAATTCTCAGTCTACTTAGCAGCATTTACCATTCTATGTTAATAATAAAATTATAATAATAATTAAGTAATTAAGTAGTCGCAAGTAAAATCAGGGGTTAGAGGTCCTAAATATGTTTTTTAATTCATTTTCAGAAAAATATCATTATTTATGGGTTTTATGCTAATGTAAATATTCAATCTACCTTTAGAATAATTCTAAAATTTAAAATTTCACTATGATCTCTTTCAGTAACTCAAATTTACTATGGGAGTTCTTCTTATATTTGGATGGTCAGAACAAACACATGATACCAAAAATTACAAGATAATGTTAAACTTATCATGTTAGAAGGGCCCTCACCGTTTCCTTTTTTTATCTTTTTTCTTTTTCTTATCTTTCTTCTGTGACTGGTCAGAATCCTCACCACTTTCCTTAACCTTTTCCTTATCTTGCTTGCGTTTCTTGCCTACAAGAAATATTAATTTATTTACTTGCCTATTTATATCCTTAGAATCTAGCGTAACGGGATTTCTGTCCAAATAAAAAGGCAAAAAACTTGTCATTTTTGATTCCTGTTAGTTATTACATACATGAGACTATACTAACTGAATACACATAAATCTCACGGATTCTGTTTGACTTTATGGACCAATAGTTGTGATTATTTCATTGTTATAACCATATTTCTGTTCGTATCCACACTGAATTCATTCTTCCTCTACCTAGCAATTTCCCAGCTGTAGCCAGGGTCTGCCTTACATGTTGTGAATAGTTTTTGGCTATTTGTTTTTACGACCGGCCTGACATCAACCCTCTTATGGGAATACATTAATCAGTGATATCTAAATACTCTTAGAAAGTACATATGACTCAGAAAAATCACATTGATACTTGCCAGGGCAGGGCACACTGAATTGATTGTCTATATATAATATACTAGTACTGTATATAAGCATCACTACCCACCAGTTTTGAGTCGTACCAGTTGCCCACAGTTGGCCACGACTACATCTTGCAGGGGTCTCGCATTACGGTCTACGGGGAGTGCCTCTAACTGCCTCACCAACGCCGCGCCTGTCACCACATGGCCGAACACTACGTGCACACTGGAACATAGAACATATACTTATAAAACATACACCACAGACATACTCATCATTACAATGATAATAAAATACAATTATTACTATAACAGTGTTTTTCAATCTGTGGATGGGTAGGTATAATAACCGGCAAAAAGAAATAAGTAAAGTTCTACACTATAAAAACAAAATCTTAATGAGAATGGGCTTGTTTATTTATCAAAAGCATGTCAAGTCGTGGTGCTATTTTATATGAGCTATCATATCAGCTTGTAATTATAGTTTATTTATCTTTTTTGTTTTTATGTCCACTATTGCAGATAATGTCTTTAACTTAGTGTTTTAATTTAATAATTTCCTTTCCTGTATACAGCACAAGGGATTGCCAAAATTAAACCCATAAAGGGTACTCGATATCAAAAAGATTGAAATACACTGCTCTATATTAAGAATATATTGAGTGTTATAATAAATACTCACTTGTCGAGATGCGGTGCCGGCTGTGTTGTTCTACAACACACAGAACACAACAATGATAGCGCGCCGCTCGCCGCCGCGGCCGCTTGCTATCAACAACACACTCGTTAACTTAACACTAACACACACACACACACAACGCCCGCACACACACAAAATATATAACAGTAACTGTTTGAGACAATCAAATTAGACATCGTCCTTTGTAAACTACTGAGAATGGTTTCTACATGTATTTACATACATTGTGGAACTCATTAAAAACGTTTACCTTTCATCATCAATGTCAATTCACTAATCAATAACATTAATACTCTTACCATTGGCAGATGACAACTTACATGAAGAACTGAGAACCATTTGTGTCCTTGCCCCTGTTAGCCATGGACAGCAAATACGGCCTATCATGTTGAAGCTCAAACGTCTCATCTACAAATTATTGATAATATTGTTAATAAACAGTACTGAAATGTTTTAAACTCATTGCACTGGATAATTTATTCAATTTGTCTATTTTACGGCAGTGTACAATTTAGATAATTCTGTTTTCGATAAACCCACTACTAATAAAAATTATTACATACATTGTAAACCTGTCGAGGCATATCTATGTATGTAGTTATTTATACAGTCCATTGCTTTTGTTTGATTATATTTCTATGTTAGTTACAATTAAAGAGTCATAGTGAATACATGTTGTTTGAGTTAAAAAAACATCCTGATTAAGTAAAATCACCCTTAAGTCAGCCTATACTTGTTGTATAACAGGAAAATGATAGTTAAACGGGTCATATAGTAATCAGTATTAAAAAAGTAATTTACCCTCAAAGGTGCCTCCATAAATGGACTCTCCGCCAGTTCCATTCGCATTTGTGAAGTCGCCACCTTGAATCATGAAGTCTTTAACCACCCGATGGAACACCATACCCTGGTTGAAACAAGTTATTTAGAAACAATATTACACATCATATGAGAAACGCTTGTATACACAAACCTTATACGTTAAAGGTTTCCCTGTAACCTTGCCCACCCCCATGTCCCCGGAACATAACGCGCGGAAATTCTCCGCGGTCTTAGGAGCGACATCGTTAAACAGCTCAAACACTATGCGGCCGGATGGCAGGCCGCCGATCGAAATGTCCATAAACACACGATCGCGTTGTGGCTTGTCGTCCCCGTCTACAGTCATTTTGTCAATAATATATCCGTCCTTTATTGAAGTTAAGAACGCATGAACTGAAAGCTAGGGGATTTCTTGAAGTCAATATTTCATGAGAGTTTCTATATCTTGTATTTTAACCAACGAAAACGGAAGCACACCAATCACTTAACTAGAGTTAGACACATAAACGACGTTCCATGGCAAAGTCAAAGTATTCAAAATAACAGATTATAATGAATAACAATAGAATGTTGACAATATTTGCATTTTGAAACCAATATCGTTGAATTCTTTTAATTTTTTAATGAAACTAAGTTTCTCATTCCTAAAAAGGAATATAATAGATCGTCCTTTTTTTATTTTTAACTAGAATTTATTAAACGATCAACTAAATTTTATTTTGATTTAATTGGGAATATAATAATTACGCTATTGTATTTAAAATAAGGATTGTTAAAAATGGTTTCATTTCATAAGAAATCAAATTTAATATGTTGTTTTTAATGTACAAAGAGGTATATATAATACTTCTCTACAGGTTTAAACTTTAAGCTCATTCGAGGAGTAACTAACGATGAGATAGTCTGTACCTGTAAAAGTAAAGTCGGAAGGACGCGACGTCATTCTCGAATCACAACGCTGAATTTAGAATTTTCTATTTTTACCGTGGACTTGGAGTTACTTCTTCTCTGGTTGTGCTTAAATATTATTTTAGGTTTTCATAGTAAAACCTTGAAGGTTTTTTATCGTATTTATACAATAAAGTATTTGTTACAATGTTGGGATCTGGTGATGGTAGCTACATTATAAAACTACGAGGCTTGCCTTTCTCCACTACTGCTGAGGATGTCCTCACATTTCTGAGCGGCGTAAATGTTATAAATGATAAAGATGGTAAGTTTAAACTCGATTATTATCAAAAAATATATATCCGAACAGAAAAGAAGGCTTAACAGTTCAATGCCGTTAATACATAAATCGTAATTAATAGTTAATTACCAATTTTTGTAGGTTAAGCAGTTTACATTACAGTATTTTTATTTTAGGAGTACATTTGACCGAGGTTAGACCTGGTAGACCTTCTGGAGAATGTTTCGTGGAGGTGCAGAGTCAACAAGATGTAGAAGAGGCGTTGAAAAAAGACAAAGAAAATATTGGCAGGCGGTACATTGAAGGTAAACACTAGTCTATAAGACATCGGTTATTGACATTATGTAATAAAAATTATTTATATACTTAGGCCATGTGTTATGTATATTGTTAATGGTGCTTGCAATGCTGCTGAAGTAGAATTGCTTGGATTCATATTGTATATATTATGTGTTATATTTCAAAATTATTTTTTCATTCAAAATTACCGTTACTATCTGAATTTTGTTATGAATGGACAGCTTTTAAGATATTAACATTCCTATCCACATTTTTGTCGATACATGGAGATGTTACATATTCAGATGCAATATTTTTTTAAACTTACAGCTTTCTACTCTATTTATTTTTAACATATGTATTTTAAAACATAAACTTTTACATATATTATCATGTTCTGTAAAATGGGCCTGTATTTCTTTCATATTACTGATACTTAGTCATTGTTTAATTTTAAGAAATGCTTTTAAATGGGTATTTTGCATATTTTGTTTCCCATAAGTGATAATAAAATTTAACCACAGTAAAGTAGAAATGTCTGCTGCGACAGATGCATCTTTTATTATTTATGTTTTCTATACAATAATACAATAAGCATACATTTTTTTATCAAAATAACAAATAATATTTGTTTCAGTGTTTTCCACTGATCGCCAGGATATGGAGTGGGCTTTAAATGCTATGAGACAGAATGAGAATGGTTTTGACAGTATACCAAATGTGTCCGATGATTTTGGAATAGTAAAGTTGAGAGGCTTGCCTTTTGGCTGCTCTAAAGAGGAAATTATACAATTCTTCAACGGTGAGTGCCAAGACAAACTGATTGTGTATAAAATTCATGAAGCTCGGGGCTGTATAGGAAATTAAAGTTATTTCACAAATAGAAGAAGGAAAACGAAAAATTTCATTATGGAAATATTATTGTTATCCAACAATGAGTCCAAACATATGTGTGAAGTCCTATAACTTGCTTTATCGCTGGGGCAGGGTTGTCGGTGGTCCAGGAAGGGGTGCACTTGCTCTCGGACCACACGGGGCGGGCCTCCGGAGAGGCGTTTGTATACTTCGTAGACAAGCAGAGCGCTCAAGACGCTCTCGACAGGGACAGGGAGAAAATAGGACACAGGTGGGGGGCATTGATTACATGTGGTGGGAGGAGTGATAGGCTGTGTAGAATTATAGAGTGTACTGTATACATGCAGACAGACATATTGATTATATATACACCAACAATACAGACAGATATAACTATATATATAACATTGTAAGTGTACTGTATACATGCAGACAGACATATTGATTATATATACACCAACAACACACAGTATATGTAATATTTTAATATTAAAAGTCTTTATAACACACAATCACTATATCAAAGCGGCACTATTCTTTAACTTGTGAGTCATAAAGCCACAGAGATGGTCGATGGTGTAGTGGGTTGAACATAGGATAAGTGGATCTGTGATTTATAGAAAGTTAATACAAACAATATATTACTCAATACTGAATGCGGGTAGTTCTATAAATCATAGTTTCTATGTATGATTGATTTTGATCTAGAATCATATTTGGGTTAATTAGTTAAGGGCTTATTTTACCGCATTGCTAGAATGCTACATGCTACGCTGTGATGATATCAACAATTTGTTGTTTCGTTGATGTTGTGACAGTGTGTTATGTGTATTGGCATTCTGAAGTGCGTTGGTTGTTGAGTTGTCAAGGTGGGCGGTCGAGGGGCGCGGGCGGAGGGGCGCGGAGGGCGGCGCTCGTTGTATGTGATGCACCAGATATATATGACGCTGGAGATAGGGGAATCATATATACTATGGATATAATAAAACATATTTTGACTATTGTCCTGTATAAATTAAATTCCTATTTATTAGGGAATATGCATTTTTTTTCTATGATTTAAATATAGTAGAAAAATGATTATTTATAAAAGTATAAATGTATGTATCTTTAGCAATTGGGATTGCAGATTATTTTTTTTCGGTTAATTTTTAAATAACATGCATGTTCCCTATTATCATGTTTAATTCCAGATTTTATTCTGATTGGCATTTAATTAAATGTCGCCTGAAAAAAGTTAACCCCTATTAAAACCTAGTGTATCCAACGAGAAGAGATAAATTTTGTAAATATTGCGTCTTGTGTTGTAATGTGACACTATTTTAGTAACATGTTACGTACATGTTGCAAGTTATTTAAAACAAAATACCTTGACTTAATCCACATTACAAAACTGGTATCTTTTTTATAAATATAATGCCATGAATTTAAGAATAATTAAAACTTCTAATTATGTTAACACGAATATCAATGTATGGAGGCTTGTGAAGTTGTTTGTAAAGTTTATCTCGTTTCATTGGCTGTACAATACATGTGCACCAAAGAATACCAACATATTAAGTATATAAAGTTTATTGACAAGTAAATATTATCATTCCAGATACATAGAGGTGTTCCTGAGTTCAGCGGACGAGGTGCGAGCGTACGGCGCGCGGCTGGAGGGTGGCGGGTTCAAATCCCGGGGGTACAGGCCCACGCCCTACGACAGGAACGATAGATACTCCGGACGGTTTGGAGGGAGGGGGAGGGGGGGCTCCTTCACTAGGGGTGAGTTGACATGTAATGTATTATAAGATCATTGATTAGTTAACGAAAATAATATAGTGTTTGTGAGGGTTCTTAACACGTATTAGTGTCGATGGTAAGACTCATAAGTCATAAGGATTAACAAGATATGATAAAAAAGAATGTTTGAGATAGACTTCACAGAGGTCGGATGTAATCTTAGCAAATATATTTTCAAATATTTTCATGTGTGACGATGAGAACTCGTCATAAGATTACTGATTTACTTATTTTTTAAGATACACCATCGACTTATCATAATAACTAACACAATATTATATGCACTAAATATTCAATCCAGTATGATTTGCTTTTACAGGTGTATACAACATTGTTTTTTTACTAAAATACAGACTAAACGGTATAAAACCAAGATTTAAAAAAACTAGGTTTAAACAAAGTTAAAAGCCAAGAAACAAAACTGATAACAATATTAATCTACTTAATCTAGGTAGGATAGAGAAGTAGAGTGCTATAAATCTGATCTGTATGTAGTGGTAATTATTGAGTGTGTGTTTGTTAGGAGGGTCCGGTGGATCGTACACGGGTCGCGGCGGCCGGCGGGGCTCCAGCCACTGTGTACACATGAGGGGGCTGCCGTTCAAGGCGACGCCGCAGGACATCGCATATGTTAGTATCTATTACATCACACTATACAATACTAATAGAGCAAGAACCAGCGCCCGCCAGGCCTTCGTTTATTTATAAAAGCTGAAAGTTTTTCTATAGATGTACCCAATACAGGTAGTCACGATCCCCACCTATGAAACTTCTGTCGCGGTGGCTTTGGTAACAGGTTCTGGAGGTGTATAAAATTGTCTTTCAAATTCCTCATAGTATAAAATCTAGTTTTGATATATTTTCATCGTAATAATCTTAGAAATCACGCTGTCCATTGCCAGGCACTTAGTACGGCGCTGAATCTTGGACTATAAGACGATTAGCAAACGAGGAATTAATGTAATGTTTCCCTTGTACAGTTCTTCAAGCCGATCCGTCCTCTGAACATCAACATACATTATGACAACAGCGGCCGGCCGTCGGGCGAGGCGGACGTGGAGTTCGAGTGTCACGAGGACGCTATGAGGGTAGGACTATATACTGATATTATGAATGAAAAAGCTTATGAGGCTGTATGGGTGTTTATTGCTCTGTCACCAGACAGAGACGAAACCTCTCATCATTCAATGTATTCACCGTGCGGGTGTCGGGTCCATCGTTGTAGTGAGAGGAGCTTCAACAGTGACTGGGACTTGTGACCCAGGTGTAGGTTTAGGGACTCCTATCTAAAGCGAATTAAAAGTTCACCTTCACCGTCCAAGTTCCTCTCTTTGCTTAACCAAATTTGAAACGAATCTACTAGGGCTGCCTTCGAAGTGCGTTTTAACAATGAACTGTCGTTAGTTTTTGACAGGCCCAAGTCTTATAGTAGGCTGTAGAGAAATTTGGCTAGTTTATCTCTCACTCCCACTTCTACCGCATACAAGTTTACGACAAACCTATTCGCTCCTTTGAATTAATTTTAAAATTGATCTTAACGCCCTAGCTAGTTGATGACTAAGATGACATGAGGGTCAACTCTATACGAAATGAAAGTTGAAGAACTTACCGACATTTTCGGCTATTATGCTATTATTATTATCAATATACCATTATGTGTTTTTAGATGTTTAATGTACCAGGCTCGTCTCTTGTAGTTTTTTCCACTTTAATTAAAGTCCGTATTCGTGTCGTAGTACTGTGTGGAGAGTATGAATGTCGCTGCAGAGTGCTTACCATACGTAGTGTTTAACTGATTTTTATGACAAGAAAATTCTTCGTGTGCTAGATATGTGGTCCCCAGCTACATTTCTGTGACAATAATATTATTATTGGTGTTCCGCAGGCGATGCGTCGTGACAAGAACAACATGGAGCACCGCTACATCGAGCTGTTCATGAACTCCTCGCCGACCTTCAAGAGCCCGCGCCCCTTCCGCGCCTACTGACTCACGACCGCTTAGTTATGTTTTGTATGACAGCAGTCGCAATTGACGGCTTTGAAAATATTGTTAATTTCGAATAAAATAATGTATATCATCGTTCTAATGTGTCAGCGAACGTCACGATTGTTTGTACTAGCGATTATTTTAGCTCTCTGTAGTTAGACGTAGTACTTAATGAAGTATCGATCATTCTCCGGATGTTCGTGCAGTAGATAAATCAATTGTATAGTTATCGACTCGGTACTCGACGCTAGTATTAGAGATGCATTTCTACGTGAGTATTCTTAAACCGATTCCCGAATGAGAGTTGAGTGTTGTGTAAGGTACATGGGGTCCAAATTGTTTTGTACGAACGTTTACTCTTTGTTTTGATGTGTCCGTGTGTCCGTGTTGTTCTAGAGCACCGTCTGTGACGCTGACTGCGGGTTTTATTTTATTATTTATTGATATACAACACGTCGGAACAAATGTTTATATGTACTGTATGTGATAAGTGTTTTATAATAAAGATTACGTCACCGGCCGCGTGTGCCGGCGGCGTGTACATTATGAGAGTGTTAGTAATATAGATTATAATATTAAGTTAACAAAATCATTGCATGTGTCGAGACTATTTACTAAATGAAAAATTTCCTACAGTAAAAGGAAGTGTATTTATATATTAGTCCTTCAAGCGGACCCGGTAGATATAGGGATGAGAGGTATTTGGAGATATGGCATTTTGTTTCAATAATAAAAAGACAAGTCAAAAGAATCAGTCAAAAATTAAGTGAAAGGGACATATAAGTATAATGACCGAGGTCCATAGAGTTAGTTTATAACACAAACAACACGAGGAGACAACGACACGGAACTTATTGTTGTTACAAACTGTTGGTAGTAGGTTGTACGTTAATAAAATGTAACGATTTTGTTGTGCCTTTATTTATAACGATACTCCCACTAGGATATACACATCATACACAAATTATAATCTGTACATAGATTACAAGAAATGTACAAATTTATACATCAAATAATTATTTATGTCTGGCAGATGGTTATGTTTTAGGTACAATTTCAGTTTTGATTTTTAATGTTCACTGTTTCTTCCAGTAATTTCTTATGGCTGAAGCCAGTATTAATAGTTTTCAAATACAAGTTGATACTTAAATGTAGATATAACAATATAATTATGATCAATCATAATAATAATTGTAAGGATTATTGTATTTTAATTAGTACGGTACAGATGGCGCGACTTGTAGCATATAATGAGGATGAATATATTTCTTCATAACTATTGAATCCAAAAATAACGATTTTTAGAAAATTTTTGACGGTGGCGAATTAACCAAAAATTCTATAAAACTAGCAAATAAAAAAAACTATCTTTACAAATCTTCTGCTGCTTGGTGAATTTTCAAAATAGTTCTTATTCATGTTAAATGCCATTTTTGGACTAAACTTTCATTATATTTTATATAACAAATACCTACAGCTGTATTTTTACTGATTTATCTAAAAGCCGTTTTAATAAACGATATTATTTATATCTTAAAAATTATTGTCTCAAATATCATTCGATTGTGTAATTTTCATTGTTGTGATATGAGTATTAATGTAACAAAATCGTAGAATGTGTTACTAAATTTTGCTTGAATTAATAACTAATGAGATAAGATACATTTAAACTGAATATTTATTAGTTTTGTTTTAATAAATAAATATACTTAACATAGTTATTTAACTCTTTAAAAATTTGGCACGAAAAATTCATCATTAAATTCAGCAAAGAAGGTATTTATTTACACAAATAAATAATCGATCAAATAAGTCTAATACAATAACCCACATGGTTTGATTCCCTGGACTTCCCTCTCGCACCTCTTCGGTCGCAACTGAGTTTCTAACGAGGCTGCTATAGTGCGTTTGATTTAAGCTGAGCTTTGCATTTGTGTGAGTGTACACTGTACACGGATAGTGTAGGTGTGATATCAAATTTTTGAATGAAACGTTCTTTTCTAGTTTTAAACCGGTTTGTACTGCTTTTACTCCGCCCGGCACCTACCTCACTTCACCTTTTGTACAGGTAGCAATATCAAATGTTGAAAACGCAATGTCAAGTGAATAAGAATTTGTAGTTTTTTTCAAAATTTTTATTAATCAATAATTTATTTCCTCAATTTTCAAAATATTTGCATCTGGACTTTTACAAGTTTTGCTTATTTTATAGCACTTATGTATCTATTTAAAATATAATAAAATTGAATTCTAAAAGTTTTTTGTCTATTACTCTACTTTTACTTTCACTCACACAAATGCAAAGCTCAGCTTAAGTCTAACGGACTATACCTGCAGCCTCGTGGTGCCTTATATCTCAATAAGGCGCGAATGAGTTCGCACGAAACGATTCGCGGAGAATTAGCTCTTTCTGGACCATCTCTAAAAATGAAAATTCACCCTGTTGTGATGACCAAAATTATTTTTAATTAATTAAACTAAGAATCAGTTTGAGAATATAATAATTCAGTTAAAGTCTCATCCTCATAGTTTCAACACATCTCGTCTGAAAGTGATCACGGTTGAAGCAAAGTAACCGAAACGTCGGAAGTATGTAGTTTATAAAAATAATAAAATGACGCGTAGTAATCCGGAAATATTGTTTTAATTAGGTAATTGCTGATTTCCCAGAAGAAATTTCTGACTGTTCACACCTTGATTTAATACAGGACCTTAAAACAAACAAGTAAAGCCTACTTATACTAAATCTACTTCCGCCACAATCAATACTCAAGGAAGAGCTCTGGGATCGAGCCAGTCCTCGACAGTCGACTGATACACGAATTTTTCACAATGACAATCATTTATATTTAACAGCCTTTCAGATACTATGCATTTTCCGTTATTTTTTATAATTCCTGACGTTTTTGTTCCTTTCCTATCTTAGATATCCCTAAAATAAAAGTTATCACTTTCATCTGTGATTTCAATAGACCCTGATAATGTCACAGTTATGGTTCTTCAAAACCTTTCCTTTAAAGTCCCATAGGACTATCTTGAGCTGCCAACTAGTTACCTATCTTTAAATTACTCTTATAATGATTTCACAATATCTAGGCATATGTACTCTTCAATCCAGACAACACTATTAACGTTAACAAACCCGGTAGAACAAACCTACTGAGCAGGGACTTGGTGACAATAACTAAACTTAAACATGATAATACATATTTCAAAATACAGGTCCACCTCATAGTCATATATCTAAGCTTCAAGCTAATCTAAGCTTCACTTATTGTTAGGGCCCGGATAAATATGTATTTAAAAATCCAAAATATGTACATAAAATATGGACGAAAAAATAAAAAATATGGAAACAATATGGAGTATAAAATTAAATACTTTCATAATTAAACATTGTTTTACTATAAGAAAGGGTCACTCGTGACGTACATCGTTAAGTTACATTTAAAAAACGAAGAAAAAAAAGTAGCGAAATATTTATTTCAACAAAAAATAACAGTTTTATTCAACTTCCATTAGGTACACTAGCCTTATAAAATTGGTTGCAATACGCAATGAAGTGCTTCTTTAAATTATCAAAATAAAAACTGTCCATTTGGTCGAAATATAGCCTTGTATCTGCTGATTGGTCTCATCTCAAGTGTTGTGACGTGATGGGTGCATACTTAAACATGCTTAATTCAGTAATTGTGTAAGCCATGTCTATAGCCCTCGAAACTTTCGCACAGAATTTTGTTAATTTTTTTAGCGTATCAAATCCTTTATTTTTATCCAAAACATTAGTGGCGGGAACTTAAATTTTATGTAGGTATTTTCGTGGATATATGGATGATTGTGACAATTTCTTGTAAAATATGGACTTAACTTTGAAATATGGAATATAAAAGTTAGTTTTTCTCAGTCTAAATATGACAATCCATGTAAAAAACACATTCTAGACCGAAAATCACGCAAATCCGGGCCCTACTTATTATACTTAATTCGTCTCGTTCAAGTGGATATAATTGAAGCTACATTTGTGTTCATAATCTTTCACCATCGATGTAATGACACGAATGCTTATCCCTTCTAATATTAAAATTGAAAAAGTAAATTCTACATATCTGTCTGTTTTGTCCTCCCGTCTAAACCACTGAACCGTGTTTGATGAATGTGGGTATGGAGGAAGATCGAACTCTGGAGAAGGAAATAAGCTACTCTTTATCCCTATTCTAAAATTACGCACCACATCTTCATATCGTGATTCCTACCCATTATTCAAATAATCAGCTTATAAAATATTTCATTCCGATTCCAAAACCACGCAGATGTTACCATGAATGAATTACCATGTAATATGTGACAAAACATCGTTGAATCTGCTTCTAAATGGTTAGAATTCAGGTCAGGACTCAGGTATTTCAAAAAATAAAGAACCTTGTAATTTGAAACACATTGTTGGATCATCAAAACCTCCACATATATGTAAGTCGCAATCTTCATTGATTTGTGCATATCTAGAGGCAGCATTACATAGACATTGAACTAGCTGTAACTTATTTTCAGTGCTTGGAAAGAAATTATTAAAATTCGTTGGGATTTTGGTGTGCTCGTTTGAAATTCTAAGATTTTCATCACTAGACCTTTACTCCGTAAAGTTGATCCATGATTTAAAGGCTGCATCGTTGAATTTTACAAGAAGCTCTAAAGCATTTGGGAAATCCACAACTAAGTGTCGAACGGCTAAAAAAGTTGGAAAACATTTGCACCTATCTTTTTTCAAAAATAAAACTTAACCGCTGATGAACTTTGTTATAAGTTAATTTCCCAAAAATATCGGTTTCGGCCTAAATTTATTAAATGTTATTTGCATATCAGGTGCCTAGAGGTTCAGCAAATCAGCACAAAGAGGCTATGAAAGGAAGGATGGTAACTTGTATCAACGACAAATGGCCGAAACACTGCCGAAATTGTTAATTTAACAGCGTAAATGAGCATCTACTTAATTGTAAAATGATGGCTTGCTCTTGTAAAAAAAAAATACATATTTATTGTATTTCTTTATGCAAATGCATAAATAACGTTCGTCAGAATTAAACAGATTGATTATTATTATCATTTTCCATTTATAATATATTAAAACTTGATTTTTTTAAATTACTTTTGGTTTTGTGTCAATAATAAAAGATTTTATTTTTAATTTTCCTATTGTTTTTTCATTTCACTAGTTGTAAGTATCTTTAATCATAAAAATCAATTGGATTTTCTCACTAAAACAATCGCTATAATGATATCAAAGTATGTGTTTAGGCCATTTGCTAGATGTCTAAGGGGGTGTAAAAAAAATTGAAATAATATGGCTCCTGGCAACATCCAGAATCATAATCAGCATGCTTTTCTGAATTCAAAACCATTCACAGAATGCGGTCCTCATATTTTGCATACTCAACTCCCTTCAGCGCCTGGACTAAGTCCGGATTCAGTGGCCGTAGTAACAGAGAACAATAACTCTGATGTCAACGCGGACGGAGTGGAGGGGAAAAGCTAGTACGAAATAAAGTTAAAAGTCATTGGACTTATTTAAGACGGAAAGGGTTGCCTTAACGAACAGTTTTCTCTCTAAAATTCTTTATAGTTTATTTTAATCTTAACTACATTACTTCATTATTAATTCAAGACACAAAGCGGAACGCAATAAGTCGTAAATGCTTTTACTCGAAACGATTGCTCTCATCTTAAGCTAATTAATGATAGTTTTCTCCTTTTCCAAAATATATAAACATTCGTCCGGGTTCAACTTGATAGAATCACTTTAAAAATTTAATTTAATCATCAACTCATTGAAATAGAGATTATAGTTTATTGTTTTAAATGCGGCCTCCGTGCAACGACTATTTTATCCCTACTAATACTTATTATAAATGCGAAAGTAACTCTGTCTGTCTGTCTGTTACGTTTTCACGCCTAAACCACTGAACTGATTTTAATGAAATTTAGTACAAAAATAGAGTGGACTTTGAGAAAGAACATAGGATAGTTTTTATCTCAGACTTTTGAAAGGTTCTCTTGGAAACGCTCTCGCTCTCGGAAACTGCGGGCGGAAAGCTAGTTACAAATATATATATAATAATATATATTATGACACACAGTCTGTGTAAATTAATGATAAAAGAGGTAACAAATAGAACTCTATATAAACGACTTTTATAAAAGCGGGAAAATAAGTACGGAATAATGACATCTAAGATTTTCGCAAGTAGGTATTATACCGTACATAATAATAGAGGTCATTTTTAATATCCATTATCTTAAATACAGATCCGTAATACAGTAAACTGTGAAGTATTGTACTAAGTAATAGATTTACGGCCTCTGTAATTGCAAATTAACAGATTTCTTCATAAAAGGCATATGAAAAAAATATATAGGTACAGAGTTTCAGAATTTGTGTCGCACTGTCTATTTCTATATTTTTCTTTGTGCTGGCTAATCTTTAAGAGTCTGATTTTTTTCCCATACAGATAGATAATATCATATGAAGCAACCTAGATTATTTTCTCAAAGATACAAAAAAAGTGGAACTTCCCAATTAAATTTTATTTTTGTTACGCTATGACTCCTGCGATAAAATGTCGAATTTCCCATTATTGTTCTAATCGAAAATATATTGTTATGAGCTAGTTCCATTGTCACCACGTCAGGGTCTGATAAAGTTATTATCGAGAATTGGTCCTTATTAAGATGATGACACCTAACTCAGAGGCAAATATAAATGTAAATAAAGTTAAATAAATGTCAATGACCTCAAACAAAACACCTGTGTCTTTCATCAGCTCGTAACAACAGGCTGCCAAATAAATTATATTTTGCGATAATCATTAGTGGGTCTCGTACGACGAGATAATTGCAACATTAAAAATAAATTTTCATATTGTTACACGTTGACAACAATTATTATTAAAATAACGATAATATTGTAGAGTTTAATTTAATTAAAACATTATTATGTGTTATACAGTTATAGATGCGACAATATTGACTGGTTCCTTTAAGGTGCCGGCCAAGTGCCGCGTCATTCAATTGAACTAATCATTTGAATATACCTGAATGTATAAAATACTTCATGTTGATGTTTTATAACTATACTCTGTCAATACGCTGACCTAAGTTGGTTTCATCCACACCATAGTTCATACCTACAAAGAGTTAAAAGTTTTTCATTCATAAATATTCCACATAATATATAATAATAATATCACTTATATATGACTCTAATGCAACATGTTTCGAATTTATTCAAGTAACTAGAAGACCTGGCGAACTTCGTATCGCCCTATAATCAAGAAATATATATTTCGTTTTTTTATTTATATTTTTGGAGTTTACCTGTAAGCCATAAATCTCCGAGTTTTGAAGTGCGACAAAATGATTGACATATTAGTTTGTTGTCAAATCTAATGTCAAAAAAAAACGTTTGTATGGGAAATAGAAAAGGGCTGTTTTTATAGTTTTCCCAGTAATGAATCAATTTTTTTCAGCTTTTATACCTACCCTGAACCTCCACGAACATTTCAAGACTAAGATAAGATAAATCCGTTCAGTTGTTCTCGAGTTTTAGCGAGACTAAGGAACAGCAATCCATTTTTATATATATAGAAGATAATTATATTATTTGTGAAAAAAAAATATTTTCTACGTTCAAAATAAAGTTTTATTTATTATATTCGTTCAAGTGAAAAGACGAAAACATCCTGGCAACTATAAAAAATCATTTGAAATAATAATAAGAAATTAATTACAGTATAAATATTAAATCTGAAAAAAAATTGTACTTAAATCACAAGGGAAGATTCTAGAAACCATTAAAGTTCTTCTAATATTTGAGAAGCTGATTTTCAAACAACATAGTATTTCCATCAAACACACATGAAGAAATAAAGATAACGAGTTGGTATATTTTATATTATAATGAATTAAGTTACACAAGTAGAGCAAAATTAAAGTGAAAATATTTAAGAGAAATGAAGAAAAGAAATAGAATTTTATAATATACAAAACTGAAAAAAACATTCGTAACCGTTTTATAATAGCACATTGTCGCGGAGCGTTGTTCTCATCTTGTTTAACTTTACTGCTATATAAAATTATTTCTCACGTAAATGTTTAAGTAATACATTAAACATTATTATCCATTTGTATTACATTATATAATGTCATAGAGGATACGAAAAATAAACAAAAGTTGTGAGGGCGGCGGCGACTCAAGGACGCCGCGAGCGACGTCACTTGTAAACATGTCAACAATAAACAATCATACACTTGACCGGTAGTCATTTACATACTTCATACATCCACAGACATATTCAAAAATATTTTTACAATATAATCCTGATATTAAAAAGTAAATTATGTATAATTAAATACTATATTTTTTTATTATTTTTAAATTTATAGTTGACGTAAATAAATACAGATAATAAAAACTTTTATTCAAATTATTATCTGTTTTTGAAAAGCATATGATTGTCATTTGAAGTTTTTTTTTTTGTTTAACGTAAAAGCAAAGACGGCTGTTAAAAGGCCGGCGCCAAGGGGCGGCTGTAGCGGCTGTTGGGGACCGAAATAGAATTATATTAGGGTGAAACAAATATTTGTTACATTACATGTTTGTTGCGATCCATCTATTAATCGGGGCGTGGGTATTATAATATGTCTATATTATTTTATCATCTAAATTAATCAATCAGTGTATAAAGGTTCAATTGCTTTGTTGTTGAATGTCTCGTAGTTTGTGGGCGGTTTTTACTCATACATATATTCAAAGACAGATTTTAATGCTCTCCACTCATTTCTGTAGAAAATTGTATCAGACAGACAGAGAATTTTACATATTTAATGTAATAGAATATTATAGTATCATTCAGGTAGCTAAGCCATAAACATTTTTTATTAATTCGTTTTTATTAATCATCTTATTCATAATCCTCAACGTACAAATATTATTTTAAAACATTAATAACTGTGTTGCCAAATGTAAACTAATATAATAACTTTATTTGTTACATCAAGAAATATAAAAGATTTATTTGATAGGTATTCCAATACAATGTATATATTTATATTACGGTACATATAATGTCAAATATGAAACAGTTCATTACAAATAATGTTCATATAAAGTTTAAATTTATTTGCATTCCTGAAGCGCGCGTCATAATTCGTATGCGAAGTGTATTGCCAGTTATTCGACATGGGTTATAAAAGAGGAATAATTAAAAATAAAAATGTGTAGAGAAGCGAACGTCGCGCCGGCGCCGAGCCCGGCCCGACTCTCTGCCGACGGTCGACACCTCACATAGCCGCTACAACAGCGGTGAGAGGTGGCTGAATGACGCGGACCTTCACCTTGTTACACACACACAGCTGTCAAAATTATAAAAAAAAACAAACAATAGAGAAAAATATGGACTATTTTTATTACATATTAACTATTTTGTTAATGTTTATTGCACATAAGAACTGAATTAGTATACATGCTTATTTAAAATAATAAGAAATGTATATTCGAAACAATCAAATAATTTAATTATAAAATTCTATGCCAACATTTCTAATACATATGTATGTGTCAGTGTTACAAAAACAAACATATAAAATCTTATTCGCATCTTTCTTTCTTTGTGTTCCGTGGCCACACGCGGGTGTCCAAGTTTTATGAGTGTTTGCAATGCATAGTATCTTGGATGCCTGTTTGATATAAATTAGGGGATCACTTATCGATTCCTCCTCTACCCGTTATCAACTTCCGGGGCTGCTAGCCGTCTCGAGCCTCACTGGCGCCCCACTTATGCATCATACAACATAAACAATTATTATTTATTAGCGTGCAATAATCATCGCCTTATAGCACATGTAATATTAAATTTTAAAACTTCTGTATCTGTTACCGAAATGAATTCTAAATGTCCAACATCCATTATAAATATCCAGTCAGTTATTCCATTGGAGGTAAATAATGATAATAATTAATACTTGTGGTGTACACGAGCTGCAGTATCCAGCTATTAAACGGACGGACTCAAATTGTTTTATTGTCGGCCATCATATGAATGTAGCAACATGGCGCCCGAATTTGGCGCCAAAGCTCGCCACGGTGGCGCTGTCTTCGAACGATATCATTTTAGAAAAAATAAGGTGAAACGCACCCAATAACTCACAAAATAAGCTCCAAATCAGGACATTAGGACGATATACGGTCGTCGGAGACGTAAACAATCGTCTTCTTTAGATGCTCTTGTGTTTTCACGGTCGATTGATTGATTTGTTAACTGGCTTCATTTACTCGTGACATATAATGAGATAATTAGAAAATATTGAATATAGAAACTCTTTAATCTATATGAGGTGTATCAGAAAGTCTTGTTATCTATTAGCGATGGTTATAATATTAAAAGTAGTATGTTTTCGCTGCAGCGTCGTCCGCGGCCCGCCGCCATGTTGACGGCCGCCGCTCGCCGCGCGCGCCGCCGGCCGCGTCTCCCAGGCGTCTTACGTCTAGTCTCGACTCCCGCGTGCTAATATTACTTTATGTCACTCACTGAATGTTTTTCGTTACATTTATGTATTATATGAGTGACACCATCAACTTCATTATTAATTTATCATTATTTATATTATATTTAACTTTGTTCAGAATAAAACTTTTAATGAAAAGCAGTATACGAGATGGTACATTTTAAAGAATTTTGGGTTGAAATATCCAGAAATATGTAATTTAGACTAGTATTCATAGATTAGAATAAAATGTCAGTTTATTATTGTATAATCTCTTCATCAAATATACTTCATCACTCGTGTGAGATGTCTGTTATTATAATATAACAGTAAATGTGTTTCGATCGTAAACAAAACATTTTAATAATTCATCGATGACTTACAACGTCTCGTGACCGCTCCTCATCAATCACGATCATTAAAAAATAATATACTTATTGGTATTAATACCAAATATATATCACGAGGAAATAAAATCTTCTGTATACTTCTGGAGTAAACAATATAACATGTATACATCCCTACTAATATTATAAATGTGAAAGTAACTTTGTTTGTCTGTCTATCTGTTACGCTTTCACGCCTAAACCATTAAACTGATTTAAATGAAATATTGTACAGTTATAGAGTTGACCTTGAGAAAGAACATAGGATAGTTTTTATCGAACTTTTGAAAAGTTCTTATTTCTGGTGATATCTTGCATTTTTTTAACAGATGTCTACAATTAATTGAGATGTCAATTTATTTGTAGTTTTATGACGTAACAACTAAAATGTGTTTCAAATGAACGGCTTTACTGGGAATAAGACTTGGTTAATGGTTTGTAAAAACCTTTTTATACATTATAAATGAGTCCTCTTTTTGATTATTATAGAATTTAAGTACCTATCATCATCTGTATCTACATATTAATGTAAAATCAACAGAATTAGATTAGTAATTGGATATTTAGGCCAGTGCAGATGCCTCTAAAAATGATGAAAAGTGAAAATAAATTATAGTAGAATGAAACCCATTAGAAAAGGAGGGGAATATTATAAAAATTAAAGGAAAAATAATTTACGGGCGATCTGAGGTCGGGAAGGTTACAGGCGTGGGTATTTAAGGGTAAAAAATGGGTTTTCTCGATTTCCGAAAAAACTAAGAGTCCTAATTAAAAATGTTATATGGCAAAGTTGTAGGTATTAAAAAGATCTAAAACTTTTGTACTAACATTTTTTTCACATAACCTGAAAGTTTTTGTGATAAATTCGAAAAATCAAGTTTTTGGTTATTTATTTTTATTTCTTACAAAAAACAATTTTTTGTCACGAAATTTGGTGAAAACTTGCCTTTTGATGTTACAAATGCACTGTAATTTATTTGATTAGAAATATTTATTTTTTCAGCTTATTTTGAATAAATACCGAAAAATCAGCCTCATTTTCAATCGAAAAATCACCAGTCAAAATATTAAGGGGTTTCAAAAATTTGGTATGTTTTCTGTTTGTTGAAATCTCTATTTTCCGATGGAAAGAAGTAAATATAATTTTCTTACTTGCAGTACCAATTTTGGATAAAATAATTATGTCCCTTTTAAGAAAATGACACTCGACATCGTTTTTAAAATGCTCTTTCTAATTTATTTTTAATAGTTGTGTACTCTGGAAGTTCTCCAGATAGTCCCTCTTTTAGGTAATTTACAGAAAATTGACATTAAGCTGCTAAAACTATTAAAAATAAATTAAAAAGAGCATTTTCAAAACGATATCGAGTGTCATTTCATTAAAAGAGACATGATTATTTTATCCAAAAATGGTACTGTAAGTAAGAAACTTATTTTTTTTTTCATTATCGGAAAAAAAAGATTTCAACAAATGGAAAACATATTTTTTTTTAAAAATAGCTGATATTTTGACGGGTGATTTTTCGATTGAAAATGAGGCTGACTTTTTGATATTTATTAAAAATAAATATTTCTAATCAAATAAATTACAGTGTATTTGGGACATCAAAAGGAAAGTTTTCATCAAATTTCGTGACTAAAAATTGTTTTTTCTATGAGATAAAAATATAAAACCAAAAACATAGTTTTTCGAATTTCCACATAAAATTTGAGATTAAGTGAAAAAAATGTTAGTACAAAAGTTATAGATCTTTTTATTACCTATAACTTTGCCATATAACATTTTTTCGTAGGACTTTTAGTTTTGACGGAAATAGAGAAAACCCATTTTTTACCCTTAAATACCCATCACCATACCTTTCCTGATCTCAGATCGCCCGTAAATTATTTTTCCTTTAATTTTTATAATATTCCCCTCCTTTTCTTATGAGTTTCATTCTATTATAATTTAATCATGTTTTAAAAGCTATCGGAACTGGTCTAATTATCTTATTGAATGTCTGTTTGTCAATTATCAGTCTTATTTCAGAATAAACACTGCAGCATATTGCATTCAGTCAGGCTTCATAAAAATGTTTTGAAACTTAAATGATAATTGATATTTATTGATGAAAAGTATTAATTTGTTTGTTCGAAAATTTGAAATATCCCTAAAAGTTTTATCCATAGTGACTTGTGATGTGACACGTGTCATTATATTTGACAGATTTAATGTTGACAGTTGATCTAGGAATGGGATCTATATCTTAGAATTACTTTTAAATTCACATTTCGCTATAAAACTTTTTCAACAGAATTACAATTGAAACCAATATAAGTTTTTCATTGTGTAAATATATAATGTATGGAAAATACAGTAAGTTACATTTATACTGTTAGATGTTACAAGAACAGACGAAAACAAATTTTTGATAAAGAAAACCAAAGCCAAAAATCAGTACAGTTATTGAAGCGGGGTGACGCCCGACGGCCCGGCGACGGAGCCGCGACGACACGGCGACGACGCGACGACGACGGGACGGTCAACGGATGCCAATCTGATGCAGGCTCAGGTACTCATGAAATGTATAAAGGATATCTCTGAATGATAGATACATTACAGACATTGTTGACCCGCCTCACGACGTGGTCATTACTCTTCATCACTATACTAGCTAGATGCGGTGACTTCTCTCGTGTGTTTTACAGTTTTTATAAAATTATAGATTTAGGAAAATATAAAAAATTGAAATCATCTCACAAAATACAAATATTAAAACTGTAAACGCTAAAAAACTATAGAAGTTTAAAACATAATATATAGATTGTAATATAAAGTCATTATTTTACAGATATATTTTTAAAAACTTGAATTTTTTACCATTTAATTTGATGTAAGTATCATATCATTGTTCCATCCGCTTGAGTACATGGAGTCTTAGACTTCAACGGGTCTCGCGTTTCAGTGTACATTTACACGGACGGACAGCTTGTTTCAATATACATATATTTTGTAAAAGAAATAAAGTAATTATCCATTACAAACAATATATGTATGTATGTTATCCTTTAAATTAAATAATTAAATAATAATAATATATCAACGAACTATTAGTATATTGGCAACGGAAACATTTTTTAAAATTTTGTTTCAAGCCGGGTAATTAGTATTTTTTTTAATCTGTGGCACTTAAATTTTTGTTTTACTACAATATATATTAATTAAAATATATATTAGCAATGTACATAATTAAAATTATTTAATTTAAAGCCTCAATCAGCTTTTGATAATAAAACAATTATTTGTCACTCAAATTGTTTCTTTCCATTGAGTAAATCGTCCGTATAAATAGCTGTTGTCGCTTGTTTCCCGCCATTGCTCGGTTCGCGCTCGCTACGGTAACGCGTCATGGATGCAATGTGAATTAAAAACTTTCTTTTAATGTGAACTGTGTTCGTGATACGCAATTATTAAAAGAAATACGGATGGCTATTGATGATTTAGGTATGAAAGGGTCGGTGGAAGTTGTTTAACAGATTACTATAATAATGAAATATTATGATATAAAATTTTATGAGTAAACAACTTGTACCGCCACAAATGTTTCAATGTTTCTCATAGCTTTTGTTATAAATCATTAATGTTTAGTTTATATATAATTTGTAGCAAAAAAATAGTACACTAGTAATTCATACTTTTCCATAGTTGTAAATTGAAACACTCTTATAAGAATTTATTATTTCACCTCAACAGTACGAATGGTTGCCAACAATTTTTCTATGATAGTAAAACGTGTTTTATTTTATTTTATTTCTGTAAAATATAATTTAGTGATCTTCCTAATATTTTAGCGTCAATAAATTTAATTTTGGTAGAATTTTGTCATAAATAGTCACTATTTGAAAAAGGTGAGCGTAAAAAAAATACATAATTTTTTTATTATTTACTTTATTTATTGATTTACCTCAAAGTAACTAAACATGTGTAAAATATCACAATTTTCATACAATATATATTACATGAAATATATACATATTCTTCTAAGAATAATATATTTTTTATTCGTTCCCCCAAATTATAATACTATTTTATGAAGCGCGCCCTCTGTTGCATGTTCGTTGAACTAAGTGCTCATGTAACCTACATTAGAAGTAGACAGCATTGTGTTTTATAGCGGAGCTTAAAAAGTTTTATAAGGCGATGTGATCATGGCTTTAATGACTTAAAAATAAACACATTTTATAAATTTTCTTAGTTTATTTTTTTGCTATATTATGTTCATAATTCTAAACTAGCTAGAATGTCATAAATTTTTTATTGATTCTACCGTTAATCTTAAATTCTTTTTTTTATCGATACTTAGTTTAGGAACTATATATGATCTTTTAGACCATATTAAACAGTTTTTTTTATAAAAAATTGAATACCTATGTATATATAGTTATTGCGTTTATAATTTGTTAACGAATATTTTACTTTCATTCAATGTACTGAAATATTTTCTCAATTTTGTTTCCTACGGTCCACTACATAGAGTTGATTATCGAATAATTAAATTATAATCGTGGTTTTATACTGAAATTAAGACATAACACGAGGAAGTACTAATAGAAAAAAACATAATAAATCGACAGTCATACTAAAATAGTTTTATATTGTTTACCGCCTATCATATTAATGACGCACTTCATAGTCCGGTCTCAGATTCAAATTAGTTTTTAATACAACGCCATTACTCTTATAATGTTTGTATGAAGGAGTTAGCTTAGCGTTTAGGAGATCGTCGGAACACTATCATAGACAAACATACTTCCATTGATGTAAACAGCCAGTTAGTTCTAGTATATAAGGTTCAGTTTTGGTCGTTGTTCGTCAGTGTTCGGGAGATGTGAGATCCGTCCAGTTATCTAGCGATGTTGCCGCGATGTTATTTATTGGCGTGATGCATGTCGCCGCCTGCATTCCGCCTGCCTGACTGACACAGAGCAACACACACACAGAGGCGACACTCGTTTATACTCTCACCGAACATTACACTGTATATGTACACTAGTCAACACAAGTACGATACGGTATATATTTAATATTCGCTAGTATTAGGCGTTCAATTAAAACGTCTACTTATCGCTTACATTCATACATAATAGTCTTTTGTTTATATATAGTTAGTTCTATTAGTTCTAACTATATGTCTCTCAGAGATCACAACACGTTAGGTATCATGATGTTTGTAGTCGGAGGACAGTGTGTCGCGTGTGTCGATGGCGCCGCACGCACACACGTGCGCGCACCTGACGCCGCCGGTGGCGCCAGACGACCCCCCTCCCCTCCCCGACCCCCGGACACCTCCTCACGACCCCCCCCCCCCCCTCCCGCCCCGCGACACACCGCACGGGGTTGCCAGCCGCGGGAGCGATGCGCCGTTGTAGGGAGATCTTAATCATATTTTAATATTAAAGTCAGTGTCTTGTTCGGGCTAAAGAATAAACTAAGTTAAAAATAGTATTCATTTAATTAGATAGTGTGGTATATTATATACCATACTATATACATAATATGAGATGAACAGTTACAATTATGAAAATTCGTCAGTTTCGATATATTAGTTGGTTAACATTTAAATAGAAGTTATTATACGACCTTTTTGTATAATGTGTATTTTTTATAAAACTAATATTCATTATTGAACTGTTAATCTTTTCAGTATATAAAAGTGTTTTTTGTTGTGTTGCAGTATAAGTATACTAAAAATTGTATACTAGGTATATATAATTTTATTATGAGACGGATCATAAATAAGAACTGTTAAAAAAAGTGTAGTCACGTAATAGACAGATAAGACGGGTGTATGGAGCTAGTGAAAAAACAGACGAACATCCGGACACGTGTGTCATTATAGAGATCGATAGGAGGAAACGACGACACAGGCAGATGAACGGCGCTCGGGGAAAAAATAAATAAAGACGAGGAGGCGGAGACGGGGAAAACGACGAGTGCAGGTGTCGCGCTGAGCGGCGAGGAGTGTGGAGTGTGGAGTCAGTAGAGAGGCCGCACGCGGCGAGTGATGTCGTGTCGGCAGAGCGGGCGGAGCGCGCGGCGCGGGCGAGCGCTCGCCTCGTGACATGTGATGTTCCGGAGACGCGCCCTGCGGCGGCGGCTGGCGGCGGGCGGCGCGCCCCACGTGCCCGAGGACCAGCTGCGGGGCCTGGCGCGGGCCCTGGACGCGGGCCCCGCCGGCGCGGCCTGCGTGCCGGACGCCGAGCCGGCGCTGCGGCTGGCGGCGGCCCGCGTCTCCCGCTACCCGGACCTCGCGGACCTGGCGGAGCTGCGCCGCCTGCCGCACTGCTGCGACCACCGGTGCTGCAACCCCTACCACTACAGCCGCCTCTGTGAGCCCGGTACGTGTCGCTCCCCGGATCAACAAGTGACCCTCTCGCCTCACCCGCCTGTCCGTGGTGTGTGAGTGGTGCTCGTGTGTTCAGTATCAGGATGAACCTTATCGCGTCCTCTATGTGTGTTTATCTCACGTCGTGTGTTGAGTTTCTGCCAAGTTGTGGTCGTGTGTTCATTATCATCAGCCGCTCCGTTCGTATCGTTCTCGCGGTCCGTCTTCCTGGCCGTGTTCCGTCACCGCCGGTCTTCTCCTCCTCGTCTCTCTCTCTCTCCCTCTCCTCCTCTCTCCGTGCCGGTATCTTCTCTCCCCGGTCCACACGAGTGAGGACCATCCCCCAGTGTATTGTAAACATTGCCGCTTCACTCTATTTATAGCGCGTGACATCAGCGGTCGTCTTAGATCGAGTCGAGTGCATGTTACCGAATTACGAAAGGTCACTTTAAATTCTATCAAGCGACTACAACATCGGGTGGTTCGTTCGGTACACGCGCGGTGTTTATGCAGATACATATCATATCGTATCTTATTTGTTTTATTATTAACAGATCAGTATCGTTGTTTCGGCGTTATCTCTGCGATACTAAGTTTCGTACAGTATTCAACGTCAGTCGTGTCAATCAACAAGTCGTGTCCCGAGTCCCGATCACTATTCGTCATATGTATACGATGCCCCTGTGCGTGTGTGTGTGTGTGTGTGTGTGTGTGTGTGTGTGTCGTGTCTGTTCCGCGTCGTCGTAGGTGAAGTGTGTGAGAGCAGTGAGCAGTGCGCACCTAATCTGCGTGTGCGAGGGTCACTCGCTCGCGATAACTAGACAAGGTCGCGTCGCTGGCGCCGCTCTGCCGCGACGCTCGGCGCGCCCAACAACAGACCGTTAACTTTTTAATTCGCCAGCGATGGAGCTGCGCCGGCCGCCTGCTCTCTACACACACTACACATTACACACATACTTAATGTAATGCATCCTCGGTCCTCGCTCCACACACGCATCGTACATACTACGTGACCATAGTCAAACATTATATTATACACTGAAACTTACAACTTAATATTGTTATGATGGACGAACTAAACGTGTCCAAATAAAACGCACGTCTCGCCGTGTTGTCGCCTACCGTGTCCGCCCACGGCCTCGTACTACGGACCTTACACTCAGGACGCGGTACGTAGGTGTGTTGACGACGTACTTAGCATATTAATTAAGATGAAAGCCACCAAATACTGTACCTTTATCAGTTTAACGTGTGAGGCGCGCCGACTTCTCTTTACTTTAATTAATTATATGTCCAACTACAATGATGTTAGTTCAATGTGTTACACTAAGTCATGATATGTTTCTCTTAACCAATAGTTCTTAACATTATAAAGGCGAATAACATTGACAAATTTTTGAGCTTATTTAATACATATATTATATTACATTTTAAATGTTATTATAGTTAAATGAGCCTGATGTAGCTCGTCACAAAAACTGTAATCCTTCATATTGTCAGCGTTGTTTATGTGTCCAGTCCATGAATGGTCCGCGTGTGGATTCAAGTTTCCTTTCGTCAGTCTCCGTTTCATTATAATCGTCACATTCATCAACTGCTCACAAAACTGTATGTTAATTTCCTGATACATCGCTTCGTATATTTCTGTTGATTATTCAGTTACTTTTTATACATACGACCCCCTGGCTCCCAGGTCCTTAGGAGTAGTCTCATCAACTGTTACTTTTATCGTCAACTTTCACGGCGGGTTCCCGCTTCCCACAGCGGTTATATGCGCACGCGCATTCTTATAATATATAAATGTTTTTCAATGAATACGTGACTGGAGACAAGTATTTCAATTATTAATTATAAAAGATATAACGTTGCTTGTATGGTCCAGGCCATCTCAAAACGTAGTTTCCTTACACCTGGTCCATTAATGAACTTTTTCTGGTTCTTCCTATGGTTAGTACCGACAGTTCTCAAGAGTGACCCAATCGTCTCTAAATGTTAAGATGCAGTTGTGCGCGATCCTCTCTGTATAGTTTAGCGAATATGTTAATGGGTAATAATCTATTTCGGTGACCGTGATTCATGGTGGAGAATTCGAGCGATATTCGTTCTGTACACACTCGAAAGTGTTCGTATGGAGGCCGGGGCTGCGGGTCGCGGGGGCGGGGGGTAAGCTCCTTATCTTATCGAGCACACAGCTTAAAGATCTCTCCGTACATCATAGGCCAGTGAATCTGTCGTTAGTCTCTATGTCAAAGGTTCGTTCGCCAGCCCTCGTTCGGAGCGTGCTCTATATTTATGTATCCATATCTGCTGGCTGGCGCCGGCGCCACGTCGTCGCGTGAGGGGCGCGGGCCGGGTGCGTCGCCGCAGGTAGCTCGACTCGATGGTCGTGTACGGTTTTTGTTTATTTTTTTGGGCCGGTCGTGTTTTCGGGACGCTTTGTGAATTTTGTGAATGGTAATCTCTTTACGTTGATGTTCGTGAATTCTTTTATTCTTACTTCTAAGTCTCTTGACTCACTTCTCTCCTTCACCTGTTCCATATTTCCCAACCACTCACTCCACTACATATCTTTCGTCTCGTAAGTCGTAACAATTATCCGTATTATCCGGTAATCAATCAATGCTCGTATAAAAACTACTCACACGCCTGTAATGTATCTGAGGAATGTTCGTCAGGCGGCGTGTTTGTTGACAATACAACCTTTGTTCATAGTTTGTAGGTCATTTACCTTCATTTATTTGTACTTAATACAAAAAACATAATCTTAACTAGTAAAGAATAGTCATATTATTGGAACAGTCGCAGAATACACTCCTAAAAGACTTATAAATACATATTTCGCGTGTAAGTTAAGTTTTTCAAACTATTTGTATTCTTGTAGTCCATGTATATTAGTTGTACATGTTATCTATAGTAGTAATGTTCTTGGCGTCCGTCTTTGATGCGAGTCGTTATTAATTCCTTAATTTATACTCCGCCGCCGACAAACAAAAATTAGTTTGCAGAAGCGACACGTCCGATGACTGGTCATGAATACTTTTGAGGCACCTCGGGACATACGGTTATAATATGTATAGATATTGATCATAATTAGTTCAGGAACTATTTGTTTGTTATTACACAGAGGTCACTCGAGGGAAATATTCCCATAGTTATATTGTAATGTACAGTAATTGTATTATTATATACTAGCTTTCCGCCCGCAGCTTCGCCCGTGTGGAGTCCGATTATATCGCATTTCCAAGAGAACCTTTCAAAAATGTGGGAGAAAAACTATTTTATGTTCTTTCTCAAGGTCAACTCTATATCTTTACCAAATTACATTAAAATCAGTTCAGTGGTTTAGGCTTGAAAGCGTAACAGACAGACAGACAGAGTTACTTTTATATTTATAATATTAGTAGGGATAATACTTATTATATTGAGTGGCTTGTATTTCTCAGTATTAATTTAAACCGAATGCCGTACGTCTCGTATAATTTTATTGTAGCCTAAGAATGTTGTATTTTAATTATTCATTATAAACACTTGTCTTATTAAAAATTAATTTTATAATAATCTATTTTTCATATAAATCAATAGCAATAACATTTGAGTTAATGATTTCATCTCCAGTCTCGTGTCGGTCTGTACTTGAAAGTCTGTTTTATTTTTAAGGCGAGACACATCATAATGAATTTTAATGACTTTAGAGTTATGTCACAAACATTTAATAAGGAATTAATTAATTAAGGAATACTGTGGACGGAGGAGGTGGTTAGAGACGTGATGAATAAAACATTGAGCATAATGAGTATGAGGTGTGTCCTACAGTCCGCTACTGACTTGGTCTTCTGTTCCTCCCACATATACATCTCTGGCTTATCTGTTAATGACGTCATCTGGCGCCTCAACCCGCTCGCCATTATTTCCTCGTTTTTTTTTTTATATTTACGTAAATTCATCTCATTTTACGACACATAATCAAAATTTACAATCGCTGGAACGATTTTATAGATTCATTTTGATTGTTAGCTTCTCAATTTTGAGTTTTACATCTCAATAACGAAAACGTAAAAACAGACACGTCGCAATAACTTATCAGAGTTGTTTGGGATGTTTTTAATTATTTAATTATTGAATTCGTTCTGACAAACTAGCCGTGGAGCGATATATTTTATATAAAGTGAGGGTAGACAGAAGACTGTGCAGGTATACTACGCTAGCCTGTGACTTTCATCGTATGTCCCACTAGTGATGGTCCAGCTGTGAGCTTGTTTCCTATCGGTACTGTAACCGATTTCGTGTCCAGATCGTGCGGTGTAGGGCCGGGAGGGGGGAGGGGGGGGGGGGCGTGGGCCGCGGTCCGCCGGCGCCACTCGGCGTGCTATAATAATTCGGGCTGGCTATTTCTGTCGTTTGACGAGCGGAACGCAACCTATAAAGTTTTTTTCAATTTTAAAGCTGTTTGTTGAACGTTATAGAGCCGTATACCGCGACCCGCGAACTACGACCTGCGCACGCGCACTGACCGTAACCTTGTTAATACATGCTACCATATGATATTAGGAGAGCGATTCATTGAATAATTCGAGTATTTATGATAATAATATAACAATTATATATAGTAAATCTTATAAGTAAATACAATCTATTTGTTATAACAGTAGTTAGCCCTCCTATCTCCTATCACTTGCCGTCCTCAAAGATATTTTCTTAACATGTTGTTAACCGCGGCGGTGTGTTGTTTATCTGTAATAGTTTACTTTGAAAGCAATTAATACAGCGGAGACTAGAACGACCGGTTCTCATGACGGTGTCGCAAGCTACAGGCTTATGGAAGTGACTTGAGTATTAACATCGTTTACAATATTAAATATTATTTATATACTGCAACTGTTCTACTATAGTTTATCTAAGTTCTACTACTAGTATCATTTCACACACGATTTTCTTAGTTCATTCGTCGACACCATCTTTGTAATACTATATATAGGACGTATCGTAATTTTAAACCATGTCACTTTTAAGGTACAGTACGTTTCATTCAGGTTTGAATGGCAACAAACAGTGTAGGTATAATATATGTATATATAGTTTTCTATGCTATTCTTAATTAAGAAGCGATTTGTCAATGAAATGTCATCAAACTATGAGGTGTCCCGGGTTCTTCATACTTCTGTACCTTACTGTGTCATGAATTGTAGGTACTTTTTGTCCCGTATTGTCCTATAAAGATACAGTTGATATTAGTCTGAATTTAAGAGTGTTTTGTATATCATTAATATATGTAATATGTTTTGTTGGCAGTATATATTTGGGTAGGTTATCATATCTCCTAATATTTCTTAATATCTCCATACAGTCTTGGTCCTATAGTATTTTTTATGTCACTCGTTGTCCATTTAACATGCAGGTGCATACTCAGTGGATTGCTTAGAAATTTCTTGCGCATGCGCCGTTAAAAAGTTCGTGGAAGCGAACGCCGCGGTTATAGAATCACATTGTGCGCAGTTTATTTGTATTCGATTATAGTCCGGACACAAATATTCACAGCTCACACGTCCGCCGGCGCCGCTAGCTAGCTACACAGCACACCCTAGAACATATGAATACTGAATTAAACGTATTATGGCTAAAGAAATTCGGCTGAGGTCCAACGGCGCGTGCCTGGACCATGCTAATGGTACCGTGAATTAAAATCGCTTCATTTAGGACATTATACATTATTCATAATGTACAGACGATGTAAATTTATCAGTTAGTATTGCATGGAACACGTTATTATCATCTGTAATATTATTAGTTTTTTCACGCGACGTCGAGACTATGCGATCGGTGTAAAAAATGTAATGCTAGCAAATGAGGGTAATCTTGAATTCCTTACGGCGTCAAAATATAGGTCGGGGAAAGATACGGGCCGTAATTGGTTCGAATCTACCTGATCTTATTTGTTTTAGTGATCTTTTATTTTTGGGTCCCACCGGTGACTCGGTTTATTAAGGATTCTCCGAATTTAATAACTTGCGGCTTGTATTATACGAATTTTTTATATCTACCTACATAATATGACGAGGCTTATAAAATGAATACATTTAAAATCTAAATTATTATTTATTATATAATATGTTCAAATACATGTGTTACCGTGATATTAATATTTTGTTTTTGTTTACAGAAACCCCTCCTCCTCCTTACAGCCGGATAGCAATGGATGACGTCAAACATAAAGGTGAGTTTACACTGTAACATAAGGCCGTACACACACTGGGCAAGTATTAATAATTACTCGAGGGAGCGTTGCACGTACCTACTCACAATGTAATAATATAAAAGCTTATCCCATGAGATTGTATGTGGAAACGAAAAACACGGCAGATGTAGGAATGCGACCGCGGGCCGGCGAACGGCGCCCGGCCAGCTTCCAGGAAATTAGGGATACGTAGTGATGGGCCCGCGTCGATACTGACGACGATATAATACAAGGGGGGAATCAAAACATCGACGACCACGATAAGAGGTGTTATCATGTATGTACCGATATCATACGGTACTGGCTACTTGGACATTATCGTACCGTGACAAACACTACTAGTGTACACGGCTCATGAATATTATCTCACATTAAAACTGAGCTTAACGGAGATAAAGATATTTTTAACAAATAATATTATCATATAATTAAATGTCGATCACACACTGCGCTCTGAGTACACCAATATATAATAGAATAGTTTAACAGAGTATTGTTTTAAATGTCTGTGTGTATATGTCGCTCGAGCTGGTCGAAGCAAGAGTCTTAGCTCACCGTCAGTGGTCCACATTCCCCGGCCAGTCGCCATCTTCATCATACATATTAATACTCCCGGCGTTTCTCACCGGTCGGTTTTTTCTCCTCAACCCTGCAGGGTACACGGTTATTCTATGAACATCTCTGTCAATATTACATCGTCATCTCAGATGTCTCAACGTCGAGATGTGTCCTTTAGTATGTAGTTCTTTTAATGTCACCGTGCTCTGTCTTTGAGTCTGTATCTCTTGTTTCGTAAGAGCCGTGACAAATTAAGAATGTAGTGTCATAAACGTGTTATGTCCGGACATTCCAGTGATACAGATTTTTTTGTTTTTTTTTTATATTTTAATTATCTTATTCACGTTATTGATTATAACATCTTTTATACAAGTCGGCTACATATTCTGTTTCTTTATGTATTAATACCAATTCTAAACTGTTTGAGATAGTTTCGACAGTGCTAGTTAAATTTGTCATCTGAGAGTGTCTCTAAGTATTAGATGTATCATCCCCCACGTCACAGGAATTTCCGTTTTCCACAATCAATGTTTCCGGAGGGGGTGCGGGACTTGGCTGTTTATCGCTCCGGGATTCCCTTCCAGACTTTATCATAGGGATTTCCGGGACTCTAGACGAATTGTTACCCTTCGTATTTCAGCTAGTTTAACTGTCTGCATTTAACCCTTCCACCGCCGAGCGTGGGACGGCGATTATAATGAGTGAGAGCGCGTCAATCTGAATGTTTGGATATCAGGATCAAATGTATTTTATTAATGTGTCCAGTCCAATGTGTATCTAAATGTATTCCTAAATTAGTCCTCGCCATTAACGCGTCTCAGTGAATGGCCGCTGCCATTTCGTGTGTTCGTCTTTTTGTTTTGGTCGTGAGGTACTCTCCGTGCGATCGTTTCTCACGTGCTTCCCCGAATCCATTCACTTCATTTACGAGGAGCCAGGTCCGGCGTGGTTGGCTGTGTCGGTGTGTTTCCAGCCTTACGTGTATATGTTAGGGTGTGTTTTTCTCTGGCGCTGGTTCCTCTGCTTCAAGTGACAGTCCTCGCCGGGTGTCGCCTGAGTGTTTGATAACGACGGTCTCCATTAACGTTATCGGCTCGCTATCGGGACGCCGGCGCCGCCTCACCTCTCCCCCCTCCCTCCTATCCTCCATATATAACTGGCCAGAGCTCGCTTTGACCTGCTGTATGATGGTCGCTACATTGCTTAATATATAAAGTTTTCTCCCCATACAATGATCCATCTCCTTCCTCACCTCTCTATACAAGGGCTATGTATTTGGTTGTTCGTCAGTGGTCACGTGTTCTTTAAACCGGCCTCATGAGAACCTCTCGTTCCGTCACGTGGAGTTCAGTATTCCGTTAGTATGTTTTATAAGTCGTGAAGGTGTGCCCGCGCCTGCTGCATCATGCTTGTTAACATACACACTGTATATTATATGTAATATGTTATTAATGATAAATCTTTATTTACGTCCCGGACTCGTCCCGTGAGTCGTGACACACGGACGATACAGATGACTGATATACATATATGTATATATTTATATATTATATGGACTTATTAGAACATAGTGTCATTATTAAGAAGGACTGCAGTCATGGATCTTTATACATATAAATATTTCAGTTAGTATATTATGTATTCTTCATATGAAGTAACTCGTTTTAAAGTTTTCTATACAAATATAAAACGGTCAACAGTTATAAGATATATTTATTTTTATACCGAGATCATTGCTTTTATATTAATAAAAATGTATAGCTAAAAAATAATAATCCATTTTCTTTTAAAACAATTTTGCTTATATTTTAAAATATACATAATATCGTAATATACCAGTATAAGAATAATCATTTTAAAACATTAAACAAATTATTTAACTAATAATAAATAAGTATTTTTATATGTACATACATAGAAAATATATTAAATTGTTATATAGCACGAGCTCTGACATCTCAACCCTATCAGCTGATCCAACTACTTACAATTACGTACTTATATTGACGCGAGTTAAGTATAAAAAATATATAGCCATAATATAATATTATATATTATTTGTTTCACTAACAATAATAAATATTTTGGTTCACACATCCCATTGCTTATATATATTATATATACATATATATAGCTGTTGTAACAACAACTGTTCTACACGTGGCTCGCTGTTTTGATGTTCATTCAATAATACGCGGTGTTTGTATTAGTTTTACCTGGAATATCTTATATATCTGTATTTAGTTAGGTAGAGAGAGGAGCTTGGACAGTGGAGGTGAGCGTTTAATGATAGATAGGGTCCCCTTAAACCTACATCTGGGTCACAAGTCACAGTCACTGTTGAAGCTCCTCTCTACAACGATGGACCCGGCACACGCATATGAATACATTGAATGCTGAAGTTTCGTCTCTCTTGTTATCTTAAACCTAATATAAATATATTCCTCTTGACTATATGTTAATAAGTAATTAGTAAATAACGCACACGCACAGACAGACACGCCCACTGTTACATATGTAGCTGACTATCACACGAGACGAATGGCAATCATATGAGATCAGTGTGCTTAGTAAGAGTTTTACTTCGTCAGACTACGTACGGACAGTTTAACGGTTTACGTACATTGATCTTCGTACACTATAGTATTAGCGTAGATTATTGAATAAGACGGAAAACGATTTGAATGTAGTGTGGTCACCAAACTTGTACTAAACATACATTTCCTATACTTTCTTGGCTAATATTATTATGCTTCTTTAACACTTACTTCTTCTTCTTCTTCTACCTGGCAATTTCCCAGTTATAGCCAGGGTCTGCCTTACATGTTATGAATAGTTTTGGCTACTTGTTTTTACGACCGGCCGCCTACCTGACATCAACCCTCTTTGGGAATCAACATTAATCAGTGATGTCTAAATACTCTTAGAAAGTACATATGACTCAGAAAAGTCACATTGGTACTTGCCCAGGCCAGGATCGAACCCGCGCCCTCGAGCTTGAGAAGCAGGCCTCTTAACCACTAGGCCACCACTGACTTTTTCTTTAACACTTACTATGGTATAAATACTACAAATATCAATAATCTCGTCTCCCAGTTATCCGTCTTAAGGTCAACGACCTTTACTAATATCAATTCATACAGGCCGTAACATTGGTCGAGCTTACAATATATAATATATTTAAAGTGTTCTAAAGTCGACCATTTCGATTCCATGATCGATCTTTTCCATCGCTGCACCCGTGACAAAGTAAGACTACTAGAATCTTTAAATAAGTATTTAGTACTCAATATAAATTTTTCCATGATCATTTCTCAAGATATATCATATTGCATACGAGGGGTAGGTAGGTAGACCGTCTTCCTCGCTTTTCCTCTCGGTTCCTCTCGCCTCCTCTCGCCTCCTCGCACCTCCCAGCCCCAGGTGTACATCTGATGTCATCTCAGACTCGTAATACAGGTTGTTCTATAACATAATATCTCCTAAACTGGCCGTGTGACGCCGCGCCGCTTACACCGCCCGAGCGCTACACACTGACATTTGAATTGCTAATTAAATAAAACGATCCGCCGATATTAATATTATATGGCATCGTTATCGAAATATTAATAAATGTAGACGGTACAAGTATCTATGTTGTGTGTGTTTCATACGAAAAATTTCTTAGAGCAGACAACTGTTTCAATTACTCTACTATTATTCTATACTAGCTTTCCACCCGCAGTTTCGCCCGCTTGGAGTCCGGTTATATCGCGTTTCCAAGAGAACCTTTTAAAAGTCTGGGATAAAAACTATCATATGTTCTTTCTCAAGGTCAATTCTATCTCTGTACCAAATTTCATTAAAATCTTATCTTATTCAGTGGTTTAGGCATGAAAGCGTAACAGACAGACAGACAGACAAATTTACTTTCGCATTTATAATATTAGTAAGGATTTTTTCTAACAATACCGGCTGGTTAAATGTCTCCTAGTAATCTAAAAATTATACTTCTTACTTAGTTTATTATTCAGTTTACAATGACGTAAGTTATGGGACATAATAACTATATGTACATAATATGTATGTTAGTGAAATATTTTTTTCTTATATTTCAGAACAAGACGAGAAGACAGAAGATGCTCGGAGAACTGACCACGAGCGGCTTGCCACGGGCTCACTGGCTACTGACGGAGAAGGTAAACACATACACACACACACACACACACACACACATGCACCTCGTCACTAGTGGAGAGTTGAAAATCTATCGTCAAAATATTTGAAGAATATACAAAGTACCTATGTGTATAGTTGTAAACAGAGCTCGCAGTATTATAAACTGTTTGGAAAGAAACATGCAGTCATGAAAATATGATGAACATACATATACAGGCCGAGTGCATGTTAACAACGGGGCGACGGACCCAACCAGACACACAGAGACAAACACACACACACACACACACAGACATAGGCAAACATTAGCCAAAAATAATAAGCCACGTAGTTTATATTGTAACAAGTACATACCTGGATTATATGTAGTTGACGTTCCTAGTTCAAGTGATATGTAATACAAACAAAACATTATTGACTTTTGTAAGAGACGTGTTTTGCGGATCTCCGCAATAATATGACGTATAGATGATGTCCACACCGGTGGTAGGTGGTAGGTGGCAGGTAACCTTGACGATCGATCGCCGCCAGCCCGGCGCCGGCCCCGCGCGCTCACCAACCATTTTTCATGGGATTCGTGAGACACTACACTACCATACTACCACACTACTATACTACATATTATATCAACACTATAGTCTGGAACATATATTATTACTACTAAAGTTAGTTTAACTACTAGTTAATTTTTATTTTCTGACAGTACCTCTCAAGGTATCTTGACTCTTTATTACATTAGTCTGTGATGACCAAATACCACGCTTCATGTAGTTATATAGTAAACTATGAGTTGTAGGAAGTATTCTGTTCGTACGATCATAGATCATGTTACATCAATGTACGGACCGTAACATACATATATCAGTTATCCGGTTATGTTCATCATGTATCAGTTATACTATCAATATGATCGTCACGTGACACGGTGAGCTCCTTAGTAAGATTGATGACTGGTGATACTTTCACATTGACGTTTTTAACGCGTTTGTGGTCGTGGTTAAAGAACTTTATTTATTTCTCATAAAGAACAATGTTCACTTGAATGAGATGTAATACATAGTTCAATTCAAACAACAATTCAGTACAGTAGCAACGAACCATACAACTCAAGAGCGATTAATCCAAGCCTACAATAACCCAATAGCTTCCTTCTAAAAAGCCATTGGGTTATTGTATTGTACTTTCCGTTTAACGTATGTATGTAATGTACGTTACAGAGCGTCAAAGCTGGGAGAGTGAGTGGTGCCGGTTGGCGTACTGGGAGCTGACCCAGCGTGTGGGGAGGCAGTTGGGTGTGAGGGTGCGCGCGGTGGATGTGTTCGGGGGTGCGGGGGGCAGCTGTGGCCAGGGGAGACACGGACTGTGTGTGGACGACCTGGGAGACAGGGGCGCGCAGGTGGAACAGGTGAGGGACATACACACACACATACGCACACAGACATACATGCACACATACATACATACATACATAGACAAATATACTGTCGTTTTTTTGTTTTGCTAATTTTCATTCTATATTACTAGTTCTAAAAATTAATAAGTTCTTCGACGAAAATCTACCTCCAGACGTTGTTATTAACCACAGTTCATATGTATATAAAGACAGATAGTGTGTGTTATCATAGTTACTTATATTATATGGTATAAATAATTTAATATCAATATAATAGGTCGGAACAAATCTGTATAAGACGCTGCGTTATGTAAATTGAATCAACTGCGGGAGATAACCTCGCGATAACTGACAGCACACCACACAACACACGACACTTATATATAGTACATATATGTATAATACATTGTATTACGTTGTACACTATACATATATATATATATAAAGAACATATTAAAATATATCAGATATCACGAAATATGGTCTTAGTTAGTGAGCTCACCAGCATACCAAGAGATGAACAATTTAGGTCCACATTTGAATACTATACTAATAATGTTCAAACCTTCTCCATGTGAGAAGAGGTCTTTGCTCAACATCGGCTAAAATAGGCTGATGATGAAGAACGTAATAAAATCATTGACTAAATCCAAAAAAATGTTAGGTGACCTCATTTGACCTCTCCTTTATTTACAAGAAAACTTCTCAATAAACATGTATTAATATACGAATATAATGTTCAAGGTGCGGAAAACCCGGGCGAAGATAGGTCTCGGCGTCACACTCTCACTGGAATCAGACGGCGTGTGGTTGTACAACCGCAGTCAAGAACCAGTGTTCGTATCATCACCGGCTTTAGACGCTGCCGCTGCGAAAGCACTGCTTGTATGGCGAGTGGCGCCGGGTCATTGTCTATGTGTATTTGACCCTGGGTCTCCTCCCCCTGCGCTGTCTCTACCCCACGTCGGTCCAGTTGATAATACTTCCGTTAGAATTTCCTTCGCTAAAGGCTGGGGTCCTAAATACTCCAGGCGTGACGTCACCGCTTGTCCATGTTGGTTGGAAGTACTACTAGCGCCGGCCAGCTGACGCTAGGACGAATAGTGATGAGTGATGATAAACATAGTGATGATGAACATAGTGATGGTGACTGTGATCAGTGATAGAAGACGATCATCACAAACTGACCAAACAACTTTTATATTGAAAGTGGAAATATTTATTTTATAAACGAAATCATGTGTTGTAAATAATATTTATGTATAGCTTCCACAGTCTATGTGCTCGGAGAATGATTTATGTTATATATATACATCACTCATTTAAATCAGTCTCATGTTATTTTTATATATATTGTCATGAAAACCAATTAATCTAATGGAAATCATTCTCTGAAGCACATTGACCCAACACTGGTCCAACACGGTCCAACATTGGAACGAATGTCCAAAGTTTCCGATGTGATGTTAAAGCTATGTGTACAATGTATGTATATTATGTATAGACCTCGGCTTTAATCCGCGAGACTGTATATAACGTATGTAATGTACTGTTAATATTTATAATTATGAACTATGCCTTACCTTAGACACTAAGTAGATGTAAGTTTTAATTTTTTGTACAAATACTGAGGCATCGTATAGAGGGATGAGGATGAGGATGAGGATGAGGATAGGGATGAAGGATAGAGGCGCGGAGGCTGTGCGAGGAGCATTTGTATTTGTTAGTGTAAGAGATGAGATCTGTGGGTAGAGTGAGTCATGTTAGATGGTAGTGACACTGTGCCTTGAGTTGTATTCAATGTTTATAGGGTAATGCAGTCAATTCGCTGATATACAACGTAGGTTTATAGTGGAGTACCTCGAATAATGTGCTTGGACAAAGTGAGTCAAGTCGACAATAAGATATTCTAGTCTGTAGAACAAGCTTGCTTTGTCTGTGTGTAGCCGCTGTGGCTGCTCACATGTGGTTTAATATTCAATTGGCCTTACAAAGGATATATATATATTTATATCGAAGAAGCAATATTGTTAATATATGAAACACAAATTAAACTTAAATTTATATGTTATTATAAATAAAATCTATGACACAACGGTACAAACACCCGAGCATAATTAATATTGAATATATTTATTGAAGCTGTAGTCATTACGTTAGACTGATGGAGCCTTAACTTAACGAGGCATGAGCTCATGCAGGGGTTGGCTTTATTATGAAACAACTCCTGGATGACTCATGAAGATGTTCTCATGTATATAGTCCATTAACGAGAAGTATGACTGACAGACGGATGAGATTAGGTTAATATGAATTATAATAAACAAAGAGGATATTTTTATTTCACTTAATTTATTTCACCCTATATACATATTTACATATCACCACCAGGCACTACAAGTTATATACAAACAATATTAATTAATTAATTACACATCTTAACATGAAGACTACTCCAGTCTCTTTAAAGTAGTTTTTGGTAGAAAGAAGCAGGCCACCCCACAAGCTGCAACAAAAGTAGTATTCAAATATAGGTGATAGGATCAAATATCACTCTTAAATTTATATTATAATGTAGAAAATAAATTTATAATCAATTTTAAACTATAAAATTATTTTAATAGTACATATATGGAGATTGCTATCATTTCATACAATAAAATGTATGCATGAGCCTTGATAGGTGTGGAGAATTGGCTTTAAGTAGTTACCCATTAGAGCAGCAGCTATAGTCAGGAAGGGAGGTAGGCATCCAAAGTCTATGAGTACGGGAAAGATGATGGTTCCAGATATGGTGCCCATACGACCCATCATGAGGAACACAGCCATTGCCATCACTCTGGAAATAAAGATTCATATCATATAGAAACAACAGAACTGATTGGTCGTGATGATCTAGTGGTTAAACATCCTCCTCTCGTGCATGAGAGCGCGGGTTCGAAACCTGGCAAGTACCAATGTGGGGAAAATTGGACTTACAATATCAAATTATAAGTTTAAAATCACTAACTCGTCTTGAGTAAGCGTGGTGATTAATGCTCAAATTTTCTCCATGTGAGAAGAGGCTCAGCAGTGGGATGTCATAGGCTGATGATGATGATGATCTCTTTGGAATTATTCCTAACATTTTTATAGAAATATGTGTGTATATTATATAATCAGTCGTTTGGCTTTAATCTAATGTTTTAATTAGTTATCGTGAAATACCTGGGTGTTACCTTTTTTCTATAGATCTCAAAAATGTTTTGATATATAGATTATAGAACATTTCTGAATTAGTCCATACCACTCACCTCAATGATGTAGGGAACAGGTCTACAGCGATGCTGGAGAGAGAGGCGGAACACAAGGCAGTGAGGGCCAGGGCTGTGGTGACTATGGCGACCACTGGGAACGAACTGCTGCCCACGAGAGGCAGTAGGCCCACGAAAACTGCGCCCACTACCCCACACACACCTGCTACCATCTTCTTACCACATCTGTAATAGATGACATTCTCATTAGTGAATAATATACAGTACATTTATATAAAGTAATGCTTTGTCTAGTCAATAGTAAAATTTCGACGTCATTTGTGGCTGATGCCATATTCTAGGCACGTTATTTACACTAAATACATCAATCCCGATATAAAGTATAAAAATTCTTGAGTAAGATTAAGATTAATATTACTTAGCAAATTAAAATCTGGTTTGTTACTTGTCATACATTGAATAAACGAGAAAGATAGATATTAAAAATAGATGCTAAGTCAGCAGAGTGTGATCAAAATTTACAGTTCAACATTTAGATCCGGTTCCACAAACCATAGATCTAGATCGTAAAACCGCGGAGGAGAATAAAACTATTAAAATTAAACAATATCGTAATATCAATATATGTAGAAAATGGCTGGCAATCTTATATATGGGATCCCTACAACAAAAATAAATCCCATACTCGTCAACACGCCGTTATACCTAAAGACAATTAATATAAATGACGACCACCATAATAAGATATTCCATCTAAGTATTTCTTTATAATTCTACAATACATGTGTATAGAACTAAACTAGTAGGTAAACCTCTTGACAGATTTGAGTGAATTTTTGAATGCATTTCCAGGCGGTTCAGATTCCCAAATCAGACCGACAGATGGCGCTAGCTCATTTAAATGAAACTGCTGCAACAGGCGGACGCCGGACATAGTTGCGGACAAAAAGTAATAAATCGATCGGTCCTATACATAAGGGTCAATAAGGCAATTTAGCCATATTAATTTTTTTTTGCTTTAAACACTTTAAAATTCTATATTCTATCACATCCATCTAAAAATTCGAGTTTGTTGATAGAAAGACTTAAGGCATAAGTAACACACTTTTTAATGTAAAAGGGCTTATACATTATTTAAAAAACTAGTAGGTTTTCAAAATGTTTATCAAGCTTTAATGACGTACATACATGTCATAATTGCTTTAAAATTTTCATTTTGCTCATTGGTCCTTATACATAAGAGCCATTGATCTCTACTAATATTATAAATGCGAAAGTAACTCTGTCTGTCTGTTACGTTTTAACCTAAACCACTGGACTGAATTTAATGTAATTTGGTACAGAGATAGAGTTGACCTTGAGAAAGAACATAGGATAGTTTTTATACCAGACTTTTGAAAGGTTCTCTTGGAAACGCGATATAACCGAACTCCACGCGGGCGAAGCTGCGGGCGGAAAGCTAGTATAGAATATACGAACCGATTGATGAGCATGCCTCCTATACCGTAAGTGAGCACAGATCCAGCGCCCACCACCGCGTTCTGCAGGTAGGTGAGCATGTCCGTCTGTATGGGCGTGCAGCCTGCCGCCTCGTCCACGAGAGGCTGCGGGGCGATGGCGGAGCACAGGCTGGCGTTACCCTCCGAACCTATCATGGCTGCCAGCTGAGGGTACCACAGACGAACTGTGTTGGCTCTGTACGAATATTACTTATATGAATATGCTACATTCTTTGAAATCCCAACACAAACTTATAATGCAATCAATGTAATGCATAACTTGTTTCAAGAAAGTATTTTTTTAAACTTTTTTAATATCACTTTTAATTGTTATTGGCATGTTATATTAAAGTGTCCTATTGAGTAAGGACAGATAATCCGGATGAGCACTTTTACCAAGAAAAAGGAGATATTCTACGCTCCTATAAAAACACGGAAATTTTGATATGAATGAATAATCGTCTATATGTACATACATATTTGCAACTCTTTCAATAGAAATAACTGGATGAATTATAATGATATTTTATAATAAAATAGACTATGTAGCATTACGATAGCTTCGCGTGTCAGTCGATAGATGGCGTTGGCCTTTGTTTATTATGTATTTTTATAATCACAAATTGTTCGTTTTTAAATTCAGAACCCAAGCTAGGGAGAAAAGGTATAAATTAGTAAAAAATCTTTTGAAATGAGTCTCATAAAACAATCAAAGGTCACAAGAACGTTTTATTATTGCAAATATGTATTTAGCCCATAAGCAACTGTTAGTCCCGGCTTATCTATTGGAAATAAAATGGTATTATAACAAAACGTTTGGTAAACAAAAGCCGTTTTAGGTATTTATATGAAATGATTAATGAATGGTGCAAATATTTTAGGGAAAAGTTTTCGAAGGTTAACCCTTCCTTCCTCTTAAATGTCCATAATATGCCGTAATGTGTGCGTGCGTGCGTGCGCGTTTGTGTGTAATGGGTGTCAGTCCTCACCCGAACATGCAGCACACGTGTGCGACGCATATCAGCAGCAGCCAAGCGACGTGCGGTGGACGGAACAGCGGTGAGAGCTGCGCCACGCCGCCCTGGAGCGCTTTCAGCCCGCGACCACGTTGTGGATGTTTCTCCTGGGCTAGGCGGTTTATCTACACGGAATAAATAGATACAATTAAATTCATGAAATAAAACATACTATATTGATAGGTTTTATTAAAAGTCTTAACAAAAAGTTTTTTTTTCATTACATTTACATTGTGGCTTTCGAAATCAAATCGTTTGGTTTGATCTGTGTTTTTTGAAATAGTTTCAAGTTCATTTTATAAAATACGTTTTTGATCACTATGAGGTACCTATGTTATTTAGTTTTGTCTTCCTCACCGGATATGTCTCTGCGGGCCTGCCAGTGTTCCAGGAGTATATTTTCTTCAATATTTCCAAGGCTTCATCGTTGCGTCCTCTAGACATGAGGAACTTGGGGCTCTCTGGCAAACAGATGGCTGCCAGCCCCGTCAGTATCGGCACCATCGCCGTGGCCAACAGGAATATATTCCACGAATGGATAACTATACATTAACACTTAGTTAAAACAAGTATTAAAACGATTCATACGTTATATTAATTTGAAATGAATAAAAAATGTTTTGCTTTGACTACAAATACAATTTTTTTTTAACAGATTAGATTCCTACTCTTCAAGTTATTACTCACACATCTCGTCTGTCCGTGATCACGGTTGCTGAAAAGTAGCGGAAACGTCGGGAGTATGTAGTTTGTAATAAAAAATAAAAACGCGAAGTAAAATCCTAAAATATTAGTTTCATTTATTAATTTAGAATTAAATAAAATAACCATCCTACCCATTCCACCTCCGAAAAGTGTGAATTCCCAGTCTTGGGTGATAATAGCCCACGCCAGTAGAGGGAGGGTGGTGTTGGCCAGCGTGAAGAAGAAACTGGACAGGAGAATGACACGAGCTCGGAGATCAGCTCGGTGGAGCTCGGCGAGGTAGGAGATTAGCACCGCGAACGGACCGTTGAATCTGAAGTACAAAATAACTGATGAGATCTAAGATTTTCGCGAGTACTCATTTAAATGAAACTAATATTATCGGAGTAAATTCGTAGTAAATCCGAAAACATTAGTTTCATACAAAACAACTGGTTTATCATAACGACCGCTTTGGAAAAGATTTTGAAATGGGTTTTATTTCTACAAACATTTAAGATTAAACCCCTCATCATTCAAGGTATTTACCGTGCGAGTGCCGGATCTATTATTGTAGGTAGAGGAGCTTTAATAGTGCCTGGGACTTGCAACCCAAGTCATTTAAACGCTTACCACCACCGTCCAAGCTCCTCTCTATTTAACCAAATTCAAAACCTACTTCGACGTAAGACTTTGTTTTCTTACGTGAAAACTAACCATGAAATATGTCAGTGTTAATTTATTAGATGGCACTTACAAAAACCCGCTAGCGAATCTCATGATAAGAAGCATGGTGAAGCTCTGGCTGACGGCAGCCACGACTTCCACCAGGCCGCTGCTGAGACAACCCCACACAAGGATACTCCTCCTGCCCAGGGTGTCGGAAACGTAGCCCCACACCATGGCCGAACTGATCATTCCTAATACACAACAAATAGAATTTCATAGTACCTATAGTTTTACACTTTACAGGAAAGGCATTTAATTACTTTTGTAAAGTATATTTACGACAAATATTTTAATTACAAAATTGATATCTGTATAAAATAATATTCACAATAATGATGTATATATTTTCCTTAATTCACTTTTAATTTTATTTAATATAATTAAAAAACATAAATCAGGTTCTTTCATATTTGAAATATAAAAAACCAGCAAAAGAAATACATAAATGAAATTAAAAACTTAATTAACTCAGAAGACCAAAATGAAATGACCAATAGGTATGCTTTGACATGAAAAGTACGTTTTAATTAATAATTATCAAGTGCAAGCAGTGTCGCGGAACAATATTAGTTTGTATGTTATTGTTCTATAACAATTAGTAATTATTATCACTATTGCCATCGTTACATATAAATTATGTTTGTATTAATATTATGTGAGTCTTATATTCTCTTTGTGTTAAATGATGTAATGTTTCCGTATGTTGCTAGTAGGTACCTGTGAACTGTGGCGTCATAAAAGGAAAATAAACTCTTTTCTTATACCTATTCCTAGCATTCAATTGTTAGTTCCAGTTAGCTAATGTACTTGTCTAAATGTAATCTTAACTCCATAATTATTTCGTACCTTAACATTTAGTAAAAACAAAAAACAATCGTAAAACATATGAGTTGTTTTTATAGTTCATTGTAATATTCAAATATTTTTTATTATTGTTTTTAAATTCTCGTTGCAATTTCACGGATGACGTAAGAGCTTACCAGGGCTGAGTAAATTGGCTTAAAGTCAGCACCCGTGTTGCCGCGTTTAGCAAATATTTATTACGGCAACCTTACTATAAGTTTTAATTAACTTAAATACCGATAGTATTAACGTTTTTTCTTAAAAGTATCCGGCGTCAAAATATGTTTAATGATTTAGGTGATAAATATGTTATAGCTAATTATTATTTAGTCTAATAATAGATACTATTGGCGGTAAAAGTATATATGTATATTTAATGAGTCAATATGTATGTTTATACTCTACAGTCTACTCGTATGTTTTATTAATAGAAAACATTGGGTTAGCCGTACGTCTTTCAATATGATTCTGTAACCAAATCCTTTGACAAATATTTGTTTTGTTCGTGGAAACTCGAGACAGTTTAAAAGATCTCTGTTTTATATAACAGATTATCAATAGCCGAGTATTACGTTTTTGTTACGTGTATTACGTATTTAACACATACATACATGTATACCTCGTATTTATCTATAAAATAAAGATATTTAAAGCAAAAATTAATGTTTTGTATAATTCTTTTATACAACAATAGATATAGTTTGATACTAATACCAAAAACACAATTTCTACCTGTATGTAGAATATATTAAATTTGCTTTTCTGTACATCAGCTTGTATTATTCATTTCAAAAGTAAAACCTTGTGAATTTCAATATTATGTTTTGTTTTCTTTTTGTATTTTATTCACAGTTGTTAATATATATTTTCATGTCCACCAGATCGTCTTACCGATATAAGACATAGCGGTGACGGTGCCCAGGTCGTGGAGACGTAGTTCCATGTCGCACTGAGCTCTGGTGAAGATGTAGGAGGCTGCGCTGGTGATGGACACCGCGCTCCAGAAGGCTGGCAGGGTACAGAGGAGCAGCACCACGTTGAACCAACCATAGCCTGTCGCTGATATTGCTTCTTCGAAATCTGACTCTGGCTCTAACAAAAGTAGCATGTACTTAGTTAGCATTTATGAAAGTAATTCTATCTTGGATAGCTTAAAGTTTTGTGTCAAATAAATAGGGACTTAAAATATATTAAAACAATAATTATGAGTATTTTGTATGAATATCAAGGTCTCCAAGTCCAAGGTGATGTTCCTCAAAAACACCGAAATATACCAAAAAAGATTCATAACGACCCATAAAGCTGAGTGACATTACATACGCCGCGCTGGCCGTTTTCCAGATTTGCAAATAAAACCAGACCGAGATGAGACGGACTTGTTTTGAAATCTCAATATTATATTATTATTGGAGCGGATCCGACGAGCCATCGCGAGGAATGGGGAGCGGTTCAATGGAGTCGAATTGAAAGTTTATAATAATGACGATTAAATCCCGTCCATTGTTCCTCCGTCTGCGTTATTTATTGTGGAAATCAATAAAACATTTAGATGATAGAAACGATCAGTCGTTAATGAACACGTCGCGAGCTGCTCGGGCGCCAATTGTATCGCCCATAAACAGTAGCACCGGAATATTCTGATATTTGATTAGAATCGATGAAGATGACATTCAGCGGGAGTTTCACCTTCAGCTGAAATGCATCAGAAGTGTCGTATTATTAGAGCACTTTATATTATTTATAAACCGCATACCTTGAGCTAATTTCTCCAAATTCGATGAGGACAGTCCCGTGACCTTGTACAGGTGGCTGTGGGAGATCTCTTCCTTCCTGGAAGCGGCCTCCGCGTCCGTCACAGTCATGTCTAGTTGTTAATTATTTACTTTATATATGTAGCTGAATCGTATGGCCGAGTGGTAGTTGTATTGGTTGTGAGCTCGTGTCATCATCGGTGCAGGAGTTGTAATGAAGAGCTCCGTCTCCCCGTGTGTTATATACAAGCGGAGCTGCTATCACAGTTTACTTCTGGATCAGTCTGTGTGTTCGGTAAACACGCGATCAGTTTTCCTCCAGGCGCTATCTTGAGCCAACATTTGCTACTCTATAGCGACGATTAATAATTTTATTTCATCAGAATCATACTCATATTATATACTCATATTATATACATCGTTTTAGCGAGTGACCATCGCCGGCTGGTCATATGAAATGTTACTTTATTTTAATATAACTTTTAACTTTCAGTCACCAAAATTAACAATGTACCCATGTGCCTCGTTACGTCGTAACGCAAATCAAATGAAAGTGTTCCGACTGATAAAGATGATATACAAAAGTTATTGAAATTACACCTCACAAATTAGTTATTTATAAATATTTGTCATTTTTGTTATTTACCTGATGTAAACAGACTGTTATATTTACTGCCTTGAATGCTCGGAGCAAATATTGATAATGTTCTGTACAAAACTATCAATTGAATACATCAAAATATTCAAACTTGTTTGTAGCGGTTATTTATTTACGTATTTTATTACGAAAGAGGAAAGTAACAGGTGACTGTTAATATCACTGTGAATAAGTCGCTTCTTTGGTTCGTTTCACGGGAAATATTGTTAATTTACTTTATACATATAATATGAAACAGAATATTGTGATTTAGAATTTATTGTGTTGTTTAAGATAATTTCATTATTTCCTATTATAATTTACTACTCTAACCTTCCATCGACCATTGATGCCAGGGAGCTACATTTTAAATACAATAGCAGTAGTTTTCATTGAATAATCTCTAATGAAACTTCATTTATTCTTATATTCTAATGTTTTTCTATTGTTCCTTCACCCTCGTGATAATCGTCTTTTCAGTAGCATGTGATACGTAGTTTCCTTTATAATTTCTATTAGTTTCAACAATGCTTGTAACATCACCTCAACATAGTATGTGATAACGTGGTTAGTTTTGACCGTGATAACAGCCAGATAAACGGTCCATTGACAGCATCACGCCGACTTATCTCACGACCACTGGCCTCTCGTTAAATAATTAAGTGTATGGTTATTAAAAAATTTGTAAACATTTTTTTAACTTTTCACGTGACTCACGATATGAAGATATGCTTTAATAAGGTATATTTTTTTAGTTATTTTGGAAATTTTTAATATTGATACAAAGACTGCGATTGTAACGTCATAGAGTTATGACGCTCATCTCTACTGCTGAACCCTGCCTCCTATAAGGCGCGTGTTCTATACATAATTATTTCTCATTGTTATGTCTGTCCGTCAACATAGTGTCCATATCTTGGTATTATTCATTATCAAATACCAAGTAACTTATACCCAAACTAAGTTTCTAAATCTTTTTTCTATTCGGAACATACTTTTTTTTTATTCATAAAAGAAATAATTGGCTTAACGCATTTTTTAACGATGCTTATATCAGTAGCTTGTCTTCAATAAATTACTAGCCCATGATTCAGTATAGATGAACTTTGAATCCAAGAGTTGTGTCCTCACTGGACTTGATAATGGCCGAAAATCAGGAAACACAAGAAATGAAAAGCAGGATATTATTAAATTAAACATCAACATACATGTGACACAGAAAACCAAACGAGGATTATATTTGACTTATTAATAAGATATTACTACGTGATAAGTGGGACTTATTCTTTATACATACATACATGTATATTTTCGTTAGGTTGTACTCTCGATGTTAGAATATAGACGGCAAATTTAGTCCTATGTGGGGAAAGTACAAACATTCTCAGTATGGAAGTTGTCAGGAGTTATAAAGTATTTCAGCAAAATAAACAAAAAAATTAAAAATATATGAAGAAAAATCAATTGTACCGATTACAAGACATTTATTACACGTACAAACACACACACACACACACACACATATGTATATGTACATACATATTCTTTGGGCGCAATGCCTTTTAGCGTGCCTTATTACAGACCTTATTTTTGTCAATATAAAAAAATATATCATCTTTTTATAACTGCTGTGAATTCCTGTTAAGTACATTTATATACACGTCACCAATTATGTTGTCTATGATCCGAGAAGCTCAAATGTTCCAACAATATGTAGAAGGCATGCTTTCTGTTCCTTGTTTCGAAGATATTTCCATGATAGTCATCATTTTATTAATTAATTAATTTCAATATTAAATTATAATATAATTATGTTAATTCTTTATAAATATTGTTACATTTATACAGTTTATTCTTGTTAAACTTTGGAAGTTCTCAATTAGATTGAATAAAAACAGTTGTTAATACAAATTGCGTATATGTTGATTAATATAACTTTAAAATTAATAGCCCGTAGTTGTTTATGTCTGAGTTTTATGTAAATAGAATATTGTAATTGATTAGTAATGGTTCGCCTTAAGGAAGGTGGAAGAAATTATTAAGAGTACAGTTCTTCCGGTGATTTGAATTCGCGGCAGATTTTTTAAGAAGGACAGTTGTATGTAGAATTTATGTTGGTTTGACTTCAATTCTTAAAAAAAATAATTATAATAATAAACAGATTTTCTTTGTTAAACAGCTTTTACATTTAATTACCTAATTAATTTGAACTCACTAAAACAATACATTACCTAAATTGACTATGTAGTTATATTAAGAGCAGTATCGAGGACTTCAATGTTCGGCTTCTGTAAACTTTTTTATAATAATTATACGGAGAATCCGAAAAACATATCCTATTTAGCGACTTTCATTCAACCTATTCTTAAAAATATACAGCTGGTTTTGATTCAGAGTAGTAGTAGTAGTAGAAGATATTAGTAGTAGAAAATAGACATACACGTTAAAAAAAGGAGATACTAATAATAAAGATTGCCAAACCTATACGAATAGATGATTTTTTTTTTGAGCTGATCGCATTCTACAAACTGAAAAGTATTCATATTTTATGACTGCTATTAGAACACATCTTCTGACTTTTCTCATCCCTAAATCTTCAAAGGCAGAGTATTATATGTATATTCCTAATACAGGACTTTAAACTCTCATGTTTCACGAAAACTCGGTGTTCAATAATCCTTAAATAATAAATTTAATATATTTATCTATAGTTGTTCCACAAACACGATTAAATACAACAAGTTTTTGTGTTTACTTTGTACGATAACAATCTTGAATTGATCGGAGTATGTTCGGTAATGATTAATTTATATACTGTAGGGCTAGCATTATATGTAATATTCTATGTATAAAAAGAAAAAATATATAATTCATTTTAATTAAATACTATCCAAAGCTATATAAAATTATCTTATTTGTCCTCAATCGTATCCTTTCAACGAGTTTCAGTTTCTACATTGTATGTATATGCGTCCTATACGAATTCATGAAAAACTAGTTGTTCTTTTGATACCAGAAGTATTCTATCCATTCCAGAAGTATTCTATCCATTCCAAATTCTGGAAGCAGCACATTACACATCATATAATCCAGCTACACTTGGTACCAAGTGTCGCTTTTCTTTCTTTTCCTGTCAATAGTGAAGTGTTTAAGTCTTATATTCTGCACATGAGTCACGTTGTAAATAGTATTATTGTTACCAATTTCTTTTCAACGTCCTATAAATACCTCACTAACAAGTGACTAGGATTCATATTAAATCCTATTTATTTTTTTTATTAGATACTTCCAAAGAAGAGTATTATCACAACACCCTTTCATAATATACATAATTAAAATATGTAAGTATATACTACTGACTTGTAAGTTAAATAAAACATTTATTACATATAAAGTCTATATAGACTAGCGGCAGGAGAGCGGCAACCCTTACAAGTAACAAGTGGTATAATGAAGCTCCACAAATACTGATTAAACTTGACCACGCTACGACCACGTGCTACGAGACTCAGCTACGAGACCGAGCTACGACACGTAGCACCGCGCTACGGGACAGGCTTCAGGGACGGAGACTACTATACTGTGTACATGAGAAGTTGTACAATCACATCACATACAACATAGTGATACTATAGTATAATAAAAAACATATTCTTTCATTTGATATCTATTGAATCTATACTAATATTATAAATGCGAAAGTAACTCTGTCTGTCTGTTACGCTTTCACGCCTAAACTACTGAACTGATTTTAATTAAATTTGGTACAGACATAGAGTTGACCTTGAGAAAGAACATAGGATAGTTTTTATCTCAGACTTTTGAAAGGTTCTTTTGGAAACGCGATATAACCGAACTCCACGCGGGCGAAGCCGCGGTCGGAAAGCTAGTATTCTATATATATGTAAATCTAGAAGTTATGTACCGTAGAGTGTACTAGTTGTGAGTAACAAGGAACTGTCTACAAACGAGGGCCTTCCCCGGAATGAAACATACGTGAAGTTATTGATTGTGTGAAAAATATTTATGACTTGTTGTATATCTAATATCACACATACCTGTGATACCCGAGTATAATACCCGAGTATTAGAAAATAAATAAACATTTTGGAACCAAAATGCAAATAATGAGTGAAACGATCTACTGAACTGTATTGAGTGATTAAATATCACTCAAAAAGAAACATTCCATTAAATAATTAATATATTATCGGTTCATTTTCTAAGCCAAGGTGAATTGTTATTAAGAGTACTGTAACGGCTTTGTTGTTGTAAAACTGTTGTAAGTTGTTATTAACATCGTTTGTTATTAATTATCATTATAATTGGCTTTGTTTATATAATATAGAAAAATAGATTTTTAATGTATTTTAGGGAAAATACATATATAAATACTTTATAAGAATATCGACTTCGATGTATAATTGCACATCAGACGAAAATTAATTTAATTCAAGTAAATAATAAATATAAATTTCGAAGGCAGCCCTAGTAGGTTCTTTTCAAATTTGGTTAAATAGAGAGAGAAGCTTGGACGGTGGAGGTGAACGTATAACGCGTTACATAGGGGCCCTTAGACCTAAACCTGGGTCACAAGTCCCAGTCACTGTTGAAGCTCCTCTCTACAACGATGGACCCGACACACGCACCGTGAATACATTGAATGATGAGAGGTTTCGTCACTCTGTATATATTAAACCTACACCTGGGTGCAAGTCCCAGTCACTCTTGAAGCTCCTCTCACTACAACGATGGACCCGGCACACGCACCGTGAATACATTGAATGCTGAGAAGTTTCATCTCATAGTGTCATATTCATATATCTTTTTACTTTTTTATTTCGCAATATATTCATAATATTGTCTAATCGTTAGTAATTTTCTCTGTGGGTCAAAGGTCACTAGTTCCTTGTTTATCACACCGCGAGGAAGCGCTTTGCCAAAGCACTCGACTGTATATCAAAACAAACAACTAGAGTTTCCATTGACACCTTTAGAAAATTACTAATAATATACAGAGACGAGGAAATATATAAGGAAAAAAATATTCTCCTAGATTTTAAAAGAGTAGTTAGTAGAATGACGTGTGTTTGTTGTATCAAATAGTTTAATTTAGTGAGCATCAGTTCATCATCTTCCTGGCCGGTGCCTAGGACCGGTCCTCAGTTCCCAGTCCTCTGTTCCCGGTCTTCGGTCTCTAGTTCCCGGTCTCCAGGTCCGAGTGTTCAGTCCTTTCCCCACGCTCAGTTGTCAGTGTTCCCCCGGCCGCCGTCGCCGCTGCCCGTCAATGCCTAGTCACCGCGCGCGCGTCAAACTCAAGTCTAATAAATGGGCTAAGTGCTGAACCTTCAGTCTGTGTACGTGATAATAGAATAAGTTAGTGAATTGACTTTGTTAGTGATATGGAAGAACAGGCCGGTATGTACAATAATATATTAAAATTATACCATTTTATATCATATATTTTTGATAATTAAATTCCTAATAAATTTTATTTGTTCGTACTATTACGTCATCCTGAAAATTTTTGTAATTAAGTTGTAATTATTTTTGAAGTATTAAGGGTAGTTGTGTATTTAATAGTTTTTTAATTTTTATTTGTTATCTGATGTACGGTCGGCGTCGTGGATGTGTTATTAAGTGTTTGGAAACTTATGAATTTAATGACGAATTTCTTTGTTCCATTGTACATATACCTACTGTATTTTAATTCGACTTTTTTTTGCGATATTTTAAAGAGATTTGTACAATGATATTCAGACAGAACAATAGAAATTTGTGAAATTGTTTAATTGTAAAATAAGCTTCATAAAAATTAAAACAGTGAAAATTAAAACACAACAAGCTAATGTTGGTTTATGATGGAAAAAAAACGTAAATATTTGTGAAACGTAGTTGACAAATGATTGTAAATAAAATAAAAAGACTGAGCAACAGTTGTTAACAAGAAGTTGGCAGACGACTGAACGGAACGAGACTAGACGCGGATAATGATTGTATTAGAACAAAATAATATTTAGTACGCGTTGAGAAGAAATACTATTTGTTATAGAAAGTGTTATATGTAAGATAAAGAAACGAAATAATGACGAAAGGCGCAGGTAATAATAATAATAATGAATTTAATGAGATCTAAGACTTTCGCGAGTATTCATTTAAATGAAACTAATATTTTTGAATATACTACCTGATCACGGTTGCTGAAAAGTAACCGAAACGTCTGGAGTATGTAGTTTTTTTACACTAATGAAGCGCGCGTAGTATATCCGAAAAATATTAGTTTCATTTAAATGAATAATATATTTTATTATTAAATATTTTCGTGGAATTTCACTGAAACATTGAGATGTGTATTGAGAGGTAAATCTGTATTTATAAATAGCATTAACTGAGACGTACGGTTTGGGAGACATTGAGATTACAGAATAACAAACATACATACATATATATAATATATATACTGAAGAGTTGAATTGAAGATTAAAACATTTATAGTATTGTCAAATAATTAGTTATTTTATATCAATAATATTAATAATTCGCGTCGGGCGAACGGTGCATTACCCGCTATCTTGATGTGTCGACAGTTCTATCGCATAGAATTTAGCTTTTTATTTTTGTCTTACTATAGTCTGTTCTTCATGGGTAATTAGAAGTAGCATTGTGGGTTATAGACCTGCAGAGTACAGGTCTAATTCCAGCCTTTGAAGGTGCTATAATTATAATGATGAGCAGATTTACTTTCGTTCTCAAGTCCAGTACAATACAATTTTATTTCTTATATTAATTGTTTTAAAACATCACCTTCTGTTTCCACCTCATCATTGTTCGGTTGTTGTAAGCTGTTCTATATTATTATCATTATATTGTTTAATACGTCTGTTCCATACAACTTTATAATTATCTAATTAAGTGTATATTTTTAAGGTTTCCTAATCTCCTTAGCGAGGTTATCGAAGTTACAAATTATTAAGATTATTGAACATCGAAATTAATCTGTTTTTCATAAATTATGTTTACTTTTTCCCTCTTTAAGTTCCATCAAATATTTAGTCTTGGTGATTTACTTTTTACGTAGTTAGTTTACAAATTGTCTGTTATTTTTTTGTATGTTAAAAGTTAATAGTTTAGTTCTAAATCTATGTATTCGTTAGTTAATGCTTGACATTTAACTGGTCATGGGTGCGGCTTACAATAATCTAACTAATGATCTGAAACTCATTTTCCTTCAACGTTTCTTCTAGTTTTCTTCTGTTTCCTGACTGCTATAATCTAGATGTAATACTCATAAATCTGTTACGATTGTTAATGTAAGGTGATCACAGTTTTTGTTGTTTAATATTTTCAATTGGATGTGTTGTTTGTTTTACCAATCGTCTTATATTTCAACTCCTGTTCTCATGTTTGTTACTTTAACTTCAATTGAAGTCGTCTGTCTCAGCAGTCATTATTACGTTCTGTGGTAATTAAATTATATGAAAATTTTAATATAATATTTGTGAGTTACGAAATTCCTGACCCTTGTTCTAGTATCTATGAGTCATCTTACTAAATGAGACATTTCGGCTTAAGTTCTGAAGAAGATAGCTATAAAAATCTAGGCAAAATAGTTCAGTTATTCAATTATAATCTGCTATAAAAATTATTAGTTTCTTATCCATATTTCCACCAATTAATATTCATCTACTTTTCCTTTAATACATTGTATATGAAATAAGATTTTGCTCGTAATAAAAAAATATTATTCTCTGTCAGTCATCCTGATAACAATTAACATTATTACCAATGGATAATGAATATAATATTGTAAATGTTATTTTGGTTAAACATTAAATTCGTTAATTAATTATATTATATAAAGAAACAATTAGTTCAGTGAGCCAGGTGAGTGACACTCGTTAATTAATGTTAACGTGAAGGTCGACATATTTAATAATATTCTCAATAATAAATTTGTTGATAAGAGTAATGGATCAGGTCATTGACCTACATGTGTCTTTAATTTAATATTAAACTGTTGTTTAAAAAACGTATTATCTTAGACTTGAGCCTCTCGTTAATGTTTTAAAGCATCTTTGAGGTACACGTATTAGAACATTGAAAATGATAGAGAAATATAATAAAAAGATTTAGGATATTTAAAAAAATATTTTTATGAGTTATTAAATGGTATTGCTTTTTAATATATAAAGAAATTTTTTTATAAGTTATAAATAGATAGATAAAGGCATCGGTTAGATATTTAGAGGTTTACGTCCTACACAATGCCTGAACTCTGAAGCCAGTAGTTTTCAAATACAGGTTGATAATTGAATGCTATTACAATTTTTCAGTATTACAATAAATTATCATCAGTCATAAAAATAATTCTAAGTTCATTATAATTAGTACGGCACAGATGGCCGCTCAACATTAGTGTCAAAAAAATCTTATTAGTTCAAAGATTATTAAAATAAATTGTAACCTGTAGTATATACTTAAACATAAATCTATTGTCGTCTTAGATCGTTACGTTAGGAGTTTACAACATTGAGTCATTGACATTATTTATAATTTTGAGCATATTATAAATTTTAAGTTATTTATAACATAAAAATATTTAAGACGATTAATTAATTACTAATTACACATTAACATCCAATTATTTTTTGCATGATACAAAACACGGTGTCATATGTCATTTTTGACATGTTTAGGAGATGTCAGAGCCTCCTTCCTATTTATATTTATGTAATTTTTAAAGAAACATATGTATGTATCTTTGTCTATTTCTATAAACAATACTTATGTCGCGGAGATCGGATGAATTGGCAACGATTGAAGACTAGGAATTTGATAAATAAAAACATACACATACAAAAACACTTCAACGTTCTAACATTAACTTAAACACATTATGATCTTATTGGATTTTAGTAGAAATTGTGTTTACCTACTTCAAAAAGCGATAGTCATTGATAAAAACTTAACCCAAATCAGTATGATAGTAAAAAAAAACCGGCGCAAACCGCTTTAGGTGGTGAGATGACGTAGCTCGTAATATGATGGCGATCAGCGCCGTGTTATTAAATAGATACGAGGAGAGTTAGGAGAGATACTAGAGATAGGGAGATGTAGATATATATAGATATAGTACAGTCACCTTGAAAGAGCTATCAATGGTTAAGATTAGGATAGAGGTACTGCGTTGTCACTCACTATAAATAGGCAACTTAATGTCTCCCAACATCGTTAAATTAAATTCCGCTAACACGTCAATATTCAATATAAAAGTAATAAAGTTTGAGATCAAAACACACTTAATAGTTATTGTTTTTGAAGTTTCCCATTACATACGTTTATTAATTAATGATTTTGGTTTGAAGAGATCAAACAGAATTATGTGTGGACAGAATATAAGTTTTAGAGCATGTTTGTGTGTCAAGATGTCTCTGTATTAGTTAAAGTTGTCTTGAATCTCGTTGAGAGTTTATACAGACGTCTGGACGAGTGTCAGGGCGGCGTCGGTCTGGACCTTAGGTGGTGAGAACAACTGGCTGGCTTAATGGATATGATGTCATTGTGTGAGAGTTACGACTTACGGCTCACTTTAGTTATTTAATAGATTTAGAAAAATATATTATTATATATTATGAAGAACATGTTATTGATTAGTGTAATACTAACATATAATATTTAATTAAAATAGATTTCTTTAAATATTTGTATAAGTCGTAGTAGCCTAGAGGTTAAAGGCCCGCCTCTCGAGCATGAGGGCGCTGGTTAAACCTGGCAAGTGATTTTTCCGAGTCATATGTACTTTCTAATAGTATTTAGAGACCACTGACTGACGGTGAAGAAAAACATCGTGAGGAAACTTGGACGTATAACTTCCAATTATAAGTTTGAAATCACCAACCCGTCTTGAGCAAGCGTGGATATTAATGCTCAAATGTTCTCCATGTGAGAAGAGGCAGCTCAGCAGTGGTCTCTGATAGGCTGATGAAGATGACATTTGTTTATTCGTTTATTTCTTCATAACTATTTAGGAAACTTACAAGACGCATCTGTAAATAAATGTCGCTCCATATAAGGGCACCAAGGTTACGTTCTTATTAGTGGACTCTCGAAAATACATATATTAAAGGAATTGTTGATCTCCTAATATAGAACAAACATATATTTGTCATTGAAACAATAAATTAACATACTTATATATGACACTAAGTTCCCAGTACATTACTATGTTTTATTCGTCTTGCCCGAGGTTGTATTCTGTACTTCTCCGTAAAGCAGATGTAACCGAACCAGCTTGAACCAGATCACATCAGATCTGTCCGAAATATTCCGCAGTTCAGCTAATAACAGTAGATTGGTGTTGATGGATACAGATTAATAAACTGCAATGTGTCCACTGATCACCCTCATTAAGAGATTCATCTCATTGTCTCAAACACTTCGCGTGACACAATGACGGTCACTATGTACACTCGTGTGTTCAAGGGCTTGTCATTTGATCTTAGATCTTAGAAATATAGATATATTTTCAATGAACGGTATTCCACGTGTAGTGTACCCGACCACGTGTAGTCGAGATTATAAAATGTTTGCTTTGTGTTTAAAAAATACTACATATTATAATAAATTTAATAGAGATTTTATGTTTATAATTTATAAGGATAACATAAATCCGTAATAAATCGATGTTACCTTCTCCATGTGAGAATGTCTTTGCTCAGTAATGGGCTCTAATAGGCTGATGATGATGATGATGAAGTAACTAAAATCTATTTTGTTTTACTCCGTTTAATTATCACAACTAGAATTCAGTAATCGATCTGGTGAACAATAAACTTGTTAATTGAAATATTTGAACCAAAGCAATACTACATATTGTGTAGTATTGCTTTGTTCACAAATAAAAGTGTTATGTGTGAACAAAAGTAAAGTTTAATTTTTAATGGGTGATAGACAGATAAAGATTCATCATCAGGGACTGGTCGAGAATGAGTTAGTGAGGATGGACCCTTCGTTTATAACAATGGAACCGGTTACAAAATAAGACTCGTAGAAGCTTAGAAAAAAAATTGAAACGGAAGAAATGTTTGTAGAATACGCGTAGTAAATATTAGAACGACTATAAAATATAAATTGTTTTAGATTAGTACGAATAACGGTACTACTAGGATTATTGGTAACAAGGTAAATTAATTTGGTTTTACACCATTCATCAAGAAACAGCTGACTTGACGGTTATAAAAAAGAATTAATTTGTAAAATGTTCTTCATACTTTGACTTCATAGAATCTGATCTCATTTGAGCTTGGAAGTGGTTTGAGTGAAAAATTAAAAAATATATGGGGACCTACTGGCAGCGATATCTCTCGGGTTTCACGTGATCTAATGACAAGACTTTTCTTTAGATAGATACCGGGTAAATTGTTATCCAAGAGGTAATCTGACGTTTCGGCTATATCATTGTGTAATTACAATAAAATCCATTGAGTAGTTATACCGGAACCAGTAACAAACCGTCACACATACACATTCCGTTCATTCAAAGAGATTATGACAATTATAACATCAGTAGCAGAGAAAGTGGCTCTAAAACATTATGTAGTTTTAATGAGATCTAAGACTATCGCGAGTATTCATTTAAATGAAACTAATATTTTTCGAATTTCTTCTACTTCTTATTATTGTAAAAACTACATACTCCCGACATCTCAGTTACTTTTCAACAACCGTTATCTCGGACAGACGAGATGTGTATTTAATATGTAGTGTTATTTTAGTATCATTTCTTTGTCGTGAAGTTTTTCTTCTTATTCTACTGCAGTCGATATCAATATTCTTTACTTGTCGCTTGTAATTAATTCTTATAATAAATAAAACTTAAAATATGTCTCTATATAATTAGCTCTAAAAATAGGAAGGATTTCACACTAAACAATGTATTTAATGTATAAGTTTTATAGACATGTCGCAGTAATAGCTGTGTGTATATATGTATGTATGTGTGTTTGTATGTGTGTATTTATGTGTCATTCAGTTAAACTGTAATAAGTATGGTCGTATGTGGTTCTAGGGCGGTTATTTTCGGTTCGGTTGTCTGTCAATGGGAGCACCTGTCTGATGTCAACGTTCGTTGAACTTGACGAAATATTATGAAAGTTCTAGTGAAAAACATAATATCTAAAGATGATTCACATTCTTACATGTTACATTATGTTATAACATATGTTTTTCATATAATTTATTCCTAATGGTTTCATCTTAAGTATTTAATACAAAACGACCTAATATTAAACTTTGAGAAGTTTTTTTGTATTTATTTGTTGTATTTTCGTATTTCTTTTTTGTAAAATACGTAGGTATAACATTTCTTAATTATTAATAATAAATATTAAATGACTTATATTCTAAAAATATATTCCGAGGACCGTTCCTTGAGCAAACCATATCGACTATTCTATTGATTACAAGTAATCCTTACTAATATACCTAAGTAATGATTTACAGTAAACACGTCATTTTATGATAAAAATAATACGATCATACGTATGAACATTTTGAATAGAACTACTATTTTCGGACTACTACGCGTATTTTATTGTTTAAAAAACCATATATTGCCGACTTTTCGGTTACTTTTCAGAAACCGTGATCACGGGCAGATGAGATGTGAATGTAACATGTAGTTTTTTTAGACAATATTGGTTTCATTTAAATGAATACTCGCGAAAGTCTTACATCTCATAACTATGAAAACTATTGAAAGTAATTTCTTAATAATTAATTATAACCTGTCATTGTTAGTATTAAGACATTTTATTTCTCAAATTATTGATATATTTGTTGAGTTTATCAAAGTGTATGTTTTGTATGCTGGGGTCAAAGTCCATTCAACATATTTGGCACTGATGATGTATTTTGTTGGCAGAGAGGAAGGAGCGTCTTCAGCGGGCTCCCTTCGAAACTGCCCTCCATCACGCTGGTATGTACCAAATATATACATATATTATTAATATATAATTGTGTCTTATATAAAGTGTTAAAGTTAATACAAAATATAAGGATTTTCTACTAAATTTATTATATAATAAAATGATAATTGAGTTTTGTATCAGAAGAATCAGAGTATCGCTTTGAACTAAGGTCTAGTTTTCCAATTATTTATAATTTATGACAGTGTTTCTAACGAAACTGTTTCATTAAACAATATTTGATTATTTAATATTGTTTATTAATACGATCTGTTTGTTCGTCGGTCACAGTTCTATCTCCAGTTTATTAATTCCTTGGCTCCTGTCCATCTTATTCTTCATGTATCATGACACTGACCTCCACTCACTATTTATAGACAAATTGTTTAATGGACCTTAACTTGTACATTCATTCACATATCATACATATATATATACATATATATATGTGTGTATGTGTAAGTGGTAAAAAGGCCCGCCTCTCATGCGCGAGTGCGCGTGTTTACTCCTGGCCAGGTTAGGCAGGCGGCCGGTCGTGAAAACAAATAGCCAAAACTATTCACAACATGTAAGGCAGACCCTGGGTATAGCTGGGAAATTGCCAGGAAGAAGATGAAATAGAGCGAAGTTATATGATTCTTAAAAATTCTAAGTAATTTGGTAAGGCGTTTATATAAATAACAAAACAGCTTTCCACCTTGTTGAACAGAATCAATCGTTTTATACGTTTCATTTTATTTCTCGTTTTGATGTCTCCATACTAATATATGGCATTATTATATATATATATATATATAAAATTTCCACGTCATAATATTAGTTACCGTAGTCGTACTCCTACGAAACGGCTTCACCATTTTTTACCAAATTTTAAATACGTACTCAGTAGGGCTGAGAATCGGCTCCTCTATTTTTCATACCCTTTAGCGATAAGGGTTGTTCATCCCTAATTTATTTAAATTTTTGAACGCTATATTTTGATTTTATTTTTTATATTCTGGTATTAAAAATACATACAATTGTTTTATCACTAACTCCTATTTTTTAAATGACAAAACAACGTTTGCCGGATCAGCTAGATTGTTTATGAAATGGTGTTTTCAAATCAAAGATGATCCAAACGCATCCCTTCCTTACAATACAATATATTTGTGATGTTCCATCAGGTCCAGGTGTAGTAATCTTTGTCCAAACCCTCGGAGCTGTACCCAGTGTATGTTAGTTGTGTCAAGAGAAGCCGTGGCAAGGTCTGTTGTAATTGGTCGTCTATGTTTGTTAATATGGGGTCGTAATGAGGACAAGGTCGGGCCTCTCCCTGCTTGCGAATATAAACTTCAGTTTATGGGAAGACATCACTCAATTGTTGTAACAGAAACAATTTGCCTTTTTGAACGAATTCAATCGATAGTAGAAAGTATTATTTGTTTAAAGACAGTTTATATTAGTAATTAGCTTTCCGCCCGCAGCTTTGCCCGCGTGGAGTTCGGTTATATAACGTTTCCAAGAGAACCTTTCAAAAGTCTGGGATAAAAACTATTCTATGTTCTTTCTCAAGGTCAACTCTTCCTGTACCAAATTTCATTAAAATCAGTTCAGTGGTTTAGGCGTGAAAGCGTAAGAGATAGACGGACAGACAGAGTTACTTTCGCATTTATAATATTAGTAGGGATGTAATAATTGAGACATTTTCTAATTACTAATAGCTTTTCGTTTTAAACTCTATGCCAAATTTTTACTTTGATGTTGTGGTGCAACCAATGACTTTTATTACTTTTAAAAGAAACCGTGATCGTATATTACTTCAGAAGTTATTGTTTTTTCAATACTATTATCTAAACCAGTTCAAAAAGCTGTTAAAAATGTTTTCGCCTATAATCTATTAATTCAAAGTAGTGATAAACACATACATATATCAAAGTGTAATTTGTTTTTCTGTTATTGTAAACTACCGAGGGTATTTAACTGAAGTCATCATTATTATCCTACTTTGATGCCCACTGTTGAACATACTCGTAGCGTTCTCCAACCTCTGTTTTTCCCGGGTTTGTACTATCTGCATCCCAAAGATCTCGTCTCACTGACCAGTTTCTTAGTCCAGTATCTATCAGAAATATGTTGAATTTCTTTTGTTTTTCTGCTGAATATTTCGTACCTGATTCTTCACACAATTAATCTCTTAGTATAATTTTTTCCACAGTCGTCTGACAGTACCTTTTCTAACAAGGCCTATAGTTAAGGTATCTGAGACAATATAAGTATCGCAAAATATATTGCTCTAACAGTTTTGTTTGAGACCCTGCGGTTGTAAAGATAGTAAAACACAGAAAATTTATGTTATTACAAAATTTACGAAATATAATCTATATATGTTCCTAGCAACCTACGCATATGTACAGCCTGTTACACAAATATATGTATACCTTCTATTTGTTTAACCAATGTGTTAATTACTATTTTTCGAACAATCTATATATGATGTTCCTTCATGCTTCGGAAGCTTACTTTTTCAAGTTTTTTTGCGATTGTTTAAAAAAATAACTTCATTTGTTATTTTGATCACTATAACTCTTAAACTGATCATATTTTCTGTGATAAGAAATCTTCTGATTACTTAAAGTAAGGTCGTAATGTAATTCAGGCACAATGAATTAAACATAATCAATTTAGGAATATTACTTTGAAAAAACGTTCGTGTTTATCAATCTGTTATATTTTGTCTACTTATGGCTTTTCAGATATATTAAAAAATATATAAATTAGACTGACTTATAAAGAGAATAATGATAATTAAAACATCTTAAAAAGGAGTGATTTTTTCAAAATATTTAATATGACATCTGAATATCTTTTAAGTTTTATTCTACATTATATTTAATAAATTTCTTTATTCAATATTATTTTAGTGATATCATTTGATTGTCGAGCGTCACCAGTGAAGATGTCCGCGCGTCAGACATACCTTTCACCGCTGAGACGCTACAAAGAGCACGGACTTTGAACTTCATTGTTTGCTTTCATGAAACACGTCATATTAATTGATACTATTATTCGCGATTTTATATTTCAATCCCTATATATATGATGAATGATTAATTATTAAACTAGCAACTCTCAAGCCACCTATATAAGGAGCGCCATTACTGACAATCTGGCACTTTTTGTTCCCAACTATTGTCAAGAGAAGAATCTCTGCCCTAATTAGTCTTGAATATTAATAAATTGGCAATTGGCCGGCGAACGTTTTATTAAAATACATAACAAGTTTTCTTTAAGAACAATGTAAACAAAATATATTATATATTTTTACGTTTAAGTCACCTTTCTCGTCATTTCGTAAGTACATATGTACGGGTGTATGTATCTAGCTTGTTCCTCCCAATCAATGTCAGTGTTCCACTTCCCTGTCGTCAGTATCATAATAACCAAGTTAACCTTCCTCCACGTCCTTGGACTCCGCCCGACTCCGCCCTTCGTTAGCTAAAAGCTGTTTAATGGCCTTACACACCTAATGATCCGAATACTATCATATTGAGATTTAACTCAACTATTCCTTTGTATCATATAAGAAGAAAACAGATAATAAATAAAGACATTTGTATTACCTATTTTTCGAATTATATCGTACTAGCTATCCGCCCGCAGCTTCGCCCGCGTGGAGTTCGGTTATATCGCGTTTCCAAGAGAACCTTTCAAAAGTCTGGGATAAAAACTATCCTATGTTCTTTCTCAAGGTCAACTCTATGTCTGTACCAAATTTCATTAAAATCAGTTCAGTGGTTTAGGCGTGAAAGAATAACAGACAGACAGACAGAGTTACTTTCGCATTTATGTCGTGTGCCCGTCGTTCCCTTCGCCGTGGTTCACTGGGACTTTCCATAGTTCAGGGAAGTCCATAACACCGCTCGATACACCACACACACGACTCTAATGGAAAATTAAAACATTACAATGTCCCTTAAACTCCGACGAGTACCTTACAGTTCAACGTGGGGTTTAAATTGAATATAAATGTACATTTTGATTTGCTGAAAATTATGATGAAATCTACAACAATCAAAAAAGCATAGCTTGTCATTAATGCAAAGTATATTTTAATATCCTAAGAAATATTATTTCTTTTTTAAAATACGACGTGAAAAGTTATGAAACATTAGTTTTGTATGGGGGTTTTATTTCCCACTTACATCGTGAACAGAGATGAATCTTGGATGTTTTATGAAATGCACTATACTGCATCCAAAACTACAGAAATAATGTATAACACGTACTGATTATAATTGTACTAATTAATATTTACAAAAAGCTGATCTCAATAATTGTATCATTATTTAAAAACAACTTTATCTAGTAGATCTCAATAAAATTGAAAAAATTATTGACTAACTATAAGTATATATGTATTTAAATATATGGCGTATTATATCATACACTGCGTACTGTTTATCAATTTTATTAATGTTTAAAGTATAACAATATATTATTTTTTTACTATATGGGTGTATAATGTTTGTTTAATGAAACAGTTAGATAATTCTTATGTGTCATATAAATCATTCATTGAGGAGAGTGTCTGTATGTAGCGTGTGGTTCATTTATTTTACATTAAGAAACGATATTGAATACTTTATTTAAAATACACGTCTTATTTATATGTAACTGTGACATGTTCGTGTCGTGGGGGTCATTGAACCCATTTGTTTTTCATTTTGCGATATAGCAAGAGAATACGCGAATAATGTTCCTCCAATATGATTGTGGCCATGGTTACTTTCAACTATGTTATCTATCATGTCACGCGGGAGTTGGGAGTCGAGTGTGGCGTTCAAGTCCTGGTGATTACCTGGCTAATGATTATCTAATGTACGACTAAGTAGAAAGAAAAAATAGGTTGAACTAGTTGGGTCTTTTGACAGCGGCTGGTTTAAACTACACTTATGTTGAACTTAAAGTAGATTTATCAGTTTGATTTACATGGATCATAGTCCTGAATGATCGACTACACGTAATTATATCTCACACCGTCGCGATAGTCCGGGGGTTACAAAAACCAGGAGGTTCACTCACAGTTAATAATAGAAAATACATATTTTCAATGAAAATCTATCTTTAAAATTACAGGAGAAAGTATAGCACAATACATATTTTTTATCAGTCTTTTAACATCATCGAGTAATTCACTGTCATTTCTCTCTCTATATTCCGTCAACCAACACCTCCCTGATTCAGTTCAATATATTTGAGTTGTCTGTCTGTATTGTTAAATATCGTTGGCTTTCAACGTAAACATGTACCTATTTATAAATGTTTTCGCTAAAATGTTCGCTTGTTTATAATATAACCCTACACAATGCCTTTGTTTCGCATTTAGCGCAAAAATCATGTATCAGGGAGTGAGGACCGATATGTGTTTCATTAAACGATAGTGGGTGTCGATCATTAGGACACGTTACCACATTAGAAAGACAAAGCAACACGAAAAAACAACCTGCACTTCGTCACACATAAAATCTTTATTATTTTTCAAACGTACATAAAACTGAAAATAAAATTAAAGGCCATTTTAAAGATCATTAACAGTCGTATGTTCTGTAATCCGTCTCCCGTTAATGTGTTATAACACACGTGGAGCGTACATTGTTTTTTCCTCGTCCAATTTTAGCCGCGACATGTTCTCTGTCAGTTGTCTTATTATTTACAAACATAACTCCGATAAACATTTGATCTCGACGGACAGACAGACAGATACATTTTATATTTCATGGCTTTTGTCTTACGATCCCTGATAATTAAAATAATATCTGCGGACCGATGTTCTGAGCTTCTGAGCTGGCGTCGTTTCTCTAACTTTCGTTTGTTATTAAATAAGGTCGTGTAGTATTTTATAATTAACCAGTGTTGTATCAACAGCGGGATAGTTTACGCTGATTGTTGTCAAGCTGCCAGAATACAGCCGTCATAGGTGACCTAGGTGGGCCAGCGCTTGCTCCGGCACCCAGTCAACAATGAAACACACTGTATACACAAGGTTACCCGACATATAGCTTCATTAAAGCATGTTTACCCAACAACGTTGACTTGGTATCTTGAACTAGCGAATTAGATGTAGGATGGGTCTTAGATATAAAGCATACTAAACTTCATCCAAATCTATTACAATTATATATTATATATCTTTTTCTTCTACCTGGCAATTTACCAGCTTTAGCCAGGGTCTGCCTTACATGTTGTGAATAGTTTTTACGACCGGCCGCCTGCCTGACATCAACCCTCTTTGGGAATGCATTAATCAGTGGTGTCTAAATACTCTTAGAAAGTACATATGACTCGGAAAAATGCGCCCTCGTGCATGAGAGGCGGGCCTTTTAACCACTAGGCCACCATTGAATTTTAATTACATATTATATATTCGAAATTAAATTAACAATGTAATTATAATTAATAAATATTATACATTATTATCTAAAGAAACTTTGACGGGTGACATTTTTTATCATTGAAAGAATAATATTTCTTTATATTTTGATATAGTACAATAGCATTTAACCCTGTCTATCACTAACATACAACTCCCGATACTCTTAAATCCCTACTAATATTATAAATGCGAAAGTAACTCTGTCTGTCTGTCTGTTACGCTTTCACGCCTAAACTGAACTGAACTGATTTTAATGAAATTTGGTACAGAGATAGAGTTGACCTTGAGAAAGAACATAGGATAGTTTTTATCCCAGACTTTTGAAAGGTTCTCTTGGGAACGCGTTTCTTTGGTTATCCAAACTCGAAAAGCTAGTACTTAATATATTACGTGTCTTCGACTTAAGAACGTATTAAGTCGCGTGTATGTTATTTAGGTGAATATTTTAAGTGAAGCTATCAGTTTCAACAAAACAATACATAGTTAGTGACACGAGTGAGGAGTGTTACAATAATGTTCTATATATTACGAACATTGACTGAACACCTCCATTGTCCAATCATTATAACGAGCTTATAATTTTCCTTAAATAGAAATATTAATATATTTTTAAGTTCATTATATATAACAATAGCTCTTTTTTCTTATGATGTCTAGTTGTTATTGTGACTTATATGTTTTATATTATAATTGTAACAAAACCTATGTTTGTGAGTATGTTCAATAGACTCGAGTTTCAGTCTGAAATGAAATGTCATTACTAGCTATAACAGTTGAGATGTGTTAAATCAACAAACCCGTTTATGATGTACGGATCCTGGTTTTACGAGCGTCTTATGGAGAGTTCCATGACGTCACCTGCTTTAAGAACATACCTACAGGCTTCCAGCAGTTCAATAGAGTAGATTTAAATGACTCATATGTGAAATAAACAAATATCACGTACTATGCAATATTATCATCAAAATCCGTAAAGTTCAGAGACGGTGGTAACGAGATTTGGTGACGAATACGTTCGATCCAATTAATTTAGGCGCCGGGGGGACGCCCACCGGCACCGGCAGGACGCAACTACGAATATATAATAACGTGTCCAAATAAACGATATGAACCACACAGAATAATAGAACAGTTATTTGATAAGAGGTTGGTTATTGATCAGGTAACGAAATGATTACACTGAGTGCTGAGACGTGACTCATAACAATAATAAGAGAATTCACCTCGGACTAACGGTTAAGTTATACATTACATTAAGTACATGAAAATAACTCTCTTATAAAATAATATTATAGTTAATAGTCCTAGTTACAGAATGGACTTTATTAGCATTCAAAGTTTGGGCATTTAATACCAAGTATATTGAGAAAAAATCGAATAGATTTAAGACAATTTCACGTGCTAGTTTCTGTCTGATTAAATTTTAACATCATGTATCATACATGAGATTCAAGATCGTCATCCTGAGCTCGAACAGTGTTAAGAATAATATAAAATAAGAACAAAATAAAAAACATTTATATTGATAGTTTGGTCATAATTATAACATTACCTCACTGGCATTGAAAAGCGTCGTTACTATCTTTTCTCTGTGAATATAATAATTATTACACGTGTATTGAGAAAGGGTCGTCGTATTAATTTACGTCGATCGCACTTCAAGAACTGATGGCTGAAGTCTTCAGTGACATTATTTAACCCCTTAAAGGTCATAAGGAATGGTTAAGGGTATATAATAGAAGTAAAAACATATTATGTATATATAAGTATATATTTGTCAAACCATTCATTTTCAAACTATCTATTGACAATCATAAAAGTAGCCTTAATAAAAAAATACGACCGGTGGAAGAAATTTCGGTTAAAAAAAACATGGTGGTGAAAATATCGCCTCTAACTTATGAAGGGTTAAATGTATCCTAAGATCTGTCAACTGTTTGAGATTACAAATAAAAAGCATCAATGAAAAATGCAAAAAGTTTTTGTAGTTATTGGAATAATTGTGTTTGTCACAAACGTTTAATTTTAACATTTACGACGTCTCTGTTTCGTTAGAATAATTAAATTTAAATACATTAACAATAATAAATGAAAGTTCTTGAAGATACTCTTTAAACTTCAGATTATTTTAACTCATTAATTATTTATTTTAACTCATTAATATACACGATGCTCACTGATTTTTTAGAGTTTATTTAATCTGTGTTGTTTTTTATAATGTTTCTTTGTGTTCGTCCCTTGATCTCATCATTACTTCATGAGTAATATTTACTTATCAAGTTGTATGTATGTACATATAACGTGCACCTTTGTAAATGTTTAATCAGTTCGTAGTTCTCGTGCCAAGTCAAGGTCTCAGTAACTACAACACATTTTAATCAAGGGACACGTATGTAAGCTCAGCGAAGTGTTATTTTCATTAATTAAAATCGTTTTTACATAATTTTCTGGTTCAGTTAACATGTTGGAGTTTCACTTAACATGAACGAAGAATAAAAAGTACTTTTTACCCTTTTGTGTGCTTTATCTGTTAATGAGATCGCGATACTTTGACCTCGATCGTTTCGTTTTACGAGTTTGCGTTACTCGGAACAATTGTATTGGACAGTGGACGGACGTCACTTCCTTCAGTTTTTATTGTATTTATTTATAGATGTGATTGGAACACTTGCGTTGATGAGCATCAATAGAATGCACTCTGTCAAACGTTGTTACAACTCATTATGTAACACTGTAGTGACCATGGACAGACATTAGATATTCAATTATAATATTAGTAGAGAGTTAATTGATACATTGAATATACGTATTGATAATAATTTCCCAATACAGTAACAGTATCTTTGATACAAATACTTCAGAAAGTGAACAAAAATTATAGAGCTTATCGTAAAAGCGGGTATTATTACCTCTGTTGCATATTAGTTACACTATGATTGACACATGTTGATACATAATTTAATTATATTCTTATTTTTTTATGTCAAAGAGGCAAACAAATAGACGGTCTACCTGAAGGAAGGTAGTCACAGTCGCTCATGGACATACACAATATAAGAGATGTTGTAGATGCGTTGCGCCTTGATTTTTTTTACTAGATTTTTTTAAGCGTAAAAAATTACAAAATAAATTTCACTTGTTGCCTTAATACAATGATTACAATCTGACTCCAAGTATGGAGCAGCAATGGGTTATTTATAACCAAGACCTCAATGATGTTTCTTACTTCCAGGTTACGGCTGTTTCCAATGGCTCCTGTTAATGTCGTGTGGTGCTGTGTACGCCGTCTGCGCGCTCAGCACCACCACACTCAGCTTCGTGCTGCCGGCCGCTGAGTGTGACTTCCTACTGTCCTCCAGCGATAAGGGCCGTCTCACTGCCACGCCGCTGATAGGTGACCACTTTATATTCATCAATCAAAACACATTACACATTATCCTGATGATCATTATGATCTTCAACTTAAATTAAGTTTTTCGTTTTGCCTTTATATTTTGCTGACGTCATTATATGATCTTGCTCTAAAGTTTGCCTCATTATATCGGTATAACTTGTATTATTCAAGGAATGTGTGTGGGCTCTTACTTCTGGGGCAATCTAGCTGATGCGCGAGGTCGCAGGAAGGCCATCATCGGAGCTCTGTTATTGGATGCGCTGGCTGCCTTCCTCTCTAGCCTGGTCCAGTCCTTCCCAGCCTTCCTGGCCTGCAGGTACTTTAGAAAACAATCCATATAAATAGTTCACTATAAACCTTTGGGAGTTAAAGACTGTAGACTTATTCCATATTGCTTGAGTTTGCGTTGTACTTACCTTATGATTATTTTTTATAAAACATACAATGCGTTTCTCAATGAGACAGACCATGGGTAGTTTTCTTAACTTGTATATATTGTATAGAGTGTCCGTGGCTGTTGCTACTAACACATATTTTGCTCGTCTATCATAGACGTAACCATTGGTTTTAGATATATCGATGTTCCAGATTCTTCTCCGGGTTCGGCATCATCGGCGCCACTGGGCTCGTCTTCCCTTATTTCGGAGATTTTCTCTCGCTGCGGCACCGTGACGTGATGCTGTGCCGGCTTGAAGTGTTTTGGACTTTCGGGACAATATTATTGCCCGGTAATAAACAATTAAGTTTTAAAATTATCACTTATATTAAAAAAAATTGTGATTGTTTCTTTTATAACGGGATATTTTTTTCAGGAATTGCTTGGCTTATTATCCAAGATCCACGGTTCAATTTAACCGTTGAGGGTGCAGACTTCCAGTACACCTCGTGGAGAGTGTTCGTTGCCGCTTGTGGTATCCCGAGTCTCTTGGTGGTGTTATTGTTGCTGCCATTCCCAGAGAGCCCCAGATATTTACTGCACGCCAACAAAGCCGATCAAGCGCTTCAAGTTCTGCAAAGGATATTTGTTGTTAATACGCGTTTGTCTGAGAAAGACTTTCCAGTGAGTATAATATTTATTTCATAGTAAACGCCTTAAAAAGATGGTAAAAGAAATAAGGGACGACCAGCTAAAAGATGGGAGGATAACTTTAAAAAAGTGGCCGGTCCATTATGGACCCGGGTACCAAAGAATAGAGAAAAGTGGAAGTCTTTAGAGGAGGCCTATGTCGAAAGACAAGCTATTTTTAAAACGAAATTCGATGAAGGCATTTAATTATAAGTAATTTAAGATAAGATTAAGAAATAGGATAATATTATAAAATGTAGTTATTTAGTAGAAGTAGTTTTTACAATTTGAAACAGCAATAAAGGCTTATTTTATTTTATTTTTTTATTATACGCCTTATAATTTTTTGAATATGTAAAGAAACTGTTTAACAATTGTTTCAAGTAAGTTATACATGTGAACATGGTCTATTTTCAGGTGGAATCTATGATAAGTGCAGTGGAAGGTGAGGAGGAGGCCGAGGTGGTGTCCGCGGACGACAATGGTAACGAGACCAAGTCACCTCTGACATGGGGTCAGCGGTGGCACGCCTTCTGGCTCAGGAAGAAAATGTTGGTGACTCCTCCCTACATCGGACTACTGGTGTTGTGCTGCTTTGTGGACTTCGGACTAATGTTTAGGTTTGCTCTTATATTTTAATATTATAGTTCAACCATTAAGGAGTCGTATGAACTAGTATAATTTGAAAAGGAAATAGTACACAGAAGGATTTTTATCTTATGGAAAGAGAGGGAGAGTGAGGTCTATAACAAAAAAAAAATCTGTAGTACTGTGTGACGATGTAATATATTGTCAATTTTGGTTGACTATTGAGTCAATAAATATATAGTGCAAGTTCTATCACTTCATAATAACATTTCTGTTTAATTGTATCTGCACTTTTAACATGTGTATCTATGGAATATCAATAAATTAAACTAAGTTTAAATGAGTTTGTAAATGTAAAGAGTTCTTCTATCAGACTCGACTCTGTGTTACAATATGTTTATATATGATTGTGTTCGTAGTTACTACACACTGATGATGTGGTTCCCGGACCTGTTCGAGAGGTTCAGTCAGTTCTCCTCTCTGTTCCCCGGAGTGTCGGCCGGTGTCTGTGAGGTGTCGGCTAATGTCACTAAGAGTGAGCTGTTTGTAAGTCAACATTCTATCGATATAGAGCTTATTAATCTAGAAGTTTCTTTATAAGTTTAATATTTTTGGAATAATAATATTTTGATCCGTGATAATGAAAAAACTATGCAAAGCATATTTGAAGGTAGATCAAATTAAAGTCATTTTGATATTTTCCACAATATTTTCCGTATTAATGTATTGTAATGTATGTAACATGTGTGTATGTCTGTTCCAGTACAACCAGGAGTGTCCTCAGGTCATCGATGATCGTGTCTACATCCACACGCTGGTGGTAGCGTTGAGTTGTGTGCCGACCGCGCTGTGGGTGGGGCTCACCATCAATATGGTCGGCAAGAAACTCATGTTGGGTACGTGGTAGAAGTTATTGTGTTAAGGTTGTATCAATATGTAATAGGTTCTGTATTGGGCGAAACGAAGAAACAGGTTTTTTGCGAATTTAATATTAGTTCCAAATAAATGCTCTCATAGTTATAAGAGTGATGCATAATGGTGTTTGGTTTTTTGTGAATTAACTTAACTTTGCTGTCATGAATTTTAAATCTGAGAATTTTAAAAATCGTTATACTCGTTAAAAGTGGTATTAAATTTTATGTAGATATACTCGTCCTTATATAGCAACAACCAAACTCAGTTGGTTGTAAAAGACTCTTTGTTATTGGTGGAAAACGTTTTTCTAAATCTAAATTGAGACATGTTATTAGAGAAGTAGACATTAATACATTAATTTCTTTTACTCCACATTGAAATTTATTGAAATGGAATTGCAAATTTTTTCCGGCGTTGACTCCGGATAGAAAAAACGTCTAATATATACATTTACAAGATGAATTTAATTTCGACAAACCTGGTTAATAACTCCGTTGTTTTATATGAGGATTCTTAACAATTATTAGTAAGGTTGATAATAATTAATCAGTATAACACTTGGTAGTGAAAATGTAATAACAAAACGAGACTTAGTCCTGATTTTGATATTCCGTTTCCAATTTCAGCCTTGCAACAAGAGATTCGCAAAGTATCTAAATTACCCATTAGCCTATTAGTATTTAAGAAATTTTATTTGAGATTTGAGAACAACGTAATAGAGTATATTTTGAATTTGAATTGCTATAGAAGAAGAAAAGACCCATCTACTTAATCAGTCCCATGAACCCATGATGGCTAAAGTCAAAAAACTTTCATGTCAACACTCTCACAAACTCAACTTTTTTGATTTTATACAGGAGTCTGTTTTGTATAAATGTTTATATTTATTAATATTACACTGGCGTAAACTTACTTAGAACGTATAAAAATATTTAATTGACTTTAACGAGACTTTTAAGGTGACTTGAATTTTATCTTTATTGTTAGTAACTTTATAATGAACTAGATGGCGTTACTATATCAGAAGTGAAATCTTAAAACGCCTACGTGGTATATTTTATAATGCTGTATTATACGGTATTTTTGAGATAGTGAACTGTAATTCGGATCAGGTACATGGCTTTTAAATCTTTTATTACTTTTATATTTTTAATTATTTAATATACATATAATATTTATTTAATTTACACCTTCCCATTTTCCTCTTTAAACTTCTTTATAAACATATATACAATAACTTTCCTCTATCTTCTGTATCAATATCTTGTATTATAAACTGAGTCTTTCAAATCCCTGAAATATTTAGTCCTAACTACAGGAGGTTCACAGGTTAAGATTTGATATTTGTCACTGTTCACTCTCGGTTTCAGTCTTGATAAAATTAAATGATCTGGATTAGTCTTGCAATGAGTTCTTAGACTTTCGCGAGTATTCATTTAAAACAAACTAATATTTTCGGATTGCTACGAGTATTTTATTATTTTTATAAAATCTAATCTGACCGTGGTCACGATTGCTGCAAAGTAATTAAACGTCGGAAGTCTATAGTTTTTAAAAATAATAAAATACGCAAAGTAATCCGAAAATATTAGGTTATTTTAGTCTTTCAAATACGCAATAACAATACCAAGACTGATTCCAGGTACTAATCTAACTCCTCCGTATGTTTCCAGTGATAATGTTAATAAGTTCGGGCCTGGCTGCCCTGGGTCTCAACCTGGTCCGCTCGTCTCTCGAGAACCTACTGCTGTCCTGTGTCTTCGAGGCGATCGTCAGTTGTACTGAGGCTGTGCTATTCTGTGTTATTTGTGAGATATTTCCCACCAAAGTCGCGTAAGTATTTACAAATACCTCCATTGTGTGTCCAAGTAAATATAATCATTCTTCTCCTTCTACCTGGAAATGTCCCAGCTATAGCCAGGGTCTGCCTTACATGTTGTGAATAGTTTTGGCTAATTGTTTTTACGACCGGCCACCTGCTTAACATCAACCCTCTTTTGGGAATGGGAAATAATCAGTGATGTCTAAATACTCTTAGAAAGTACATATGACTCGGAAAAATCACATTGGTACTTGCTCGGGCCGGGATCGAACTCATGCATGAAAGGCGGGCCTTTTAACCACTAGGCCACCAGTGACACCTATAATCAATTAATTGGTGTCAGTTAAGTGAGTAATATATTATATATTCTTTGTTATTTCAGTGCTACAGCGATGGCGGTCACTGTGATGTGTGGTCGTGTGGGGGCGATCGTAGGTAACGTGATATTCGGGGCCCTCGTGGATCAACACTGCGTCGTACCTATTTATATGTTCGGCTCACTGCTCATCAGTTAGTATACATACCTTCTCTTATCACTAATGGACACTCTCAGAACAAATGATCTTATTTGTGTGTTTTATTTACAGCGAGCGGTCTTCTGTGTGTGATCCTCCCGAAGAGCACTCGTCCTGAGAGACCACAGTGAGGCTCGAGGCGAGGCGTTACATATTGTACCGTTAACTATAGATGTATTATTATAAGCACCGTTTACGGTTTTTAATGTTTTGTTTTATTTTCTATCCCTTTTACTGACACCATCTATAAACTATAGGTAAAGACATAAAGATTAGTTACATTTCAACTGGTAGTGAAAGTTTTTAATGAAAGCATATTTTCTTATTTATCTCATGTAAGTAATATTAGGTTTAAATTGTTATTTTTTTATTTTAAAATGTGTCTGTATGACGTCATAGCGAGCCTATTCTTAGGGGCAATCAATGACAATGATAAATGCAAGTAATTTTATAATATATTTCCTCGTCTTCATTTGAATCCTCAGCTTATTATGGAGCAAGTTTTATTTCGACCAAACACTTCTGATATGACTCTGTGTTATTTCCATTATAATTCTATTACGGCGAACTTCTACAACGGACATTCATAAGTCTTCATATGCGTGTAAAATTTTTGTGAATTTTTACATTTTTAATATTATTTAATATTATTGTTTCAAGATTTGACGTCGTTCCATGACTGATCTCTCTATTGTTAGTTTACATCTCCTTCATAACAACAGCAAGTGAACATTTCTCTGTAACTTTGAGAGGGTATATTGTAAGACTTATGTTTTGTTACAAATATAATGTTATAAAACATATTGTGTTATTATTTCAATTATATAAAACTCTTGTAATATTTAAACTCATACAACTTGTTTTCGAGACACATTAAGGTAAAAAACATTATGAACTGACAGTATTTTTTTGCTTAAAATTTGTATTTCCAAATCAAATGCCTCATAAAATATATATTTAAGAACCAAGTTTTTAAACTTGAGTCGTCACCTTGGAATCGGCAACACGATAAATGATAGTAAAAAATATACCGAGTGCTCCTCTGTTTTTGTATTTTTATCATCCTTTTGTATTTTATTGAATATTGTTATCATTAAAATATGTTCTTGGTGTCAATGTATTTAAAAGATAAACAACTAGACGTATGGCATTTTTTGTGTCAAAACAATGTCAAAAGGAAGGAAAAGAAGGGAATTTACTCAGGAGAGAGATAAAGAAATAATATTATGTATTGCTCTTATCATACACGCACAAACACACACACACAAACAATATAATCATTACTTCTCTGTTTGTCTAAAGTTTTTCGGTGTAATACATTTTAATATTAATTAATAATATTCAATCGTTTTTCTCTTGCCTCTTTGTCGCTGGTATGTATGTGATAATAATTATAAGAAGTTTCATTCAAGATGTCCATCATCAAAATTTATTTGAAATACCATAGTTTTATATTTTACCACCAGCCCTAGGAAATGTTCGTCTGATATTAGAAGTATTCTAAGTCTTCAATTCTTTTACATGACAGATGGTTAAGAGGAGAGGTGAGGACCATATTTCATTGAGTTGTTCTTCTACTGCTTAAACCTTTTTATACACATTTCGCATTATTATTTAAAGAAAATATGATATTAGAATATTAATTTTCTTAATTTAAAAACATACCAATTTTTAAATAGTTTGTAATTGTATGAAGGTTTAGATTCTCACGAAAATACAAATATCCGATAAATATGAAGGGGACTCCTCAACTCAAGAGTTGAAACTAAACAGTCAGAAATGTTTAGAATTTAAAATTATTTATTTAATGATTTTTTTTAAAATTGTGAGCCTGAGACATATTTTTTTTATATTTATAGCCATTGTAAGATTTTATGAACAACTTAACTTTTTCATACATTCAGTACGGAATCTTTTGTGTGTTTTGTTGTAGTAAAATAATTCAAAACTAGTCCATATACAGACTAATTCAGTGAATATCGAAACGGGAAAGCTATTATTATGTTAAATAATGGAAATAAAATCATGCATCTATAAAATATACATGTGCTGTGTTAGAATTATACTGGTTTATGTTCCGCTTGTTTTGGTTTAATAGTTAGGTAAGGCATGAAGATGTAACAATAAAGAAAATTACGGTTTGCTTTGGGAAATTAATTTATATGGAAATTAACTAGATAATAGTATAAGGTAAAAAAAATCTTGTAACCAGCATATTATGTATAGAAAATTGTAATGTAGATTTTACTTATAGAATATGTAAGCATCTTTTGTATATAGTGTAGACAAAACTAAGGTTATTTGTAAAACAATAAACATTTAAAACTAAATCATTGAAAGAATGTGACCAATATCCTTAAAGAGACAGTATTGTGCTCCGAGTAGCGACGAAGATGTTGTGTTATTGTTACTTATTCATGTAAAGTATTCACGAAAATGAACAGCAATCAGCAATTGTAATAAAAAATAAGCCATATAATGATTCCTTGAAGTTGCCTACACTAATAAAAATAACAAAATCTTTAAATATAATTTATAAATGTATTAGTTAATAAGTTAATTAACGTCTTCGTCCGAGCCGTGACCTGATGTCCAAAACGAAATAAATTAAGAGACAACTTGACAAATATATTTTAATATAAGATGTTTTGCCTCCGAGCAGTCGGCGTGTTCAGTTCTGTCAGGATTTCAAATAAGTTAGACGTGTTTTAAGTTCGATAAAAAAATAAAATAATAATGAATAATTAAATATGAATAAAGTTGATAACAAACTAAGACGTTTTAATGATATATATCAATAAATTATTTATGTGAAATATGTAATATTTTAATATTATTGAAATATAATTAATAAAAATGGATAATAACAGAAGTGATATTGAAATGAGTGATGGTGTGAAGGAAGTTGTGTACGGGTATGAGGAGGCTTTGGAACTGACAGGTGATTGAGAAATAGGTTTTTATTAGTATGATAGTATATCTTACCTACTATTTCTAAGTTAAATATTGTTGTACTTTAATGTTTACGTTCAATGTAAACAAAAATTAACAAATCAAGACGTAAATAAATACATAATATACCTAATCTGCACTTTATTACAAAACCGGTACTTAAAATTCAAAGCATAAAATGTGTTTAATTGTTATTTTTCTTCCGATACTATACTTGGATTAAAAATGTACTGCTTGTCTTATATGAATGATAATTCAAAACTTTTACTATATTTTATATTCGTGTTAATAATAAAGTGCTTCGTAATTAACGTTTTTCATTTATAAACTTTAAATATTCAAGTAGATAACGTTAACAGGTCGAGGTAATAAAATAAACAAAAGGTTTTAAATATAAATTATAATATTTTATGATGATACGACATCCAGACGTTACAACCACTCACAGCAATAAATTATACATAAATAAAATATTATTTGATGTGATATCTTGCAATATTGTATGTTATTAAGTTTAAAGACAGTTTAAAAAAATAAGATCAGTGTTTCGACATAACTTATCAATGTAAAGTAAACTGAATCTCACCAGTGCAGTATATTTTAACTCGTTTAAATGGTCACGTGTCACACGTTTATGGTGTTGAAATAAAAATAGCAATTTAATTTATTTCCTCAAGTAGGTGAAAATTTGCATTACAAATTATTATCCTTCATCCTCGCTGGCAAATTCATTTTAAAAATGTAGAAAAAAATTAAGATAATATACCTAATTATCATAACAAGTTTAAATTATTATAATAATTTATGAAAAACTATCTGTGCAGTCATCGTTTATTATGTTGAAAATCTGTTCAATACTTTGTATTGTTTACTTATAACGATAAAGGTTACTTTTTTCTAATTTTAACAGGTGACTTACTTTTAAGTAGCATCAAGAAGAATGTTTTGATCTGTTTGCTACTAATCTGTTTGGTGTATTTGAGAGATGAACTTCTAAAGTCAGATAAAATATGTAAACATTATCATGTATAATAAATTTCCAGGTCATGGGAGATACAACATAGGCCTGTTGTTAGCGTGCTTCATGGTGATCGTGGCGATGGGTATCGACATCTTTGGTCTCGGCATCATCGTCACGGCTGCCACCTGTGACCTGGGAATGAATTTGCAGCAGATCGGAGTGCTCTCGTCTATGCCATTTGCTGGTAAGATTATCAGTCTACTTTGTAAGGAAGTCAAAGGAATGGAAAAGGATAATAAGTTTTTCAGATGAACTCTTATATGTTAATATGCGCTGTACATGATTCCAGGTATAATCGTCATGTCATATCCCTGGGGCTATCTCTCCGACACCCGTGGCAGGCGGCTGGTGTTGTTGTGGGCGATGGGAGGTAGTTTCGTGAGCGCGATGCTCAGTAGTTTGGCGCCCACGTGGCAGGTGCTCGCTGCCTTGAGGTTTATTAGTTCTGCGTTGTAAGTGCTGTAATTAATTTTACACAAGTGCGCTTTACGTTAGTCTTTAATACCTATGTAATAGCTCCAAATAACGGTCAACTACTGAATTCCTGAGATTTTTTTTTACTTTTGCAAAGATTTGAAATTAAGCCTTCGTCACAAAACTTTGAATTTTCCTCAGAATTATCATTTAAAGCATTTACCATACAAACTTGTTTATTGAAATCGAAGAGGTATCCCAATTGTTACTACTATACTGCAAAAAAATCACAATTGTTTTTGAAAATCAGATAATCGTCATGAGATTTAGGTCACAGTTACTTTGGACATGAACTTCTGAATCTAATTATTATGATGCTTTAGGTCGAGTGCCGCAGAGTCAGCGACATACGCGTTACTTGGAGAGTGCTGCACGGCGCAGCACCGAGCGAAATACATGCTGCTGATGACCAGCGCGCTCATGCTGACACCTACACTATATTATGGTCAGCATTGTTTTGAAGACTTCCTAAATAAGCACTATTGATAGTACATACAAAACAAAATATTGGTGTTATTTTGTTTAATGTATATGCGATTAAGTCCGATAATAAAAAACAGGTTTAAGAAATACAAACATCGAGCATGACTGTATAATGAGAAACCGATTATGAATATATTTGTTCTATTTACATTATTAAGAATAATATAAATGGTAATGATTTCTTTGCAGTATGGGGATACTTCATAACGAAATTGAATTTCACGTTCTACATCCTGGGTATCGCGTATCGACCTTGGCGTCTTCTGACAATGGTGATGGCGCTGCCGTTGGGACTTGGAGCTCTATTATTGTACTTCTTCAATGAGAGTCCCAAATTCTTGGCGAATATCGGACGAACTAATGAGGCTGTGGACGTGTTGAGACGAATACATGACATAAATAGAAGAGGAGGTGAAAAGTATCCGGTTTGTATTGATGTGTTATCAGTGAACACACTCGTCACTACTTATCAGTCACACGACTACATTAAGTGATCTTTCTAATAGTACACACTGTCACGTGTATTTTAAGTATACAATACAAGTACAATGAGCAACAATTATTGTTTTCATGGGACGATGATTAACAAGAAGCAATTTATTGTCTGTCTGTCTTTATTGGAATTATAGTAGATATTCCTAAAGTCATGATAAATAATCACGATATGACCCTAGTTGCTCACATTTAAGAATACAATGAGGTCAAAGATTAGGCTGACAATTAGTATTATACAAGTTTTATGAACTGAAAACTTTTTGTCATTGCCATATTTTATAACTAGCTTATAAAACTGTAGAGAGTATGATATTTTGGAAGGTTTTAATGGTTCATATGTTTTCAGGTGAAAGACATCTATCTATCTGAAGACTGCCAGGAGTCCTCTACATCGGTCACTCTTCAGTCTCTGTGGCGTCAACTTGCACCGTTGTTCAAGCCTCCTCTACTCAAAAGAACTTTATTATTATATTATCTTACTTTTGTCATCTATATAGCGTGAGTATACGATTTGTTTTTATTTATTTTAACAAACAATACATTTTATGACAGCAGTTTAAAAGATAACCCACTTACAATCAGATTTATCTTACCTTAGATCTTATTAAAGTCAATTGTTTCAATTTGCGATTGTATGGTTCATATTGAGATTATCGGTCAGATGATTTAATAGATAAATAGAAAAAAAACTATTGTTCAAACTTGGGACTATTTAAATGCTAACTAAATGAGGCACAATTAAACTGTGATATTTATTAAGTATTACTTGATACTTGCTATTAATATTTGTACGACACTTTATTTTTCAGTAACAATAGTTTTGCTATAATTTTGCCGACTATCTTCAACGTTTTCTTCACGTCGTACGCCAGCAGAGAAGCAGCCGACTCATTCTGCAACCTTTTGTCGACCAATGGAACAGTAGCTGCCGTAGAAAACGATGAAGTTAGTATTTTATGGTGTTAAAAATAGTTCCTCACAATTATTTGTAATACTTAACTAATGATAGTTGTTTAGAGAGCCTAAGAAAAGTGTGCATCAACGAAATATTGAATCTATAGATTTGTTTTTGACCTCAACTCAATATATTTTTTTAAGGTTCCTGAATGCTCCGGTATTGAGGTCAACACAGTATGGGCTGGTTGTGTTCACGGGCTCGCGTTTTTCTTACTCAACGCTCTGCTGTCACAGTTGGCACACAAGAGAAAGGTATGTAATAGTTAACCTGACTTGACTAGGAACAAAAACGTATAAATAATAATCTGCCTGTGTTTGTCGTCAGGTGCTCACAATAAGCATTCTTCTGGTAGCGGGTGTGTCAGCGATTCTGGTTGACCTGACGGGTGAAGCTCTCTCCGGGCTGGTGTTATTCTACCTCTACCTCACCACCGCGATGGTTTTTGGGATCGTCTCCTCCTACTTCGTCACTCTCTACCCAACCTCCTACAGGTAACTATTGACCATTCATAATAACGTATCAAGTGCTAAAGTTGGTGTAAAATAACTGAACTTTATAACGTTACATTGAGTATTTAGCCATCACTGACAGACGACGAAGGAAAACATAGTGAGGAAACCTGTACTTATAATTTCAAACTATATCTTTGTAATCCTCTCATCTTAAGCAATTGTGGTGATTAATGCTCAAATCTTCTCCATTTGGGAAGACACCTTTGCTATGCACTGGGCTCTGATGGGCTGATAATGGTTACATTGTATCCGATTTTATATTTCCTGTACATTATCTCAGGGGTATGGTGGCCTGTATCGGTATGATGGTGGCCCGTGTGAGCGCGTTCGCTGGTACCAATGTGGTGTCCGCTGCCATCTCCCTTCACTGCGCCTCCACTCTCTATGGAGCTGCTGGGCTCGTGTTCAGTGAGTATAAATATATTTACATATGGTATATGCATATAATTTATTTATATAAATGCCACAAATTTGAAATAGTCACGAAGGCAAAGTAACATTGAAAATATTTAATGTTTGTAAGTACGAGGAACCGACTTGAAAGTATTTTTAAGAAGAATTAAGTTTGCAAGGATTTAATGAGTTCTAAGTCATACAGTCTTTTCATTATGTTTATTTCAACCACCCACAACAATCCTAACACTTATTAATGTATAATATTTTGTTTAAGCTGGGGCTGTAGCGGCGTGGTTCCTGCCACCGGACACTGAAAATAATACCTAACGAATAATTATAAAACATACTTAAATATTGAGTTTAATAATATATGTAGTATTGTATATAAACGTTTTGTACAATTTTAGATATAAGAGAATTAGATTAAGGACGGATAACTAACATCCTTACGAATTTATCACAAAAGGAGACAATTGTGAGAAATTAAGTTTAAGGTCACATTATAAATAATAAATAACACGATTATATAATACTTTATTTAAAAACATTAGTTGTTAGAAAGATAAAATATCTTTTTTTAATAAAAGTATTTGTATTAAATGCAGGAACACTTTTGGAATATAAAACAAATTATTTAAGGTTTATGTTAAAAAGTTGATAACTTCACTGCTTGTGTACTAACTTCTCTGAGAACACATAATTTTCACATGTTAAGTATTTCCGACAATTCCGTGAAAATACAAAGGCTGTACTCGATCGTACTGAGAGAGGTACCCGGGCATCCAGGGCCAGTAGTGTTTGGTTGTGGGTTCAATGACCTCGCCGAATTTATTATTGTACCACGGATATTGTCCTTTTCCCTCCAGTAAAAACTGAAGTATAATCACAAGGAATAATATAGGTTGAAGCATCTCGAAATATTAATGTGTCAGTATATATTTCTTAATATTTCTTTCGTAGAAATTAATTGCTAACTTCCTAAGAATGCCACTTATTTGTTACGTAAGTAACACTCACAGGGCCAACACTTGCAACTATTGTGTTTTAATCTCGACACAATCATTGTTTTATAACGACAGCTTACGTCACGCCACAGGTTTAAAACCAAATAAAACAAAACATTGTTCAGATGTAATCTTTATTGTTATATATTAACAGGCGACATCTCATGTCTTTATATATTCAATAATTCCTAATACTCGATCCTCAACCAACAGCGGCTCATATATTTGTAGCTGCACGATATTATTAAAATAAATTTTATAACATTTTTAATATTTTAAAATCATTACGTAACAATTATAAAATACATCTCTCGTTTTGTTTTAATCTGAATCTAACCTCCTTAAAAAAATCATTTATACTAAAATTAATATATATACTTCACTCTCGTAGTAAACGGTATTCAACAATATGTAATGTGTATTATTAATATTTATTTACATATACATATTTACTTATATAAATACAACTAGAAATCCACTTCGAGTTTAAAATTTTGTTTGAGTATAAATATATACATAGATGCTAAAAATTTGAACAAACTAAGTTTATCCACATGTTATACATGATAGTGATCAAACATTCATTTTCATTTTAAGTAGGTTTCGTATTGTCCGATATCCGGTCCTATGAAACTTAAATATTTTCATTACATATTATAATTTAAAAACACTTTTCTTTCTATGTTATGAGGTACGCCGGTTCACATTTACAGTCGTCGTCAGATTTCACCTGAAACAAATACAATTATTAATTTCCATTGGATTCCGTGGATCATTCTTATACACACGGAAATGTTTCTAAAGGTCTTTTAACGAATGAGGATGGTATCAATCACATCTCACAGCGCCATCTGTTATAGAAATTATATACTTACGGTTTCCATTAGATTTTAAAAATTATGAACTAACCGGTTTCAATTGTTTTATGGCGCCATCTATTACAAAAATCGTGAACTAGCTGTTTCAATCAACTCTTACAGGGCCATCTATCATACAAATAGTTCACTGACTTACCATCAAGAAGTGATGCAGACTGAGAGCCTCCGCCCTGGGCCGCTGGTCGGGGTCGTGTGTGAGACAGCTGAGGCAGAACATCTGTCCTTCTTCGGAGAGCGTGTCGGGCACGTGAGGCCTGCCGCCCATACCCACCACGAACATTATCTGGTAGTTACTGTCGTATTCTGAGAACGGCCGCTGGGGACGGACAAGTAACATTATATACACTATACAAACTTAACAAGCTTAAAACAAAAACAGGTCCTACACTTATAGATAGATTATAAAGTGTGCTGTAAAATTTTTTTGAATAATTTTCTGATACCCTAGTACTTTTTGTAGTTTGAGCGAGTAACAAAAAATTTCAAGAATTCCTTGCTTATCCCGGGTAACAGAGTCTCACTACGTTTTAGCTGGATAAAAATCAATATATAAAAACTAAGTTCAGCTTCCTGTATACCGCAATTTCTCTAAATTGACTTTTGAGTGTGCAAACAAGCAATATATGTATATATGAGAACTATTTTGCCATAAATAGTAACTAAAATTGTTTTTACGTGAAAGATTTTGCTCTTTTATTATATATTGAGTAACACTGACCTTCCCAGAGGCCATTTCAGTGACGACACATCCTAGAGACCAGATGTCTGCTGCGCGGCCGTGACCCGAAGATTTCATGAACACTTCTGGGGCCATGTAGGCTGGGGACGAACAATATATAGGGTAATTAGCATAACAGTTAATTAACGTAATACTCTATATAAATCATTATCATCGTCATCTCACCCTGAGTCCCCACGAAACCCTGTAGTTCCCCGGGCGCGGTGGTGTTGGCCCGTATCTTGACGGCGCACCCGAAGTCACCCAGCTTGAGACAGTGACCCTCGTTCGTTAGGAATATGTTACCACCTGGGTAATAGTTATATGAGACATTAAAAAATATATAAAGAGAGAGAGAGAGAGGAAATAAAAGAGAAAAATTGCTGAGAAGTTTAAAAGACGACTCATATAGACATTATAATAAATTAAAGGTAACAGTTATTGTGAATCGGTTTATAGTTTAGGTTCGATGAAGAACGATAGAGGTGTGTGATGAAAAACCTTCAGAATACAAGCTTCACTTGTACTATTTAAAGATTTCTACATTTTTTTATGTTAAAGATGGCAAACGAGCAGATAGCCTATTTGATGGGTAGTAGTGAAAAGGCAATCGGCTCTCTCATTCATCGGACGAAACGCAGCCATTAAAATCTAATTCATGCCGATCTTCTGTGAGAGGGAGGTACTTCCCCGGTCGAGCCAGCCCATGTTCGAGCTGTAATTACTGACTACAGCTAGGCTCTACCACCTAAAAACATTGGACTATAGCCGGGGCTAGACTCTAACAATACGTGGTATATCATACTAACTCTTAATATCCCTGTGAGCGATAGACCGACTGTGCAATTCGGTGATAGCGCTGACTAGCTGCTTGGTGTAGCGGCGCGTGGTGTGCTCGGCCAGCGGACCGGACGTGGCTACCAGGGCCTCCAGCGACCCCTCCACACATAGCTCCATGAAGATTAACATCTCCTCCTGGGAATGTGAACATTAGAATCATTTCATACACTCTGGAGATGTTAATGAGATCTAAGATTTTCGCGAGTACTTATTTAAATGAAACTAATATTTTCGGATTTACTATGCGTTTTTTATTTTTGACTAAACTACATACTCCCGACGTTTTGTCTAATTTACAGCAACTGTGATCACGGACAGACGAGATCTTTGTCTATTATTATCATCTGAGCAAAGGCCTCTTCTCACATGGAGAAGGTTCGAGCATTAATCACCACGCTCGCTCAAGACGGGTTGGTGATTTCAAACTTATAATTTGAAACTATAAGTCCAGATTTCGTCACGATGTTTTCCTTCACCGGTACTTGCCAGGTTTTAAACCCGCTCCCTCATGCACGAGAGCTAGGCCTTTAACCACTAGGACACCACGACCACGGGAAGGGAAACAATGGAAAAATAAAATAATGATTGAGATTATCTTTTATTCCACTAACGAAAGGGATGTTAAACGAAACGAAAAAATCTTAAAATTTATATTAAACATGATAATATAAATAAATAATAGGCCATTACGACCACGAATCTATTGTTACACTCAAAGTAAATCAATTCTTGGACATATAGTACGTATTGTTTCTCACCCGGTGCAGCTCACAGCCGTAGTACCTCACGAGGTGAGGGTGTACAGCTCCCTCCAGCACCCTCAGTTCGTTGGCGGCCCGCTGCAGCGCGCGCCGGTCGCCCGCGCCCACACTCAGCTCCTTCATGGCCAGCACCTGCCCGCTCTCAGTGTTCACCACCGTGTACACCTGAAGAAGGTCACCAACAAAATATATACAAACATAATAATTAAAATTTCTTTATTTTCTTTAACAAGTCAAATATAAAGTTATTGGATTCCTTTTAAGCATATGAAAAACCTGTGCCAGGAGACATCGCTCTTCTATATCACGAATTAGGTATAAGTACACAAGTGATGTAGGAGTAAAGTTGAAATATAAATGATATTGAACAGAGTTATATTTCAACCCGCGGCCTCTAGTATTCCTCGTTTCAGTTCCATTACTTATGAAGTAATCATCCTGACTTGAATCGGTGATTTTTTATCAACATTATGTATATTTAATTCATGTTATCTCGAGATTGCTCTAATGTACTAAGTGTCACAGTATATACTGACCTTGCCGAAGGTCCCGGCGCCTATTTTAAGTCCCCTCTGCCACTTGAAGGTCAGTTGTCTCAGTTTGGGTTCGTAGCTCCTGATAGTTGACTCCAGCACGCGCCCCACGGACTTGGCCTCGCGGAGCTTCTGGTCCCGAGACTCGTCTAGATGATGCACCGCCTCCAGGATACGCTTGCTGTATACTACGGGTGTAATTGATTAAATGATTCAGTACAGGAATCAAGAAAGATATTCATAGTGTTTAAGGTATAATAAAAGAACGGTAGGTGTACTAGATGTTTGTCATTTTGTTCACTTATGATTTACTAGTTTTTGCCAGCGACTTGATCCGCTTGAATCTCTTAATTAGACTAACCAGAAGAAGAGAAAGTAACTAACTTAAAATAATAAATAATCAAGGTCAATCAACCGACAGTGACGTGTACCGTCTGTGTCAGATAATTTCAAACAAGTCAACTCTGTTCAGTAGTGTGTGTATGTATGAGACAAACATCTATTACTATTAACTGACCGTTATCGTCCAGCCTGTGTAGTAACAGCGGCGCGTCTCTCTCGGAAGGCGGGAAGGCTGCGGGGCACGGGGGGAGGGGGCTCTGGAACATTATACACATACATTTACAACTAGTTATATGTAACAGTCTATGCGTGTGTGTGTGTGTGTGTGTGTGTGTGTGTGTGTCCGTACATGTAGCCGGTGCCTGGTCCGCGGCGGTGCGGGTGAGGAGGCGGCCCGTGAGCCGATCACGTGTGAGATGCATCCGTCCATCAGCTGCTTCAGATCCTGTAACGTTAAAACACTTGTCATATCACAATTAGAATCTTCTACATATAATTTGTATTTTTGAGAGACACTATTATATTTTTCAACGTGTCATACCTCAAACTCCTCGTCAGTGAGATGCTTGGTGTTGCACGGATCACAGGCCAGCATCAAGAACTCCAATCCTTGACTGGCCCATCTGGAACACATTCATTAAACTATCAACACTAACTGTAATAATTTATTCATATTATCATCACGTTATCTATGAACCTCGGCCTAAGTCCTCGTCCTCGGTCACATCTCTCCACCACGAACTTCATCCAGCACTTGGCGAACTCGATGACAGCTCGAGCGACACGCTTACAGTCGGAGCGGGGGGGAGAGGGGGCCCGGCGGCGGGGGAGGGGGGACTCGGGGCCGCGGGGACACGACAGGAGGGCCTCGATGTCTGTGGGGGGCTGGGGAATGAAGGGATGACATTAATAACAATATAAGAATGTACTTTTGCTGCTATTTAGTAAATTTGCAAGTATAACTTCTTCTATCTGGCAATTTCCCTGCTGTAGCCAGGATCTGCCTTACATGTTGTGAATAGTTTTGGCTATTTGTTTTTACGAACGGCCGCCTGCCTGACATCAACCCTCTTTGGGAATCAACATTAATCAGTGATGTCTAAATATTATTAGAAAGTACATATGACAGTGGTACTTGCCCGGGCTAGGATCGAACCCGCACCCTCGAGCTTGAGAGGCCGGCCTCTTAACCACTATGCCACCACTGACTTAAATTTGCTAGTATAACATCTCTTCAAATAAGTTATCTGACTATGTATATATAGTATGCCTCACCATCACAGGCTGTTCATCGCCAGGTTGCTCCACCTCCTCCCCTATACTCTCGGACCTCGCGAGGCGGATCTTCCGCGGTGAGGCGGAACTCAATTTAGTTGGAGTCTTCTGAGGCGCCTCGTTTACGAACTTGTAAAGCTCTTTGTGCATCTGAAACAAATATTAACAAGCTACTGAGCTCACAATATGATATATGTAGTATTTGTTACACTTTTATAAAAAACTAGTAAACCTGGCGAACTCCGTTTCGCCACCAGAAGGCTTTTATATAACATTTCGTTTGGTGATTAAAAGATGAAGATTTTTTTTGTTTTACATTTGAAAAGGAAAAATTTTATTTCATTTCACAACTGTAATGAATTCATTTCGATTACAAAAATGAAGTGTTATTTAGTTTAACTTCTCTAAGTAAATGAAAGTGAATCCAAAGTAGATACCGAATCGAAGCGTTATAGGTGTCCGCAAATTATCCGTTTCATTGAAGTGGTCCTTTGTAAACCCCATTTTTTGTTTTTTGGTCTAACTTTAACACAAATAAGTCGGATGGTTTCCAAACTCTTGAACACGCAAAATACATATAATGCCCATGTGAAAAACAATGTTTTCTAAATTTATCCCGCAAATACGAAATGGTTTTAAGAGTTCAAACTACAAACACAATACCGGTTTGTCACATGACATTAACTGAGCAGAGAACAACGAGTAGCTGTCAACCAATGTATCATGCACCGACACCATTTACTTAAAATATTGATTTGTAGTACATGTTATGTATGATGGCGCTGTATGTGAAAAAAGATTTTTCCGCTTTTCTGTTGAAATTTTTTGTTATATACCTCACGGAACCCAAGACCTTTCCAATGAATGCAAAACCGTGGAAATTAGTTCGTTCCGGACCGGACTTATTTTTATATAGTACATCTCACAAATATCTAATTGTCATCATTACGTCATTACATATCTGTCATTATACGTCAATTGCATAGCTGTCAATTGTGTTTCGTTATTCCACGTTTTATAGTGACTGACGTTTCATGTCAAATCCCACGGGAATGCTGTCGAACGGGATAAAAAGCAATTGCAATTTCCTGGCTCTAAACTACCTCCCTGCCAATTTTCTGCTAAATCGGTTCAGCCATTCTTGAGTTATAAGTGAAGTCACTAACACGACTTTCTTTTATATATATAGATAGATACAATAAATCAGAATTAATGTCAAGTATTTAGTTTTATTTTACTTCTCACATCATAGTATGAAGTATTGTCTCATCTCATACAATACAATGGGATCGTTTACATTAATGACGTCAGAATGTTTTTAATAATAAAATATTATTTAAATTATATCCACCACCATAAAGCGTTTACCACACTGGAGCAGAAGTCTACTGTATCTTCTTTATTTCTTCCCAGTCTTGGACACAAAGTTACATTAAAAATAAAGCAGAGCACACATTAAGCACAAGTCGACTACAACACAAGTTAAGACTATAACACAATGCATTCACGATTATGAAATAAATAAAAAGAAATACACAAACTATTTGCAGTATGTATTCAAAACTCACCTTCGAATAAAACTACAAACAATTGCGACACTACAACTACACTAACAAATTCCAGCGACATATAGAAATTAAACTATCACACACAGGATCTTGGAGTCGAGATAGACAGAGATAGAGATACAGAAAGAAAGAGATAGTGAAAATACAATAGACTTCAGTATATATAAAGTTTTTTAACAAAAAAAATCTGAACTGACTCAACTTTAGTCTCTAATCAGAATTATATAATTTGTTTATCTAGTGTCTCTCTCTCTCTCTACCCTACTGTGACCTCCCTCTCTCTCTCTGTCTATCCTTCTCGTTCCCTCGTACCATGTGTGTGTTTATCAGCATAGTCCCCGGGCGGGCGGCGGTAGGCTGCGGTCGGCTGGGCGGCGCCGGTTGTAGTGACACCGGGCGTCGTGGTACAGGGCGGGCGGGGGTCGCGAACCTGTGCAGCTCCATGTGCAGCTGGGCGGCGTGCAGTGCATGCATTATATAGTTGATTATATAAACTCACCTTGGCTCCGGGTTATGTTATGAGGATAGATGTGATATCACCGCAAGAGCTTATGTATTTGATGATTATTTTATCTGTTCCGGTGAAACCACACTCTATATATTATGTTAGTTATGTTGTGAGTGTGTTATATATCAGTGAGTCTCACCTCGAAGCCCAGCTTGTAGACCTGCAGCAGTAGTTCCCTCACCCTGCCCCCGAGTGACTCCCGCACGTCCCTGGGCATCTCCACAGTCAGAGGCTTGCTCTTCTCCAGTATGATGTCCGTGTGACGAACCAAACAATCACGGATGGCCATCAGACATTCCTGATACAGAACAATATGATACATACACCAATTTTAACAATTAACTTGGACTTGGTAGTATATAGAGATATACACATATATGTATATGTATTTGGCAGGTGATTCTATAAATGAGTTAACATACATATGTATTATTTCTTAAAGTCAATTATTAAGTAACTAATTGCTGTGTTTTGACTTTAGACTATATATTTATCGGACACTTTGGGACAAAATTCTATAATCCTAAATATCAAGTAACCTCGAGTTTGGGAGATTATTGACATTGAATCGTACCGAAATCTGTTAATAAAGAGTATATTGTTTATCTCACAAAGATCCTATCATAGTGTTGTCTGTGTGTGTGAGCGATCCTGGCGGCCAGCGACCTCGCCCACTGCGCCGCCTGCAGCGCCGCCTCACGCTCGCTGGAGTAGATGAACTGGGTCTCACGACACACGGCGTACACCAGGTACCTGAAACAGGCAGACACACACTCAACATATAACAATATAATCCATACTAATATTATAAATGCGAAAGTAACTCTGTCTGTCTAACCTAACCTAACCTAACCTAAACCATTGAACTGGTTTTAATGAAACTTGGTACAGACATAGAGTTGACCTTGAGGAAGAACATAAGATAGTTTTTATTCCAGACTTTTGAAAGGTTCTCTTGGAGACGCGATATAACCGAACTCCACGCGGGCGAAGCTGCGGGCGGAAAGGTAATACTTTTATATGTCTCTTTTCTTCCACCTTCTTCTTCTAGTTGAACAAGTCTTAATTGAACGAGTATCGTCTACTATAGTAGTGTGTGTGTGTGTGTGTGTGTGTGTGTGTGCGTGCGTCTGTGTATGTGTGCGTGCGTGTGTGTGTGTGTGTGTATGTGTGTGTGTGTGTGTGCAGTCACCTCTCCTCGGCCTCCGAGTGTTCGCTCTGCTCCACGTCCATAACCTGCTGGAACTTCTCCTCGAACCTGTTGAGGACCTGCTTCAGCTGGTTACACGCCATGTCCCTGGAATGAGATATACACCATCAACTACTTCATGACACAAACTTTGTTATAAACACATATATATTTATTTATTTATTTGAGGATCCCCAAAAAAAGATACACAGTGTACAATTTTAAACTAATCAATACTAAATATTACATAAATTTGTGCTCTTTCAATTACAGGAGACCACAGCTTGCTAATTAAATATTACTAAGCAAAACAATATGAACTTATAGTTAAAGTTGAAATTTTTTAAAAAACCAAAAATATTAATAACAATGATATAATATTAAAACCAATTATATATCCAGAATTTGTTTCAAAATCAGAATACAGTAAGTAAGAACAGTAAGTTATAAAAAAAAATAAAAATAAAGAACGTATACAACAGCAATGAATATAAAAAAAGTGTCAACAGAGTGCTTTTATGATTCCTTTCTTGTATTGATCTATTATAGGGTTGAATATATCTAGCTCGGGATGTTGTTTTGATAGGATGTTGTATAGTCTACAGACCCTTGGCATAGCAGCATAATGCCCTAGATTCGTTTTAGCTGAGGGAATGTTAAACAATGCATATTTATTTTTCCGAGGCACACGAGAGGGTATGTTAAATTGGAGTAGTTGTAATAGATCGCTTCAACCTATGTATTTTCGAATGGACTATCTTTATATATATAATTCTTCTGTGAGTGTGTATGTCACTGAACTTCTCTCAAATGACTGGACCGATTTTGATGAAATTTTTTGTGTGTGTTCAAGGGGATCTGGGAATGGTTTAGATTTACAATCTTGTCCGCTGGACAATGTATTTTTAATTAATTTTTAATTTATTAGTAGTTGTTGATACAAACATTTTTTTTTGACATTAGATTTGACAACTAACTAATATGTCAATCATTCTGTCGCACTTCAAATCACGGAGATTTATGGCTTTAATAGGTACAATCCCAAACTATAAATAAAAAAGCGTAACAGATATTTCTTGACCTAGGGCGTTACGAAGTTCGCCGGGTCTTTTAGTTTTATATAGTACTGTTAAGTCAATCATGTATTTGTTTGTGTGTGTGTGTGTGTGTGTGTGTGTGTGTGTGTGTGTGTGTGTCTGCGCGCGTGTGCGTGTGTGTGTGTGTGTGTTTGTGTGTGTGTACGTACGCGAAGGCTGGTGGTGCGAGGTATGCGGCAGGGGGCGCCCGCGCTGCCAGCCTGCTGGTGAAGCTCCACTCGGCCGACAGACGAGCTCGGCTCAGAGGCTCCGTCTCAGACATCTTGCTGAGGTACGACAGGTATTGCTGGAGAGTAAACAGTCATGTTGTTTTTTAGTCTGTGGCAAATCTTATCACGAGTTCAATGACCTCCTTCCTCCTCACCTGTAGCGCTTTCTCGACCGTGTTATCGAAGGTGTGTAGTACATGAGCTAGTTCCCCTCGGGCCGTCTCCGCGACCCTGGCCCGCCTGAGCGCCGCCTGCACGTTCCTGGCGAAGGACGCGCGAGTCTCCGCCGCTATATCCAGACCCTCCTTCAGCTCGTGGATCAGCTGCGAGGGGAGATATTCATTGAGACACAGGGTAGAGATACGCTTAAGTAATGTTAAACTAAAATCTATTATTAAATAAAATAAAATAAATGTTTAAATTAGAAACGTATATACGATATAAGAAATAATATAAAAGAAAGTTGCGTTATATTATTTATAACTCAAGAACGGCTGTAGAGATATTGTTGAAAATTGATGGAGATAGCTTAGAACCAGGAGACGGACATAGGATATTTAATTCCAAATATCTGGTTCTTTATGGCCTCTAGGGCGAAATAGATCGCTCGGTCAGCTATACATGTATTACTAATGCCGAAATAAATATCAGGCATGCAGTGTTTGAACTTGTGATTACTAAAATTACTTCACGTTTTTACTAATAACTGACCACAAGACTGTTAATTGGTAATTCCATATACAGTATATGATCAGTACTAGTGAAGGTATCTTATATATAAAATTCTCGTGTCACAATGTTCGTTCCCGAACTCCTCCGAAACGGCTGGACCGATTCTCATGAAATTTCGTGAGCATATTGAGTAGGACTGACAATCGGCCAACATCTATTTTTCATACACCTTAGTAATAAGGGTTGTCTACCCTTAACATTTTTCTTTAATTTTTTTCATAATGTGTCATTGAAAAGTATATAGAACCCTAAATTGTTACTTTTTAACCACCAACCTATTATTTTATATGTCAATACACCTTTTGTCGGTCAGCTAGTGTATATACATATATATGTATATATATATAAGTGTAGGTGGTACCTGTTTGACTGTGAGACATGAGGGGTGGTCGGGCCGTCCGTCCAGCCTCATGGTGAGGTAGTCGTGCACCGCCTCCATGGAAATGGTGGTCAGTAGTAGGAAGTGGTTCCTGTACGACGGGAGCCTCATAGACAATGTCTCCTCCGACCAACAACCGTATCTGAAAACATATTTACTTAATTAGAGCCATCTCGTGTATCGTAGTATATCCGAAAAAAATGAATTTCATATAAATAACATTTACTTTTTATAATTTATTTTCTATTTCAACCTTAACCTCAATTTATCATTAATTGATCAAAAATATTTGGTACACATTTTTATAACGAATATGTTTCGTGTATTTACTGTATCTAATACAAAGCTGTACTTAGTATAAATACTATGTATTTCATTTGATTTTATTGTGATACTGTGATAGACACTCGATTAAACGGACTCTTGATATTATAGTCTTGTATACAGTTGGCACCAATCTATTATCGTGTGTCATTCTTCATGTTCCACCGACCTCCTAAACTCGTAGTTGTTCTTGTCACTCCCCTGGCCCGCGTCCCGCTGGTCGTCTGTATCCTGCGGGTCCATGAGCGTGAGGTGGACCTTGTTCAGTAGTTTGTTGCACATCTTGTTCATGAACGTCATACAGCGCCGCACGCCCTGAGTCTTCAGCATCTCGTAGTGGTAGTCGCTGGGGGTATATTACAATATTAACTTCATATCATATATATACATTATAATTTACTAGTTTTGAACGCAATTTCGTCGTCATTAGTTTCAGGAATAGAAATGTTTAAACTGAGAGAACTCTGTTCCTCATTAAAGATGGTAGAGAAGATTTTGTATTTTATCAACTTTTTTTGATTTTGACAAAAAGTATCCTATGTCCGTTTCCTAGTTTAAAACGGTCTCTCCTCCAATTTCCAGCCAAACCCGTGCAGTCGTTCTTAAGTTATAAATAGTATAACTAGCGCGACTTTCTTTTACATGTATAATATCTGGTTACCGAGCTTTACTCGCTATTTAGGAATTTTTAATATTTATTTTGTGTTTTTTTTTATTTAACAATATAAATCAACAGTTAATTTCTTAGGCTAACCTTAAAACAAACACTAATTGACTTTCTGTTAGTTAACAACGCCATCTGCTGTTGTGTCGTTAAAGCAATTAGCAAAAAGTAGTATTACTATTCGCCACTAGATGTCAGGAACAGTCATATTTTAAACGACTTCTTTTTGTTATTTTTTTTTAAATAAAATTTCATTTTCTAAAAATGATTCCTAGTTAGATCGACTTATCGCCCCGAAACCTCCTTTATACAAAATTTTATGAAAATCGTTGGAACCGATTCCGATTATATATAAATACTAGAAGACCTGGCGAACTTCGTATCGCCCTATAATTAAGAAATATCTGTTACGTTTTTTTATTTATATTTTTGGAGTTTACCTATTAAAGCCATAAATCTCCGTGTTTTGAAGTGCAACAGAATGATTGACATATTAGTTAGTAGTCAAATCTAATGTCCAAAAAAAGTTTGTATCAACAACTACTAATAAATTAAAAATTAATTAAAAAATCATTGTCCAGCGGACAAAATTGTGAATCTAAACAATTCCCAGATCCCCTTGAACACACACAAATACTTTCATCAAAATCGGTCCAGTCGTTTGAGAGAAGTTCAGTGACATACACACTCACAGAAGAATTATATATATAGTAGATAACGTAATGGTCATACCGGTAGGCGGAAACGTCCGTCCTTCCCATGAGCCTGAGCTGCGCCACGTCGTGCAGCCCACCCAGATCGAACACGTCCGCGGGGTCATCGACCTCCGACGTGTATCCTGACTCGTTGGACACGGTGGTGTCGCTGGTGCTGTACGGGTCCGACACTATAACCTCGGGCGTGTCCGCGTCTGAGGGCACGTACTATATGGTATAGTAATCGTTATTTCAGTTCCATCAACATTATTGACTGTTCTAGTTACCTGATCTTGAGTATCCACTATCAACAACATCTCTCCCTTTCTCTCCGTCTTCTCTCTCACTCCTCTCCTTCTCTCCGTCTCCGTCTGTATGTTTGTCTTGTCTGTTGTCGGAGTTCCCGCTCGCGTCGCTGTTGTTGGAGTCGCTGGGACTAGCGCTCACGTTGAAACGGACTTGACACGGTCGTTGAACAACAGATGATTTTCTGATGAAGTCATTGTTGAGATAAAATAATATGTAAACATGATTAGTCTTTTTTTATATGATATTGTTGGGGATAGTGAAAATCCGGATAATTCCGCGTTGGAACCAGATTATCAGAAGAAAGTTTGAGATAAAATATTTTCTAAATTAACGTCTTTTAAGGTAATTTTTTCACAATTAGTAATTATTGAGTGTTTAATTTATTGCGCGGATTTGCACTATCTCTGCCGATGTATGTATATATATAATTTAATATGTATATATTCTGTACCTGCTGCTAGTATCGTTGTAATGTCTCCTGGTCTTCTCCCTCACGGTCCGTAACATGCGCCTCACGGACATCACTTTGAGTCGCATGTGGAGCGCCGTGTTGTACCACAGACACATCGCCTGACAACATCATACATTCAAACACTACTCACTGACACATCCATATACATAGATACGATGAAACTAATCGAAATAAACTCGACTATGTTTATTGGGATCATTGGTTATAGACCATATTGAATTATCTCCTTAGATGTATATGAGAATGTGGAGCTAATGCAAGAATATATTCATTCTAAACAATATATAGCGGGTAGTTCTCCAAAAATTGCCAAGAGTAATGTTTCTAACTAGTGATTATTAACTTGGTCTCTGGTTTCTTAGTCCAGGTGTAACGAACCTTGAGTCTGTTGGTGACCTCTGGTTCGAACAGCGCGGGGTGGTCCGCGGCGGCCGCGCAGCTGGACGGGTACAGCTCCACGGCCGAGTCCACTGCCTCTAGTAGAGACGACACCTGCCTCATGGCCGCGCCCACAGCCGCCGTGCACGACGTGCAGTCGATACAGATACATATGAAGTCCTCTTCGATACAAAATATACACTTTTATAAATACTATATTAAGTTTTAAAATACATTGGACAGTCTTATGAAAAAATTTGGATATTTTGGTGAAACAGAACTTTGGAGAATTAATAATAGAAGGTTACTTTAAGAAGAGTAGAAAGGAAGTGATATATAAAAAAAAAATTACCCAAATGGATATTTTAACGACATATTCATTCTTTGCATTGTTGCAATGTTAAACAGTGCAAATAAAAAGTGCCATATTAATAACAAATATCATGTTAGCGAAGTTTCTAACATTAAGATGGCACTTCACTTGGTGTTGCGTATTCGCCGCATTTTTTCAAATATTCGTACGTAGTCCAAATAGAGCAAACATTACATCCACACTTGGCATGTCAACAACACTACTTTACGCGTTTTCGCTTATTTGTGCAAATATGTCAAATAAAGACGAATAAATCCTCCCCACATGGTCTTATTTGGCCGAACACAACAAATAAACGCCAAGTGAGGTGTCACCTTTATAGAAGTATTAATTAGTTCCCTACCCTCATTCTCGGTGGGTGCTTCATCAGTTTTCTGTGAATCTTCAGCTGAGTCGTCAACAGTCGCCAGTCTCCGAGCGCGATGTCTACACGGGGTGGGATTTTCAAACCTGTGTTTGTGATGAAATTCATATTAGTAGAACAATTTAAAATTACTCATAGAACATTAGAATATTACGTTTTATAGATTATTTTGCTTTAACTGTGTGTATATTACAATTGTAATTAGATATCTGGTTACGACTAAGTTATGGCTATCAGTTAGGACGGTGAGACATGAGAGTTGAATATTTTTTTATTTTGCCTTATTTCAGATTAACAATTCGTATCATTTGGCATAAGCATTTCGTACTACAACTGCTTTAATATATTATTATTGACAACATTAGTTCACGTCACTCCACAGTACTTAATAACGACATACAGTTTATGGTATTGCACCTACTAATATTATAAATGCGAAAGTAACTCTGTCTGTCTGTTACGCTTTCACGCCTAAACCACTGAACTGATTTTAATGAAATTTGGTACAGGGATAGTTTTTATTCCAGACTTTTGAAAGGTTCTCTTGGGAACGCGATATAACCGCACTCGACGCGGGCGAAGGTAGTAACATGATATACATATGTTCTATACTGACTTGTACTCCTTGATCCTCTGCACGATCCCAGGCACGAGGCTCCTCCTCACACACAGCTCCTCGTCCTGGGCTGCCAGCGTCCTCCCAGCCAGCTTCGCCTTCAGCTCCAGCCAGATGAGGTCCTTCAATTCGTTCTGCCACACTTGCTCCTCATGGCTGATCTGATCACACACCTACCGGTTATCAGGGATGTCGAGGGTTAATTAACTTAGGGTTAGTATCACAATGACGTCACTAATGATGTTTAATGAACTAGTCGTTTACCCTGTCTACACATGTACTATGTTAGTGTGTTATATAATTCGATGTTTCTGCATTATTCTTCTACTACCTGGCAATTTCCCAGCTTTAGCCAGGGTCTGCCTTACATGTTGTGAATAGTTTTGGCTAATTGTTTTTACGACCGGCTGCCTGCCTGACATCAACCCTCTTTGGGAAAATTGTTTCTGCATTATCATGGTGATGAATGTCAAGTGATGTTTTATTGTACTCACAGTTCTCCTGCATCCCTTATCAATGTTCCCCATGTTTATGAGCATGCTGAACGTGCTGTGGAAGTTCACCCTGCTGGCCGGCAGCTCGTCATCTTGATGCCTCTCTTGAACCTCCTCACATTCTTCTTTGCATTTCAGACGTGACGTGAGGGACATGAAGCGATTGCAAGACTCCACCTAAGTAAGAACGTATACAGAAGATTCAAATACATGAAAATAATATTTTTCGGATTACAACGCATATTTGATTATTTTTATAAACTACGTATGATCACGGGCAAACGAGATGAGAACACATCACATGTATGCAGTTATTAAAAATAATAAAATACACGTAGTAAACCGATAATATAAGTTTCATTTAAATGAATACTCGCGAAAGTCTTATACTTATAGAACATTCAAATCATGAATTAAAATCATCATTTTTTCGTAATATTTTGTACTATTCCCTACCAAAGTAGGAACAGCTGCTTGAGGGCTGGGTGAGGGTAACGAATCAGCTCGTGTCTCCCGTTGTCCATCCTTCCAGTCACGTTCTTTGGTCCTTATAAGTTTGAGACTGGTTCGCTTCTTAAAACGCTCTATGAAAATAACGAAACGTAATTAGTCTAAAGATATAATGAACAGTTAATATATACAAGCTGAGTTGCAGGAGTCATTTAAATATGTATTGATTATTCTACCTGGAGGGAGTGGTGACTCTTCGAAGCTCTTCCCTTCCACCAATGGTTTATATAAGCCAGAATCAAAAATATTCCTGAAACCAAACGTTGTTATTTATGTCCATCATTGTGACAATGTATTCATGCATCTAAACTATTTGTTGTAAAGTAAATACACTTCTTTATGTATATCCAAATATCAATACCAAAGCTTCATTAAATAGAAACATTAAAATAATAAAAATTTTCATATAATTAATTTAAAATCACATCTTTCATAACATTAAAATATATGTATCTCTTCAATAATGTATGTATAGTTTATATATATGAGTAATGGGTGTATTAAAATTAATGTTTAATAAAAGTGTTATCATTAAAAAATATCAAATGTAATTCCCATGGAAAATGGCTGGAGTGTCGCTGATTGCATGTGATTATAGCACAATTAGCGCCTGATAACGTATCACTAGTTGTGTGTGTGTGTGTGTGTGTGTGTGTGTGTGTGTGTGTGTGTGTGTGTGTGTGTGTGTGTGTGTGTAACACTCGTAGATAAACACACACACACACACACACATACATTAGTCTTGCGGAATAATATGAAGAGTAATGTCCCTTAGAACGGGGAGTTTTCGTTACAAGGTCAGGTTTTTTTATCATCCGCAAAATAGGAATTGTTGTGGATGTGTCGCCAACCTTGGTTGTTGAAAAACAGGGAGTGGAGGGAATAAGGAAATGGCAGGAAAGGCTGGGAACAGAACAGAAGGCTATTTCACGCCGATCTTCTGTGAGAGGGAGGTAGTACCCCGGTCGATCCGTAATTACTAACCACAGCTAGGCTCTACCTCGTTATAAATGTATCTAGTGTACGTTATTCTCACACTAAGCTCTGTTTTATATCAACGTTCGTATTATCACGAACATCCTATTGATTTGTTGTTCATTATCGCACGAGGAACTTACAACTATACAAATGTATTATAACATTCTTAAGATAACTTGCATAGAGATATGTTTTTAGTCCAGTCGTTATAGTAAGTTCACCTCGGAATTCGAGATACCCAGCTGTAAGTCTGTAAATAGTTGTATATTGACACCCTGAAAGTTGTCTCAAAACCTACATATGGTAGGGTGTAAGCTACTATTAAATTTCAAGGTCAACGGTCACAAAAATCGGGTTTTTGCGCTTTTTTTGGAAATATCTCATTTCCTATGGGTTTTTTGCTATTTGTATTTAGTATCAATATTGTAGAATACTAAATTCTCTACAAATTTTGTTTCAAAAATTTTTTTATACGGTGTACCGTTTTCGAGATCGAGGGCGGAGAGCGCGCGGTCACCGCATCACTTCAGGTCAACCGGTGCCTCCGGTCGAAAACGCACCATATATAGTTGATGAAGTATCAATAAGTCAATGATTATAAATATTATTTTATCATTTTCTTCATGCATTAAATCTATATCTATTCAATAATACTGATAACCGTTTACTAAAATTAATACAATTTTCTGCAACTGCAAAAGTGGTTGTGGTTCGCGATGCGGATGCAGGAAAGCGGGCTTGCAATGCTCTTTAGCTTGTGGCCAATGTAATGGGCAAGCTTGTGTCAATGCTCAACCATATCAGAGCGACATTAACGAAGATGGAACCTTTGATCCCGAAATCATGGAAGAACTTGAGACAAATGTCTATGAAGACGATAATGAAGACCAGTTTGAAATTTACCAGCAGCCAGAAGACGACGATGAAGAGGAAGAAGATGTTTAAAATTATAAATTGTAGTTTTTGTACCCCTTATTCCATTTTTTTACTTTCAATAAAAAATAATTTATTCAATGATTTTTTTTAATAAAAAGATTAATTCATAATTTATTTGTTTTTTTTTTCATCATGTAAGAAGTTATTAATATTAATTAGGTTAAAATTCAAATATAATTCTTATATTTTCATTAACAATTCTGCAATTACATGGACAGGTAAGTGTTGTTAAATAAATTAATACTGAATAAAAAGTGGATAAGTTAGGAAAAAAATGATAAAATATACTATAATAGTTAATAAAAATTGACAAATATTTATAATCATTGATTTATTGATAGTTCATCAACTACATATATATGGCGCGTTTTCGACCGGAGGCACCGGTTGACCTGAAGTGATGCGGTGACCGCGCGCTCTCCGCCCTCTATCTCGAAAACGGTACACCGTATAAAAAAAATTTTGAAACAAAATTTGTAGAGAATTTAGTATTCTACAATATTGATACTAAATACAAATAGCAAAAAACCCATAGGAAATGAGATATTTCCAAAAACAGCGCAAAAAACCGATTTTTGTGACCGTTGACCTTGAAATTTAATAGTTGCTTACACCCTACCGTATGTAGGTTTTGAGACAACTTTTAGGGTGTCAATATACAACTATTTACAGACTTAGAGCTGGGTATCTCGAATTCCGAGATACTTACCTACTTTATGCTTAAATGACTGGAATATTTGTCGATAGTAATTAAACGTCCATTGATACAGGTTTGCTTGTATGGAGGATAAACTCAACATTTTATTAAACGAAAAGATATATTGAAATTTCTTATAGTGAGGAGGTGGAATTTGGATTTAAATAAACAAAAATACCGGTTCAAATAAAGGTTCAACAAACTGAGAGTTGAATTTATTGAACACATTTACTTTAACGAGAATAAATTATTATTAGACAAGGACTTCAAAAGAAAATTTTAATGTCATATAATATATGGATATACAAATATGTAGGAAATATTTATGAATACGATAAAACCATAAAAATATGATACCATTAAGTTTTGATGCGGATGTCCTCACAAATATACGAAACAGAAGCTTAGTAACAAGTACTTGGTGGGTTAGAATCAGGTTTTGTAAAGGAAGCATGCTTATAGCATAACTTAATATTCCTATGTTTCTAAATACCGTCTCTTCTCCTTATCCCTGATGCGAGCTCGTGGAGGAGTTGTTCCGAGCAGGTCAGCTTCTGATCCGTCCCCGTTTTCAGCCAGCAGATACTTGGACGACTGCCGCGGATGTCTCATCACGACATCCTTGGTATCTCTGAATTAAGTACAAATTTTGTTTAGAATATTCTAGAATATCATAGACCATTTTTCATGTTGCTTTCTGTACACAAAATATTATCATATACTTAATTCGGTAGTCTATAAGTTTATCGCCATATATTAATGGAAGTAATTAAGCGGAAGACAGCCACTTCTATTTTTCATAGTAAATTATTTTGTTGTCATTCAGTGATCTGAGTCACGTCGCCTCCCCCTTAACGTGACGATCCCCGAAATAATTTTGTTTACTATGATAATGTTTGAAGCGTGTTGTTATAATGCATATATCAGATAAGGCGAGTTGATGTGATACGACTCAAATAGACTAACTCTATTATGTATGCCAAAAAATTATGTGCTGGCGGAAAAAGTATTTAATTATTTATATAGAGAAGTGTAACTTTAATTTTTCTTCTATGTATTGCATGTCGAATTACAACCGACAGATGAGTAGGACAACGTCAAAGGTAGACATGTTAGCTTAAGAAGCAAATACATAAATCGAAACCAATTGTAAAGGGAATATAACGTTTATAGTTTCACTAAATAGTGTTACTGCTTCGAGGTATTTTTGTGTGTTAATTTATTAATTCCTTCAGTCCCTCGCCAAACTCATTATCTGTATAATGTATTCCGTATTATAATAAGGAGATTAGAAGTTACTTCTTGTCATTCCGACTGTTTATCGACTTTCAATTATCATTTATTAACATTTTCAAAATTATAAAGTTAATGACTACATATTAATACCTCTAATAATAATTTAAATAAAAAAAAAAAAAAAACTTATATATCGTACGTTCATAAACAGCTTTCTAGCCTTTTTTTAATTTAAAAACACATTATTATTATTTTCCTCAAACAATAATTTTCTATCGTATTCGTAATTTCATTTAGTCTGAACCAAACTCGTAGTACATATATTGAAAGGGTAAATATTTATTCATATAATAAGGAAGTACAAGGCTCTTACTATCGTCCGTGATCGTTTGCTAATTACATACAGAACTTTAGTAATCTGAAAATTAAACTTTACTATCGGGAAGGACAAAACTTGTCCGAGCTAGTTATTATTAGCAGCACAGAAACGTATTTCCCTAGATATTTCCAAAAATTCTTCACAATATACTAAACAGTATGCGGAACACAACGCCTCATTGTACTCGAGACGTCTACGTAATTAGTTCAACCTTCGTCTGGGTAATCTTTATGGCATTGTGTGGTTACAGTAGTGTGAGTATACCGATCATTACTAACACTAAGACGAGACGCTGCTATCAAAAAATCTGTATGAAAAAAAGACATTGTTACAATCATATGTTTTCACATGATTCAACAAGCTTGGGGCATGCAAACACGGACAGAATGTACTTAAATACCATTTTGTTTAACCCATCTAGTATATATTATTATTAAACAAAAACTACTACCAATGATTGTATTATTTTGAAGAGAGAATGTATGAAATTCGCATCTTGACACTGTGTATATGTATATGTATGTATAGGACTTAGATCGCCCTATCCCATATATACAGGGTGACTGGTGAATTACTATCGATACTTGAGGACGTAATATTTGACGATCATATATGACAAAATAAAAATTAATATAACATAAATATTAATTAACTTCTAAGTAAAGTTAACCTAAAGTTATGTAATTAATTACGCATCGTGTGAACACCCTACAAATTAGGTATACAAACACACACACACACACGCGTGCGGCGGCGTGGTGTTGTATCAGCACGCCGCCGCACGCGTCCACACTTGGAACACTTGGAACGTGTCCACACTTTATTTATTTATACGGAAATTTGATCAAAAATTAAGTACCTATTTTTTTACATAATTCGAATGAGAATCATGTACCGAGTATTCTCCTTAAATATTGATAGTAATTCACCAGTCACCCTGTATATATGTACACTAGAAGACCCGGCTAACTCTGTATCGCCCTATAATCAAGAAATATCTGTTACGTTTTTTTATCTATATTTTTGGAGTTTACCTATTAAACCCATAAATCTCCGTGTTTTGAAGTGCGACAGAATGATTGACATATTAGTTAGTTGTCAAATCTAATGTCAAAAAAAAACGTTTTTATCAACAACTACTAATAAATTAAAAATTAATTAAAAAAACATTGTCCAGCAGACAAAATTGTGAATCTAAACCATTCCTAGATCCCCTTGAAAACACATGTACATGTACACATGTACATATGTATGTATATATACATCCAATCTATATCTATGGTGCAGCATCTCGTTGTATCTATACATATTTGTAATATTACAATAATGCCTATGGGTTTATCCATTATAAACAAGACCTAACAATATTCATTTGTGTCATTAATAACTTTCCTTAAAAGAGGTCGATACTAGTTGATACTTTGTTAACCTTTTTTATTTGATGCCTACAATGGTTTTTATGCAATAATAATTAATTTGTTACAAGTTTTGATGTGTGTGGAAACATTTAGAATATATTTCAAAACAAAAAACCGCTCAAATTATAACAAAAAGAAATAATTTAATTTGAAAACTAAAAATATTTAATGTAATTTTACCAGTTTTGGTCCAAATTGCTTATATATTTTATAAATAGCTGATTCTGTTAAAAATGTGCAATTCTAACTATTTATAATATATGCTTATTAAGTGAAACTTCTATTCATGTACATAACTTTTAAATTTAAAATCTAATTTTATATATTATTTAATAATAAATATAAAACATATTAATTTTGGCACCAATAATTTTAAAATAAATTTTTAATATCCTAAATAGATACAAAAATTACAACTGGACTCAAAAGTTAGAAAAAATATATAAAACAGATATAATACTATTTTTAAAACATATAATATAAATATGGCATGTTCAGTAAAACATATCATTCTCATCAATACAGATTTCAATAATAAAAATATACATATGAAAAGTATAAACGGACAAAAAAATTCATTTTAACTCATGGACAAATAAAATAGGAATTTAGGTAATAACTATATGACCAACTGTTTCACAGTGATTAAAATAAATTTAAATTCATATTCTGAACACAGTTCACATTTTATTATTACTATAAATTTTATATGAATTGTTCATAATGAAAAAAAGTTATGACAATGGTAACATATATAAATTTTGTGTAATAAAATGAATAAATTTTTAATATAGAATAAAAATGGAGACAATATTATTTGTCTTTGGTATTACATATGTGTGTTTTTTTTTTGAATAACTTTATAATCATGAATTTGCTTACTTTATAAAAAATTTAATTTATATTTCATTTTTTATTAATTATTTCAGACGAGATATACTATTTTATTTATTCAATATTAGTTTTCTTTTGCAATCCAAATCTGACACAGGAATCGGTAAAAAACAAGTAAGGAATTCTCTAATGCCGAACATTTAAACCTATTCATACACTAATTTTAACAATAAACATAACTTTATATTCAAAATGTATGCATAAAATGATTTTTGTATAAATTGTATGAAAAGGTATACTTACTGTGTGATATAGAGAATGTTTTCTAGTAATACTTAAAATATTTTAATTTAAAACTGCATCAATGCAAAACTTAATGAAGACATTATTGTTGAGTGACTAGAACATAGCTTACTAGCTTGGTCTATGATAAGAGGTGATAGCACTGTTAGTGATAACCATTTACATTTATACCCTTCATAAAAGTATTAACATACATTAAAATAATCTATCTAGTATATTAGAGGAATACATATATAATGATGTATAAATCCCTGATACTAATATACATACTTAATATATGTTTATATATATACAATTTTATCCGCAACATATATCTTTAAATTCTTTAAATAATATATATGTATTAAGATGACAAACATTATATTAGGGACCTTATACAAATAATAATTTTTTATGTTTCAACTAAGTCATTTATTTTGAAAATCATTCTAATTGTCATATTTGAATATATTTTTAATTTATTGTTACATTAATAGGATTCTGGATTATGCAAAGCTATTGAAATGTTGGGTAACGGATCACACAATATACTTTAAATAAACCAGTTTCTAGAATGGCTGTGGTTGGACAATGAAATGATATAGTACAAATAACACTTTGGTATTTCATTAAAATTAATAAATTTTAAAAATGAATGCAAACTCTTCTAACTAAATAGGTTCATACTGCTAATTTCAATTCTTATAAAATTTAACTAAGTAAGTGTTACTGTATAATATTTTGATAATAAACATAATTTATAATATTCACGACAATATTGTAGACTTTATAGATTGTAGTTATAGTATTTTACATCCAGGTAATCAGGGTCAAGAGCAAATTTTGCAAAACAAACAATATTACGAGTTAAACATCCCTAAAGGTAAATCTTAAAAGTAGACGGGTGTACTTACAAGTCTTCATCCGTACTTTGTCCCGAGTCGTAGTTTATTGGAAATCCTAAATTCTTTTTCCAGTCGTTATCTGCGCCGGAACTCATTTTACTAAAGTACCCGGATCAAACGTCTCAATTTACATGTTTCGCACATCACCCTTTGAAAGAACATCGACTACGCACTTTATAGGGTTCGTTTATATCAAACACTGTAATACTATTATAACCTTTGACATTGACCACAGTCCGTTTTATTTACCGGCAAAATAACATTGTGATAAAAAAAATCCACCACCTCATCAATGAACGGTAAACGTCACACTAAATGAATGTCATTTGAACGCCATTAAAACTTTACTTGTCAATGACATTGGTCTCTCACTCACATGATATGTTAGGTAAGGTCTACATGTATTCAGTTTTCAGCCTACATGATATATTAATCATTTTAAAGCAGCGTGCACATTAAAATATTTTTAATTGCGTTCTTATGAATGATTTAACACTTTTTCAATTTGGAATTTAGATAAGATAATAAGGCATTCTTCAATAATATATTAATATTACGAGGAAATTTGAATACTTAGGAAACTTATCATTTCAATGAATCATTTTTGTACCTTTCCCTGAAGTATAGGTATCTGTTTGTCTATTTATTTTTTACGTAAGATTGGTAATTTTGGAAGAAAATTGTCAGGTACCTACAATATTGTTCAATTGTAAAATTTTTGTCATTCGTAAACGTAATATTTGTTTAAAACTAAAATTTATCACTCTTTTGTTTTTTGCAAATTATATTTCAGTAAACAACCAGTGCGTCTGTCAGATGTCAAAAGTCATCTTTTAATATTATAAGCGATAACGTTTTTAGTCCTTTCACTTCAAATTCTTTTGCTTTCTTAACATTGTTTTCTTTACTGCTTCGATCGCCTCTTTATCACCATTCCATATTTTAAATATATTTAAGAATTTAAGAGAAACAATGAACAATATAGTATAAAAATTACGTATCTAAATTCGTAAATAATATTTCGTTTGACTAAATATTATTTATTGACGTGATAACGTCTTTAAAATCGTTTTAGTCGGGTGACATGTTCAGAAACTTGTGTCGATCGCAGGTATAACGAGAGAGAGACGGACCGATCTCCCGTCTCATCTCCAGCGCTACCAGTCATTCCGTGAAACTTGTCACGCAGAATCCTCACGAGCGGAGGCAGGCATAGCGTTCGAGAGAGTGGACCGATCTTCCGTCTCTCTCACTCTAGCGGCATACAAACGAATGGAGATTTTCTCGTGCGGTTAAGTTTTCGTTGAATGTTTTACTTCCCAAAAACTTATATCACCAATAAGACGTTATCACGTAAACATCTCGATCGTAAACCTACTTTACAAACAACCAATTTTTTAGGTTTGGGCAAGATTCAACTTCTTGTTTTTGCTATTTAGGATGGGAGTAATGATGAGATGAGAATATTGGTAATGAGAAAAAAGTCTACTAAGTGATAATGAAGTTAAAGCAACACTACTACTTCTAAGGGGGTCTTATAAAATGCGTTTTGTTAGGGAGTTCCACACTATCAAAATATTTATAACATAAAGTAAAAAATCCAATAATACTTTATTAAAACAGTATAAATATATAAAAAATAAAAACAAGTCCAGATTATTTATGATCATGGTTATGTGCAGATTTTAGTCCATATTTATGTTTTAAATCTCTAATGGTCATCTCACCACTTTCTTGATCTCTCATTTCCTCCACCAGTCTAGAGGGAATCTTCTTCTTTCCAATATCGAGCCAATCACCAGCGTTGTCTTTCTTGATCTTCTTCTGATACACAACTCTGCCGTTCCTTGTAACATACGATATAACTGGTGTAAGTACTTGACGTTTCCTCTTGTGGCCGGATCTTCGCCTCGGCCTCAGGTATTCGTTGCTGGATGAGCAGCTTTCATCGCTGTCACTGGAACTGGTCGATTCCGATTCCCTATAATACTTCTTTGGGCGACGTTTTTTGTGCTTCAGATACTTTTTGTCTGCGGCTTTCGAATGGTAAGGCATCATGACCACAGGCAACCGTTGCTGTGGGTAACCAATGGGCATTTGCATGGCAGAATTTAATACCAAAGGCCCTGGAATGTTCGCCCGCATAGATTGCATGGATGGGTTCTGGAAACCAGGACCTTGAAGATATTGGGACAGCGTTCCCAAAACCATATGGAGAGTGATTACAGCATGAAGGGGCACCAAGGAGACCATCTGTGGAAATTAGTTTGTAATGCTTTAGTAAAATAGCCCTTGTTGTAAAGCAAGATAACACTTTAAAGTACGGATTGCAGTTTTTGATAAGCAATACTATAATCAGGAAAGAACTTTGTTAACGTTCTGGGTATTTTCTTTGACATTAGGTGTTTAATTTATTGATAAAAAAAACACTTGAGATCTCAGCCCGGACGAAACGTAAGTAAGGTAAATAATACGTAATTGTATTAAAAACACTTTAAAATATAAGTATACAATTTAGAATAAAATTTCAATATAAATTTATGTATATATTTCGTCAAATACCTTGAACGACGCCACAGCGTGTGTTCTTGGTGTACTAGTAACAAAAGTAAAGATATCTTGCCTTAAATAGTGCTCTTATAACAATAGCTTTTGTTTTTTTTGGATTGGTTATGATTTAGAAAAAAGTATGAATTACATTGAATCCTTACGAGAGAAATAAATTGATTAATTGTATATATGAGGATGATCTCGTGATGATAAATGTAGACATGTCTTAGTTGCGAGAGGTCGATTACAAATAAAACGGTTACATTATTTTTATGAAATATTTGTATGATTATGATTCTCTATTCCAAATTGGAAGATACTATTTCAGTCAAGCTATTGAGATGATTATCATCCCCTTGTAACAGAAGATTTGTTTAAAGTTGTTGAATCACAAAAACTATTTTCATACAGACATTTTTTCATTGTGGTTCAAATCTACTCCTGGTTAGCCTACTGTTTACTCTAGGGAGAGTAAAAAAGTCTACAATTTTATCTATGTATATATTTACTAGCATTTTTTAGCATGGTAAAATATTTTTTTACTTCTAGGACTGCTAATGTGTTCTATAAATACATTTATACAACCTTAATTTTTTATTAAAATTTTTGTAACTTAATTGCGGAATTATAAGAATTTGTAAACAATTAATATAGCGCTCGTTTTTTCTATTTAAGTATACAATAACTTTAGACATATTTTTAAATTAAATAAGTTCTGTTAATATTGTAAACTTTTTTTTATATTTGTTTTCGTACGTGTGTGTTTGTAATTCCGTCTCGATGATAGTATGGAACTGTTTTTGATTATGTTGGAAAAACTTGTGTTTGTGGAGCCGCAATAAAAAGAAAAAGGTAGTATAATTTTTTGTCTAGTTACCACGAGTCCATCGTTGTAGTGAGAGGAGCTTCAACAGTGACTGGGACTTGCGACCCAGGTGTAGGTTTAAGGGGCCCCTATCTAACGCTCGTTAAACGATCACCTCCACCTCTTAGTAGATTTCCATATAAATATTATTCAATTGGAAAATATCATATTATTAACATGTTTTTTATTGCTCATACTATGACTATAATGTGTCTAGGATTTATATTTTTACATAACTTCATTGAATAAGTTTCACGTAACCATTCAAGTGAGCAAACAATTGATACATTGTTCAACGATTATGTAGTCTTCAGCCGCTGTTAGTAGTACGGGTGCTTTATAAAGGTGATTGTTTTCACTCTAAATGTACATACAATGAGATGAAACAAGGGAAAAGGTTAGAAATGTTTACTACATGTTGTTTTACTATATTAAAAAGTATAAACTAGAAACGATAGTATATAATTATAATACTAATCAAAATTATCTTTTATTTTCAGAATAACATGAAAATGTGGAACAAATTGCTTCTGTTTGTTATTAGTTTCATAAGTGCGTGGGCAAAAGAGCCAGAACTACCACTATGCCCTTCAAATATGCAATATTTACCTCAAAACCTCCCCATGCATTGTCGGATGCCGGTCACTCTGCCTCCATTCCCGCCACAGATGTTTCCGAATCCTTCGCAGATGAAATCTGGACCTTTTCCAATCCCTCTTCCAGGCATGCCAGGTCCTCCACCGAATCCTGCTCCAGGCATGCCGATGCCGATGCCGATGCCACTGCCCATGGTGCCAGTGCCACAACCGCCAGCTCAGAAGTTGCCCGTGATCGTAATGCCATTTTATTCCCCCGATACATCTTATAAGAAAAATCCCATACCACCTCCAAGGCTGCCACATAAAAAACATAGGAGGCCCATAAAGAAAAGGAGACCGGTGCGTTATGAGAGTTCCGATGAAGATAGCTCTAGTACAGACACCTCAGACGACACTTCAGATGAACGTGGCTGGTGGAAGAAACCCGTGGTTGGAAGAAGATCCAACAAACATCATTCTAAGAAAAGAAAACAGAACAGGGATCTATTAACACCGGTTCTTCAGTACGTGACGAAAGACGGGTATGTTATATTTGAGAAGAAAATTTCAAAGGGAGAAGCAAAAGATTGGCTGGTGAAGAAAAATACTGAAATGGATAAGAACGAACGATCTGACACTAAGATTGAAGAAGAGCGTGACTCTAATGAGGATCGACCAGAAAATAGTTTTAATGTAGTGGTAAAAGGTGAAGAGGCTTCAGAGGTTAAAAAAGATAAAAATCCCCTCCAAATACACAAGAAAAAAGTTTTGAGACGCAAGCCAATAAAAATTATGAAGGAAAATGAATAAATAGAACTAATGGAAATGTAATAGAACTTAGAATTTTGTATATTTTCAATTTTATATGAATAAATATTTTATACAGAGAAATAAACAAATATGACTATTATTATTGTAAAAAGAAATCTAAACGAGTTATTTAATTTAAGATAAAAAGTTAAATTATAATCTTATAAATAAAAAACATGTTTAATATCATATTTCACTATAAATATATAATTTGATTTACAATTGCAATACAAAATCATGATACCAAAAAAAAAACATTAATAAAATTAGCATACTGTCCGCCACCGAGACCATTATCTTGTTTATATATTCTTCAAATTGATTTTACAAATATTTAGTCTTAAAATATTTCGTTTTGGATTTGGAAACTTTGAAAATACATTGAAACCGTATTATTTAAATTCTTATAATAAATAGGCAAATCTTAGGGAAATGACCACAAACGAATACTGTATACCACTGGGGCTACAAAATCAAACGCCAAGCCTCACTCTATCATTAAAGCGGCTCCGGATTGGAATGTAATGATGGATAGGGAAGAAACTTTGTAAAACAATATGAAATCATATTAAATAAGTTTTTCGTGGATTTATACGCGGTAGAAGTGGGAGCGGGAGGTATAATAGCTAAATCTCTCTATAACCTAATTAAAGGACTTTTTCCTGTCCAGAACTAATATTAATTTATTTTTCTGACGTACTAATACTTCGAAGGCAGCCCCAGTAGCCTCTTTTAAAATTTCGTTAGGTAGAGAGAGGAACTTGGACGGTGGAGGTAAGTCGCAAGTCCCAGGCAATATTGATGTTCCTTTCTCTGAAACGCGATGGGCCAGTCACCCTCATGGTGAATCCAATGAATGCTAAGAAGTTTCGTCTGTTTTGATTACAAATTTTTATATTTTTTACATGACTTTTATTAAATTTATGAAAAATTTTAAAGTGTGTATTAGTGTCTAATAGTCCTAGGTGTCAACTACTTAGTTACTAATAACGAAATGTCTAAGGTCATAGTCGTCAGAGTTTTATATAGAAAGTTATTTCTGTTATATAGTTGGAATCGCACTTTCAAGAGGTAAACAAACATAGAGCTAGATTGTATTTTTGATGTTTTATGCTTCATATGTTATATAATAGTTTAATCATAGCAGCTGTCATGCTTAGTAGTTATAAATCATGTTCACTTTAATTTTATTCCAGGTTCTAATACATAGTTCAGAACTAACCTTTGTTAAGAAATTGTGACAAGAAAGTCAACAGTCGCGTTTTTAAAACACGTTAATATGTTCGTGATAAAGAACTATATCTCTCCTTGAAAGTCGATTTATTCGAATCCATAAATTTAAGCCTGAAATGTTTTAAATTTTAGATTTCCACTTTATAAAATGTACAACTTACACTTTATAAAATTACGTATACGAATTATATGTTATTAAATAATTCGTAGTTTGGTTGTGTTTTGTAAAAGAAACAAGTAATGCTAAGCTTATTTTTATTAATAGTATTTGTAACACTTTTTCAAGAATTATATAAGCGAATTCTTTTATGAAACAACAATGAGCATATTCATCTACGAGTAGTTTCTAGACTTACTTAATTTTAAATAACATTTTATACATACTTACAACAGAAGCCTTGAAGCCAAGGAGATCACAAAATCAGGATCAGACAAAAAGTTTCAATAAGCCCTCCACTTGTGATTGGTTAGGGAAGGACAATTCACACATCCTTGACAGTATACAGTTTCTGTAAGTAGTGTGGTAACCAAAGATACGCTTAATTTATTTGAGATGTTTGATCTGACAACTGAATTTTTTAAAATATAAGATATTTTCTCTTTCGTTCTATGAATTCAAAATGCAATAAAATATACGTATAACTTTTTTCTCATCAATACATTATAAGTAAGTACTTACTACCATTATGTTATAAAACGACAGCTACTAAAAATATGTCATAAAGCTATAGAATAATGTTCTTATCGGTACACTATACTGAAACCAATTTTATTGTTGCCCAACGTCGTCGCAGTGCAAGTTTTTTTGTGTCTACAATGAAGCTGTATTACATAACATAAGAGTAAAATGCATAAAAGCCAAATCGCCTCACGAAAACACTGCTATATATGACAGTCAGGGGATAATGACATACGTGAGTCTCTCATACTGTCTTTATATTACATACTTTAAACTCATTGGGTATAACAGTTCTATTGTTTTATTTTTTCAGAGCACAAACCTAAAATGGATATTGTTGGTGATTTTTGCTGTAATATTAAGATCCGTAGATGTCCAATATGCGATGCCAGTACCGGGCTATCCTCCGCCGCCCCCGCCAATGTTTCCGATGCCAGCTCCTATGCCCGTGATGTGTCCTTTGCCCTTTGCGATTGGTATATCTGACGGTTCTGGGAATCAAGATTCTACTACTACAACAACCACTACCACGAGTAAGCCCGACGTGGCCGTGGCTATACCTCTACCGATACCTGTTCCGATGCCAGTACCTGCGGTGCCAGCAATGCCAGCGATGCCACCAGTGCCACCGATGCCATCATACCCTCCCCCGCCGTATTGCCAACGACCACCTCCCAGACCGAGAAGTTGTCCGCCCTGTCCACCGTGCACGTGTAAGCCGGCGTGTACACCGTCATTCTATGCATACTGTTCTCCGTGCCATATGAAATGTAGATGCAAAAGTGTAGAAGACGCTCCTCGTCCAATACCACCAAGAGAATTACCAATAGGACCTCCGTATGCGGTTCAGTTGCCACAAATTATCCAGCAACCGCCTGTTGTTCTAGTTCCTTTTCCTCCAATTCCTCCGCGGGTGTTGCCTCCACGACGCAGACAGAAAAAGAGACGACCGATATATTCATCCTGCTCCGAGGAATCAAGTGAAACGAGCAGTAGTTCTGAATTAGATTATTTAAGACGAAAGAAAAGCAAACGAGTAAGAATGTTGAAACGCAACCCACGCAGTTCAGAGGGTGAAAACGAACTGGTTAAACCGATGTTGAGTTATATTTCAGAAAACGGTGATATTAAGTTTGAAACTAAAATAAGTAACAACGATGTCGAGGATCTGCTTGGAGCGGGGAATGACAACCGAGCAGAGAGGAGATACCAGACCGTTCAGGTGGTGACGAGAGAAGATGAATCACACAGACCTCAACTGGTTGTAATCTCCAAGGAGGACCGAAATGAGAAGACTGGACGGACGAGAAACAAACAAGTTCTTTTAAGAAACGGAATCTCTAATCATGTGCTAGAAGACGGCAGAAAACAACTGATATTCCGACCACCGAATGACAAAAGAATAAGTAACTTATCCGTGTCATTTCAAATAGTATAGATAGCTACGATATTAGAATATTGTTATTATATTATTTATTACTTTTATATTGTAATTTTTTAAGAGTCAAATAATTAAAAAGTTATCATGAACAGTGCCTACTATTTATTGTTATATAATGTCGCAGGTGTAGACTTACATGCATAACCATGTTTTGTCAGAGAAAAGGATTATTAGCTTTGTATTTAGCAACAATGCGTACTTATGTAACACCACAAAATTCGTTTCAATGATATAAAAGCAATACCTAGATCCTTACCTTTGCTATTATATTTCAACAATGCAGAGAAGCACACTTATTGTTTTAATTCTCGCGTCAATCGCTGAAAATTCGCCTACAGATCAAATATCAATGATGGATATGTTAAAAAACTATCGGAGTATGAATGGTGACACGTTTGAATCGATTGTTCCTAACATACAAGCCAACTATACAACAGACTGTTGCCAGGAATATTCCTGTCCAAATCCATGCTACCCTCATATATATCCACCGCCTCCATCCCCAATAGTTGTTCCCGCCAGAACCTTCTACGAGCCAGTGGTTCACAACCACCCGCCTCTTCATGTCATCAAGAAGATAATCGCCAGAGATAAGAAGAAATGGAGATATGATTCAACTAGCGAGGAGTTCACATCCAGTGACACAGATGATTCAGGCACCAGTACAGACTACTCGAGTATGTGAAGTATATATAAGAAATAATAATAAAGCTATTTTTATAGTTTTACAACACGTCTTTTGATTTTACACTCAAGCTCTTTAGTAAATAAATATTATGTGTATAGTTGCAAAGAATGGAGACTGTATAATGTAAATTATATACAATTTATATTCTTTTTTTCTTTTGCCTGAACGACTAAGAGGATTTTAGAAATATCTTCCTTATTCTAGAGTTCTATAGATACATTTCATTGTGGATAGTTTCAAACCTTTAGTAATAATTACCGTATTCAAGGCGACAAGACTCTATCTACGTCTCAATTTAACTATGTATTTGGTGACGTTAAGTGTCTATCTTCATTTACTACATTTGAGACTTTAGGTATTCGGAACTGAAAAGTCGGGAGATGGAAAATCACTGTATTAAAAATACCTAGAAGCAATTAAAAACAAAAATCAAGAATAACAATATATGATAATTGTTAATATGTACATAATTGTAAAGAATATTATAATATTACACTTTTTATGAAATGTATACAGTGAATTAACCCTTAATCAAATGGATTTTTTTTTAAATAAAATTATGAATTAAACATGGTTACTAGGTAAAAGGGCTTTGTAGATTTCGAAAAAAACATCATTTTTTTATAAATAGAGGGGAAATGGGGGTTTTACGGTGGGAAATTATTTCCCATTATCCAGTATGGAAAAGCAAAATATAAGTAAGTGGGAAATTATTTCCCATCATCCGGAATGGTTACATTTTTTTGGGACATTTTTACTACAAATTCTATACATATTACTTACTCCTACTTTACTTGTTTATTTTTTTTATATAAAAAATTCAATATAACATGATTGAGTGATTGAATAAAATTATAAAAATAAAATGAAACTAGAATGTTACAAATAATATTTTATTAAGAACTTTTCAAATACTATCGTATTACAAGTTCCTATACCGTTATTATTACAGCTGACAAACAGTTTTATATATATATAAAGACACTGATGTTTATCAAAGCAGGAACGAACATTGGGAAATTATTTCCCACCTAATTAAACCTAATAAAATCCAAGAAATATCAGTGCAAAAAGCACAGAAACCGTAAAAAGCATTCAGAAAATAAGTCTAGTTTACATCAATATATTGTTTATGTACTTACCAGATTTTTTTTTCTACAAAAATTTTCGAAAGTCCCGCGAGAACCGGTTTTGTGCACCAAAAAATTCAAATTGTGACTTTGACATTGACATACGATGACATTACGCAATTTTGTCCAAAATGTTGCCAAGTAAAATATTTAAAAAGTGTGTAAAATTATTTTGTTCCTGGATTGGTACTGATAAGAGTTACCAGTAAAGAAATAATAAAGAAATATTACGGTACTGTCAAGTGGGAAATAATTTCCCAATATTTGAATAAGGTTTAAATCAACAAAATACATATATAAGTATAAAAGAAGTATAAAAAAAATTAATAAAAAATATTAAAAAGTTCCGTTTTTAAAGAACAAGTTTTTTTCTTAGAGTAAGATATTTTTTCTAAAGAAAAATGGTAATTAATTAAAAGTTAGTGTGGTTATGGAAACCAACCAAAACCAACTGTGAGCATCGTGTTATGAATCATACTCGACAGTACGTTATGTCTTGTGGACTCTGAATTACATTAAAAAAGTGATTTTTATCAAAACAATAATAACCATCGTTTTCATTCTTTTTCTTCTTCTTCTATCTGGAAATTTCCCAGCTTTAGCCAGGGTCTGCCTTATATGTTGTGAATGGTTTTAGCTAATTGTTTTTACCATCAACCCTCTTTGGGAATACATTAATCAGTGATGTCTAAATACTCTTAGAAAGTACATATGACTCCGAAAAATCACATTGGTTCTTGCCAGGTTCGAACCCGCGCCCTCATGCATGAGAGGTAGGTCTTTTAACCACTAGGCCACCACTGACTTAACCATCATTTTCATTCATGCAACAAAATATTTTTCGACTAAGCTAGTATCAAATTTAACGAGATACAATTGCCTAAAAATAATTTTATATCTGAATGTTATATCATAGCATTACAGACTTTAAGTTAGACTAACAAAAAGCAGGTTTGGCAGAACTTATAGACATTCTTCTTCTTCTTCTTCTACCTGGCAATTTCCCAGCTATAGCCAGGGTCTGCCTTACATGTTGTGAAAAGTTTTTTTGGCTAATTGTTTTTACGACCGGCCGCCTGCCTGACATCAACCCTCTTTTGGGAATCAACATTAATCAGTGATGTCTAAATACTCTTAGAAAGTACATAAAGACAAGACAAAGACATTGTTTTTATTTAACTAATAACAAAAAGGTTTTATATAATCAAGAAGTATTTATATTTCTGTTAATCACAAGTCTGTGTGTTATATTATGTGATAATTATTGTTACTTACCCGTTGAATAAATAGTCTTTTAGCTTTATGTATCATTACACCTATGTAAATCCATATACTGTAAGTTTTTAAAGTGAATAAGGCGTTGCCAAATTTAATATGTTACACTTACAATTACATGACACAAACATTTACAATAATTAGAGTTTTTTAAGATGCAAACTTATTCCAAGGTTACTGAAGGACTTTTATGTTACATAAAAATGTTATTTTATTTAAGTTGGGTCTATTAACAAAGAGAAAAAACTCATTTGAGACAATTAAAAGATCAAAGTGGTGGATTTTAGAGACTGAGAGAACTGTTTGAAATTATATAATAACATTAGTAGGTTTAGAGCTATAAAAAGTATTATGTTATCAGTTTAGTTGTGTTGAGGTAATTAGTAAACTTATTATACTAACTTTGAATATTAAATGAACCTTCATCTTGATGCGGCATTTAATTAAAAACGAAATGTAGGTTTTAAGAGATCGCTTTACAAGAAATATAACGTGTTATTTCCATCACAATCACCTTAGTTTTTTATTTTATATATTTTTTATACATAATATATTTACAGTTTTAACTAAATACAGCTTATTGTCAAAAATAGACTGTTTTAAACTTACACCTTGGTTACTAAATGTGAATAAATAAAATGAGAAAAATTTTAGAGAAACAACAATGAATCACTTTTGGTTTCATTTATGTATGTATTTACAAACAAGAAACATATACTTAGAGTTAATTATAATAAGAAATAATGAGCACAATGCATGACTTACCTCTCAATAGAGGTCTGTACCAGAAATCCTTTATGAATAAAAATGAGAGACTTTTTATAATCGGAGAAATAGGTACGTAATCTAGAACATATTGTTTATTTCTGCCATTCATAAATTATCTATAATAACGATATACATATACAAATTAAATTAAATACATATTTAATAATATATAAAATATAAGTAAGAAAAGAAACTTTCATCGTTAGAGAAAGAGTAAGTTTATTGTTTAGACTTAGAAGTTGTTAAACGGGAATTATTTGTAAGGATTAAAACTGAAAATGATTCCGTGATTATGTTCTACGGACTGAAAACGATTTATCATAGGACATTGTGTTAAAATGTAACACATAAAGAGGATGCAATTTTCAAAACGTATTTTTAAAACGAAAACGAATTATTTTATAATTTCTGAGGAAGTATGTTATATTTATGTAGACATTTCGAAGTTATTGAAGTTTGTCAAGTTGCTCAGATTCAACACGATAACCGATGTCAGGATAAGAATTCCTGCTCGGATCCTGGCGTGTTCTACAGTGCAGTGTTCTCACTGGTGATGGCCATAGTTGAGACTTCCTTGGAGCAGATCTCCGAAGAAGCTTTCAACCTAAAGAGCACAGGTTTCCCCTCAGAAAGAAACTATCTGACAAATTGCTATCATATAGTTTTATAAGAATATTTTCTTAGCTTTATTCTGCGCGGCCATGACAGATCTAATGACGGGAGTAAGCCAAGGTGCAGGTAAATGTCGCACGGTCATAAATTTAGCTGGCACATGATTATCATATAATTTTATAATTGTGCATTATAATATCGATTACCATTACAAAAACAGATATTGAGCGTATCGGGAAATGTGTATAACGTGTCAAGTTGTTTAGTTTTTATATGCGTTTCGCGTTACTGACGAGAAAAAAATTGACTTGGTTTGCATTGACTGGCTGTGTAGTATTTATAATCTTTCTGATTCCGACAAGTACTCATCTATATTTCTGTTAAAGTCCATGCAATAAGTACTGTTTTCAGTTTTAACATGCCTTCGTTATAAGAATTAATTATTTTATTTACATGACATAGAGTTGTCTACTATTTCTTTCACGTTATCCAAATTTTCATTTTTCAAATACACAGGGAACGGGACTTTAAGAAAATGAATTCAAAAAAGGCGCCAAAATTTTAAGTTTCTTTTCGAAAATATGTTTCACTTACTGTTTGTAATAAGCACAATAATAAGTAAATGGTTATAATAAACGTAATATAACATATAATTTTAATTTCGTTATGTATTTTCTTCGAACAAAGAACTGTGTTTACATTAAAAACTTGAGGTTTAATTTAATGTTAATAAAGTTGGAAAACCCCTCGAGCGTGAAACCTTTTGACGAGTTCCTATAGTCAAACAGAACACATTGAGTTTCTAGATTTTCAATCATCAATATGAAATGGAGAATTCATAAAATGCCTTTGTTATCACAACCAAGCTGATTTTAATATAATTCTACGATACACGATAGATCAACGTAAGTATAATAATGAAAATTTCGCAAGTTTAAATAGACAACGGAACTTCATGGTGATGTAAAAATTGTTTACTACTACAGTTACAATAGTGAAAATGTAAATAAACAGGGCGGAGTAACCATCATTGCGAGGATTCATTTCTTATTACCAGAAAGGCCACTCATAACAAATACATAGGTTTTGAAATAAACTGACTTGACTGACAGCTGCTGATTGACTGCTGACTGATGAAGGAACTTGATCACTTTGTTAAACCACAATACATTAAGTTTGTAATCACGATTGGCAGACCTGAAAC